GTGGGAAATGGTCCGATGACACTCGTCGACGCTGCACCGTGCAACTCCGAGACTCCACCGTCCTCCGCAGTCATCGAAGTCTAAGGGACACCCCAAAGCATTGACTGGGCTGGCAGTTGATCCCTGAGGCACGCAGAGAGCATCTCGGGGGTAGCGGAGAGATACGCCCTGAGACTTTTTGCACCCTCCTGGGCTTCTCCATGTATCATGCGGCCCACGTCCGGGTGAAAGACAGCCTGTTGTGGTCTTCAGGGGGTTGGCTTCGTCCCAGCTAGAGGCGTGCAAACTGAAGGACCAGTGGCAGTCGACAACTAGCGACTTGTGATGAGCAGTTCCCTGCGTTGAGGAAGGCGTCGACCGACACACAGCTGCTGCTTCTGGCAGAACTTGCAGCCATGACAGTCTTGGGTTAGACGGCCTCGCCTTGCTCTCGACTCATCATTATCTGCCATCAGCCAGCGGTCACTAGCCCTCTCGCCCATGCGGGTAGTTTTGACGCACACGATCTCTTTTCAAGACGGCACGCCTCCTCGTGGGCCCCTTTTGGATTTCCGAGCCAATTGTGCAAAGACTTGAGCAAGCCGCCCGTCTTCAGCAATGCTGGTCCCCGTAGACTGCTGCTACCCATCCCTGACACCCACGAATCATGGGCAACACATTCAGCCGAGCCGTGATGAGTGTTTGCGAATTCCAGGGATCGGTTCCAATCGAGTCCTTGCGCGAAGGGGGGCGTGGGAATTATTCTACGCCGCGACTGTCTCGTGGGAGTAATGCCACTACTGGACTAGTCTGTGGACAAAGGCGAACGTTAGGCTTCGCTGGTTGCGTCCGTAAGAACGTTTTTGACTTGTTCGTATCTGGAACAGTGGCAAAACGGTCCCGTGGTTGAAAGAACTTCGATCTGCCCCTCCTCTGGAGCCAAGCTTTGTGGGTGCGTCGAATGTCGAATGAGACAAATGGCTTGAAGAGATTCGCAGAGGGGGGCACACACACCACCACCTGCGTGATGGTGGCATAGGGAGGGGGCAAGAAACGGCCATCTTCCTCCGGCAAATCGTTCTCAGCCGCCCCCAACGTATCTTTGTCGAGCCTCTATTCCCGACCGTTGAGTAGGCGGCGGTACAGCCAACGGCCGTAAATCGACATCCTTCGTCTGTTTCGGAAGCCGCTGCTGGTGGGCAGATCCTTCGCTACGCCTTTGTGGAGATAAATCAGCACTCTAAAATCTGCGCAACATTTCCGAATGGATGGTATACGGTAAGTTTTCCTGAGCATTGGCCAAACCGTGACCGCGAACCAGTGTCGATTCTGGACCGCTCCTGGCATCGCCGGCGATCGTTCGGTCTCCAGTACAGGGCCATATCAAGCTTTGCCTTGATGGGCTGGTAGAACTTGGCGACAATGATACTTGAAGAGAGGCACTGCATTTCGTGAGGCGTTTTTCGACTTTGAATCACTTTCTTATAGCGCAGATTTCACATTGTTTTGACGCGGGCCGTCACTCAGGAGGCCACAATAGAGGCCCGAAATCGCGGCCAAGCGCACGCGAAGCCACCGGCCCGGCCGATTCAACGGGAAACCGGCGAATGGGAAAAAGCCGCATGGTCATAGTAGGCCTCTTTGAGACTTGAAGCCATCGTTCCGTGCATAGTCTGGGTGGAAGACACCTATTCGCGACGAGTTGAGTTGCTACGGCAGCTTCTAGAAAGTCCCAAAGCCGATAGTATGATGTCGTGCTCTGCAAGATGCCATGGCTTTTTGCACCCCCAACGTTTCGGCCGCAGCTCCGGAGCTGGACTCGAAATGAATCGTTTTCACTGGTGTTCTGGATTTGTCCCCCTCCTTGCCGCAAATCTCCTCCGCAAAACCTGCGGTCGGCCGTTTCGAAACCACAACCAGTTTTCATCCTCTCTTCAGCCGCTCTGCAAAGATGGGGCACGCAAAGATGGCACTGCTCTGATCCTCTCCGCTACTTTATTTTCACTCTCCCAATTCATTCGTCGCGATGCTGGTCAACTCTGTGGCGGAGCTTTCACCGCGGAGGCTGTGAATGGCTCTTTTGCAGGGGGTGGAAAAACCAGAACCAACACAACCGAGAAACAAGACCAACAAGCCCCCAACAACAACAATTTTGCTGGACGCTTTTGCGCAAATTCCAGGTTCTCGAGGGGAATGGATCATCGTCATTCGACACAAACAATCGTACGCCCCAAGCTCCAAAGTTCCCCATCGTCAGATTACCACGCCCCTCACTCACGTCTTGGACCGTTCAACTTCACAGCCCCCTCTCCGTCATTACGATCGAGAATAGCAAAACGCAACAAGAAGAACTGTCCGCAATCTAAGGTTGTTCCCGGCCGCCACTCCCGCCTCGAACCACGCGAAACACCTCTCATCGCCCTTGCGCGCTGTCATCCGCAGCCGTCGAAGATCACACACACACACACACACACAGCCTCCGGATAGCCTCACCCTTCTGTCGACCCCATACCCGACGATGACTCCATGTCCAAATTGTCCTCTCTCTATCTCCCCAAAGCTCCCCATCGACGCCTCGCCTCGCCTCTCGAGCCAAACAAGACCCCGGCCATGCCACGAGCTCCCCCCGAACAAACGAGGCAGTGACGTCGACCGGGCCCCCCTCCCCATGAACAAACCATACACCGCTCGACAAACAACAACACTCCTCTTCTGCCGTGGTCCTCCGCCCATCGTGATCTTCCCCGGGACCAAGCATACACCGCCACCGGCCCGAGAGTGAAGAAAGAGCCAAACAAAGGGCAAAATAGCATCACTCCTCCCTGCCGTCGCAGAAAGTCCCAATAGTCCAGTCAGCAGTCAGCCTTGCCTCGCCTCGCCTCTTTCCACGCCCCTCACTTCTTCCCCCATCGCGGATCACGCGTTAACGATGAAACAAGCGCCCCAGGAAGACCCGAAATACCTTCGAAGAAGGCGCGATACTTCCTCGCGTTGTACATCTACACAACCATCGCGGGCAAGGGGTCGGTTGGACCTGGGACCTGGACAGACAACCGCAGCACCGGGTCCGGAACAGCCTCTCGTTGCCCCTTCTTCCGCTTCCGCGAACGAGAGTCCCGCCGGTAAGAGATGTCGAATCCCACAGCCCACGCTCGATGGAGAGCCATCGTGGACCCGGCCGTCACGGCGGCCCGGAGGCTCCCCTCCCCCCCCCATTACCCGTTCTCTGGCGAATGGGATCGGCGTCCCGCGTGCTCGGAGAGTGAGGCCAAATGCTGGACGCCCGATATCGACGCTGGTTCGACGGCGGCGAGTGACTCTGCCCTCTTCCAAAGTTATCCGGCATCGTATACTTCGTCCGGGTCCTCCGCAGGCCCCCCCCCCTCTCTTGCAAGAAGATCGTATCCTCGCGAACTGGACAAAGTAGCATGTGAAGAGTCCGAAATCCCCTCTTTCTAGCCTAGAAAGGACGAATACTTCCAGATCATGATTTGCCACAGCCAAGATACACACCCGCGCGGAGAGACTCCGGCGTGGTTGGTCGCGATGCCGCGTTGCGACGGGGACCATCAGCCAGTGCGGTGAACACCTCCCAAACCAGTCTCAAAAGGGTGATGGACGATATCTAGAAAAAGACCTGTCAGGCCCTCATCGCCACAGTCTTCCTTCCCCCCTTCCCCCACTATCCCTGGAAAAAGCCTAGCAACTCGCGCAAGATCCAAAGTGGTGATCCATCCATCCATTCATCACCCTCTCTTACCCCCTTGATCGCGATACCGCCCTTGAATCCGGACCAGAATAGGTCTGCGTGGAGAACGCTGCAGCCCTACGTTGGGGGACGGGGGCGTTGGTTACCAACCATGTCTCTGTCTCTCTCTTTGCCCCGTGCTTGTAATGTCGACTGAACCAAGAGTCAATCAAGCGGCGTGACTAACACCCTACCAACCGTTGACTCCTCCCTCCCTCGCTCCCTTCGCTGTCCGTCATGATATCAGACATTCGGAACTCCGGGTACCTTAGTTGGTTGGTCGCACAAACTCACGGGTTTACCCTCCCGAACTCTGCTGCGTCTTTGTACAATTCTTCATCGACGTCACGCGAGGGGGACACCAGGTACCAACCCTATGTTTGTGACTGAGACAAGTGTAGTTGGGTTAAACGTTGGATGATGCAGCCAGTCTCAGTGTTTGAGGATGAGTCAAAGACATCTTTAACCCCCTTGACACAAAGAAGTCTAGCAGAAAGTCTCACACATCTGACACACGAAACACCCCGACGAGCGGGAACGTACAGTCGGCATATTGGTATTAAACATTGTGGTATTCAGCAATGCTAGGACTAACTACAGCGTCGAAGAGTTGTGTACCCGTGGAAGAAAATAGCCCTGCTCCCGCCGATGCCATTGCTATGCGGATCCCAGAAGAAACAAACGTGAAAAAAGCAGAATATACGGTAGCCCCTCCCTGAATAGTTCCAGAAGGGAAAAAGAGAAAAAAAACATCGAAACGTACAAGACAGACGACCGCCCAGCAACCCGACGTTGACTCATCATGTCGTGGAGAATCATTTGTGCTGAAAACGCGTGATTATAACCGGCACCAACAAAGCTAACAGACTGAGGCATGTAAAACCAATGCTTTGCGCGGGTGCATGTTTTGGGAGGGGGGGATTGGGTTTCCAGGAGCAATAGCAGGCGTATAAACGTAGCAGGGCCAATGTGCTTTTGAGCACCGATGATATGTTCGGGGGTACAGAATAACCGCAAAAGATAATGTCGCTCACCTAGGGGTGCGGAAGAATGGCCGAGAGCTGCACACCTAGTCACCGTATCCCCGGACCCCAAAAGGGGGCCCATCGCAACGTCTTCCGAGGGGCGGTCACTCACCCCAGTTTGACATGCTGCAGAGTCAAGCTGTGCGCAGCTTTCGAAACGCCGCCCCCAATCCACCAGGCGTTTGTAACACGCGTTTTCTCATTCCTGTTGTTCTGAGAGGTTAACCCCGTCTAATCCAGGGGGCTTCCTATGCGCCCTCAAGGGGCTGGACGAAGTTGTAGTTGAAGTCCAGTAGGCCATCCAACATCCAGTGTTGCGGATCGAAAAAGTCGTAATTTGTCGTCTCGCCGTAGTTCATGCCGCTTAGCATGTTATTCGATGATTGGTTGTTCAATCCGCCAGAGGCTCCCGGAGTGAGGGCGCCGTTGGACGCAAGCATGCTGTTTGCCTGTAGTCCTTGGGTCGCCGGCATGAGTGTGCTGTCCAGATGGGTCGATGACGCCGAGGACTCGTTCGCTGAGTCTGGATTAGTAGGCTGTTTCAGGGCTATTTGGGGTGGCACGTAAGTCAGTCATCACAGTCACACCGAAGCAGAGACCTGGATGCAATGGCTAGGACCGGGGAGGGGTAGGGGTAGGAGCTGCATTTACCATCGAGTGACCCTCTGCCTTGGGCTTGGTACTCTTCTCTCCATCGCCAGACTGAGTCGAAAACGAGACTCATGCTGTGGCGGCAGCGCACCTTGAGCTGGAGTGTGTCGTCGATGAGCAGTGGAGAGTCGTCGTTGTCAAACGATGACTGGTTGTTGTTGTCGAGGCGGGCTCCGTTCCACATTTGTACCATCAGCTCGGCTAGGCGCCATTGGAGATCGTTGTTCACGACACTTGTCGCACGAATGGCGTTGATGGTTTGGTGGAAGAGGTTGCGGCCGCGGTCAAAGTCGATTGTCTTGGAAAAGAACGACCGCATGAGCTTCAGCAGAGCGAAGCCAGCCGCAATCAGCATTTGCTGGATGTAGTTTGTCGCGTAAAGAAGAATCTGACCCGGCGAGTTCTGGCCAGGTGAAGTAACCTTGTCAACCTCCAGAATGTTGTCAAGAAAACTTGTTGTTGCTCTCCACAGACCCATCAAGTCATCGATGTAACCAGGAGTCGTGCTTGAATCAAAGAAGCCAGCTAGCCGCAAGTGAAGAGCGGCCGCTCTCATGTGGAGATTGGCAATAGGGCCCAGGTGTTGGGAGAGAATCGAGGCTTGCAGTTCGTTGAAGTCCTTACGATAAACTCTCATCAACATGGCTCGATGCTCGTCTCCTGCAACACCTCTGGGATCGCTGGCGTTACTATACATTTCCTTGGAGACCTTGTCGCAGAATCGTTCAATTTGAAGTCTAGCCTCAAGTTCAGGAGTCAATCGGAAAGGCCCGTCCTCGCCCCGGCGGACGGCCAAAGTCCAGTCGTACAGTGTTGAGGCCGGTTGGCCGTAGCCAGTGCCAATGCTTTGGGCGACAATGTTGCAGACAGCCCATGTCTGTACACGATCGTGTAGCTGCTCTTTGTTAAGATCCACAGAGACTCGGGAGAAGTCTTGACTATGGTTGGGCCTGTGAAGGCCAATGCCCGTCGCGACCTTCATCATGACACCACACAGAATATGTGTGGGGTCAGCGCTGGTTGTGCTCGTTGGCAAGGGCCATGTGCACAGCAGACACAGAGCCTTGACAACGAAGTAGCTGCTCGGCACGTCTCCAATGGTAGACCACAGCAGCCTTGTTAGAGGGCCCGATATCGACGTCAACAAAGTCGGGTCTGCGCTATAACGCCGGGCAGCGACCGAAATGATGGACCAGAAGAGAAGAGAGTGCTGTTGAAAGTACTGGTCTGGTGACTGTTGAGGGTTGAGGAATGGGAGAAACGGGTGGTAGTATGCGAAGAACTCGTGGAATAACTGGTTCACCGAGTCCTCGGTCAAGCGCACATTCTCCAGCTCATGGGTGTAACGTGGTAAGCTGTATGACCCTCCCCTCTTGAGGTGCAGAAGCGAAGAGACAGCCTCGTCAGAACCCATCAGAGAAGGGTTTCGCGTGTGTGTGTAAACGCTTGTCGCAATGGGGGACTGAAGATCCTCCTGGTCGTCTTCGACAGTGTAGCCCTGATTTTGGGCGCGCGCAATGTTGCGGCGCAATCTTTCGATCTCCTTCTCCATCTCGGCGTGCTTGCTACGCTTGCCAATGCGCTTGAAGTTGGACTCAATTTTGCAATCGAGCTTAAGACGATTACACCGCGAACAGCTTTGGAAGGGATCTTGGACGACGTCGCATCGCAACTATTCAAACGCGGCTGGGTTAGTCAAGTGACTCTTTCATTGGTTATGCGGTCGAATGTGACTCACTTTCTGCTGGCGGCACTCATTGCAGGCGCGCTTCACTCCCGGCTGGCGTTTCTTGGAGTCAGGCTCCCCATTGTCGTCGTCGTGGCCGGCATTGCTGCCCGGACTACTGTCGAGTGCCATGCTACTACGCTTTCTCTTAGGAGGGCCGATGTTTGCATGTCTTGCGCTCACGGGACTCGTGGGCGAGACGGGCGTAGCCCCGCCGGCAGAGACGATGGGCGGACCGTCCATGCAGGGCACCGGAGGACGGACGGTGAGTCGCGGTGAGACAACCTAGACAAGACACCAGACAGCACAGGCGGGATCGGAGGACCCCTCCCGGGCCGGGCGTGGCGTGAGGTGCGAACGGAGCTCGCAGGAAAGAACTCGGCAATCGGAGATGTCTTGGACGGTGAGCGAGGACTCGGGCTCACTGGGGCGTGCGGTCCGGTGTCGCGACGAGCGTGTTGGAATTGTTGATGTGAGGGTGGGAGCTGGTGCGGCCGAATGCGGAGGGCGGGGAAGTTTGCAATTTTGACCTGAAGGGCGAGGCAAGATTTGCGGTGGATAAGGGACTCATTCTGTCTCTGGGCGAGGCGCCGTGGGTGTGCCTGCCCGGCCGTTGGAGGAAATGGCTGGGGGTGGAGGTCGTCTGATTGGATGTTTCCTCAAATTGTTCGTTTTCCCCCGCTTTCCATCTTCTGCAGCAGGCGGGGGTTACGAACCCGTTTACACCTGCCAACTGCCAAAAACGGCATGGCGTCCGTCGGAGTATTCGCACCCGACTTTCACCGGATCACTTTCCCATATCGCCCGGGCGTGGCTGGTGGTTGAAGCCAGTGCACAGACACGTGTGACATGCCCTGAAATTCCCGGGAAAAAGGTACAAGCATTGAGATAGGACGTCATCTGTTGAATGGGCGCATTTTGAGCTCCGATATCGTTATCCAATTCCTCCAGATATCCACTCCTCTTTGGAGAAGAGTTCCACGAACCCGCTGACTCTTGTACCGACGGGAGTGCCAAGAGGGAGCAACCCCCATTGATGACAGACAGAAACCAAAAGTGGAAACTGCGGGTGAAAATTGGTTCTTCCAGCAGGTGTAACACCAATGACTGGACGGGTGGTTGGAGGTAAGTGGGACCTTTGACTAAGCCGATCCAAACCTCCAGTCGCGTCCCGTCCTGTCGCTTGCCGTCTGCCGAAGATAATGCCAAAGTTTGGGCAAGGAACTCAAGATTATTAGCCTGCGCAGAAATTCGATCAGATGAACTGTTCAAAGTTATTCGATTCTCAAAGAATCTGACTCGCGATCCCTGAGATCTCAGACTTCAGCAAACCTTTGCGAGGCCCCTTTCCTGGAGACGCCTCGACCTCGAACTCGCAGTCGAGCAAAAGACCTCAGCATGGTCGATGCACAAGACAAAAGCGCAGCCAAACCTCCGCGGAAAGTATCTCTGGCTCTACCGCCACTATACCAAGGAACTGGATCATATACCGAGGCTCCTCGAGGATCTCGCGATGTTCAGTTCGCACTGCCCGGGTCACGACCGAAGCCAGGTAAGTCGCTGCATTTCCGGCACCCAGTCAGAGCTGACTGACCACTACGGCAGTCGAAGTGATTCAAGTAGACACCACGGATGTTCCTCGGCCGTTTCTTGACCCAGCTGTATTCAAAGATTCGCAGAAAAAGACCTGAAGGAAAGAGTTGAAGTCATTCAGCCTCAGATGGGTAGGGGTCCTTACCGTGGACCCCAGCTTTCTTTGGAGCCACCCTCGCTCCAATCGCCACCACGTCATTTTGGCGGGAAGCTCCGTCTCCTCAGCGCTGCCTTTGTTTCTAGCAATCATTGCTTGCAGTTACAAACTTCGCGCAAGCAACTGCCGAATGGCTCATTGGCATTTCAAACTGCTCATGCATGTGCGATCAAAAGGGTAAGTTGGATGCACAATGCAAGATGGTTGACTCTCACCAACTAACAAGTAGCAGTGCGCTCATTACCTTAGCATTGCATTGCTATGAGAGAGCGGGCAACGGACTAGAGTTGCAATCCGACGTCTCTTCGGAATCCGGCTGCCTCCAAGGAGGCTTGAGCAGGGTCTCCTAGCGGGCAGAGCTAGCGTCAGGACCAGATGCTCGGAATTGGGGCATCACAATGTCTTATCCTGGGTAGATCTCAAAGTTCCTACACAAGTTGATACTGGACAGATTCTCGGTCAGCAATTGGATAATGATTAGATAAAACCCAATTGCAACCTCGCTAGCTAGAACATCACGTTTCAGCAGCACCAACCGCAGGAATGCCAACATTAGGAAATCTGTTTGAAGCGCCCCTCCGTCAGCAAAATGCGGGCTACCGGCCGGCGATGTGAGCCGATAAGTCAAAAAGAGGTATCCACCTCCGAGTCCCTGTCCGAACCACCCCGGCTCCAACACCCGTTTGGGCTGCGACGGAGGGGAAATGTCCACCTGGCAACATGATTTGAAAGCACGTTGGCGAAGAAGAAAAGCTGAAGGATTCGAAGGCCAGCAGCAGCTGGTTCGAGCAGTCGCAGTCTCAGAGTTTCTCGCCGTGCCCACTTTCCGGGTGCGGGGTTGCCGGTGCACTAGCCATGGCTTCGAGCATCGGCATGTCGAAAGCGCAAGGGTCCAGAGGCACAAGTGTTCCACGTCGATCGGTGGCTACTTCGGAAAACGCTATAAGAATCCTGTTGGGCTCCTCTGTCGACCAGGCTGAGAGACCAAATCAACTCTCTTCATTCTCGCCCTTCTTTCTGCTTGTCAGGATACTCTGTCGGACTCTCACATTCAGCTCCCCCAATAGAATAAGGTTCAGCCATGTCATCTCACACTAATGGCTCCTCGAAAGAGGACTTCACCGTGCCTTTCTTGATCGACGGAGAGAAGTTTTACCCCGAAAAGACGTTCGAGATCGTCAATCCTGCTACCGGCAAAGCTGTTCACAAGTGCGGTAGCGCTACCGAGAAGGATGCTCTGACTGCAGTCGATGTAGCCGCAAAGGCATTCAAGACCTGGCGCAGGACGACGCCTGTCCAGCGCAGAGACATCTTCCTGAAGGCGGCCGATATAATGGAGAGCCGGAAGGACGAACTGTCTCAAATCATGCAAGAAGAGACTGGTGCGGCGAAGCAATGGGCGGACTTCATCACCGGCCTTGGCTTCGGAGTTATCAGGGATGTCGCCGGACGGCTTGTAACTGTCGAGGGCTCGCTTCCCGGAACAAACGACCCCAACGTCTCTGCCATGGTGCTGAAGGAACCCTACGGCGTCGTTCTCGCCATTGCCCCATGGTGAGCCAGACCAATTCACGGTTTATTGACGTCACATCTAATTTGAGACCAGGAATGCTCCGTATGTCTTGGCCGCGAGAGCCATCGCATTCCCAATCGCTGCCGGAAACACCGCCATTCTCAAGGCGTCAGAGCTCTCGCCGCGAGTTATGTATGAACTGGCCGATTGTTTCCAACAGGCCGGTCTGCCCAAGGGTGTCTTGAACGTCATTGTTCACGAGCCTGCCAACGCCGCAGCCATTACGACTTCGCTCATCGCGCACCCTGAAATCAAGAAGATCAACTTCACGGGCAGCACCAACGTCGGCCGCATCATCGCTAAGCAGGCCGGTGAACACCTGAAGCCTGTGTTGCTGGAGCTCGGAGGCAAGGCGCCCGCCATTGTGTGGGAGGATGCCGACCTCGATCTGGCGGCGAGCCAATGCACCGTCGGTTCGTTCCTCCACGGTGGACAGATTTGCATGAGCACGGAGAGAATCATCGTGCACAAGAAGGTTTCAGAGCAGTTCCAGGCTAAGTTGTCGGAGTTCATTGACAAGATCTTCCCTTCTTCAGCAGATGCGCCGGTCCTCATCAACCAGCTTGCCGTCGAGAAAAACAAGAAGCTGCTCAAGGATGCGATCGGCAAGGGAGCCGCCGTCGTGGCGGGCAACGTCGATGCCGAGGAGGTCTCCAAGACAAGAATGCGCCCGATTGTCATCAAGAACATCAGCACCGAAATGGACCTGTACAAGACCGAGTCTTTCGGTCCATCTGTGTCACTGTTCGAGGTTGAGACTGAAGAGGAGGCTCTGGAGCTCGCCAACGACACCGAGTACGGCCTGACGTCTGCAGTCTTCACGGAGAACCTCCGCACAGGTCTTCGTTTCGCGAAGGAGATTGAGTCTGGTGCTGTTCACATCAACAACATGACGGTTCACGACGAGAGCGGCTTGCCTCACGGCGGAGTCAAGTCCAGCGGCTTTGGTAGATTCAACTCGGTGGGACTGGACGAGTGGGTGAGGACGAAGACCATCACCTTCCGGAACTGAGCTTTATCATCAATAGCGTCAATACCATTGTTTAGACTGGTTATTAATTCAACCCAAGACCCATTTTGTCGATTAATTCACTAAATCACGCCGCATCTGTGCTAGTTGCGCCTCCAGCCCCGCGCACACTAGTTGCGTCCTTGCCGGTAAGGTCTAGGTCTTGCCCATCAAGGTGAGTCAGTCCGTCAGTTCACGTGGTTTGCTGGTCAAGCGCTCCTGAATATCACGCGGCAACGTTTCCGAGAAGTGGCCCATTGAGGGTCATCGAACGACGATCCTCTTAAGATCAACAATTACGCCCACGTTTTTGGCCACTGCAGATCTGTAAACTATTGTTCACCAGTTGCTGAAGAACCACGGCAGCCCACGTTCGACTGTTGATCTCGAAGCTACCTCGGCATTCCGAAGATTTGATGAGTATTTGCAATACTCGACACTCGGAAGCCGTTGAGTCGTGTGAAAGTGTGCAATGTCCCTCAACCGATGTCGTTTTTCGGTTGTAGTTGAGATTAGAGTGCCACGCTAGTTGCCGACGTGCAGGTCGCCTCTCCAAGTTACACAACGTCTTCGGGACATCTCCGCCAAGGATCAATAAGACTTCACTATAGGTAGAGAACCCGCCCTGAATCGGCTAAAGCAAGCGGGTGTTCTGGTCGCATCGTAAGGCGGCTTGGTCTGCCACAATCCCCTAACTCCCCGGATTCTGGACCGAATCCTCTACTTGACCAGGTTTGCCTAATCTCCCCTAACTCCCAGGAGGGGAGTTAAGGGCAGCATATGCGATCTCAGGAAGTAAGCTCCCAAGAGAGCCCTTGGTATGGCAGTGTTATGGAATAAGTGAATCTGATTCAAGATTGATTGGCAAGCAAAGACCAAGAGAAGAGAGAAGGTCAAGAAGAAAGTGTTTCTTGAGGATGAGTGGAAAGGAATTCCCATAGGTTCAAGATAAGATAAGCTTGCGTGCGAGCCGTGCACACCCTGTAAACTGCCAACGCTAGCCCAAATTATGTGAGGAAGCTCTCAACATCCTTGCATCACAAATTCGAGCCGACTTTGATACCTTCGTCCGTCAATGGCATGACGTCTAATTGGCGACAATCTGCGCCATGCTTCCTGCACGGGCTGTCCGACCAGCCTTCCGAGCGATCCCGATTCTACGACATACATCATTGAGACCGCAATCGCTACCGAGAAGATGCTACTCCGACAAGAAGCCCGCCGCGCCGCCGCCCGCCGCCGAAGATGACGTCCCCGACCACCGAAAGCTAGGCGTACAGCAGGAGCTCTTCACCACCTCCGTCTACAGCCCCGGCTCCCCCATCTTCCTCCCGAACGGCACCCGAGTCTTCAACCGCCTGGTGGACTTCCTGCGACGGCAGTACGTCCACTACGGCTTCGACGAGGTCATCACGCCGAACATCTACAAGAAGTCCCTCTGGGAGGTCTCGGGCCACCTGCAGAACTATGCCGACGACATGTACACCGTGACCAGCCGCGCCCGCGCGCCCGAGGCGGCCGCTTCGTCAAGCTGCTGCGACGGCGACAGAGAAGCCCCCCACGAGAGCGAGGGCGCCGAGCGCCGGCTGGCGGAGGGCGAGGACGACGACTACGGCCTCAAGCCCATGAACTGCCCGGGCCACTGCCTCATCTTCGCCTCCAAGAACCGCAGCTACCGCGACCTCCCCATCCGCTACGCCGACTTCAGCCCCCTCCACCGCAACGAGATCTCGGGCGCGCTCAGCGGCCTCACGCGCGTGCGCCGCTTCCACCAGGACGACGGCCACATCTTCTGCCGGCCGATCCAGATCAGGGAGGAGGTCTTCAAGACGCTCGACTTCATGAAGACGGTCTACGGCGCGCTGGGGCTCGACTACTTCGACTTCGCGCTGTCCACGCGGCCGGCGGACCACTACATTGGCACCGACGCCGAGTGGGAGCGGGCCGAATCCCAGCTGCGGGGTGCCCTGGAGCAGGCCGGGCTGGAATACACGATCAAGGAAGGGGACGGGGCCTTCTACGGACCCAAGATCGACGTCATGCTCCACGACTCCCACGGGAAGTCGCACCAGGCCGGCACGATCCAGCTCGACTTCCAACTCCCCCAGAGATTCCAGCTGGAGTACAGTGCGCCGGCGCCGGAGCTCGAGGCCCAGGGCGTGCCGCTTGAGGGCCTCGACGCGGCGCAGCTGGAGAACTACGGTCCGGCGACGCCCGTGATGATTCACCGCGCCATCCTGGGATCCGTGGAGCGTCTGATGGCGCTCCTGATCGAGGAGTACAAGGGCAAGTGGCCTTTCTGGCTCAACCCGCGCCAATGCGCTATCCTGACCCTCAATGACACGGAGCCCGTCGTTCAGTGGGCCTCCCAGATCAAGGACGTCCTGACGGGGCACGAGCACGACAAGAAGAGGCAGCCGCGGCCGACGGGCTTTGCGATTGAGATTGATGCTAGCCCGCGTCCGCTGGCGAAGAAGCTGGCAGAAGCGCAGAGCAAGCAATACGGCGTGATCGTCGTCGTGGGCAAGAAGAACGTTGAGAGCGGGACTCTGACCGTCAATGACAAGGAGGCTGGCAGCAAGGGGCGGAATGACATGAGCCCCGGAGATCTGCTTGAGAAGATGAAAGAGATGGCGGCGACGTACCAATAGACGCCATATTATGATAAAATATGTAAAATGTACCATACTCCCACGACGAAGCTGGCCCAGTGTCGAGAACAAATGATGCAAACGATGAAAGAGAAAACGCAAGTGTCATTAACTCATACCTGAAGCCAGTTTATCCTCTGCGACCCGGCTTTTCTAGAACCATTACCGGAACGTCCGTTCCCATTACTAATCTTACAACCCTCGAAATGCCTGTACCCTATCCCAATGCATCCAATGCCTCACGTTTTGGTACCCTATTCGAATGCTGCCCCCCCGTTCATAGTTAGATCATCGATTCTTCGACCCTCCATTTCCCTGATGTTGCAATGCCCTGTAACTCTCCGTCAGTACTCAAGGCCATCCATTTAACGAAATATCGAAACACCCACTTCTTGTGTTTCTCATCCACTTCCGCACCGGTGCTCTCGATGCGGTCAACCAAGGCCTGCCGCTCTGCAAGTTGATCGCGCATGAACTCAACAGTCCTCTTAAGTACGAGGCCTTCTGAGCGCCCCTGGCCCTCGAGTCCCGGAACCAACTCCGTCAGCCTGTCGAAGCCTTCACGAATTGCCTGACGTCGCTTCTGTTCTGTTTGCGAACAGGTGAGATACTGATCTTGACGCCACACGAACGAACCTCTGCGACATGCCACGTTGGGTGAGGTCACCAGGCATCCTTCGCATGGCGGACGAAGCAAAAGCCGAAGTATAGGAAGTCCTTACCTGATGCAATGTGATTCTGCTTCTTCTCTGCCTCGGTCAGACGAGGCTTCTCCTCAGGTTGTTCGGCTTCCGTCGCGCCCGGCTGGGCCGCTGGCGAATTGGACTTGTTGGGAGACGACATGCTGGGCGATGAAGAAGCAGGCCCGTGTTAACAAAGCAAAGAAGAGAAATTTGGTGGGTTATTCAATTCATGTTACTTCAAGGACGGGCGTATTGTTGTTGAATTTGGCTGAGCGTCTTGGGATGGAGTTGTTTCAAGAGAATCACATGCTCAAAATCGGTAGCTTACAGCAAGTTCCCCCTCCGCATTATGGGAATCGCACTTGCCCCTGCAACGTTCCTGCAGCGACTTTGTTTCCGACAGCAGGGCTGGCAGGCACGCCCCAACCACAAAAGCGATGTTAGATAAGATAAGGAAGGAAACATGGATCTGGCGGGGTCACCCACTGCAGCATGTCAAAGCACACCTTGGACCTCTCAGCGGTGACGGCACTCCAATAGACGCCGCGAGTGTGTCATCGCTTTCAAGAAATCTCCCACCCCACAATTCCGACAAACCTCCTATCCCGATAGCTTGTCTTCTTTTCGCCCTGGTCATTTCCAATTCTCACACGGCTTCTGACCTCTGAAGTCCCCCATTCCTCGGCATCTCCCCCAATACACCCCGCACGGACGCCCTCTCCAACATGTCGTCCGACGTCAAGACCTCGCTCCTGTCCGATCCCCCACCGGATTACACCAAGGACAACGAGCTGGCCGGCACCGCAGCCCGTCCACCTCCCGCAGCCGGTGGTCCCGGTCCCCGCGCGCCCCTTCCTCTCAACCTCCCAATCATCTCCTACCTCAAATCCAAGCGCGTGATTCTCGCCTCCGCGTCCCCGAGACGGCGCCAGCTGCTGGCCCAGGTCGGCCTCACGAACCTCGAAATCACACCCTCGACGAAGCCCGAGAACCTCGACAAGACGGCATACGGCCCATGGGAGTACGTTGCGGCGACGGCGCGGCAAAAGTGCCTTGACGTGTACGAGACGGCCCTGGAGACGCACCTGGCCTCGATCCCCGACCCCGACGTCGTAATCTCCGCCGACACGGTCATCGTCACCCGCGACGGCCGCGTGCTGGAGAAGCCCCGTAGCGAGGCCGAGCACATCAAGATGCTGCGTCATCTGCGCGATACCAGGCTGCACCGCGTGCTCACAGCTGTGTGTGTGATCGCTCCGCGGGAGGACGCCAGGTCGCCGGGATACGAAATCGCGACCCATACCGAAGAAACCAAGGTTTACTTCGCACAGGAGGACGACGGCCTGCCGGACGATGTCATCGACGCGTACGTCAAGACGAGGGAGGGCGCGGATAAGGCTGGCGGATATGGTATTCAGGGAATTGGAGGCATATTGCTCGTTGAGAAGATCGAGGGTAACTTTGATAACGTGGTGGGTTTGCCTGTGCGACAGACCTTGGCTTTGGCGGAGAAGGCGATATTCAAGCAGGACGAGGAGGAAGTTGCTGAGGAGGATGATTAAGCCAACCGACTGCTTGCTGCCTATCAAGGTTTGTCAATTTAAGGGAGCGGCACGCGTGGGAACGGGAACGAAGGCCACACAAAGCTTGGCCCATACCCTTTTACCTGTTCGCCACCCGCAAGAATACCCAACTATTTTTATGTCAACTTCAAAAGGTGTCAAGAGAGACACGCGTAAGATAAAAAATGCAGAGACGGCCAAGTCGAACGAAAATACAACATCGATTATGTAAATGGGATGAAAGCAGTATATCAACTCAGTTTACACGCAGGTCTGTATGTATAGCTCCCGTTCCGTCCTCATATCATCCGTAGAAAACTCAGTTCTATTTTCTTAGGAACGAGTTTCGAGACTCGAATCGTAACCCAGAATGCGATTCTCATTGATCGTTGGCTTGGAGAAACAAGTAACGGGGAGAATCAAGACACTTGAAGAACACCTTCGTCTCATGCGCACACAGTTATGCGTTTAACGAACGCTCTCAGCTCCAATACTTAGTCTTGGGAGAAAATATGAGGACGTCAAGGTAACCAAACTGAAGATTTGGTACTCCGAAGGGCTTTCAAAGTGCTACCCAGCGAGGTATCTCCGCTAGACCTGCGAATTTTTATATATTCTCCATTCCAAAAAGTCATTGAAACGCTCAATAATGCGAAATCTACCACACTCGATACCAACTGTCGAATAAAGACCCTTCGGCGTCACACAAGATGGCTGGCTTCTCGTCAGTTCGTCCGGCCACGGCTTCACCCTCGGCCATTTCGAAAGGCATGTCAAAGGAACAGTTCCGCGACCAGCTCAAGGCAGCCATAAGCAATAAATGGTTCAGCCCCCCGAACGTTCGCTGTTATACCGCCGTCCGGGTTCTGACGATTTCATGGGACGCAGACGTGGAATGTGGTCTCTGCATCGGCTGGTACCCGATGGACCTAGGCCAACTGTTCTTCGACAAGTATAACTACTGGTGGGACCATCTCTCCCTGGAAAACAACGACAGCGACCCCCAAGAGACCTTTGAGGAAAAGTTGAAAGAGGTATTTAGCGATATGAACGACGATTGCCTCGTCGTGATCTATTACGTCGGTCATGGGAGAGAACAGCGCGGAACGCTGGTTCTTGAACCAAGTTCGGACGGCAGCATATTTCCTGGAGTCAACGGGCGCCGTATAGATTTCACAAAGGCTCAACACGAAATCATCAATATAGCCAAACCCCACGTCTTAACACTGCTCGACTGCCGTCACCCGCCCGTAGAGGCCTTGCGGACGCCCGGCAAGGAGATTATCGCCGCATCCATGGTTCCGCAGACTCCATCGGCAAGAGAGAGACCATTCAGCGCCCGTCTGATCGAGGTTCTGAAAGACGAGGCCAATAGAAAGTACATCACATCGGCATCTCTGCTGTTCTCGAAGCTGGCCAATAAGTTATTCGAAACGACGAATCACAAAGAGGACTCAAATTTGTCGTCTCTTCCCGTTTTCTTTCCCAGCTCTCCGGGAAGTCCGTCTCCCGTCTGTCTGGCCCCTATCTACGACGACGACGAAGAAGAGCGCTGGCGTCCTTCACCTCTGCTGAACACCGAGGCCGGACCTCTCAGGGTTATTCTAGCCGCGGATCTTTTCGACGCCGAGGACATTTGCTCCGTCCCTGCGGCGTACGAGTGGTTGAAGGACCCGATGAACCTGGGGCTTAAACCTTTCAACTCGTTTACCTTCTCGAGAGTCAGCATTCAAAAGGTCCACGACACCGCAACCGGCACGCGGATAGTTTTCATGGTACCGTTGGATCTGTGGGCGAACTTGCCGGAGATGAGCGGAGTTTCCTTTCTCTCGTTCGACTTGAAGCGGAGGTCTCCCGACCCGGTGTTGGAAAATGAGTCGGACGGCTGTGTGGGCAATCATCTAAATGATGAGTCTTCGTTCGCGGGTGGTCCAGCCTACGGCATGACTGATTTCGACGAAAAAGAGCCCGTAAAACGATGTTGGGCACAGTAGTGGCAGGAATGGACGAAAGCTGAGTCGGGCGTAATAGGACATGGGGATGACGAAATTTCTCATAGAGCCAGAAAGGATTTGCAATACAATGCAGCAAACCTTCTTTCCTGATGCTCTATTCGAGGTCTCGTCATACCTAGCGAGTTCAATTTTTCTTCATTCAATGTTATGATCAGTTTCATTGATAGTATTCCAGGGTTATGGCAACTTTACGAGGCAAGAAAAGTCAAACCACGCTCAGTAATAGATTGTTGTCGGTTTTGTGTCCAGTTGTGCTTCCCGATGTCGACTCATCATGCTGCTGATCGAGTCCACCGTTTTTCAACGTCATACATCAGAATAGGGAGAGCCTGTTGGACTTGTGTCTCACCCATCAGGTCTTTCACGAGCATCCCGGACCTGGGCATCGACCGGTAAGGTCATGAACAGCGCACATCGAGGTACAAAGGGATCACATGTACTTAAAATCGCCCCAGTACAATACATTCAGAATGATTTACTCGAATGTGACCGTCGCGTTATACAATTAGAATGTCTCAGACAACATGCAAAGTGTTCGGTCTCAGCTTGCGGAACACCCTTTTATTGCGTTGGTCTTTTCTAATTGATATGCCATGTCACTCGGACTTAGGGAGGCTAACAATCCATCGTCAGAACCCCCTAAAACCACCCACGAAACAAACAAGCTAAATAAATGCACGGGTAAGCTCCAATAATTCACTTAATACCCCTGCCGTCCAGAGCTGACAAGCTTCCGCCTAGACCCGTCGGTAATGCTCTCCATATGGATTGGGGAATCAAGCGAATGTCATACGTATGAAGACCCCTGGAATATCCTGCGCGCCGATTTGCACCCTCGGGGAACTCCCAAAGCGAAAATCTGACCGGTAGTGGAAAACGAGAGAAAGTCGGAACCAAACTCCTGAGCTCCTGAAACAGGAAATGTGCCCGTCGTGATAAGGGCCGTGGGTATCGAAGACTTCAAGATGGCTGTGTCATCTTTTTTAGTGAAAGTGCTGGAGGTAAACGGCGGCGGCGAGAACAAAAGAGTTGTTCCAAAGCCGTATTAGTATTATACAAGAAATAATTCAGATCCATATCGTAGAAATCAAGTTTCTTTCCACGCCGCAACAGGTCGCTTGAAAGGGTGCGCCTGCGTGTTGAACACCCATTCGTCCAAGTTGATCAGTTCCGGATCCGAGAAGATGAGATAAAAGTACTTCAAGGTCTCGGCAAGCCAGTAGCTTGACATGCTGTCCTCTTGCCGTGATAGAGCGTAGGTCACGTCGTGAACCACGGCGTAAGCGTCGTGGGTATCTGTCGCCTTCTGAATTGCCTGGAACATGTCCCACGCAATGTCCAACAGGTCCTGCTTGCCGGTGATTCTGTAGAGAATGAACAGGCTCTCGATGGCTTCGGGTCGAAGGTTGTAGCGGGCGTTGTCGATCCGCCAAAAGCCCCTCGGTGAGTTACGACTGCTCTGAGCCGCCCACTTTTGTTCGTCCCATTCGCAGCCTTCGATGGTGTCGCACTTGACGATCTGAGACTTTTCCGGCATGAGTCCGCTCTTGAAGGACCTATACGCCCACGCGCATCCTCTGGTGAGCTTCTCACCAACCTCGACGTCTTCAGGGGCCTCAAAAAGCTTGCCGGCCATGGCGAACATGCCACCGGCGAAACATGAGAGGTGCTCGAGCTCCGCAATCTGGTCGACCTTTTTGAGCTTCTCGTTGACGATGGCGGTGCCGAGCAACAACACATCGTCCTTGGTAGGCGTCATAGGACGGTACAGAAGTTGAGATTTGGCGGCCCTGGCCGCGCCCATGTACATCTTTTCATAAGCCGTGTCGACGCCCCCGAGAAGGACGTGCATCTTTGGTAAATACTCGTAGAGCGAGTCGCCATCCCCGCCCAACCGGAATATGTTGTTGGGCGTCTGAAAGTCGTCGCGGACGTTGATGAAGTTCGGCCACAACCCCGGTAATAATGTTTCGTCCTGAATCTGTTCGAAGGCCGTCTTGATGCGCTCAATAGCGTCGAAGTACTTGAACTCCCCAGTAATCTGAGCCAACCTCGTGAATTCCAGCGAGAGACTACCGATGGAAGCAGCGCTCTGGTAGGGATCCGGCAACAACTTGCCCGCCCTGAGGTCCTCAAAATTGAAAGAGACAGGTGGAAAGCGGTTGGGTGTGTCGAAAGCTGCGTAGAGCATATTTGCCAGTTCGATGGCCTTCTTGAGGAGTACCTCCTCATTGCTGAGGTCATATGCGGACAGCAGGCCTCCTAGGTACCGGATGTTGGTCTCGAAAACGTTACACCTGGGGTCGGTCGAGTTGTTCCAGTCGATAGCGCTAACATACTGAACGGCGTTTTTGAAGTCATCGTACATGCCCATCAGCCACAACGTATCGAGTGAGTCCACGGCTGTAACACCCCATCCGTTGTATCGGTTCTTGCCTCGGAGAGACAGAGGTCCCAGCTCGTCGTATCCCCAGGCGTGGTGGGCGTACGCTTGCCAACTCTTCTTGAAAACGTTTCTGACCTCATGCCGGCGAGAGCTCATGAGACCGATGTCTCTCTTCAGGCTGTCTGGACGCTCCGCAGCGAACTCGAACTGAATCTTCGGTAGTTCTAGAGGCTCCGTCGACGGCAACCTTGCCATCTCCGCATCCGGCAGTGGATGTTTCTGGGGATGTGTGGACCAATCATAGCTGCTTTTGCTATAGGGAGCACTTGGAAGAATCGCCGGCTGTACGGGCTCGTCTTTGAGGAACAGAAGACTTATTACCACGAGGATGACGAGCAAGGCAAGCACTCGATATGTCGGCGGAGAATACGTTCGTAGTTGAAATTTCGCGACCATGTTGGATTAAAAAGCGGACTATGACGTGAAAGCGAAACAAATCATAGAAACATCGGGAGCTCCAGGGGTGGAGGGAAATAGGCGCGTCGGGTAGTTTTGTAAATGACGACCACCTCAGCTCTCGTCATCGGACACCACCCGCTCGAAGCCCGTGGTGTATGTAAGTCTCTTGCCATTTGCGGCGCTTGACGTCTCGAAGGTATACTGCTGTGGTGTGCGTCCTCCGTGAAACACCAAGGGAGACCCATGGTTCGCTGGGCGCTAGCCATGTGCCGTCCGTGCTGTTGGGGGGAAGATCCCCCGGACGGACGACGACGTGGTTGCGATGCGAGTTGGCTTGGCGATTGGACCCTCTCGGGATGGCTTGGATGCACGCTTGGCCCTCAATACCGCGGCTGGAGAGGATGGGATTTTGTCAAAACAGCAGGTAAGCTGGGGATTTAGATCGTCATCAAGCATGCGAGGATGCGGGACGTCGCGGGTGCGACGCAACGGCAACGTGGGTTGCACATCTTGGGTACGTGGGGAAGATACCCTTGTTCAACAATGAATCGTTCAGTGGTTCGTCACGCCGGAGATATGCCATTCCATGTCTAAGGACCTGACAGACTCGGAGCTGTCATGAGTCGTCTTCTGGAAAGGCTACTCGGCTGGGCTAATGGCTCGAGCCGCGATAGCGTGTCGTTTCATGGTATGGTGCCTGACATGTTTCAAGGGTCGGGTGTTGGCTGAACTTAAGTTGGAGTTGGCCGGTGGCGAGTGGCTGACAACGGCGCTCCCGAAAGCAAGACAGCACCTTAGTGGGCCCTACCGGCCCGAGTGCATCGGCCCAGAGACGGGCGTGGACCGGGATCCACTAACCTGGAAGGTAACTGATTGCGGCGCTTGCGCCACATTATTCGAAAAACTGTGGCTGGAGCCTGTCTCACCGCCTAAATTTTTCATATTTCTGCCGCATCCCACCTCCCAGGCCGCCTAGGATCGTTGGCGCTCTCTCGCCTCCCAGCAACCAGCTCACGAAAGTTGATCCTACCCCGAGCAACAGCAACAATGTCGTCTATGCGGAACGCCGTGCAGAGGCGCTCTCACAGAGAGCGTGCCCAGCCTCTGGAGCGCCAAAGATTTGGACTCCTCGAGAAGCACAAGGTTCGTTCCTTCGCACTGCACGCGATGCGCCCAGGAGATTTACTGACCATCTTTTCTTTTCGCTCCGCAGGATTACTCCCTCCGTGCCAAAGATTACAACAAGAAAAAGGCCACCCTCAAGTCCCTGCGCGAAAAGGCCGCCGAGCGAAACGAAGATGAGTTCTACTTCGGCATGCTCAGCCGTCGCGGCCCGGGCTCGAAGCTCAAGGACGGCAAGGGCTGGTCCGGCACCGTCGCCGGCGACCGCGGCAACAAGGCCATGGACATGGACACGGTGCGCCTCCTCAAAACCCAGGACGTCGGCTACATCCGCACCATGCGCAACGTGATCTCCAAGGAGGTCAAGCGTCTGGAGGAGCAGATCGTGCTCGTCGGCGGCGTCGGTGCTGCCAACGACAACGGCGATAGTGACGACGAGGACACGAGACCCGCGCAACCGAGAAAGATTGTGTTCCTCGATGGTACGGAGCAGAGAGACGAGGCTGTTGAGGGGGCGATGGAGGTCGATGGCGACAACGAGGATGGCGAAGACGAGTTTGAGGGATTCGACGACGACAAAGAGGTCGAGGACGATGCCCAGCTTCAGAAGGAGAGGGCACTACAAAGATTACGGCTGCAACTTCAAAACGCGAAGAAGAAACTCAAGGTTCTGGCGAACACTGAGCAGCGCCTTGAGATACAGCGGACGAAGATGGCGAAGTCGGCGACGTCGGGCGGCGTGACGAAGAAGGGCAAGAAGATCATGGTTCGGACCCGGAAGAGGTGAAAGCGGATTTCCTTTTCTCTCAGCATATTGGTCGGCGAACAAAAGTTTACGGTGTGTTTTCATGTTCTTCATTCATCCTAATATCTGAGCGGTTATGATAAGCCACGCTCAGAAAGTCGTCATGCGATACCCAGGCCCCCGGAGTATAGATCTAGATGTACAAGAAAAAAAGGAATTCATCGCTCCTGTCCTCATCCGGGACAAGGTCTCATAAAGCGGAGGTCCCATTATTCCAACACACCGTGGCCCAAGGAAATACTAAAAGGAATAAACGCACCAAAAAGTGGTATCTCATTCCATCGCATTCAATGCAGAGTTGGTCATGTTTTTTTCCCCTCATCCTGCTCATTTCGACTTCACGCCAACACACCTAGCAAGCCCTTTGACGATGGCTGCAAGCGCCTTGAAACCTATCGTCAGCACCCACACGAAGCACTTGAACAGCCCCGTAAGGACTTTGATCAGTGCTCTCAGCGGCCACGGCAGCTTGTCGCGTGTCTCCTTTCCAACCTGTTCAAGTTTCGCGAAGCTGCTGTCTTGGCTCTCGATATCGATCTCGAACTCTTCCATCTTGCCCTTGCGCACGGCAGCAGCGCGCTTCTTCTCCTCCCGCTTGCTCAACCGGCGCTCGCTGCCCGCAGGCTCGCGCGGTGCGGGAGGGGGCTCGAATGTCTCGACCTTGGAGTTCTTCTCGTCACTCGCAGCCACGAGAAGGAGCGCTGCGACCGCAACATCGACAATGAAGAAGCAGTCGATCTTAGAAGCAATGGCGGTGTCTACTTCGAGGAAGCCACCGCCTGTGCCGTCGCGGGTCAACTTGGCGAGATGTTGTGGTGACTCGTGGTGTTCGAGCGTGTACTCAACCCGGCTCCAGGCGGGTGAGCGCTCAATGGTGACACAGAAGGGCGTAGCCAGCGCAGGGTGGACAAGGAAGTGTGAGCTCGAGTCGTCATCCCAGACGAGTCGGGCGCACTCCGTCTCTGCGGTGACGATGGCTGTCATGTCGTCTGGTCTGTCGAGCGCCATCTTAGCCGCGGCCTGAGGGTACAGAAGAGCGACAAGACCGTCATTGGGCGGGTGCTTGCGAGACTCCTCTTCCAAAGTTGTGGTGAGGACTTCTTGCCAGTGTTTGCTCTCGGTGCCCTTGCCGTTATCCTTGTTGCCAACGACACCGCTGAGGATGCTGCTTGCTGATGAGCCAGCCGTTGGGCTGGGGGCCTTGTAGACCTTGCTGGGATCGTGACGGCTGACGGTGACATAGGCGGAGGCCGAGGTCGGATCAAGCCTAAGGTTGTAGAAGGGTTGCGATGTTGAAGATAAAGTGTATACCGGGGCATCCTTCTCTTGGGACATTTTCATACAGAACACCCTGCCTTCAGAAGCGGAGGCTTTCCAGCCGTTGGTAACCTTCCACATGCTCTTCATCTGCTCATTCGTCGACACGTTGGGGATGATTGGAGGCTCTATTCGTCTCCTGGGCCACCTTGGGGCCGAGCTACCGCTCATGGGACTCCTCACGGGGCTTCTGTGCTGGGGCTCTGGGCCATCCTCTTCTCCTTCCTGAGGATACCATGTTGTGCGGTTGATGACGGCCCTTGGAATATGGGTTGGGCTGGTCTGAGTCGGAAAGTATTCCTGTTGGTTCAGCGGTATTTCCGGGTTATACTGGGGGAAGATAGACCGGAGGGCGGTTTGCTCCTGCGACGACGAGGAGGGTTCGTTCGGCAGGGGAAGCTTGGCTATTGAGCTACGCGAGCGATGACTGTTGCTTCGTGCTAAGGTCTGAGCTTGCGAGAGGGCTGTATCCGTCCGAGGAGGCACTTCGACGGGAGGTGGCCTCTGTACAGGTGACGCTGCCTCCGAAGGCAACGGTGGCAGCTCACGATTGCTTGGTGAGTCATGAGGCTCACTCGCTGGCGGTTGGCGGGTTTCTTGTGGAGTCTGCGAGCGCTCTATAGGCGACTGCATCCTTTGCTGCGGCGTCTGTCTTCCATGACGCGGTGGGGATGTCGAATCGATGGGTTGAAAAGTGTCCGGGGACACAGCGCGTGTCCGCGAACGTTCCCGAGACTCAGATGTCCGAGTTCGAGATGCCGGTCTCCGTACCGTTGGAGGCTTGGTGTTGGGATTCGGGAAAAGAGAGTACCCTCCAGAGGGTGGCTGAGCCGACATGCTGGGCTGTGTTGCTTCTCGAATCGAACGTTGGGATTCCCTTTTAGTCAATATTGCCCGGGCTCTTCACTGATAATAAAAGAGGGGAATGCCACAATGGAAAGAAGAATAGATGTTCCAACTACTACCGATGCATGGTCCCAATACCAGTACTGAACAACAAACAAGACTTCCGTTTGTGATTGCAGTATTGGTAAGGATAACCAGATGAAAAAAAGAGAAAAAGGCACGCAAACATACGAGTGCCCAAGAGTATATACTCTCCTCGCATTCAAGCGACGGCACTACTCTGCATTCAATAGCGGCAGGTCACCCACGGCAGGCCTGGTAAGCGCTGGCTTGTCTGACGGGCCGCGGTGACTGGTGTAAGTCAAAAAGATGGAGGGGACGGGCAGAAGGGTGGTCGAGGTGCCAGACGGAAATAGATTGGAAGATGCGGGCTGGGCCAATCAACCCGGCCATCACACTGCGTCGTAGCCGCCGAGACCAGGGTGGTGAGAGACAGGCGCGCGGGGTTGGTTGAACGTGAGCATCGTGCCATTGGTCGATCCTCGAAAATTGGTGCAACTCCCTTAGACTCTGACCGCCTTGGCTCGTGAGATGCCGACCTGCAGCTCCTTGGGCGCCGACTCGAAAAATGCGACGCAGGAACGAATATGGCCAGCTGGCTGGTCAAGCACGTTGCAGGTGGCCGGCCGCATCCGCGCAAGGGGAGGCCAGGCGCTGGTCTGAATGCAGGTCTTTGTTCCATGTGGCTTTCAAAAAAGCAGAATCGGGACGCGGCCGCTCTAATCATCATCAGAATTTGGACTCGGTAAATCAAGATTCTGATCATGAGGCGTATGCTGTGTTTCGATGCTGCCTGTTGTTAAGTGAGGTCGTTCCAGTTGTACGATCATTCCGTCAAAGAAATGGTCGGCTGGCTATTTCGGATCATTGGTCAAAGTCAGTACTTTGAATTTGAAAGTAGCCTGGGTATCGAAGCTGAGGTACTGTCGGGACGCAACATACCGGCCTCGGTCGGCCAAAGGGCTCGAGTCCCGTCGGCGACCCGACCGGATTCCCCAGTCTCGGCCGGGCTTCGCCGGGAGCGTCTCCGATCGTCGGCGGTTTTAAAGTTGGAAATGTGGAGATAAATGTCTCTAGCTCAGAGCATCGCATCATCTTCAGTAATCGTATTGACTCAATGCCAATTGGATAAGAGAAGCATATATAAGTGAGAGCGGCGCTCAGAAATCGGCAAGAAAATTGAACCCGCAATACATAAGGTAATCATCGGATCTAGCCATCGCAACCATGACCCAAATTGCAGTGATCGGGTAATTCTATGCATCTCTTTTCCTTGTGTTATGTATAATATGGCAGCTGATCTGATGCAGTGCGGGTGTCATTGGACTGAGCACAGCCGTGAGGCTTCAGCAAGATGGCCATCAGGTCGCCATAATCGCCAGAGACTTCCCAAGCCCATTTGAAGCAATCGATGCCAAAGCCTTGATCAATTACACCTCTCAATGGGGCGGCGCGCACAACCGATGGGTGATACCATCCAACAAGATGGAAGAGCGCGATCACGCCATGGCACTGAGAACATTCCAACACATGGAATCATTATCCAAGAGCAATCCCGAAGCCGGCATCACTTTCATGCCCGGCATCGAGTATCTCGAAGATCCACCAGAGCAGTACAAGGCGCTTACGGAAGAGAAGGCGAAAGAACTCGGACTGGTCGATTTCAGACGCCTCAGCCGAAATGAGTTCCCGGATGACAAGGTGGCTTGGGGTTGCGAGTATAGGACATGGTGTGTAAACCCCATGATCTATTGCTCGTTTCTCTTGCGCAAGTTCGCGTGGAATGGAGGCAAAGTGTTTCGCAGAGAAATCAGTGATCCTTTGGAGGTCTTCGCCATCAATGGGCTATCGAATGTGCGAACGGTCGTCAACTGCTCTGGGGTTGGATTTGGAGATAGGAACTCATTCATAACCAGAGGTTCGTGATTCCTCGGGACTTGGACGTCGTTTAAGCAATTTCACTAATATCAGTTTCAGGACAAACATGTGCAGTGGCCAACTACAGCCCGGCAACAGTAACGCGGCAAAACGCTGATGGGTCGTGGACGTTTTGCGTGCCCCGAAACTTCGACGGCGGGACAATCGTTGGTGGCACGAAAGAGCCCGATGACTGGAACGCTGAGCCATCGCTGGAAGTTCGAGAAAAACTTCTCAAGACCTTCGCTGCAACCTATCCTCCCATCCTGGGAGAAACTGGCAAATACCGTGTTCTGAAAGATGTAGTCGGACGTCGGCCAACCAGGAAAGGGGGAATGAGACTTGAAAGGGAAGATGTCAATAATGGTAAGGCTATCATCCACGCATACGGCCTTGGAGGAAGAGGATTCGAATTATCTTGGGGTGTGGCCGAGGGAGTCGTTGACCTTGTTGGAAATCCGCAAGTCAAATCGCGTCTGTAGCTGAGCGGTTCGGTCTACGGTCATCCAAACTCCCCTGGGACATTCGTGGATGTTGACAAGGATACCATTAGAATGTAGTGGTCGTGGGAGAGCGGCGTCTTGACGCGATGATATAGACCGGAGCGATATCGGGCGGTTGATATCTTATCAAAGACTGTCGTAGAACAGAGCACAAAGCCTGTCAATCCAGCCGTTTGGTGGCGTGGTACCTGCATGATTCCGCTTGGCAGCTGACTGGCCAGTGATTCGACGGATAATTAACCAGGGCCTTTATCAGTTATTACGGTGAAGTTACCTTGGCAAGAAAAAAAAATCAATTGACGATTTCTATGTGCCAAGGTGTGGAAAAAAAAAACTTTTGAGTGTTTGCCATCCCATCCCTTGCGCCATTGCACCCCTTACCCCGCGCTCCGAAGGCGGTGAGAGGTCCCTGCGGGAGTCAGAGAGCTCAAGGTGGGATGCTTGGCCTCCGAAGAGTCATCCAATTGCCCCTGCCCCACGTACGTACTGTGACACTTTTAACGTCGTCCAAGCCTGCCTCCTGCAACATTGCGACCTCGACTTTGCGATTTTTATCCTCGTCGAACCCAACTTACGTCTCTTTGCGATTTCAAGTCAATTGGAATCCCCCAACCTCATCACATCAGCCTTACAACTTTGCGCTCGATTTTAGTCTTCGGAAACCCCACCTAACCGCAACAATGTCTGACACCGTCATCCACCTCCGGACTGAGACCAAGGTAGATATCTTCTAGAAATCGATTTTGCGCGTGTTTTCCCGACTAACGGTTTATAGCCGCTGGAACACCGCAGCGCGCTTACCCCGACCACCGCGAAGAAGCTCATTGACGCTGGCTACGTCATCCACGTCGAGCGCAACCCCGTCGGCAGCGAGATCGGCCACTACAGCACCAGGACATTCGAGGATTCCGAATTCGAGGCTGTTGGCGCTGAAATTAAGCCGTTGGGTTCCTGGAAGGAGGTACCCAAGTCTCACATTGTGTTGGGCCTGAAGGAGATCGAGGAGGGCACTTGTGAGTCACCCGGGGTTCCGCTTGCGAGATTGCCATTATATACTGTTTCTTCTGTCGCGAATCATACAACTCTAGCTAACAAGATATTCAGCTTCCCTCGGCCATGTTTTCTGCCACTTCCAGCATTGCTACAAGCAACAAGGAGGCTGGAGCGAGGCGCTGTCGAGATATGCTCGAGGACAGGGTTGGTGATCGCATAGTGCCTGCGTGGAAGCAAAAAAGTCTTACCAGTCTTAGGCACTCTTCTCGACCTTGAGTTCTTGCAACATGAGAACGGCCGTCGTGTCGCTGCGTTCGGTTACCACGCTGGTTTTGCTGGCGCCGCTCTTGCCATTGAAAACTGGGCCTGGCAACTCACCCACCCTGGCGAGGCTTTCCCCAGCGTCGAGAGCTACCCCAACGAGAACCTCCTGATCGACGACGTTAAGAAGGCACTTTCTGAGGGCCAGTCCAAGGCAGGAAGGCTTCCTCGTGTCATCGGTAAGCTTCTGTATTCCGATGCGAAAGCTGCGGTATAAATAATCTGACCGTTAATAGTCATTGGTGCCCTTGGCCGCTGCGGTTCTGGTGCTGTTGACATGTGCCTTAGAGCCGGCATTCCGGAGGAGAACTTGCTGAAGTGGGACATTGATGAGACCAGCGACCCCAAACGCTCCAAGCCATTCGTTGACATCATCGAGAGCGATATCTTCGTGAACTGCATCTACCTCAACCAGCCTGTTGGCCACGTCTGTACCTTCTATTCATTTGATTTGACTAGGGCGGAAGCTGACACTATCACTGCAGTTCGTCAACATCGACTCACTGAAGGAGGCTGAGGCTCGCAAGAACCGCAAGCTTTCCGTCGTCTGCGACGTCAGTGCTGACACGACCAACCCTCACAACCCCATCCCCATCTACACCATCGCCACCACCTTCGACAAGCCCACCGTACCCGTTGAGGGCCTCGAGAACCCGCCCCTGAGCGTCATCAGCATCGACCACTTGCCCAGTCTGTTACCCCGCGAGTCTTCCGAGGCTTTCAGCAACGACTTGCTGCCGACTCTGCTGGGCCTCAAGGACTGGCGCAACGACCCCGTCCTGTCCCGCGCCGAGAAGCTCTTCCAGGAGAAGGTGGCCACCCTGCCCGCCGAGTCCCTCGAGAACAAGGCCTAGTGGGCTCCGATCAAGTCGTATCTGTGTATCTGAAATGGGACTCTGGCGTTAACGGGGAGGGAATTTACGACTGACAAGGGCACATGAGAATCAACGAGAGAGCTCCGGGGATGTGCCATCTATCTACATAGAGAAAAGCTTGTTAGACTGTAGACACGCATTTCCTCAGGGAATGTGCCGTTGAATGGAAATTGCGAGCCCTATTGAAAGGCCTCGGCAAAGTTTTGATGACAAATGACCGTCGTCTCCTGACCTTGGCCACCTTTTGGTGTTTTGTAGTCTACATGGTGTTGATATATTTGTACACGTCGAATGTCCGCGCCGTTAGAGAAGGGTGTCCCAAGCCATTATTCCGGAACGCCCAACATATGCAACTGATCTTATCCCCCCCGTCCTATGATTCCAAGCCCGGCCCTTACGCTCGAACCTTTCACACAACACACCTCACCTCTTCTCGGCAGCGGCAGCTTTCGCCCGTTCCTCCTCCTCCTCCCACCTCTTCCGGTCCCGCGCCGCGTACCCGCCGACCCTCTCGGCCATCCTCATCTTCTCCTCCTCCTTCCGCCTCGTCTCGGCGTCCTTCTCCGGCAGGCCCCACCACTCGCGTATGAAGTCCTCCTGCTGCGCCTTCTTGACGGCCTTGCGCTCCTTCTCCCGTTGCCTCTCGAGCCGCTTCGCGAACCACTCCTCCCGCGCCGCGTCGTGCGCCGCCGGCGTCGCGTGCGCCTTCATGCACCCGTTCATCGCGCGCAGCTGCTCCCGGCACACGAAGGAGACCGTGAAGGTCCGGTTCAGGGCGCAGTCTGCGAACGCTGTTCGGACAAGATGGAATGTGTCAGTGGTGTGTGTATAGCTTGTGGTGGAGAGGAACCGGGCTTCTTCTGGGGAGGAGGAGGGGAGGGGGAAGAGCAATCCCTTTCGTCTTGGAGGAAGTACGAATGGGTTACCCATCTCCGGGGACGGCCGGGGGAACTCGAGAAGGAGACGTACCCTTGATCTCGGGCGCGCAGGCGCTGCGTACGCGCTGGTGGTATATATCTCTGATCTGCGCCTCCTGGGAGGCCGAGAGGGGCAGCGGGTTGCGCGAGGGCATCGGCAGGGCAGCGGCAGCAGCGTCGCCGCCGCCGGTCGTCGGGTTCGGAGCCGCCATCGCGGCTGCCATTCAACGGGGTTCCCGGGTGTAGCTGGCGGGGAAAAAAGATCCGCAAGTTTGGAGCAGTTGTTCGCCGGACCGCTCTCCTGTTTGCACCAATGCGAAATTTTCTCTGCCTATCGCCTCCGTCTCGCAGGTCCTCTCGTTCGCTTGGAATCGGCCGGTTCGTTGGGGTTTTTCTTGTCAGTCGCGCGGGTGGTTCGATGGAGCGGGCCGATGGACAGTGTAGAGAGCTTCTGCGTCGTTGTCCGTGCTTTCGGAACGGAGCTTGCCAATTGAGACTTTTTGCCGAATTGAAGTACCTCACCGCCTGCCTGAATTAGATCACCTTTACTCTATCAACCAACTTCTGGCAATACGACACGCATTGAAACTGCACAGGCAATGGGTTATGGCATTGCATGGCAGGGCAAGATGTATTTTGATCCCCTGTCTGTCTAGAATTCATATAATAGTGCTTAATGGGGTTGACCGATGGACTTGATGCTGAAATCCGCATAAGTAATGCTCGCTTATCTAGCAAATGTTGAGAAAGCTAAAGATCGATGCGCTTGATAAGCGGAACAAGGAGAAAAATGAGCTGGTTGGTACGCTGAGTTTTCGCTTTTATTTCCGTTCGAAGAACACTATATAGCTAAGACCGCCTGATAATCAACAGACGCTGCATTCAGACGTCCTCAGACGTCCTCCTTCTCCTCAAGTTCGCTTTCGAGGGCCCGTTGCTGCTCAAGGCTTTCCTTGGTGTCTTTGCCCTTCTTCTTCATGGAAAATTTGTTGCTCCAGCCAGTCATTCGGCTTTCCTTAGTCTCCTTAGACTTGTGCGGACCAAAAGCAGGGCTACTAGTCGTACTTTCGTAGCTACGACCGAGCAGTCCCTCGTCGTAGTCGTCGATGTCACCGAAGCTGGACCTATCGGCCGACATATTCTTGTCCGAGTTGGTGGTGCTTCCGGGGCCCTTCTTAAAGAGACCGGATTCCTTACTCAGGCGAGATGTCAGGCCGAACTTGCTGGAGCTTCCTTTCCTGAAGAGCCGGCGCACGACGTTTTCCTCCTCCCTAGCCATCGAGTTTGAATCAGAAACCGTGCTAGACAGCGCCCGGTCAAGTGTCAAAGACTCTCGAGACTCAGAGATGGAAGCCGTTGTGTGGATCGAAAGGGCATCGCGGGACTTTCTGGACTCGTTCGGAGAAGAATCATAACCCTGAGGCAAGTCGAGGCTGGGAGTGGTTACATCCCGGGGTTTGCCCTTCTCTTTAGCTTTGTCCTTGGATTTCTCCTTTGACTTGGCCTTGTCCTTATCCTTGCCCGAGTCGCTCTCCTTGTCTTTCCATCCGAATAGGCCTCCAATAAAAGTCGGTGCCGCCGGATTGAGGCGCTGGCTCAATGAGGCTTTCGACTCTTGAGTCTGTCTGTTGCCCGGCGGTCTGCTCCCGATGACTCCAACCTGACTGGCATGCTTGAGCTCTCTTTGGTCCAGAATCTCATCATCTGCCGATGCCAATGTTGTTTTAAGAGCTGCGGGAGAGCCGTGGATTGAAGGTCGCCTGGACGGATTCCGCGAAGTCCACAGGCTAGTATCCGACCAGAACCGGTTATTCTCGCTTGGACGATTCCAAACGGAACCGCTGTCGGTGGAAGGACGAGGCAGATCTGCCGATGCCATGGAGGCAGGCCGAGGGCTGCTGGGGTCGCGATCTGCGAAGGCGCCGCTGAAGGGCACGAAGCGCTTAGCCGACGTCAACATGCTTCTAGGCACGAGCGATCCACTCCCATCGAGCGTCTCTGGACCAGCCGAATTGCGGTTTTGGGTGTATGACGAAAAGCTAGTTCGCCGCCTGGTAGGCTCCGCATCATCGGTTTGTCGAGGGAATGACTGGCTTTGGCCATGTTTGAGGCTACCAAGTGGTGGACCACCTTCTTCGCCAGACTTGACGCCCCTATTGCGTTGAAAAGACGCGAAGAGGTTTCCAAGTCTGTGTCCAGATGGCGATGGCTGCGCTCCCGGCGAGTTGGTCATGTCGTTGAGCGAGGCGCGGTCGCCGTTATTTGGAGCCAACGGAGGGAAAGTAAGCTTGTGGGATGACCCCGGGGGGCTCGATTGAGCGCTTTTAGACTGTCCAGAAGTTACTGGCGACTCGACCTTGTTGTCCTGATCAGGAGCGAAGGGGCTGTTCCGTGCAAAGGACCCAGGACTAGGAGGTTCATCGTCGAAGTCATCGCCTAAAATTCCCGACGGCAGCAACATCGTAGCTGTCGGGCTCAGAGGGGCCCCTGCAGTGAGAGCCCTTATGTCTGCATCGGCAAATTGTTCGGTAGGCGGGCCTTCATGTACCTGCATCTCTGTAAACGGGCCGTAAGCCGAGCGGCTGCCAAAGCCCATTGGGGCTCCGAAGGGAGAATCTGAAGGGTAAGGTCCTGTCGGGGAGGGAACGGCAGCGTTGGAGAGTGAGTTGCCGGTGCGACTTCTGCGCTTAATCTGAGTTTGCTCGAAATCAACGCCTGATGAGTTTGCCTGGTTGTAGAAATTGAGGTTTTGCTGAGTTTGGGCGTACAACTGAGCGTTCAGAACATGCAAGTGCCCGTCGAGTTGCGTAGCCTTCCGGTTCTCCATGATCAGTTTGCTCTGAAGCTCGCGTCGCCTGGCCTCGAATTCCCTCTTCATCTTTCGGTCGTCCTCTCGCCAGGTATCGTCTTCCTCGCCGCCAGGAAGTTTTTTGCGTTCGTCTTCAAGTTCCTTGAGCTGCTCTTTCTTCTCCTTGTGCTCGGTCTCGAGTTTAGCGTACTCTTCCTGCAGAGCAGAGTTCTCTTTATCCAACTGCTCGACCTTGATATCACGATCGTGCTCCAGACTTTCTTTCTCGGCAGCATAACCCTCGCGCGTCTTGCGCATGTTGGCAATGTCGATGTTCCACTTCTCGATATTGTCGCGCACCTTCTTGGTCTTGTCCTTTCTCTCCTTCAACTGGTTTTCCTTTCTGGCCTTCTCCTTGCTGGCCTGACGCATTTGCTCGTAGGTAGCCTTGACTTTCTGCTTCAGTTGCGCGGTGGCATCGTCCTTCTCCTTCTGTACTCTCTTCTTGTCCTCCCTCTCCTTCTTGAGTTGTTGCTCGAGCTGCTTGAACTCGCTTTCCTCTTGAGCATGCTGGGCCGTTGTCTCGTCAATATCCTTTCTGGTCCTCTCCAATGTGTCGGCCAAGTCCTTCAATGACGCTTCAGGTTGGTCGCCGGCCAAGTCTTTGATGGAGGGCTGTTCTTGACTTGCTGTGGATGGAGAGTGTTTACGATTGACAGTATTGCGTCTCTGCCCAGGTGCCGTCGTGGATCCTTCCCTTGCGGCAGTCGACCCGGGCTCGTGGGAAGGCGCTGCCTCGATCGTAGGAATCTGGCTACGGCCGCCATTGTCTTCAGCGCACTGGGACTGCCCGGTCCTGGGCTCCTGATCTTGGAAGCTGTCGGGCAGGCGGTTATTCCCCAGCTCTGGCCGCCCATTTGCCGCGTACGTGCGTAATCGTATGACTTTACTGCCGGATTGAAAGTTGTTCGGACCGACGGCGATGACGCGGACGTTGTAGTAATGACTAGGCCTCAGGCCGGTGACGGTAATAGCGGTTTCTTCTGGCCTCGATTCACCAACTACGCACATATTATTAGAACCTCCATGCTTTTCCAGATCAAACTCTGCGAGCCAGACTGACCGTTAACGCCGTTCACCTGTATCAAAAACTTTTGCACAGGGCGAGCCGGGCGCGTCCAACTAAGAGTTGCAGCGTCGGATCGAATACCCGCGAGGGATACGTCGGGGGCTTCGGGGACGTCGACTCCGAGGATACTGATGAGGTCTGAGATGGGCTTCGAAAGGACCTTGGAGGCGCGATGAACCAGCCTGAGATGACTAAAGTCAGTCGCATGCACCCTGTCGAGGTCGGGTGACGGAGCGCAACGGCGTCGCGCGGTGTCAGGAAGCAGGGAAGAGGAAAAACAAACCGAACAAAACTTACCATAAGACTGCGGCTGCCGTCACCAACATGCTGGCATGTCGAAGGAGCAGCTGATCCAGACTCCAGTGTCGAATGTAGTGTATGGACCAGTGGAAGCACCAGCGGGAAAAAATCGAAGTTGACGAGGGAGACAAGATCGAGCAAGTCAGGACGGTAGCAACGATCAGAAAGGCTTTATGGAGTCGGGTTCGGCTGTGCGGTTTGAGCCACCAGGCGATGAGGGAGAAGACAACAAGAAGTTTGACGGCGACGGACTCCCATAACATCGCCGCGTCGAGCAAGAAAGGGAAAGGAAAAAACGACAAACCAGATGAAAAAAAGAAGGGAGTGGAGGTGTGTGAGAGGAGCGCAAGATTGACGGTTCGCCTGTCCTCACAAGGGAAATCTGGATGGGAGTCGAGAAGGGAATGGGAGAAGATGGGAGAAAATCTCGGCAGTTGGAGGGCTGTCTTGTGGCGGCGACGTCGACAACGGGGCAATCCAGGTAAGGTCCAGTCCAGTAGCCACGAACAATCGAATTACGACCACTGCGATCTCCAGTCGCAGCAACAGAAGGTGCCGCCTGGCAAGCAGCCCAAGGCAGCACCGTGTACGGCGGCTAAGGGCCTGCACAGTGCGGATGCATCCCGAGGCAGGCGATCAGGGCGTGCCGTGCCTGACACGCATGCCGAGCCGTGGACTGCTTGGGGCAGAAGGATTAGGGAGGGGCGGTAAGGCAGGGCAGGCCTGGAGAGGGGTTCACAGTGGAATGAAGCACGAGAGCCAATTCCCGGTCATGGCAACCAATATTTGGAAAGACGGAAATGAAAAGGAATCTTGAGGACTTGCTTTTAACGAATGTGGACTTGTGCTTGCTTTTCTTCGCACTTTTAACTATGAGGATAAAAGCCTAAAATGGCATATCACCTGGCGGGGACTTATTGGATGCCACTGTCCGATCTGGCTTCCATGCCTAATAAATGTTATCAGCTTTACCGCAGAGACTTTGGGCTGGAGCTGAAGAAGATGAGATGATGTTCCGATTGATTTAGCTGCTGGCATTTCATGATGATCCAAACGAGGTGTACCACGAATCTTACGTATAGCATCAAGGCAGGTCCAACGAGATAAACATAGAGACAAGTCCAGAAATAAGACACAACTGCCAGCCATAACTGATGACAGGTTCAGGTTCAGGGCACGGTACTTATCGCCTGCGCTGATATCGCCAAGTTGCGTCTGGGGGTCCTCCAGCTTTTGAGGCTGAGAGCTCCTATCTTAGTTTCAGCTCCTCTCGCCTTGTCTTGACCGCACAACACGAGGGCCACGGTTGACCTGACCTCTTTTTCTCTCTTGCAGCCAGTTCCAACGTGGGCTCTTCCACAATGTCTTCACTTCATGATGGTCCATGACAAGCTCAAGCTTGCTTTCCCCCCTAACGGCGCCTCCCGCCCCGATTCCTGCCACGTCGCACAGCCCCGACGCCTGCATTCACTGTGGCTGCAGCACGATGATTATCACGTCTTACCAAGTTTCTTACGTGAGCTGAGGATGCGCATCCCCATCTCTTCCGCAATGCTTCTCGTATCCGGGCCTGTCCAACTCGTCTCGTCTTCAGCCAATGTACTTCACGCGCTGCGTGTAGGCCTCCTCGATAATGAGGTGCCCAAGGACCAGGACATGTGCTGAGGTGGCTGGCTGCTGAGGATCCCCTGAAAACAAACTGGAGTGAGGGGCTTGCAGCTGAAAGCAACCTATCATGCCCCGAAGGCGTCTCGCCGCGATGGAATGAGGGGCTCCATCCCATCTGAAAGCGATTGGGCCAATTGATCTGCCATGACAACTAGCGGGGACCTTGACAACCACACCACCCATTCTGGCACTATATTTGGACCATAGAGGGGTCCTTGGCGGGGACTACAAGTAAGGTGAGCTACCTGCCTGTCGACGGGAGTTCCATCTGTTTACTTGACCCTCCGCCTTTTGTTTTCTCCTATTGCTTCAGCTGTTCATCATCGTTTTTTCTCTAATCATCTCATCAGACCTCGATCTGGTTGTTCCCAGTTCCAATTGACACAGCGGAGACCTACTACCATCGAGATACCCAACACGAACCACCCATCATGGATGCCATCAAGTCTGCTCTGAACATTGGCTCCAACAAGCCTGCTGCCACCGAACCCTCAGCTGAGCAGCTCTCCCAGCTTAAGGAGAAGTACGCCAAGGCTGGCCAGGAGCAGGTCTTCACCTTCTACGATGACCTCCCCACCTCCGAGAAGGCTGCTCTTTACCAGCAGCTGTCCGGCTTCGACCCCGAGCACATCAACAAGATCACCGACCGCGCCCTGAATCCCCCCAAGACCGAAGATGTGTCCACCCAGTCCGGCCTCGAGCCCCTCCCCGAGTCGGCGACCGCCAGTATCCTCGACTCGAAGCCCGAAGACATTGAGAAGTGGTACCAGTCGGGTCTCGACCTGATCGGCCAGAACAAGGTTGCCGTCGTCCTCATGGCAGGCGGTCAGGGCACCAGACTCGGCAGCTCCGCGCCCAAGGGCTGCTACGATATCGGCCTCCCCAGCAAGAAGTCCCTCTTCCAGATCCAGGCCGAGCGTATCCGCAAGGTCCAGGAGCTTGCCGCGAAGAAGGTTGGCGCCAGCAAGGCCGTCGTCCCGTGGTACGTCATGACCTCCGGCCCCACTCGCGGCCCCACGGAGCAGTACTTCCAGGAGAACAACTACTTCGGTCTGGACAAGGCCAACGTCTTCATCTTCGAGCAGGGCGTTCTGCCGTGCATCTCCAACGATGGCAAGATCCTGCTCGAGTCCAAGGGCAAGGTCGCCGTTGCCCCTGACGGCAACGGTGGTATCTACCAGGCGCTCGTCGTCTCGGACGTGATGGGCGACATGCGCAAGAGGGGCATCGAGCACATCCACGCCTACTGCGTCGACAACTGCCTGGTCAAGGTTGCCGACCCCGTCTTCATCGGCTTCTCCGCCTCCAAGGACGTCGACATCACCACCAAGGTCGTCCGCAAGCGCAACGCCACCGAGTCCGTCGGCCTGATCCTGCTGAAGAACGGCAAGCCCGACGTCGTCGAGTACTCCGAGATCGACAAGGAGACGGCCGAGGCCCAGGACCCCAAGCAGGCCGGCGTCCTCAAGTTCCGCGCCGCCAACATCGTGAACCACTACTACTCCTTCCGCTTCCTCGAGAGCATCCCCCAGTGGGCTCACAAGCTCCCCCACCACATTGCGCGCAAGAAGATCCCCTACGCCGACCTCAAGTCTGGCGAGACCGTCAAGCCCGAGAAGCCCAACGGCATCAAGCTGGAGCAGTTCGTCTTTGACGTGTTCCCCATGCTGGAGCTTAGCAAGTTCGCCTCCATGGAGGTCAAGCGTGAGGACGAGTTCTCGCCCCTCAAGAACGCCCGCGGAACCGGTGAGGACGATCCCGACACCAGCAAGCGCGACATCATGCTCCAGGGCAAGCGCTGGGTTGAGGCTGCCGGCGGCATCGTCACTGGTGAGAGCACCGAGGACGGTATCGAGGTTTCTCCTCTCTTCAGCTACGTAAGTCAATGCTCCTATCCTATGAAGATGACACAAACTGACGAGTTCGACAGGGTGGTGAGGGTTTGGAGAAGTTCAAGGGCAAGGAGGTCAAGGCCCCTGCTGTTCTGGAGATTGAGTAAATGTACGATATAATGATATGGGATGACGGGCGTTCAAGAGGGGGAAGATGGGCTCCGAACATGAGTTCGTGGATGGATCAGTTGCTGGACAGTGAGCCACGACTCAAGATTCGAATACTAGACGAAAAAAGTTTTGATTCCAATTGCATCCTACTATTATCGGTATTATGGTGTTCTCTGAGTGAAGCCGTGTTCGTTTCCTTTCAATTGTTGATGTCAAGTCGCTGCTGGACTGTCTCTGTAACATAAAGACAAGGAGACGTTAATCAATTGATCAATTCATCATTTGACCATATATTGTTGCGCAGGAACTGGCGGACAGCAGGCAGTATCAAAAGACAACTGCCAACGGTTACCTTTAGTGGCAGCAGGTTGTCGTTGCCATGGCCAGCAACCAATCATTCTCAATGGGCTGAGATGCAGTCCGAAGGCGTGGCATCTGCAAGCCGGAAAATTATGTCTTCATCTAGGCCGCCGCCAAGCTTTGCGATGCCAGATCCTAGGGGCAATTGATTTCGACGAAGGAATGGGTATGCCTGGCTTGCAAGTGCACACTGTGCGCCATGACCGGAATTACCCAGCTCGGGATTGGACGACAGCCTCACTCCTTTTTTGTATAGTTATTTTCTTCTCATCCCTTTCCCCTCTCTCGATGTTCATTATTTTTATGGAGATGGAGGACACAAGAGCCGGGTCTCCTTGTCGCATGGATCGTGATTCATGCGCCCACTTGCACTTGCACAGGTGACCTCGGTTTCCTCGGCGGTCAAATTCCCTTTCTCGTCCCCTTCAGTGCCGGTTTCGTCAATGACGACGGACGGTAAGCCGATGAGGGTCTAATGACGGAGGAGAGGGGGTCTAATGTCAGAGGCTCAGAAGTCCAGAGGTACGAGACCGGCAACGATGTGCCTAGCCTTTTGAGTTTGGGTGTCAAAAAAAAGATGACAGCATGGTTGTGTGCGGGGGAGAGAGGAACAGAAAAAAAGAATCGGCCGCCTGTGTTCTGGACGATGGAGGGGTAAACTTTTTTTCTTGGGCAATGACATCAGCAGAGGACAAGCTGGCTGGAGTTTCTTTTGGGGGAATGGGAAAGGATGAGCGCGAGAAAACAGTGAAGGAGTCAAGACCTGAAGGCCTGGAGGAGAATCCTACCCGAACCCGCAAAAAAAGGTGTCACGAGTACTCTTCAGTTACACAATCGAGTCAGCAGACTGGCCCAGTTTAGGTGAGTGAGAGTGTGGGGTGTCGTATTCATCATGTGCTGGATACTCCCGTTTTGTACGGACGTCCTGAGCGCTGTGAATACGATGAAGCCGAACGAGGGGGGCTGGAGCCTGGAGGGAAAAAAGATGTTGGGTGACAGAGAGAGCTGACGGGTTTTTGGGGTGAACAATGGGCCCATGACATTTTTATTTGTTGGCGATGTCAGTCTGGGGCACCGGAGCTGAACCACCGGGTGAGATGATCATGGATGTTCGGAAGCCTAGGGCCAGGTCCTGGACGACACGGGCCCAGAGAACACACGAGAATAAGACGAACATGAGGAGAAGATGAATAGAAAAGTGGCTGATGATAAAAATTTTTGCATTCTGATGGTCCTCGGGCGGATTGAGCGTCGGCTTGCAGAGAACTAATAATTGGCCTCGGTCCAAGGCCTAGCGTGCTCTGCATCGCATGCAAGACCGGCGGCCCTTCGCGCATGCCAGACCAGGTCGCCTCAACCTCGTCGGCCAGGGCATGCTTCTTTTAGTGGCTGTAATAGGAACTGAAGACGTGGTTATGGGCGGCCAGTCCAGTAAAGAAAGGCAGGAGATATTTGGGAGTCCCTGGCGCTGTCCACAATGTCCACATTCACATGATCCGGCGGCAGGCGTTGCATGCTGCCAGAGACCATCAAACGTGGGCGAGCTGGCCGGTCGCGCTTGTACCGAAACCGCCTAGCCATCGGCATCTTGGAGCACCTTGGCCAGTAAGGCAGACGTTAGCTTGTTGGGCCAGTCCAACAAGCAGGGGTGAACTGCTTGCTCCCCCTGTCTGCTGCCCGCCAGGTCCTTCTCCCGCCCGAATGTCCGCCCCGTTCAACTCATCGTCCGTCTTCTTCTGCAGTGAGGTCGCACCTGCTCCTCCTCCAAGTCCGTCCCCATAAGGTCCAGCTTCGTCATCTTTGCACCATTCTGGCCCCGAAGTCCTTCCCTTTCGTACTGGCCTCCAACAGCTGGCCCAAACTCCCGCCGACGATACAAGAGACCCGGAGACCTTGAGGTTCCATTGCTTCAGCCTCTGACCGTTCCTTTTCCCATTCTTCCTTCGTCCAACCCCGCGAGCTCAAACCTTAAACCGTGATTCAGTCACCGTGCCTTATTATCTTAGCACATTGCCCTCCATCACGGACTGATCTCTCCGCCCTCCATTCTCTCCCGGACCCGACTGCATACCCTGCAAGCTGCGAAACTACAGATCCCTCTCCCTTGCTCGCTGCGCTCTCGAACGATCGTCCTCGGCTCTTCTTCTCACTCCCACCCTTCCACTCACCCACGAACCCTGTATCTCCATAGTACGACTTTCCTCAACAGTTACGCTTGCGCTTCCACAATCTTTGCGGCGGCTCATCTCACCCGCCGTCTACCGACCTTTCGAAGGCTCGAGACGCAGAAACGCATCTCGTCCTGAGAAGCACCATTCTGCCGTTTGTGTGTCCCGGCTCTGCGTTCGCGCCCTTCGATCAAGATTTACACACTCCAACCCGCCAAGAAGGCGCCGTTCTTCAGCCAACATGCAGTACGTTCGCAATCTCAGCGCCTCAGTGTCGTCGACATGGAACTCTATCAACCCGGCCACCCTGAGTGGTGCCATTGACGTTATTGTTGTTGAGCAAGAAGATGGTACTCTGGCATGCTCGCCCTTCCACGTTCGTTTTGGAAAGTTTTCTCTTCTGCGACCCTACGAGAAGAAGGTCGAATTCAAGGTCAACGGGGTCAAGCAGAACTATTCTATGAAACTTGGTGAGGAAGGAGAGGCCTTCTTCGTTTTCGAAACCAGCGACACTATTCCCAGGGATCTTCAGACGTCGCCCCTGGTATCACCGGCATCGAGCCCTCCCTTGAACCCCGAGAACCCTTCCGCGCCTGGCCTTGGGGAACCGGACCTGTTGGACCTCGACGACGACACTAGGAAACCTCGTCGTCCTCCACCTTCAGTCATTCACAGCGCAACCCTTCCGCAGGATCCTGGTTCGTCCCTTGCTGCCCATAGAGCCTCGTCGCGCATTCACGTGCTAACAGTCGCAGGCGCCTTCACCCCGTTGTCGACGTCACCGGGCCTGTCTCACGGACGACCGAGATCGGACGATTGGCGACCTCACAGCGACGATATCCTGCGCAAGTCTCGCGCAAGCGAACGCGAGTATGGCGAGGGTCCTGCCGAATGGGCCATGTCCGACAGATCACACAGCCCTCCTCCTTTGCCAGCGAAAGATGCGCGCGAGCGAGCCTTGATGCTCTCCAAGGAGCTGTCCGCCAACAACATTCCCACTCATGTCACGGAAAGTGGCGACCTCATGCTCGATATGACTGGCTTCAAAAGTAATGAAGAGGATATCTTCCGCGCCGAGATCCTCGCACGCAAGATCTTGTCTGAGGAGCTCGAGGGCAACTATGACATCGGATCCCTTTTCGGCATGGACGAGCACGGCAACATCTGGATCTACAGTAGTGAAGAGGCGAAGGAAGCGGCCAAGAAGAAGACCATGCAGGCTGGTTATGGCTCCTCGTCCGCTGTTGCAGCTGATGCTGCGTCGGATCCCGGATATCACAGCGATGGTAGCGACGTGACGACCACTGCACCCACCCCCAGCCATAGAAGGACCGAGTCTGACGTGGGCGCTTCTGGTTTGCATACGCCGCCTACCACTCCGCCCCAGTCAACAGCGGGAGACCCTAACTTGAACTACGCCAAGACGCTGCGATTGACCAGCGACCAGCTCAAGGCACTGTGCTTGAAGCCCGGCGAGAACACTATGAGCTTCACGGTCAACAGGGCGACTTGCCAGGCCAACATGTATCTCTGGAAGCACGAGACACCAGTCGTCATTTCGGACATTGACGGCACCATCACCAAGTCGGATGCGCTGGGCCACGTGCTGAACATGATCGGTCGCGACTGGACGCACGCTGGCGTCGCCAAACTCTACAGCGACATCGTCGCGAACGGCTACAACATCATGTACCTCACTAGTAGATCAGTTGGTCAGTCTGACACCACGAGGGCGTACTTGGCTGGCATTCAGCAGGGAGAGTACCGAGTGCCACGGGGGCCGACAATTTTGTCGCCGGATAGGACCATGGCAGCTCTCCGGCGTGAGGTGTACCTCCGAAAGCCTCATGTCTTCAAGATGGCTACCCTTCGTGACATTCGTCACTTGTACGGTCCGGATCGAACGCCGTTCTACGCTGGGTTCGGGAACAGACTAACGGACCAAATATCGTACCGGACGGTAGACGTTCCCCGAAACCGCATCTTTACCATCAACTCCAACGCCGAGGTGTCTCTTGATCTGCTCACCTTGAACAAGCTCAAGCTGAGTTACATCAACATCAACGAAGTTGTGGACCACTTCTTCCCGCCCGTCAGCACTTTGGTCAAGGGTGGCGGAGAGGAATACACCGACTTCACTTACTGGAGGGACACTCCGTTGGAATTGGATGAATTTTCCGCAAGCGACTCTGATGATGATGAACAGGCCGACCTTGAAGAAGATCTCGATGACGACGAAGAGGAAATCGGTGACGAAATGGGACAGAGTTACATTTCGCGGGGCTCCATCGATGAATACGGCGACGAGCGAGAGAGCATTCTCAGCGGAAGCGTTAACGGCGACGAGCAATTAGCCGCCTCCATCATGGAGGACGAGTACGCCGACGACGAAGACGCCGGAGAGGAAGATGAAGAAGACGATGACGATGCGGACCTCGATAGCGTGCGAGCTCAGCGAGAGAAAACTCCTCAGCCCAACGACAAGGAAAATCAGTCTTCCGCACCTGCCCAAAAGGTGCTCATGGAAGACGTCGGCGCTGAGTTGATCACTGGGGTAAATCATCTCACCCTTGAAAGAGGTGTGCAGAAATAGTGTGCTAAAAAGGAGGAACAGGCCGCGGTGTATAACCCTAATGTCTCTACAGGTGCGAACTAATCTTGCGATCCGAAATTCTGTATACTGTATTCCGGGGGGACTTCTAGAGGAGCGGTTTGGGGAACATAAGCGCAGTTGGATGCGTGGAAACCAGCATTTGCTTTGCATAGCGGGAGGCGTTTGGACTTGATCTTTTTCTATCCGTAGTGGCTAATGAATAGACACTACATCACTCGACTCCATGATTGTCACGTATTGCTTGCTGCTACTCTCATTCCGAATTAAATTTCTTTTTGGTTCTCTCCTATGTTTGCCTGCTCTGGAGCTCAGCATGGTACCGGTAGAATTGCTGAGAACCATGACAACAGCCAAGCTCCGGACCAGTTGCTTTGAGCGATGCTGAATTGTTCCTGTACCTCCCATAACTCCGAGGCCATACCGTGCCTTAGCATAACCATGAATGGCTGACATAATACATGCCAGCTCAACTTCGCCAGCTCAATTGTAACCTTTGGCTTTTTCCCTGTGCTTTTCCCTGTTGGTGGAAAATCGCGCCGTGGTTTTCGGTCATCATCGCCTGTTGATAATCGGGTTCGGGCGAGACAATGTTCGCGAAAGGGACCGCGCGCTTCCTCTAGGCCGTTCCTCCCATAGCCGCGTCCTCGTCCACATCCTTGCCGAACACGTCCTCCATCGTGCCGCCCTCGACGCCGTCCCCGCCAATGTCCTCGTCGGCCGTGTTCTGGTTCGTGGTCTCGATGCCCTCCATGGCGCCGCCGACGTCCTGCTCGTCCTCGTCCTCGTCGTCCTCGTCGATCCCGGCCTCCTCCCACACGTCCTTCAGACCCCAGCTCACGCCGCTGAGGACGAAGCGCTCGCTGGGCAGCCGCAGGCCCCACTCGTTCTGTGCGACCTTGGGCAGCGCCGTCTTGTTGCGCTCGCGCGCCAGCTCCTGCAGCCAGTCCTTGGACACGCCGCCGGCGCCGCCCCCGCCGCGGAACTGGTAACCCAGGCGGGACGAGATGGCGAGCTTGACGGCGTTGGCGCTCACGGCGGCGTCGCCGGAGCCCGGGATGGAGGCGGCGGTGGCGCCGGCCGAGGCCGAGGGCTTGGAGCCCGCGTGAGAGGTGTAGGGGTCGGCGGAGAGGTAGATGGCGTCGCTGAGGATGCTCGAGGTGTGGCGGTAGGCGAAGTCGAGGAGGAGGAGGGGCACGCGGGACTCGTACGACGTGACGCCCTGGGAGGTCAGGAGGAGCTCGATCATGCGCGAGTCGCGGGGCCGCGGGGCCTGCGCGCCGAGGGGATTTGAGGAGGACGATTGTTGTTGCTGCTGCTGTTGTTGGGGGGCGGCCGGTTGTTGGCCGTTTGGTTGTTGCGTCTGCTGGGTTTGTGTGGACTGCGTCGGTTGGGACTGGGAGGGGGGCTGCGAGCCTGTGGTTGCGGTCGCTGCTGTGGCTTGGGTGTTGTTGGCGGTTTGGGAGCTGGAGGCGCCTGACGAGGCGGGCACGCCGTTTGTTTGGGGGTCGGATGTTTGAGAGGCCATCTTTTTGGCGATGCTGCGGAGCAGCGGTGTGTGAGAGGAGGTTAGATGGTTGCGAGAAGATGGTGTGATGGCATTGCCTGGTTGTGATCGGGTTGGAGGTGATGGACAGGTAGATGAATCACGACGCGCCCGGGCGGTCCTGCCTCAAAGAAGCCCCAAATTAAAGTCGCAAAAGGGTAAGAGCTATCTCAGGTTGACGTGTCGTTTTAAGAAGTTTGAAATTTTATAGTCGCACTTAGTCGTCGATGATTTTTGTCGTCGTCGAGGTTCGCCGGTTGGAAGAGTAGCTCCTAAACCTCGGCGCGTTAATGGTTTGGCCAGTCAGGTCTTCACTCCGATTTCTTGTCGGGGAATATATAGCCCGATCCGGAGGCTGCGATTGACGCACTGACCACAGCTTAATCCCACATGGACAAGGGGTCTTGACGGGCAAATCGGCAGGGCGTGGATTGGATGACCTTCCAAAACCTGCATGGAGGGGCAGATGGGCAATTGCCCCACCACAACACCCGCCCACGCCGATGCAGGACTCCATGCCCGCTAAGTGGTGGTGTCACACTCTGAGGATTTTTACTTTTAGTGGCGGGACCTCTTCCAGGAATTGAGTCACTGAAATTATCTTATAGAGTGACATTCCGCTTCTTTTCCGCAATTGACTTCGGGTTGAATCATCCTCAACTCTACCGTGTCTCAAACTCTCCTGTCCATTGGCAGTCCTATATGTGAGAAGAGAGAGAGAAACCCCTCACAGAAAGAATCTCGCCCGCCATGGAGACGACACTGCCTTTCCCCTTCCTTATCAGCGTGGCCGTCCCGCCCGGTCTGGCGAAGCTGGACGGCCTCGACCGCGAGCAGGTCTCGGTACTCGGCGCCCCCTTCTTCGAGGCCAACGACCAGACCCTGGAAAAGTTCCACCGCTTTCTGAAGCAGCACAACGCAGAGTTCCGTGGTTACTTTGACGTCACCGGCATCTCATCCAAGGACGACGTCGTCTCTCTCCTCGACGCCGGCGCCCGCATGGTCTTCGTCTCCCCCGAGAACTTGTCGCAGTACGAAGAGTTCGGATCCCGGGTGGGCTCCGTCCTGAAGACCGCCGCCGTCTCCACGTCAGCGGCCTCCAAGCACGCCGTGCTGGTCAAGGACTTCGACTCGACCGTCTGTGATCTCGGAGCTTTCATCGAGCGCTGTAAGGTGGAGAAGCTGCCGAACCTCTTCCTCAAGCCTGTCCCTGAGACAAACCTCGAGCACTTTGTCGACATTTCCAAGCAGTGCAATGCTATTCCCATCCTGCCGTCCGACGGCCTGACGGCTTCCAAGGAGGAGACCAACAAGCTCTCCCTCTCCAAGCTTATTTCTTCCTTCTGGAAGTCGGACCGGCCCGACGGTCTCATCCCTACCGTCGTCACTGATGAGTCTGGCACTGCGCTGGGCCTGGCGTACAGCAGCGCCGAGAGTGTTGGCGAGGCCGTCCGCACCCGGACCGGTATCTACCAGAGCCGCAAGCGCGGTCTCTGGGTGAAGGGTGCCACTTCCGGTGACACCCAAGAGCTCGTCCGCATCGGACTCGACTGCGACAACGACACCCTCAAGTTCGTCGTCAAGCAGACTGGCCGTTTCTGCCACTTGGACCAGCACGGGTGCTTCGGTGATCTGGCAGGTATCCCCCGTCTGGAGCAGACCCTTCAGTCGCGTAAGAAGTCTGCCCCCGCCGGCTCTTACACTGCTCGCCTCTTCTCAGACGAGAAGCTTCTGCGTGCCAAGATCATGGAGGAAGCCGAAGAGCTCTGTGACGCCAAGACACCGGAAGAGGTTGCCTTCGAGGCCGCAGATGTGATCTACTTCGCTCTTGCCAAGGCCGTCAGCGCCGGCGTCAGTTTGGCGGACATTGAGAGGAATCTTGATGCCAAGGCGTTCAAGGTCAAGAGGAGGACAGGTAATGCGAAGGGCAAGTGGGCGGAGAAGGAGGGCATTCAGACCACCCCTGCCCCTGCCCCTGCGCCGGCAGCTGCACCGGCAGTCAAGGAAGAGAAGAAGTCTGATGAGAGGATATCAATGCGCAGATATGACCTCTCCAAGTCCTCAGCTTCAGAGATCGACGAAGTTCTCAAGCGCCCTTCACAAAAGTCTCCCGATGCCATTCTGAACATTGTCAAGCCCATCATCGACGAGGTCCGAAATGGCGGCGACAAGGCTGTCCTGTCTTACACTCACAAGTTCGAGAAGGCCACTTCTCTGACTTCCCCCGTTCTGAAGGCCCCCTTCCCCAAGGAGGCCATGCAGCTGTCACCCGAGTCCATCAAGGCGATTGATATTTCCTTCGAGAACATCCGCAAGTTCCACGCCGCCCAAAAGGAGGACAAGCCCCTCAAGGTCGAGACCATGCCGGGCGTCGTCTGCAGCCGTTTCTCAAGACCGATCGAGAGAGTTGGCCTTTACGTGCCCGGAGGAACGGCCGTTCTGCCCAGTACCGCGCTGATGCTCGGTGTCCCCGCCATGGTGGCCGGCTGCCAGAAGATCGTCTTCGCCTCGCCGCCACGCGCCGACGGCAGCCTCACCCCCGAGATCGTCTACGTCGCCCACAAGGTCGGCGCCGAGAGCATTGTCCTCGCCGGCGGTGCCCAGGCCGTCGCCGCCATGGCCTACGGCACCGAGAGCTGCACCAAGGTCGACAAGATCCTCGGCCCCGGAAACCAGTTCGTCACTGCCGCCAAGATGTTCGTCAGCAACGACACCAACGCCGGCGTGAGCATCGACATGCCCGCCGGTCCCTCCGAGGTCCTCGTCATTGCCGACAAGGACGCCAACCCCGCCTTCGTCGCCTCCGACCTTCTCTCCCAGGCCGAGCACGGCGTCGACAGCCAGGTCGTGCTCATCGCCATTGACCTGACCGAGGCCCAGCTGCAGGCCATCGAGGACGAGCTCCACAACCAGGCCATGGCCCTCCCCCGCGTCGACATCGTCCGCGGATCCATCGCCCACTCCGTCACCATCCAGGTCAAGACCGTCGACGAGGCCATGCGCATCAGCAACGACTACGCCCCGGAGCACTTGATCCTCCAGATCAAGGACGCCGAGAAGGTGACCGAGCAGGTCATGAACGCCGGCAGCGTCTTCATCGGCGAGTGGACCCCCGAGAGCGTGGGCGACTACTCTGCTGGCGTCAACCACTCTCTGCGTAAGTCTTCCCGCCGCCCTCTCTCTCTCTCACCTTGAAAAAGGAAGTCAAAATTGTGTTCGTCCTTACTGACCATGCGACAACAGCCACCTACGGATACGCCAAGCAGTACTCCGGAGTCAACCTCGCCTCCTTCGTCAAGCACATCACCAGCTCCAACCTGACGGCCGAGGGTCTGCGCAACGTCGGCGACGCCGTCATGCAGCTCGCCAAGACCGAAGCGCTAGAGGCCCACCGCAGAGCCGTCGAGATTCGCATCGAGCACATGAACCGCCAGTAACCTGACACAGTCACTCACTGGTGAGGAGTTGGAAAAGTAAAAGGAGACGAAGTGGGTTTTGGGGCGGGTGAACTTGATGTTATTGTAGTTATACCAGAAAAGCCTTTGGATATAGAGACTGAAATGCTTTCACGAACCATGCTAATCTGGAACTGTGCAAATGAGACTTGGAAGGGAGCCTCTCGATTCGTATTACCGTACCCTTCCGGTTTGCTTCCCCAGTCTCGTCAAATGTCGACGGCAGCAAGTCGTTCCCAGATCGTGTAAGTGAGATAGACGTCCATTTTCCTCGCACAGACATACCCTGGTGTCTATCTTGGTAGGAGGCGCCGAACACAAGTAGGGCAGCACATCTCATTCTTCCTGGGGCCGCGCACCTGGATAGCTGAAGCCGGGCGTGGGAACAAAGTAGAATTAAGCCGTCGAAGTGCTACGCTTGCGAATGTCACCGACATATGAACAAGGGAAGTCTTTATGATACACTAGCCTGTAACGGTATCTCATACACTCTATACCCTAAACCCCCCTTCGAAATCACAACCGCCCATCGCCACCTTTTTGCCGTCTAGTACTTGGGCTTCATGGTGGCCCTGAGCCTGGAGTAGTCGAAGAGACCCTCGATGCTGCCGACGGCGCTAATGGCGATGTCCTGGTCCCAAAGCTTCCTGCTGGCAAAGTCCATGACGTCCTTCTCGGTGATGGCGTCGATGGTGCGCTCGATCTCGGCGGGGCTGGCGCGGCGGCCGGTGGTGACCAGCTGGCGGCCAATGTCCTCGGCGATGGCGGTGGTGCCGTCAAGGGAGAGGAGGATGGAAGCCTTGAGCTGGGCCTTGGCACGCTCGGTCTCAGCCTCGGAGACGTTGCGGCTCAGACGCATCCACTCGCGCTGGGCGAAGTAAACGAGATCGTCGATACGGTCGTGCTTGTCGGTAACGAGGTAGATACCCCAGAGACTACAAATTTGTTAGTAATGCGGTGCGCACAAATGTCACATTGTGGCTTACCCGGTGTCGCTGTAGCTGGTGGAGAAGCTCATGAAGCTGTTGGCGATGTCGTGCTTGTGGACGAAGCCGCTGAGCTTGCTGCCCTGGTGAGGAGCGTTGCCAATAGCCTTGTCGTAGTTGCCGACGATGGCCTGGGCAACGAGAGCGGTGTAGTAGTCGTCGCTGTTCCAGCTGACACCCTCGACGGCGATGGCGATGTTGGCGGTGGGGATGTTGTCGTCGCGAACACGGACATCGGAGCCGATGAAGTCAGCCTTCTGCTTGGAGAGCAGGTAAGCCTGGGTCTGGGGGCCGGTGGAGGGAAGACCGGAGAAGTTCTTCTCGGCGAGCTCGACGAGCTTCTCGTGGGGGATGCCGCCAGCGCCGACGAGGACCATGCGGTCAGCGGTGTAGTTGCTCTTGATGTAGTTGGTGAGCTCGGTGCGGGTGATGTCGCGGATGTTCTCACGGGGGCCGAGGATGGTGCGGCCGAGGGACTGGTGCTGGAAAGCAGTGGCGTGAAGGTGGTCGAAGACGACCTCCTCCATCTGCTTCTCGACCTCCTCGGACTCGCGGAGGATGACGTCGCGCTCGCGCTCGATGGCAGACTCCTCGAGCTTGGAGTTCTGGAGGATATCGGCGAGGATGTCGACGCACTGGGGAACATCGGAGTTGAAGGCCTTGGCGAAGTAGACGGTGTTCTCGCGCTATGCCATTGTCAATATGGGTGTTATTTGATGGGGTTTCGGTCGAGAGGAACGGACCGAGGTGTAGGCGTTCAGGTGGCCACCCATGTTCTCAATCTCCAGCTCGAGCTGCTGCTGCGTCCTGTTCGCGGTGCCCTGGGTACTTGTTCAGCGTGGGATCGTTCATCGCATTGGCGGCGGTTCAATGGCCTACCTTGAAGGCCAGGTGCTCGAGGAAGTGTGCGGTGCCATTGGTCTCGTCGGTCTCAGCCCTTGAGCCGGCGTCAATCCAAACACCGACGGTCGAGGTCTGGGCGAAGGGGGAGTAGTCGGTAGCGACCTAGAATGTATACGTCAGAATCGATTTGCGACAGGCGGGTCGAGGCCAATTGAGCGGCGGGGAGGATGGGCGGATGAGATGGCTCGCGTACCGTCAGTCCATTCTTCAAGGTCGTCGTCTGAGTCTTGCCGAAGGGGGTGCTGGCGGGCGTGGCGAAGCCCCGGGTGATAGGGCTCGCTCTGGAGAGAGCTGCCCGGCTTCGCAGCCCCTGCGAGAGGTTCAAAGCTAGTCTCCGGGACGCCATGGCGGAGTTGTGGAGGATAGGGAGTTGTATGAGGTGTTTGTGAAATCTTTCGATGAGGTTTCGGCTCAGAATTCAGAAAGCTTTCTGGGGCCGATGATGCCTTGAATTCGAGGCCACAGTGCCATTGGCCCCGAATTGTTCCGGGTGCGGCCAATCAGAGCACGTTTAATTCCAACTCTGAGATGGGGCGGTACGTACCCATGAATTGCATCTGACACCATCGATCCGAGATCCGTTCAGCAACTCATCTGGATGCTCCATCGCTTTATTCTTTTGCATCCCGGAATCTGCAATGCTTCCCAATGGCGGCCGAAGCCACCATGCCTTTCTTTCCAAGCGGACTATTAGTCTACTACGACTTCCGAATACTCCGCGACTTGCAATCGGCTCTGGGCAAGGCATGTTCACCGTTGCTGAGGCATGATCTGCCTAGTATTTCTATGCTGAATGCAGTTGCCAATTGGCCAATTAAGCGGATACTGCCCGTGCCCAGGCGCCGCGGGAGCTGTTGCGTCAATGGAAGTTCCATTCGTGCAGCTGAGACGATGAGCTGTTAGTGCAGCAGGTCACAAGACTGCGTTTTTGACTTCGACTGCAGATGCTTTTCATACTACTGCATCTGGTGCTAGACTGTATCACATCAACTCACATCTAGCAGTTGAACCCCTCATTTGACTGATCAACACTCTCATACTATCGCGTACTTCCCACTCCTACCACCTGGGGATTTCCTTATTGACTTGTATGACATCAAGATGCCATCAGACAACTACAACTTTGCCGACGTCTTCCAAGCTCTTTTCGTCTCCAAGCAGAAGCCTGCTCCTGAACCTATCGCCGACAACATGAAAGCCATCATCCAGAGTTACCCTCCCTTGGGTCAGTTCACCCAGGTCTCGAACGGACAACTGGCTTTCACGGCTGTTCTCGAGATACCGGCTTCGCGTGCAGACGAACCATGGCAGGTCGCATTGTGGCATTCGACCGATGATGGCGAGTGGGCAGAGACGGCCCTTTCCCGCATCTCGGATGAAAAAGGTCCGACAACTCTGCAGACGATCCCAGACCACATCCGACGAATCTTCTTTTCTACATCTGTTTTGTTCAACAAGTCATTACAGTTCACTTTGAAATTTCGACATGCCGAAAGCGACCCGTGGCGATGGACCCGTGATGAGCTCGGAGTCGGTGACGGCAGCGTTATTGTCAGCACGAGACCAGTCCTCCAAAGCGTCTCCGAACGACTGGAAGATCTTGTGACCAACCTGAACCCCGCTTGGGGCGTAAAATCACTTACGAGCCAATGTCCCGGTACTCGGCTGTGGTCTTTAGAAACGGACGTTGACGGTGTTGACAGCGATGAGTCCAAGATTTCAGATATCTCTTTGGGCGTGCCTTGGGGAGGCTTCCAGAGGTAAGCCCACGGATACTAGACTGTTACCACGCAGTTACCTCATGGGCCACTAATGAAACACGATAAGAGTCCAAGATCTGTTTTCTAAAGTACTAACAACAACAGATGGTTCGCTCTTGTCCGCATATGGTCACCCTGGCTGGCTCCTCGCCATGGCAAAACCTCATTCCATCTTGACAAAGATGCTGTACTCTGCTCATTCTTGAGCCCCGAGGGCAAGCACCTGGTGTTCCTTGCTATCAGCGGCGTGAACAACGTGCTCTCCGTGTTTCGTCACGACGAGTCTGGACAGATATCTGTTAATGTTCGTACCCAAGGCCAAGGCAACACCGGAGCATTTGACTTACCTTCTGCAGGCCCGCAACGATGGCACGTCGTCCGAGAAGGCAAGAGTTCTCGTCGCCACCGGGGACAACTTCGAGAGCGCGAACGCTGCGGTCATGTACCAGGCCAGAAACTACGTGATCACTGAGAAGAAGGCTAGCGACGAGTTGCAAGCGGAGATGAAAGCTTTAGAAGAAGGCGTCAAACCCGAGTGGATGGAGAACTGGTATGATGGACTTGGTTTCTGTGAGACATCTGTGTCCTCTCCTTTGGAACATTCGCTAAACCCGATGACTAGGCACCTGGAATGCCCTCGGGCAACGTCTTACCGACGAGAAGGTTTTCGATGCCGTGGACAAACTGGCCGAGAACAATATCAAAGTGACCAGCCTCATCATCGACGACAACTGGCAGACCATCGACTACAGAGGTCATGGCCAGTTCCAGCACGGTTGGTGTGAGTTTGAAGCGGAACCTAAGGCTTTCCCGAAGGGCCTAAAGGCGACGGTCGCACACATTCGGGAGAGACATCCACACATCCAGCACATCGCAGTTTGGCATGCTTTGCTAGGTAAGCACCTTCATGATTAAACACTATGTGATGAAGCTAATAGTTAAGGCTACTGGGCGGGCGTCTCGCCTGATGGGAAGATTGCCAAAGAGTACAAGACAGTCGAGGTCGTCCGTGAAGATGCCGAGCGACGCAACTTGCCCCTCGGAGGCAAGATGACTGTCGTAGCCAAAGAGGACGTCGGCAAGTTCTACGACGATTTCTACCAGTTCCTCGTCGACTGCGGCATCGACGGTGTCAAAACCGACGCCCAGTTCATGACAGACACATGGGTCTCGGCCAGCGCCCGTCGCGAGCTCATCGACGCCTACCTCGACGCCTGGACCATCTCCTCCCTCCGCCACTTCAGCATCAAGGCCATCTCCTGCATGTCGCAGACGCCCCAGATCCTGTTCTACAACCAGCTCCCCCGCAACAAGCCCGCCATCCTCTGCCGCAACTCGGACGACTTCTTCCCCGAGATCCCGGCCTCCCACCCGTGGCACGTCTGGACCAACGCCCACAACAGCCTCCTCACCCAGCACCTCAACATCCTGCCCGACTGGGACATGTTCCAGACCGTCCACGACTACTCCGGCTTCCACGCCGCCGCGCGCTGCGTGAGCGGCGGACCGATCTACATCACCGACGTCCCGGGCCAGCACAACCTGGATCTGATCAACCAGATGACGGGCCTGACGATCCGCGGCAAGACCATCATCTTCCGCCCTAGCGTCATCGGAAAGACCATCGACGCGTACACGGGATACGACGACGACGGCCTGTTGAAGATCGGCTGCTACCACGGCGCCGCCGTCACCGGCACCCCCATCCTCGGCGTCTTCAACATCTCGGCCCGGCCCCTGACGGAGATCATCCCCCTCACCTCCTTCGCGGGCGTGTTGCGGTCCATGCGCTACGTCGTTCGTGCCCATTCCTCCGGGCGGGTCAGCCCACTCATCACGCCGGGATCGCCGGCCTCGTCCCTGACGACTTCGTTGGATGTCCGGGGGTACGAGATCTTCACCGCCTACCCCTTGTCCAGCTTCGACAGCGAGAGCAAGGGTAAAGTATGGACCGCAAACCTGGGACTGGTAGGTAAGATGACGGGAGCGGCGGCCATTGTCAAGAGTGATTTCTTCCTGCGGCACGACGGCAAGATTGAGCTCAAGACCAGTCTCAAAGCGCTCGGCGTTCTTGGTAGGTTGCTCCCCCATAACGACGACAGAACCTGCTTGCTGACATGTTACCTACCAGGCATCTACATCTCGGTGCTGCCAGAGCTGACGATAGAGGACGACTTCCTGGTCACCATCCAGAACCAAGTCATTCCGGTCCAGACAGTTGTTGTCTGCGGGACTGACGATAAGGTCCTGGAGATCAACATCGAGAAGGCGTGGGAGGAGATGAGTCTGCACCCAGGCTGGGCCAACGAGGTTGAGGTGACGGTCACCTTTGCCATTGACCACGAGCACACCGAATACTAGAAAGTATTTGTTCAATCCGGTAGCCACAAACAGCATCAGTCTAGCATTGCACATCACAAAGGGGACAAGTGACATGCTCTCAAAGACAGTTCTACATTACTCGCAATTTTCACGCTATCATTATAGACCATCATAAAACCACTGAGTATCCCCTACTTCTTCTCATGAGGCTGCAAGTGCAACAACGTCGCCTCCGACGCAACAACCTCCGGGATCGTCTCCTTCAACGTCTGCGCCGTCCCCTTCCACCCCCAGTACTTGGGCCCCCTCTCCGCCTTGCTCTTCGAGTTCAGACCCCACGTAGCCCCCGCGCCCGTAGACTGCAGCACCTCCTTGATCGTGGCCTCCTTGGTCAGCGGCGCCGGCAGGAATCCCTGCTTATGCGCCTCCTCCGCGATCCACCTGGCCACATCGCTCCAGACGTGCGTGCCGCTCTCGACGAAGTAGTACGCCCGCGGCCCGAACACCTCGAGATCGGCGTTCAAGCTCGCGTCTCTCGTCCCCTCGACGAGCGTCACGAAGAAGGCCGAGAGGTCCCGCACGTTGACGTGGTCCCACTCCGTCTTGCCCGGCTTGATGATGGGCGCGAAGCCCTTCTCGAGCGTGGCTTTCGCGAGGCCCGGGACCTGCATGGAGCGGCGGTTCAGGGGCCCGCGGCCGGCGCCGTAGATGGTGGGCGGGGAGACGATGGCGGTGCGGACGGCGGGGGAGTTGGCGGCGAGGACGATCTTGTCGACGTTGCGGTGGATGGCCTCGTCGGGGAGGGAGAGGAGGCGGTCGATGTCGCGGATGTCGTGGTAGTCTTGATCCGGGAGGGGGGCTTCGCCGTAGCGTTCGTGCTTGGTGTCGTACTAAGGGTTATATGTGTCAGATATAATGAAATCACGGTGCTGAAGCGAGGAGAGTCCTCACCCATGTCAGGATGCCCGTGCCGGAGACGTGTAGCCAGAAACCGGGCTTCTCGGGCGAGTGACCCGCGGCGAGGCCCTTGGCAATGGCGTTGGCCGAGGGGACGTCGTCCGCGGAGTCGGCAGTGTCTGTAAAGCAATCTCAGTAACTGCATCAAGCGCGGCTGCGGACTCCAGAGCGCAGTGTGCTCAGAATGTGTCCGGTTTACTTACGAACGACAACGTCGGCGGCAGCGGCCTCCTTCTCGATGACATCCGAGTCGGTGAGGGTTCCGACGACGATGCGGACGTTGTCCTTGGGGTAGGCCTTCTTCACGCCCGAGGCGCGCTGCTCGCTGCGCACCAGGAGAGCGTACTCATAGTCGGGGTGCTTCTCATAGAGGGCGCTGAAAGCGTCTCCGCCAATGTAGCCTGTGAGTACATGTGAGTTTGATGAAGAGCTTCGATCGTAGGCATGAGCGATCAGAAGATACCTGTGACGCCGGTTCTGTGGGAATAAGTCAGTTGGTGACATCACGACTCGAGCGGTTCTTTACGCACAGGAAGATCTTGAGAGCCATAGTGATGATTCTTCTTTTCTCGCAGATTCTGGTTCTAGTTGCTTTTGAAGTTATTCAGAGATATCCGCAGTCGATTTCTCTATTGGTGTACGGGGTTGTGCAGTTGTTGGTTGGATGAACATACATATATGGCTTTCAAGGGTGGTGTAAGTCAACCCCGCTCTGGTTGATCGAATGCTTACAAAACGGCGTGATGGTTCATCCAAGCTTAATAATTGCGGTTTTGTCCCCGAATTCTCTCCGAATTCGGCCAATTGCCCATTTCACAACATTGCCAAGCTTTTGCATAGCTATGAAGGTATACCCTCCAGACTCACCTTCCAGACCGGGCTGCCGCTCGAGGGCGACGGTGGTAAGGAGGATTTTGTGGTGAATGGCAGGTGAGGGGTTCTTGCGAGGGGCAGGCGCGCTGAGTGACATCACCGATCATCACGCCTTCGGTGGTGCCCCTCGCACCTACCTTATTTCGCGTGGGTTATCATGTAGATCCGGATTGCCAATTCAGTTAAGTTCAGGTCCGGTTGGGGTTGTCCCACATTCGCTCTCTCAGGCATTGGGATGTTCGAACCGGCTGAAAAGTCGATCGATACTAGGTTGTAAGTCGTATGCCGAAAGATAGACGAGAAGTCTCACTATTGAGTTGCGTTCGTGGATAATACCAAAAACATGCCGCCCCGCCTTCTTCTTGAAGTTCATATAAGTCGTGTAGTCTTTAAATTTGTTTCTCTCGGCGTCTTTACGACATAACTTGACTATCTATCACAGAAAACCCCGTTGGACAACGCGCATATTAAGCCGGTGAGACGAACACAACCTGCAAGATAGCGGCTTGTCTGAGACTTGCATAATCACGACGCCCAGTCGTGTCACACATGCAGATTTCTTAACAGTGACGCTCCAAGGTATTGCTCAAAGTGGTATTTCGTATTTCATTGCGTTTGAGTTGTTAAGAACCCGAATTACGCACGTTGGCTCGTCATGCAAGCCAATGTTCCTTCATCTCATAACCTCTGTAAACGTCGTCTCTTCAACTTCAATCAAAATGGCCTCCGACCTTTTTTTTATATTCCGAAACGCCAGTGCGACTTCTACTCTCGCACATTTGTCCTCCTTGTGGAAAGGAGCCGAAAAGAAGTAAGGTTTATGCAGTTGGGAGTTTAATGTAAAAGATCCGTCTCTTGGCGCGTCGAAGTCCCGACTTGGGTATTTACGTGCTTGTTCATCTGTCGTGCCGAAGTGATAACGAGACGTTAAGCCCCGGTGGCCTCAGAATATGATCTGGGAGGACTCATATCACAGCCGAGGCCGATGCCGGAGTCGAAAATCGAGTGGGAGATCGATCACGCGTCTTGGAGGAGGATGACGCTCTTGGTGTCGCCGAGCTTCTTCAGTCCGTCGAGGCCGGGGATTTCCAGAATGAAGAGGTAGCCGACGATTTCGCCGCCGAGCTTCTTGACGAGGTCGGCCGCGGCCTTGGCAGAGCCACCTGAGATTGGTGTTAGTGGGGCCATGGTCCAAAATCGAGGGGCATTTCCCAAGGAGGGGTAAAATTGCGCTCGCGCAGACGCAGACCAACGTACCAGTAGCGATGATATCGTCAACAACGAGGACCTTTTGGCCGGGCTTGATAGCGTCTTGCTGCATCTGGAAGACGTCGACACCATATTCCTTCTTGTACTCGGCGTCGACGCACGGGCCGGGGAGCTTGCCACTCTTGCGCACCGGGGCGAAGCCGGTGCCGAGACGGAGGGCAAGGCCGGGTCCGAAGAGGAAGCCACGGGCGTCGAGGCCAACGACGACATCGGGAAGCTGCGATCCGAAGGACTCCTTGACCTGGAGCTCGAGGACGTCGCCCAGGGTCTTATGGACGGAGGGGTTCAGGAAGAGCGGCATGATGTCGACGAAGTCAATGCCCTTGATGGGGAAGTCGGCGAAGTGACGCAGAGCACGCTGAAGCTCTACCTTCCCACTGGCGAGTTCGGAGGAGGTGGCGGCGGCGGAGGAGGACTGTTGTCCCTGGGCATCTTGAGTGTTGACTGGGTGGGCGGCCAGAGGGTTGATTGCCTTGGAGGCGAGGGTACCGTCGGAGGACATGATGAAGAGAGAAGAGAGAGGAAGAGCAGGATTTATGAGTGTTTCTGGGCGGGCTGGCAGCGATTTGTGTAATGTAGTACGCGGTATCTTCCTAAGGTTGGCAGAAGAAAATTTTGGGGTCGGATCCCGGAGTGTGGTGAGGTGTGAAAGGAGGGGTGTGGGACGCGACAACTGGCGGGCAGAAGCAATGTAGCTACGGCTAAGGTTAGGAACCTGGGCTAGGTAGGTCGGCACGGTACAGACCACCTCACAGATAGGCTCCAAGGGTAAGAACGTCAATAAGCAAGGAGGGTGAGGTACGGGAACGCTGAGTTTGTCTCGAGTGTGCTTGTTACAACTACGGAGTTACTGCCTAGGTACCGGTGCCTTGTCCTGCCACTCCGTGGGACAGTCACAGACCTGCTGGGCCGCATCACATCAGGAGAAGAAGGTGTGTATGTACGGATATGATTGAGGTGTGTGAGAAAGGACGACCCTGTGGGATTGAGAAGACGGAGCCAAGTCCAGCTCGGCTCGCCGGGGTGACGGTGAGACAGGGCCAGGAAAACAAAAAAGCACGAAAGCAGGCTGGCAGATGGCGCGCAGAAGGGGTGGTTGTCCGGGATCATGAAGGTAAGAAAACGGGCAAAAGAAAAAAAAAAGTGGTGAGAATGAACGCGCGCCATCGAATTGGGAGTGGAGAGTTGTGATACGGGTAGGGTGTCACTACGTGTGGTGCGAAGTGGGCAGGTCGATGTGTGGCTCGCGAGAGAGACAGCGACCAAAGACATCCATCCAATGTTCTTTTCGCCGGTGGAAGATAGGGAAAAGCTATCCGTACTCATCATTAATGAACAGGGAGCTCGGGGTGATTATGCCTAAGGTAGATAAGCCGGCCTGGTAATTAGTCCAGCGTTAATTTTGTTTCTTCTGTATCCTCCCTGTCAATGTCATGCCCTTCTATCCCTATCAATACACATCTTTTCTGACTCCGGACCTCTTGACCGATGAAGCAATGGAAGCAAAAGAGATGAGAAGAAACCACAATTCGAACACCCCCACCTCATGTTCTCGCGTTTCTCGTCCTCGCCATCAATCAGAACGTCGCGCGATGTTGGTATCTGACTGTAATAGCAAATGGTAAGCCGGCTTGTGAGCAGGTGGGATGGCAAGGCACGGAACGGCATGGCTTGTATCTGTGCCAGTCTGCCACTGCCCCTCCAACGCGACATTGACCCCTCCATGAACGTGCCAGCGCCAGGGAGCAAAGAGGCACTACCCCACCATGCCACCATCTCCGAGAGAGACAGACCAGGGTGCAAGCTGCTGTGTTTCTGTCTCACTCACCCTCACACCTGCTGTGGCATATCAGCACGAGCACGAGCACGAGCATGAACATGGGCCCGGCGCGAACTGCTCTGGAACAGCCAGGAGTACGATTGAATGACAGAATGAGCTTCAAAGCCCCGATTGCCCTCTATGGAGACCGGCCATGCCCTTCTTGATGCCGTGCACTATTCGGAAGATGGGGTGCATGTAAACATGCGGTATAACACGCAGGAAACCAGAAACTTCTGATGATAGTACTTTGCATGCTTGCTCCAATCCGTCGTGAACGTGGTTCGCCCCAAGCATGTAATGTAGCGACCCGGCGCTCCTTGGTTGGACTTGGACCCGTTTCCCTGGCCAAGACTGGTGAGGAGGGAGGATGCAGTGATGGCTGATGGCTGATGGGGTGCAGCATACTGCATGCACATGTACCTTAGGTGGTACAACGATGGATTAAAATCCCACTGCTTCTATCCCGTACGGATAAGGTAGGTAACGCATGCTGCACTGAATAAGGTTGTAGCTGATGGGGTCTGTCGGTCAGGTCGTCTGGAGCTGGGATGACATTGCCGCTGATATTGATGCCACTGCCAGTGTCTATGTGTCGCCATGCCGTGGGCAACCAGGTGGTGAGTAGATATTGACCCAGAGCGTTGAGGTAGCCAGGTACAGAAGTACACCTTGGAGAACAATCAACGGGCCGTTTCAAACGTCTGAAGTTCCGTTGACATTATCCTCGGTAAGGTAGGTTGTTCAGGGTTGTGAAGGAGGTACAACCAGACGTCGGTATGGACTTGGAAAGCGATACAGAGACCGGAAGGCGGTGCGGCGGATTTGCGGTGGAGAAGAGTGAAACAAAAGGGACGGGAAGGACAGGAACATCGGAATAGAAGCCACTACCAATGGCAAAGTCCCTTAACGGTCGTAGTGGAGAGCGGAAGCGCGGCTTCTGAGTCCTTGCATACCGGGCTTAGGTACGAAGTACTATGCAGTAAGGTATCGCCAGGAAAGAAACGGCATCTGCTCCATGACGACGACAACAATGGCACTGGTTGCCATTCTGATATTTCCCCTCAGCACAAGGCAAGCTTTGAAGCTGCTTGCTTTCCTCTGAAGCAGTTTCATGAGTCCATTCGAAGCAGAAGTGAACGTTCAAGTTTCTCAACAGGACTTGCGCGCTAGCCTCAATCCCAATTCAATGAGTCAACTCGATAATGGAAGGTAGAGCGTAGCATTAGATGGTGCCGTTCTCACAAGTACCATCCCACCATCCCACCCTCTCTACCTTACTCACTACAGCGCCTCTTCCTCCAGTCTTGCTTCTAGATGCATTCAGCCCATGCACCTTCCTGTACCAAAACTATCAGGGTCTTTTCCGGGGACAGCGAGGCAGGCGTCATGTCTTGGCCATGATCCCTGAGCCTCTCTTTCTTGTGCTCTCAGCTTCCATCGACACTTCCGAATCCTTGAACCTCTGCGGATATTGCACTCGTTATTCAAACCATCCATGACTTGATGACACGGTACATTTGTCTTGTCGGAGCAACATTCCCAGATCTAGCAAAGCTCAAACTTGGGCCAAACCGGAACCCTTAAACCCACCTCAACAGCTCTTCGAAGACGCTCCGCTGCGATATCACTCATACATACCAACTCCAGCTACCTAGGTACCATGTTCACACCATAGGCCGACCTCTACACTCAATTCTCGACTTACAGCAGCTGTTCCCCCCGTATCCCTCTGGCATGGGCTGGCAGAAAAAGTGATGGGTCTGTTTCCATCCTTCCTGTCTCTAGGCCATTTTATCAATTATCAAATCGCACCCCGCTCAAACGTCTCGTCCTCCCCGTCCATGTTCCCTGAACCATCAGAGTCTAGAGCAATGGGCGAACCACCATCGCATCATCCTGCTATGACTTCGCATTGAATCACGACAAGGGCGCCCACCGAATCAGACCCCAAAGGTCCGTATCGAATGGCCTTGCAATCCTCCCGCCTCGACAAGAACGGAACGGCCTCTGACGGCATTTCCTATTTCTCCTAGCCGCGGCTGACACAGGGCCGTATATTCCAACGGTAACACCTCCCATCCAGCAATCACATCGACTCATCCCACCACCACACCACAATCTGAAAGATCAACTAACCAATCCAGACCTCAGCTCATCCAGACCCTGGTGAACCGATATCTTCGCCAAGATAAACCACCTGGATTCTCAGCATTATTATCCCCTCTTCAGACGGGCTGTGGCATCTTCTTGGTGCCCCCATATTTCAAGTTCCATCCGAATGCTCTGCGTCCATTTTATCCGATCCTCCCAACCACCATCCCGGAACTGAGACTGGCCTAGAACTTGCCTTACCGGATACTATTTCTAGCTGACCACCTATGGGTCTTTCTGGATACCTAGGGCTTAGACAGCGTTCATCAGCCTCCAGACGCTCATCCGTCTTCCGGGATTAAGCTTGCGAAGGCTTGTGAACAGTGTGCCTGGCCGATCTGTTCTGGATCGCAACAACCGCCCGTCACAACCATGGAACCAGTTCTCTCTGTAACCAACATCGTCCGAATCCAAATCCGTCAACCCCACCCCTCCATCACTGCACCGTCCTTACAAGTGCAGCCATTCAATCCCGATAAGGACGCCATGTGGTGGACTGGCAAGCAAGCAAGGCACTACAGCCACCATGCCTCATTGCAACCATGGCCGCCTGTTGGGCCATCGGAAGACATTCCGCCAGACTCAGTTTAAAGCAGTGCTCCCCTGGCTTGTCCGCTGAGTGGCTGAGAGCATCTACTCTGTGTCATCGAATTCACCGCTGGGTCTTTCTAGGCCGTGGACGAGACGCGGCCTCCCCACCGGGAAGTCGCAGTTGATGGACAAGTCTCCATATGTCTGTGTCTCTTCGGGCGGCTCGGACGTACATGCCAACCGCCGCAACCCTGTTGTCCTTCGCCGTGTAACCTTCTCTTCCGGGGTTCCTAACTCGCTCAGAATCCCCGACACAGACAGTTGTCTCTGCGATTGCCTTTCCCAATGAAACACCCGACTCTGCTCGGCCAGCCGGAAGTCATCAGAAACCACCTTGTAACATACGAACGATTCCGATACGGCCCAAACCTTCCAAGGCTGCAATTGCTCACCCGGCGCTTCTAACAAGCCGGACGATATCGCAACCGGCGATGGAGTCCATTCACATGCCCGAGACCAGCGGTATCAAGATCGGTTGCATTAGCGGCGTTGACAACGTCTCGCAGAAGCCAAAGTCGCCCCCGGTTGCTGCACCTCACTGCTTAGGAGCAACAAACATGCCTGACCAGAAATTCACTTACGACTACCGCAGTAAGGTACGTTGAGCGACTTGAACAACCCGAAAACAGACTGCAACCTCGCAAGTCGTTCGGACAGAGAAATGCCATGCCTCCGGCGCCGCTTTAACACGCAAGTCGCTGTAATGAGTCAGTTTTCGACGTCAGACGTATTCGTACGCTGCGCCGTGTGTAGTTCATTGCAACCCGCGCCCTTCACCGCCTCGGCGCCGGCACCGGCGCTATTGGCCGGCGGGAACCAAGTCCGGGAAGTAAACCGTACGTTTGTTCGATGAGCTGATGCGGGTTACTCACTAAGTACGCTGACGTTGCTCAACTTCGAAACAATCACTGCTAAGAAACAAGAAGCAAGAGATCCTGGGTCGCGCCAGCTGGCAATCGACGATCTCTGGCCCCGACTGTATAATGGTTTCAATGGCGTCCACGGGAGATGACTGTCGCTCACGCCTGCTTGCTTAAACACCCACACTTTCTGCCTGCTCTGCTTATCGAGTACCTAGGCACACCTACTAGGCACATACCGTGTGGTTGTTCAACGGCAGCCCGACCGGCAGGCAAGTGAGACGGAATGTCGTTCGGGGCCATTATCTGCCTGTCTACATCTGCTAAGGGGGAAAAGAAGAGACAAAACGTGACAACACCGTCCCAACGAGCCGGCCATCCTCTCTCCATTGGCATCCCCGAGCCGCATAAGACTTTGACCGAGCTGTCAGTCGGCAGCCTTGCTGCGTCCCGGAGGGTGTCGTCGCTCGTTGGCCCGGGTGGGTAGGACAGCGTCATGCAGGCGGCCGAATCAGCAAACGGGCGGCCCTCCATTTCGCGATTATGTGTATGGATGTAAGTGATGTGTGTGACAGCTCAACACCACCCTTGTGGAAAAGTTTTCAAAAACGTTGCCTATCATGCCGGCTGCAGATGATGTGCATTTGCCAAGGTCTTTTCCTATCAAGAGGGCGTCATATTCTCTCATGCGCCTGCTGCTTCATGGGGGAAATCTATGTGGTCTGGAATCTCATTACTCTATTACGTATTCGTTTCCGTCCTTCTTCGTCTCCAAAAGGGAAAACCAAAACGCCGCCGCCGGTCATGCTGAAAGGAGAGTCTGGTATCTAACATCTATAAAGAAACATACAACCGTGAGACACATGCGTGAGAGAGTAAAGAAGGAAAAGGGGGTTGGGTATCTTTTTTTTCTTCGTCTTCCGCATCGATTTCCGTGGAAAGACATACGTGAAAGACCAAACCAAACCAAGCCAAACACTTCAAGAAAGAGGGGGAATCGTGAAAGAAAGACGTGATCCAACCACAAAGCTCGCGAGAGCCTATTATAGACGAGGACAGAAACGCTTAAACGTTAAAGTCCTTACTGAGTGTGTAAACCAACACCGGTGCCGGACAGCTCCTCGGAGGGAGGAAGATGATGAAAGCAATCATAAGAGAGGGGGAAGGGGTTCGTTACATATCGTCTAACCAGAAAGGGGGGTTCATTAGGGGAATTGCAGTCGTATAATCGAGAAGAACATGTTCTGGAGCACGTGAAACATGACGGCGACGCTGGTCGGGAGCAGCTCGGGCCAGACGGCGAGGTCGAGCTTGCCCTCCATGCCGACGTCGACGCCGAAGATGCAGCGGATGAGGACGCGGACGCAGACGGAGGCGACGAGCTCGCAGGCCCAGGTGACGGAGGAGGCCCAGAAGGTGAGGCCGAAGTCGTACTGGTCGTCGCCCTTGTCCTTCATGTCGAAGGCGAAGTAGGGGTAGACGTCCTTGTTGGGGCCGAAGTGGAGGACGAGGACGCTGCCGAGGAAGGCGGCCATGGAGACGTTCTCGGCGAGGAAGCGGATGAAGACGTTACGGGTACAGACCTTCTGGTAGGAGGCGTAGGACTGGTCCGTCAGGTTGAGGGCGACGGTGACGCGGTGGTAGAGGCGCGACATGGTTAATGGTGTGAGGATGATGAGGGTGCTGCTGGAGAGGATCTGGAGGTAGATGAATTGTTCCGGGGAGCGGAGGCGGGCGTACAGGGCGCGAACGTAGGTTTGGTAGGTGAGCATGAAGTATCTTGAGTGGTGTTAGTTATGATTCCTTTCGTCTTTTGGCTCTCGAATCCAAGTCACTTACAGCTTGAACACCCAGCTCAGGGGATAGCTCCCGACACGTTCACCTTCGCGGATTCCCAATAGCCAGCCGGTCAGTGCATCGAGGAGATGTACCGTGATGATCCAGCTGTAGACGTAGACGACCGTCTCCAAGTTGTTGTGCGGGAGCGTGCGCAGGTAGATCTCGGCGTACGCCTCTCCTATCACGTACGCCATGAGGCCGACGAACAGAGCCAGGCAGAACCAGATGAAGCGGACGAAGCTGGCGGGCAGCCACCTGCGGCGCATCCCCATGGCGGCCAGGGTCCTATTTCTAGACTGCTCTTGGTCGACCTGCAGGACGGCATCTGGGTTGAAGGAGTCGCTGCTGAGGTTCGGCCGGCGGCGGTTATCTCGCCGGGGGACGCTTCCTCCGGACTCGCCTGTCCACCAGGATGACGTGAAGATGCGCTGGGTTTCGGAGAGTGACTGCCGTAGCTTGAGGTGACGTTGGGAGGTGAGGAGGATGCAGAATGCGATGGCCACGGGCATCGCCATGACGAAGAATGAGAAGGCGACCCATGCCGTGTTGTGTTGAGTGAGGAACCGCGTCTCTGGGGTTAGATAGAGTGGAATGGGTACGGCTATTGATACGATGGCGATGAGAGACATCGTCACTGGAAAGCCAAGAGACTGCGGCCACCTGCGGGCGTGTAAGTGTTTGATATCATCTCAGGCGTCAAGCCAAGGGGAAGCTTACCAATTCAAGCTGTAGAGGTTGAAGACCTTGGTGATCCAAATCAAGGCCGTGATATTGTAGAAGCCGTAGTAGACAAAGAGGAAGAACCAGAAGCTGATCTGCACCCGTGCCTCGCCGTGACCAGGTATCTTGTGCCCGGACCCAGCACCAGGATCACTTCGGTCATCATCATCGTCGTCGGTAAACTGGTACTGCGGAATCGGTAGTGCACACCATGCAATAGCCTTTCGTCGTCTGATGTTAGCGTTTCTGCCATCCCATGTTGCTCCGCGAGTATACATACCAGCGCGGCGGGCATCAAGACGAGACACCCATATCGACTCCACCATACATCAACAACCCTCTTTACGGCACCCTGCTTCGGCTCGACCCAAACGTCGGCGATCCTGCGCCATGTCCGCTGCCACAGGTTCAAGTCCTCCCAATCAGCTCTATCGTCGGCGTTGTCGTGATTTTCGAGGCCAGCAGCGGAAAGCAGTGCGCCGTAGCCGACGTGCACGCTGCCACGGTTGTTCGAGAACAGGCCGAGCGTGCTCCCGGAGCGGCGTCGACGGCCGTGGACGTCAGACTCTTGAGGTACGGCGCGGAACCGGCCGAGGAGAGGGGAGGAGTCGCTCGTCAGGCGGGTGCGGGACTCGTTGCCTTGCGTGAATTGGAAGAAGCTCGGCATCGCTTCGAAGTTTGGTGGATAGGGGAATCGGCTATCTTCGCGACATTAGGTGTGGTTTGTTTACTTTCCACTCGCGGCAGAGTTCTGCTCTTCTGACAGTGACCGCTTCGAATTCGACCGATGAAAGTGTATTAGAACTCGAAAAGCTGAAACGAATTACACAGAGCTGAACGAAGCCGTAATTCCACGCCCGATGTATTTGCTTATATCCAGAATGCGCGGGGTGTTGTTGAATATCTGGATGTCGTAGCCGTCCGTCGTGCGAAGAGAAGAATCCCGGAGGTTCGCCCAGTGTAAATTGAATTTCTAGTGGCTGATTACGCTAAGGCCGCCATTTACCTGGGACGGTCCCTGATTTTTGGCGGATACAGCGGATTCGGGCCCTGGCACGGCGGACGCTAGCGCCGTTTGGGCGGGGCCTGGAGTGCGTTGTCTTGTGGGGCTTCTTGAGCTCCGATCCGGCTGGAGACCGCATGAGATTCGGGAGATGAGCATTAAAGACCTTCATGATAACGAAGTCAAGATCCTTGATGAAGACTTTTTCCATTCTCGGTTTTGAACAATTGTTGAAACACACATGCTTGTAAGCCCGATGTGTAAACAGACTCTCAAACTCCAAAGTTATGTAAGAGCAACTCCGTGTTTGCTCTGGATACATGCGCCACGCGGATCTGCCTGTCTTCTAAAGCAAGGCAGATATAGTTAGTGTACATGTAACCGCTCCCTAATTATAGTTCTCATAATAAGTGACAGAAATCAAACTCAATCCTCGTCATTATCCATAGTCTCTTCGAAGCCTTCTGAATCTTCAGTGTCTTCGGAATCGCCAGAGTCTTGCTTATCTTTTGGTACATCAACGAAGTCCGGGTCGTTGCTAGCCTCGTCGTCTGTTCCTTCTTCATCGATGACCTCTACTTGAACATCTTTCGGGTCTTCTGAGAAGGCCACCATCTTTGCCGTAGGTGACTTCTTGGGTGGCTCCAAAACATCGCCACTCCATGGCTTGCATTCTTTGACGAGCTCGCCGCACCTGAGGCACGTCCAACCTTCGCCCTCTTCCCGCTCAAGACGGGTCGCAAGGCAGACGAAGCAGTAAACGCAACCACAAGGAATGGTCTCGTACGGGTTGGTGATGTCTGTCTGAGCCGAGCCTATGACGCCACCCGAGGTTGCCGCAGCCATAATTTCGGTTTCCGTGATCGCCAAAGTATTCTGGTCCTGATAACAGATAGCACATGTGCGCTCTGGTAGAAAGCCGAGTTCTCCATTCGCAGATTTCTCCTCGTCTCCGCTGGTAGTCATCATCGACTTCGTCTTGCGCCAAGTCCGGGATATCCATCTCCTCCACCGGTTGATGCCGATGAGCGGGAGGACGAAGAGGAGGAACTCAGTGAAGGCGTGCCAAACGAGCTGCCGGTTGAGATACTCAAAGGACACCTCTCGGCTGACCTGACTCGTTGGTGGAGCTAGGCGCATCCGCAACACTCTATCTAAGAGCGTGCGATATCTCCCCTGGAGGAGGAAGACGAGGAATGAGACGAAGGCCGCTCCCGAGTGAAGAGTCGTTATCCTCGATGTGATGCGTGAGAGTCTTTGGAGGCGCGGACTAGGGTCGCTGTATCCATCATCGTGCTCCAGCAACCAATTCTCCCATCTATCCCAGCCGTATCTTCCAAAGACGATGGCCAGTCCATACAGCGACTTCTGCCACTTGGAGGGCGGGATCAGCACCGAGCCATCCCCTCTGGCATCCGTATATTTTAGGTTCTGTAAGGCCGCTCCGTATGTCGCATCGTGATCCCAGACGGTGAGCTTGAAGAGGACCGCACGCAACGCCAAGAGTATTTCGGCCGACCAGTCGTCTTGCAAGTGGCCGCCGGCGAAGTATTTGAGCGCATCGCCGACCTGGCCCTTCAAAAGCTCCAACAATTCATCATCCAGAAGTTCGGCATCGACCTGTCCGACTCTAAAGGCCGGACGCGTCCCCTCTTGCGACGAAACAGCGTCCCATGCTGATCCGAGTCGGCTAAAGGGAAAGGGCAGGCGGTCGACCTGGGCGCGTGCTCGTGAGGATTCGCGTTGCGCTGCGATTCGGGCAGCGTTCTCGGCTTCGCGGGCTTGTCGTCGAGCTGCAAGGCGCTGCTGCGCTTGCGCGAAATTGGTCGATGTCATCTGGGCGGCATTGGGTGGTGGAATGTGCTGGTGAAGTGCAGCTGATTGCGCTTCACACCCGTCCCCCGGGTAAGGTGGTCGACGACGGGGGTTGAAAGTCGGTTGGGTAGGTTATTGCAGTGGAAGACGAGCCGAGGTCCGTTACCTATTCCACTGAGTGCAAACACGTCCACTGCCGCGGGGGTGGCCTGAGCCGAAAGTCGGCCGGCGGAGCATCTGACGTACCGGGGCGCCCGGGCCATCCATTCCCTGTGCCCATACGACCTCCGAACCTCGAGTCTGCAAGCCCAGGGCGCGGCCTTCCTTCCCCTGCTCATGTTCCCCAACCTCATTACCAAATCATTCTCGGCTGGGCTACTTTTGGGAACGTCAACCATCACCTTACAAACCATATCTGTCATGCATTTCAATCTGCATCAAAACTGCGGGAGAGCAAGCTTACATCAGATGGTGTGTCACCACATGAAGCGGGACCCCAGTCCCATCCCGACACGAAGGGCCAATACTGCTGCTGGTTCAAGATGAACATGCGCTACCCTAAGCGCTGCCTATGCTCCCTGCTTCGGATATGTCCGCAGGCACCAGGCCTTATTTCGATGCTCGTCCGCTTCTTCTTGTCTCTATCGTCACCGCTGATTCTAGGGACAATGCACACCAAACGACGCTCGAACTGCCATTCGTCCATCCAACTTGTCGGCGTGCCAGAGGCTGCAGCTACTCCCAGACGGGCAGCCCTCTCAGAGCACCCACCAATACGTTTACGACATTAAGAAGTGACCGCAGCCGATACCAAGTCTAGTCAGCTGTTTGATTGGTCGTGGTTCGGTCATAAACATACAAATCTAGGTCAAACCCGAGCCAACACGCCGCCCTCCGGTCCCAAAAGTCGGGATTATCTTGCAAAGGCACCTTCGAGGCTGTGCCGGCTCGTACGACCTGCGTTCCGATAAACAATCGTGGCGTTTCTTGAGCCACGTCGCGTTGTTATGCTCGCATTCCGTACCGCTTTTCGAATTCGATAAGTGATCACACTCGGACTTGAGCGATGCTCTGGCACATCGTGGCGTCAACCTCTTGCTCAAAAGACTCACGATATGGTAACGTTACTCACTCATGATAGATATAGCCTGTGAGTAAGAGAGATGACGAGAAACTCTGCGAATCAATATGGTATCCTGCGAGGTTTCTCGGCTTTGGACAGCTGCCGTTAGCCAGTTGATATAGCAAGGCTGATTGTGCTGACTACTCGTTGTTCTTCTGGCCGCAAGACTCGTTGCATTTGCATGTAAGGCATCAGGGGCTGCCTGCGTCTCCCGGGGAACTTTTGGAACTCATGAACTGGACATCAGACGTCATTTACGCGAAGCACAATGAGGTTCGATGAGACTCAGGCGCAGACGAATGTCAACCACGGCCTACAAACGGTCCTGGATCATCTTCTAGGGCTGACGGGACAGGCGGGAGGGTTCAGCGTAGCCGACCTGCAGCGGGCTTATTGGCCGTGACTACACTTGCAGGAAGACTAACCTCCATTTCGATCAGAGTATGCATCTAGTTCATCCTCGCCCAATCGGCCGGTACAGGAGGTGTCGTTTGACGAGGCTCGAAGTAACCCAGCCCCAATACGGACCCCCTCGCGATGCTTACCAAGATGCTTCTATTTTTCACTCTGTGAATCAAAGACTCATATTGACGCCCTTTTGTCGCTTGACTCCGTTCAAGCACAGGAAAGAATGCCTGACCAGGCGTTCAGCATGCGCGGAGTGGCAGGCATGGGTCGGCCGCAGCACTCAATACTGCTCAACCGCTTTCTCTCAGTCACTCACCCCTTCACCCGTTTCGCTCTTGCGTCACTGTATTGCTTACCTGCTAGAACCGTTATGTGGGCAGACGTAACATTGAGGCATCCGGCCGAGTTGACCAGGGTCGAGGACATTCCACGATTTACAAGCCATGGTCTTCTTCGGCATCCGAGTTACATAAACAACGCGAATCCACGCCTCTGGAACGAACACCATCACGGGCCTATCGAACACTCTAGAGCAACTAGGTCAACTGACTTCCTCCTTCTCTTGATCCGATCGTCTCGAGAATTGTGCTCAACCTTATGTACTGCACCATGGAATCCGAGACGACTTCCAGCCCTGGATCAGCCAATGGTATAGCGGACACGCAACAACGTGCCGGCGCTACAAAGTCCAAGGCAACCATACGAGCATCATTGGCCTGTGTTCCATGCAGGTCCAAACATGTCAAGTGCGACTCAGCTTTGCCTTCCTGCCTCAGATGCCGCTTAGAAGAGAAGACGTGTTACTACGCAAAGTCTCGCCGAGGGATTCGAGATCCTAAAAAGCGAAGTCTCATCAACGACCCTATCGGTCCCCCATCAATCTCAACTTCGACTGAAGGGACGACATCATTCCCATCGCCTGAGCTAGCAAGCTTCGAGTTTCCAGTCAACGTCGTCGATAGACTACCAGGAGGATGGTCAATGAGCAAAACGCAGTTCCCCAACCCTAGAACGGCCTCACCAACCTCATTTCTCTTCGATCTCTACTTCACCAACTTTCACGATACTCACTCGTGGCTTTTGCCCAAGCCACAACTACTCAGTCGTATCAGGGCTGATCCCGATGGCTTCCATTTTCTCGCAAGCTGCATCACCTACGTGGGATCTCTTTTCTCTAGGTCTTTCTCCTCAGAGGAGCTAAGAGAGAAGGCGTACAGTCTGGCGAGCGGTGGTCTGCCGATGACACCATGGACAGTACAGGGACTTCTTGTTTTGAGCGTGGCGGCATTTGGAGAGAACAGGATGGACTTGAGCAGTGGGTGGATGGACACAGCAACGCAAATGGCACTCGACCTGGGGATGCACGAGAGGTCGTTTGCAGATGCGGAGCCTGATTCGTTTGTGGCGGAGAGCTTTAGGAGAACCTACTGGGCGCTTTACTTCCACGGCAACATGCGAGCAATGCGAGAAGAGTCGCCGACTTTCACTCTGTTTGCGGTAAGGGCAACTACTGAGCTGCCGTGTGAGGAGTGGGAGTATCAGTCAGGGGTGAGTTATTATCCGCGAAGCACATGAAAGGATGCTCATGTTCATGTAGGAAATCCCGCAACCTATATCTTTGGAACAGTACGACATTAGGGATCCGATGGACGATAGAAGCTATTCTTCTTGGACTTACTTGATCGATCTATGCCGACTCTCCGGAGATCTCATTCTTCCCATGGCAAAGCTCCCTCGCGAATTACTCGCAAGCACCATTGACCGAGCGGATTCTCGAATCGTCAGTTGGTTGATCAGTCTGCCAAAATGGAAACAGCAGTTGGTTGATGCAGGAGGCGCTGTTGACATGATCCTGTTCCACGCGATGGCCTACGCCCATAGGTAAGTTGTTCACGACCACATCATACCTAGCGGTTCGGCTAAGCACTCTTTACAGCTTGAGGATCAACATGCAGCTACCCGTGGGAGCTTTAGGACTTGGGATTCGAGATCTCCTTACAATCGGTCCGCTGTTCAAAGCACGCGGATCGCCATCATCTCGAAGCCCAGAAGCCTTTTCTGTCCCTCATCAGTGGTCGGAGTGCTCCACGGCGCTTCAGGCAGGACTCTCGACGATCGGGCTTTTCAACTTCTCGTTGCCGCCGGCAAGATACAGCCCGGCATGCATTATCGGCCTACGAAAAGCTGCTCTGCCGTTGCTCGATGCAAGGATATATGGCACAGTCGACTCACCTGCTTTGCGAGAGAAGCTCGATCTGCTCCTCGGTGTGCTGAAAGTCTCCGGGGAAATGTGGCCTATCGCTAGGACCATCGGCAACGAAGTGAACGACGTGCTGAGGGATATGGACGTCGCGAACCACCGCAACGTGACGCCGCAGTTTGATCCGAGTTTAGACGCCTTCATCAACGACATGTCTTCGGGGTGCGTCGAGGATCCCAACTTATTCGCCTTTCCCGAGCCAAGGACGGCCGATGACATGCTTCACTGGAATACAGGTCTGACGGGTACTTTTCAGGTTTAGCTGGCGCCGGGAAGAAGTCTCTTGATGCTTTTGCAGATTTGTTTAGATGCGATCTGGGTGTATCAATCGCTTGGTTTCACTGTTTTTTTTCCTTAAATACCTTCTATCATTTCTGTACTATCTTGAAGATTGTGCTGTGTTTGGGTTGAGCAATATCTCAGCTTAGGGTTTTTGTCTCAGCACTTACACCAGCACTGAATTATCAAAGGTTCCCATCGCCTAAACCCAGATTGCGCATGAGGATAAGACTCATTCAGTACTTGAATTTGAAAGCTCGAATACCTAAATTATAATCAATGGTTCTTGAAAATTAAACAGCGCCTACGAATTATAGGTATCGTAGGACATAATGCAACCTACTAGAAGCAAGATACGCTGCTGAAGTGGCCCCGAGATCCCGTTGTTGGTGCTGTGGATGATAGCACATGCTCCTTTCAGCACTTCAGATCCCTGCCTCTTCCATCTTTCATAGAAAAATAGAGTTAATTTACTACCCGAAGTAACCTTGGTTGCTTCCTGCTGCAAATTGTGTCTGACCTCATCTCAGTCGGCATCTTCACTCGGGCAGTTGGTGGCCCTTCTTCAGCGCCCCACTACCCCGCGATGACAGCCCTGTGCCTTCCTTACGCGCCAGGACGTGCCCCGCCACAGGTGACAACGCTTTGCCTAAATTTCCCTTCTTCCTTTGAACGCGAGACCTTCCACCGCGAACATACATCTCACCGATATTTTTGGGATCAACGACACCGGCACCGACGCCTTGGTCGCTCACCAAGAAGACCGCAGAAATGAGCTTCGCTATCGAGGTACCCGGCGACGCCAATCCCCTCAGTCTGCAGGAGCTCTGCAGGGCCCTCGAGTCCGCAACCTCGACCGACTATGCGCGAAGGCAGGCAGCCGGCCAACAGCTTTCATCGTGGGAGACCGAGAACGGCTACTTCTCCTCGTTGCAGGTACGGACGCCCCGCGTAAACCACTCTTGGTTAATTGTTACTAACCTCGTATGCTGCAGACCGTCTTTCTCGACAAGTCCCTCCCCTTCGAAATCCGATTCCTGGCCGTTATTCAACTTAAAAACGGTATCGACAAGTACTGGCGACTACTACCGACCGTAAAGGGAGGCTTAGATCCGGCGGAAAAGACCATCATTCGACAACGACTGTTCCAGGGTACTCTCGAAGAGGAGGAAAGAGGCCTGTCGCTACACAACTCGCTGGTCACCGCAAAGGTCATTAGGATTGACTACCCGCAAAACTGGCCTGATGCCCTGTCCAACATCATTGGTCTTGTCAGGAGCTCCAAAGATGGCAATCAGCAGCATCTGCACGGCGCTCTTCAGATCCTTCTGCGGGTGGTCAAGGAGCTGGGCACTGCTCGGTTGAGAAGGTCACAAACCGCACTCCAGTCTGTCACCCCGGAGATTGTCTATCTTCTGGGGGAGGTATACACCGAAAAGTCGGCTATTTGGATGGGATTCCTTACGAACGGGCGCGGCGACGAGGACGAAGCCGACCTAGCCATGCTTAACAGTCTCGTCTCTCTCAAGACACTTCGCCGCTTACTCGTTGTTGGCTACGAAACACCTCACAATGATAAGACGGTTCAGCAGTTCTGGACAGTATCTCAGAATCACTTTGGACAATTCCTTGGATTTGTCAGTCACGACTCCCATGTACCTGCGCCCTACCAAGACACAGTTGGCAAGCATCTTCTGCAGTTTACAAAGCTCCACATCGATATGTCCGAGTCACATCCTGCCAGCTTTGCCGTTCTGCCGAACTCATTGCCTCTCGTACACGCCTACTGGGACCTGGTTGCCAAGTTTGCTGAGGTGTTTGAAAAATCCGGAGGCATCCGCCAGTCTTCCGGTGACTCTGGACAGTCAGAGTCAAAGTCCAAGGTGGAGGGTCCCTTGCTGGAACGACTATCGCTCAGAGCTCTGCTACTGATGAGATCATGCTTGAGGATCGCCTTTTACCCTAAGCAGACCTTCAAATACAGGAGCGCCGAGGCCAAGAAAGATGAGAATGACGCCGTTATGCTCATCAAGCAGGAACTGCTCAAGGACGAATTTGTAGTCCAGATGGCCAACACCATCATTACACACCTTTTCGTCTTCCGAAAGGCTGACCTAGATGCTTGGGAGGAGGATCCAGAAGAATGGGAGCAACAGGAGCAGAGCGAGGGTAACGCCTACGAATGGGAGGTTCGACCTTGTGCTGAGAAGCTTTTCTTGGATCTTCTCGTCAACTTCAAAAACCTCATGATACCCCCTCTACTTTCCTACTTCCAGACGGCGACAAACCCACAAGCAGATATCGCTACCAAGGAGGCAGTGTATACGGCTCTGGGTTTGGCTGCGCCTAACGTTGTCGACGTCTTCGACTTTGACAGCCTGCTGGTATCTACTGTCGTCCAAGATGCTCAACAACAAGGACCTCTCTACAAGGTGCTTCGCCGTCGAATCGCAATCATGATCAGCCAGTGGGTCACCGTAAAGATTGCGGACAATAGCAGACCAATCATCTACGAAATGTTCCGGCACTTCCTCAATCCCGCCGATTCTACGAACGACACCGTTGTTCTGATCACTGCCGCTCGCCAGCTCCGTTGGATTGTTGACGAACTGGCTTTCAGTGCCGAGGCATTCCTTCCTTACGCTGCCGACGTGCTCAACCAGCTGCTTCAACTGCTTCAGGCCGTCGACATTGACGAGACAAAATTGGCCGTCTTGGAGTCCATGCGCATTCTCGTCACGAGACTAGAGCATCATGTGTCTCAATTCGGAGATTTCATCATGACCAGTCTCCCAGGAATTTGGCAGAACTCCGGTAACGAGGACTACATGATCAAACAAGCCATCATTGCCATCTTCGCAGCTTTGGTCATGTCCATGGGGAGCGAATCACAGAGATATCAACATGTGATGGTTCCGCTGCTATCAGAAGCAGCAAAAAGCGGTTCTGATCTCCACACCTATCTGATTGACGAGGTGCTAGATCTTTGGAACTCGGTTTTGATGCAGAGCAACCCTCCAGTATCTAACGAAATCATGAGCATAGCGGAACTGTCGCTTCCGTTGCTGGAGTATCAGACAGAGACCGCAGCTGTGGCTCTCTCCGTGGTCGAGTCGTACATTCTCCTGGGCACGCAGGCGGTCCTGGAAGACCGACTACGGAGACCGTTCTTGCAAGCACTTTCAGGGGCTCTTGACTCCTCGAGTCGGGAGCAGGTGAGACAAAGCACCGTATGCATAGAGTACATGATCCGGGCTGCCTCTGAGCTTGGCGGAACCTCTGTGGTCATTCAAGACATGCTCGAGATCGGGTTCCTGAAGAAAATCTTGGAGAGTCTCCACGATGCGTGGGAAGCCCACCAAACTACGGGACCAAACAGGAAGGTCAGCAAGTTGAGCACGGTGACGGAGCGCGACTACTTTGCAATCCTGTCTCGACTAATTCTTGCTGATCCCGCCCTTTTCGTCGAGATGCTCAAGTCTTTCGGTCCTCTGGAACACGTCTGGGCTTGGCTCGGTGGCGAGTGGTTCTTCCATCTCGACGGTCTCGATCATATTGAGCGGCAGAAACTGTCTCTCTTAGCTCTCACCCGGCTATTGGAACTTCCGCCACCCATGCAGAACCTGGCACTCGGCAAGCTGCAGGACTACTTCACCTTTTGGACTGGCACAATAGCCGAACTGCAAGATGGTATGACGGACGCCACCGATTCCTTGATCTGGACAGAGATCGAGCCCAATGACTACGAGACTCCCAAGAGTCTCAAGGAGACGGAATGGGTCCAAAAAGATCCTATTCATACAGTGAACGCCATGTTCTTCGTCAAGGAGAGACTGCAGGATGTTGTTCAGCGATGCGGTGGCGAGCAACGATTTGAGCAAGAATGGGCGGTCAACGTGGATAAGGACGTGTTGCAGAAGTTTTGGGGCTTAACGCAGGTCACCAGGATTGCATAAATAGCGTCATCCTAGAGTCTTGAGGATTGGCTGCACATCGGAGAACCGGTTGGGCGGAGTAATTACGATTTCATGAGAACCAATGTGTTATAGAAGTACCATATGCCACCTTTCCAAACAGCGGAAAGCGAATAGAAGGGCTAACACCAGCGTGCGTGTCGAGATGAACGGTGAAATCGGTTCTCATATTGTGTCTTGAGTCTTATATCTGGCTTCATCTAGGTAATACACATATCACTTTACAGCTTACTCTGTCCGTCCTGCGGAACCTTGACGACAACTTTACCCCATGTGCCTCGACTGCCCAGGGCTATCAGAGCCTCGGGAATCCGGTCGAGCCCAACAAACTCCTCGTCGGTGAACTCGGTGCCGCGCAACTTACCCTCCGCAACCAGCTTCATGATGCCTTCCCAGACTTTCACAACAGTCTCCTTCTCCCTGACGGCGTACTGGCCCCAGAAGATACCCACGAGGCTAATGTTCTTGAGGAGTACCTTGTTCATGGCCACCTTTTCGATCTTACCAGCAGCGAAGCCGATGATGAGAATACGACCATTCCAGGCCGTGCACTTGGTGCTGGCATCGACCATGCCCACGGGGTCGTAGACGATGTCCACGCCCCTCCCGCCGGGCGTCAGCGCCTTCACCTTGGCGGGCCACTCCGGGTCGCGGTAGTCGACGACGTGGTCGGCGCCGAAGGACACGGCGACGTCGCGCTTGCGCTGGGTGGAGGCCGTGGCGATGACGGTGGCGCCAAAGGCCTTGGCGACCTGGACGGCGGCGAGGCCGACGCCGCCGGCCGCGGCGTGGACGAGGACGATGTCGCCGGCCTTGATGCCGGCGCGGACGACGAGGGCGCCGTAGGAGGTCGGGGCCGTGATGAAGAGGCCGCTGGCCTCCTGGTAGGACCAGCCGTCGGGGATGAGGAGGATGTCCTTCTCGCGGGCGACGCACTTCTCGGCGAAGGCGCCCTGGGTGGCGCCGAAGACGCGGGAGCCGACGGGGTACTTCGCGGACGGGGGCGCCTTGAGGACTATGCCGGCGAACTCGCAGCCCGAGGTCCAGGGGAAGGCTGGAGATTGGTGTTATCCCGGCTGCGCCGAGGTGATGAGAAATGGGTTGTAGGAATACTTACGTGGCTGTGTCTGGTATTTGCCTTGGATCTGGAGGATGTCGAAGAAGTTGGCGGCGGTGGCGTGGACTTGGACGAGGTACTCATTGTCCTTGGGGACGGGATCCGGGAGATCCGTTACGCGGAGCTCCTTGGGCGTCTTTTGGTATGAAAATGAGTCTGTGAATCCAAAGGATGGGTATGGTTTGGGGAACCAACTTACCTTGACATATTCCTTGATCTGGATGCCGCGCATTGTGATGACGACGCTGTGTGCTAGAACACTTCGAAGAGTGATGGAGGTGATTCAATTGAGATGCGATATGGGCAGAGTGTGAGAGATTGGCTTCAATGAATGAGATAGATGTGTTTACGATGAAAAAGACCAAGATCCGAGTGAGTGAAAGCTTCGAGAGTCGTTAGCTTACACCGAGTGCTACCCCATACGGCAGTCCCTGGGACCCCGAGGGGGAGGAGAGCCGAGGCATAATCGGTGGGTCGGTGTCCAAATTCCGGGGGAAGCTGGAGCTCGGACCAGGACTCTGTCGGCCTTCTACTTCAGTACGGCACCATCGTCATTCCCGCTACTGTGGCGCGTGGCGATGGCGACATTGGATGGTTCCCGTCGTGGCTAGTGTTAAGTGAAGAAACTTGGAGGGAATCTGTTGGCTGCTGACACATCAGACGTTGAAAATAGAGTTGATCAAGTCGGATTCATGGAAGATCGATCCAAGCGCTCTGAGTTTACGATGTTGCGCCTATGATGTTCCCGTAATGGTGGTTGGAGAGACAGGTCAAAAGTAAATCTGTGATGTCGGTGCTTAATTGAAGTTCACCAGCAAAGCGCGCAATTCCGTCGGTGGGATTGCGGAATACCATGTCATCAGGTCGTGGCCAGATCATATCCCCATGGCTGATTTGAGGGTGGAAGGTGATGGATGACGATGGAAGGAATGGCGACAAAGGGGCCTACTAACCTGCCTAAACTATTGTATTGGAACCGGGGTGCTCGCTGCCCGTTTAACGGCTCGGATCTTTCGCAGTTGCTGCCAACACCCATTTGCGGTGATCTGCTATGTACGTCTTTTGGATAACAAATAATGCGAAAGAAAGCCTTTGCGGGTGATATCTGAGATGGCCATCATTCCCAAGTCTGTGTGTTCTTCCCTCACTGCAACTGCAACACAAACGGTCCAGATTCGCAGCGAGAAGCGATAGGAAGAGGCCGCTGTCGTACCGGACCTTAGCTGAAGCGACCCCTGCTCCCGCCTTAGCGCGCCGCGGCAAGCAGCACCTAGGTAATTCGTGAGGTTTGCACAGGCGACCGCCGTAATCACAGTGGTCAGTGGAGGGTCCGTCCGACGCCAGTGGAGCGGAGATGCAGCGTGAGTTGCCCCTCCCGTCCTACCTAGATCCACACGCTCACCTCAATCCACTTCACCAACTGACGTCCAATCTGCGACCGCAGCTACCGACCTGACCGACCAGCCAACCTTCTACCATTCATTGCCTGCCTTGCCTCAGTAGCAGTTGACCTTCACAACCACCCTGACTTTGCCGCAACTCGCATACGTCGCCGCCTGCTTCCAAAAATTCCCAACAACCTCTTCATCCCACCTTTTTTCCTTATTCTGTCCTTCTTCTTCTTCTTCCTCAACTACTACCCCTCCGCAACCCGTTCATCCGCGAGTAAAGACGTCGTCATCGCGTTAGCGAACTCCCGAATACGAATACCTCAAACTCTGGCTATCATTTAGCTCGTCTACCGAATCAACACAATATCGAACGAGGCAATGGCCGACAACGCAGAGGGCAGCGGCGATGCCCAGGTCACCTTCAAGGTGAAGACCGGCCAGGATAGCAACCACGTCATCACCATGGCCGAGTCGGCCACCGTGCTCGACCTCAAGACCAAGCTCGCCGGCGATGACTTTGAAAACGTCCCCGTCGAGCGCCAGCGCCTTATCTACTCTGGCCGCGTCATGAAGAACGACGATACCCTTGGCACCTACAAAATCAAGCCCAACAACACTATTCACATGGTCAAGAGCGCTGCCAGCAACCCCGCGCCCCAGCCCGCCGCTTCCTCCTCGACACCTGCCGCACCCGCTGTTCCCACAAACATGCAAGCTGGCACCGCCAACAACCTGCTTGCTGGCCTGACCGGCGCGAGATATGCCGGCCACATCAACCTTCCCAGTCGCGAGACATTTGGAGCCGACGGAGGAGTGAGTGCCTACCACAATCACAGACAAATATCGCGTTACATGGGCTAATCTTACCTTCTGCAGATGGGTGCCCCGCCTTCCGACGACCAACTCGCCCAGATGTTGTCCGACCCCTCCATGCTTCAGACCATGAACGCAGCTCTCGACAACCCTGACTTCATCAATTATATGATTCAGAGCAACCCCCACCTGAGGAACGTCCCCAACGCCCGCGAGATTATCCAATCGCCCTTCATGCGCCAGATGATGACAAACCCGGACATGCTCCGCAACGTTATGAGAATGCAGCGCAACATGGCCGGAGGAGGAGGAAATGCTGCTTTCCCGGCACCTGGCGCCACCGACACCACGCCGGCCGAAGCTGCGGCTGCTGATCAACAGGCCAACGCGCAACGTTCGCCTTTCGCCGGTTTCCCGGGCTTTCCTGGCGGCGCCGGCATGGAGGGACTTGGCGACCTCAGCGCGCTCTTTGGTGCCGGCAGCCCTTTCGCGCCTCCTCAACAAGGCGCCGGCGCCGGCACTGCTGCTACCGGCACGACGACGGGCGACAATGCGCAAAACACCACAGGAGCTGCCGCCGGAGCCACGACAGATGCTCAGGGAGGCAGCGCTACAAGCCCGCCCCCAGCCAACCCCTTTGCCGCTCTTTTCGCGCCTCCTCCTTATGCTGCCCAGGGTCAAGGCCAGCAAGGTCAAGGACAAGCTCCCCCCAACCCGTTCGCTTCACCTTTTGGTCAAGTCAACCCTGAGATGATGCAACAGATGATGCAGATGTGGGGGCTGGGTGGTGCAGGCGGTGCTGGCGGTGCTGGTGGCTCTCCGGCTCCTCCTGACAACCGTCCGCCTGAGGAGCGCTACGCCGAGCAGTTGCGCCAACTCAACGACATGGGCTTTTTTGACTTTGATAGAAACGTGGCTGCCCTTAGACGGAGCGGCGGCAGCGTGCAAGGCGCAATTGAGCATCTTCTCAGCGGCTAATTATGAGTATGACAGCATGACACGAGGGACGAAGATGTTATGGTTTGGGCGGAGCGCCGTGGCGGCCGTGGAGGACGCGCGCTTTAATGGTTGATAGCTTGAGGCCTGTTGCAGGGAGCAGCACATACCCTACCTAGTTGCTTTGGGCTTTGTTTCTGGCATTTTTCAGGCGATAGGAAATTGACCAGGCACGACGTTTATGACAGCTCATACAACATTTCTCTGGAGACGGCATGCCTGAAGGAAATAGCACACTGGTAATTCCGCAAGCCGTCTCTACCCAAAAATTGTAGTTTTACCTCAATGAAAACAAGATACGTTTGAAGTGCTGGTCTTCATTTCCTCGCTGACAAAGTGATGTGGTTTGGATGGGGCAACTCGACTATCCGAGAAAAAAAGCATGTACCTCGATGAGACTCAACTTCTCTCTTCAATGAAACAGCCGCTAATCACGGCTTCAATCTAAGCACATCACATATTTGAACTGGTTACCTGAAGATGTAGCAGTCATGATTCAAGGCATTTTCTATGCTAGATTCCTCCCACAGGAAGGCAAGTAGCTTCCTTTCTGCAGCGCAGAGCTCTCACCCGCCTTGAGCCTCGCCGTACCCCGTGAGAGTGCAATCGCTGACCTCAATCCAATAGGCCCGCACATCGTGGCCCAGTCGCCGCCGGGATGCATCACGGCGGGCCCCGGCGCGACAAAGCCGCCGCTGATCGACTGGGACGTGATGCAGGAGTACATCATGCCGCGCAAGGCCTTCTTCAACAGGTACATGACGGTGCAGGACCCGGAGGGCAAGTACGCGGTCCTCGGGTTCCCCGTCCTGATCCCGCACGAGAAGTATCAGCGCAACGAGTTCATCTTCAACTTCGGCATCGTGCTGGACGCCGACGCCGACCAGGCGCCGTACGAGCCCGTCGTGCGCCGCCTCGCCGTCACGTTCAAGGAGATGGAGAAGCAGAACGAGTATCTCAGCCAAGAGGGCGCCGGTGTCGGCGGCGGCGGCGGCGGCGGGCTCAGGGGAGGGGATCGCAGGCCGATTGAGAGTTTGCTGGAGATTGTCAAGGAGGATCTGAATAACTACGGCGAGTGCATGATTCCGGTCGGTGAGTTGCTGTTGTTCCTCCCCCGCTGGTGAGCCACACCCAGTACTGACCGACCAACCCCAGACGACGCGAACACGATCAACATGAAGCTCTTCCCCCACCACGCCACCCCGCCGCAGGTGAAGGGCTGGCACGTGCCCGTCGCCAAGATGAAGTTCGCCGAGATCGTCGACCCGACGTGGGACCTGACGATGCAGAAGGTCGTCGCCCACATCGACGGCGTCAACGACGTCCGCCGCATCGCCTGGGCCGCCGACGTCTCCCTCGACCTCGCCAAGCTCGCCCTCCGCCACCTCCTCTACTACGACACCGTCCTCCTGCTCGACATGTTCTTCTTCGGCTCCTGCTACGCGCCCCGCCCCGGCATCCACGACTTCGTCGCCAACCAGGACGGCATCGTCGACGAGTGCGCCGCCTACGTCTGCATCCACGCCCGTCAGCGCGTGAGCAACTTCATGCTCGTGAAGCTGATGACGAGCTTCTGCGTCGGCAAGAGCGTCATGGAATGGCTGAGGGGTCATCAGGAGGCCGGGTTCGATGTGCTGAGGTACGTTGATGTGAGGAGGCTGGTGCAGTTCGGCGTCATCAAGGGGTGTCTCTACCGCGCGCACAAGTACGTCGTCTCCAAGCAGTATCTGGCGGCGTTGGCGACGGGACAGGCGGCGCCCAAGGCTGGCGGGGATCCGTTACAGAAGTATACCGACGGATGCCACACTTTTGACCAGATCATCACAGAGAACAACCTGACGGATGGGGAGATTATGGAGAAACTAAAGGCTCTGCCCGTCCCAACGGGGGACTTGACTGTGTTTTACCGATGAGAGGTAACGAAAGTACTGGATGTGATCAGAGGGATGGTATTTTACATTTTCTAGCATATTATACATCGTCGTACAGGCATTGTACATGGTATCGCGTCGCCCTAGAAATCATTTCTTTTCATCTTTCCCCTGGGAGTCCTTGAGTGCTTCCCGCACGCGCACGCGCTCGCTCCTCGTGGGGAACTGGATGTCTGGGTTGTTCGCCACCTCAACAGCCTCCTCCTCCTCCCCCAGCTTCTGCTTGACCATCTTCATCAATTCCCTCTGCGATGGCGACTTGCCTTCCTCCTTCGCGACTTCCTTGAGCTTCTGGATCATCACGCGCGTCTTGCCCTTGAGCGGCTCGCCGGGGTATGACTGGCCGCTCTTCTCCCACTCCTCATCGCTGACGACCTCGACGATACGCACGTTGTGCTTGCCCTTGCGGAGGATGAGGATGCGGTCGTCGATGAGGAACTTGGGCACGTCCTTGGGGAACCACAGCTTGACGGGCGTCCAGTCCAGGTTGCCGGGGACGATACCGCGCATGTCCTTGCCCGGGGCGGCGGCGACGTAGGCGCCGCTGCCCGAGGCGAGACGGTTGGCCTCGCTGACGGAGCTGCTCAGGCCCGCGGCGTGGAGGATGCGCGCGATGCCCCGGTTGTAGATCAGGTCGGCGGGGAGCTGCATGTCCATCTTCGGGGCGTTGTTCAGCGTCGTGGGGTGGCCCTCGACGGCCTGGTACGGGTTGCCATCGGCGTCGACGGCGGCGCCACCCTTGCCGTGCAAGAGCTTGTGCTGCTGCTGTTCGCGGACGGCGACAGTGGAGCCGTGGACGAGGCTCAGGACCTCGAAGGCGAGGGTGTGCTGCGCGACGCGCTTGGGCGGATCTTGCTCGTGCTCGCGCATCAAGGCGTCGATCTTTTCGTTCGAGAGGAAGGTGAAGAGGCGGAGGAGCTTCCCGACCTCGGCGTCGGAGCGTCTCATGAAGTAGCCGTAGAGGTCGAAGGCGCTGGTCGCGAAGGGGTCGAGCCAGATGGCGTTGCCGGCGCTCTTGCCAAACTTCGCGCCCGAGGAGTCTGTCAGGAGCGGCACGGTGAAGCCGATGGGGTCATCCGTCCAGTGGCTGGGCAGCTTTAAGTGGGGGTTCTCTTCGGACTCGCGGATCGTCTTGACGGATTCGATGCCTGTCACGATGTTGCCGAACTGGTCGGAGCCTCCGATCTGCATTTGCACGCCGAGTTTGGAATACAGGTGCCAAAAGTCCCAGCCCTGCATCAGAGGGTAGACGAACTCGGCGAGAGACATGCCGTCGCCCTTTTCGAGTTTATTCTTGACGCTGTGTCTCTGGTTAGCACAGGCCCCCTCGCCGAATACGAGTGACGAGCAATGGCGGGACTCACGTATCGCGGGACAACATGGGCCCTATGCGCAGGTAACGTCCTAGCCTCTTCATCACATCGTACAATGCCAGACTCTGCCACCACATGTTGTTGTTCACGAGATGCCGCTTCGCCCCGGCGTCCGGCTTCATGCCGTGCCTCCTGCCGAGCTCCTCGATGTTGACCCAGAGCTTCTTCATCTGGTAGTGAATCTTTGTGATGTTGGTCTGGACCTCGCTGTTCTTCATGACCTCGCGCGTCTTCAAACGGTCCGTCGGGTCGCCTATCCTGCCCGTCGCGCCTCCGATGAGCGACACCGCCGTGTAGCCGTTCAGATACATCCAGAACAGGGGCATCATGGGAAGGAGGTGGCCGACGTGGAGGGATTGTGCGGTCGGGTCGACACCGACATAGGCACCTATTCGCTTCGTTCGCAGGAGTTCCTTGACCTGTGGTGTGCGCCTGGTGTCTCTGGTCAGCTGTATTCATTCCTCGGCCAGGAAGCGGTGCAACTGCTCACCCTGCGACGTCCTTGATGTAGCCACGCTCCTCGAAAAAGTCCCAGATATGGGGATGCTCTCCCTTCTCAATGAGTTTTGCTTTCTCCGCCCATTCCTCCGCCGCCCTTTTCTCCTTCGCTATCACCCTCATAGAGATCCATCTGGACCGGTTCTGTTGCGATTGGACCGCAGGCAACTTGGCGCATCGTACGCAGATGTCCCGCCGCAGACTGGGGAGGCGGGGCCCCAGCGTCGACAGCATCACTTCGGTTGTACTTTACGCTGGGAAGGATCTCGGGATCTTCACTCAGAAATGTATTGAAAAGAACGACTCAAAGAAAATTGTGGAACAATACGTTGCAAGCCAAGGCGTAGAATCCAGGTCGCCTCAGAAAGGACCCAACACTTTCGCAAACCTCCCGAATGCCCCATCGCGCATCTGGACCCTCCAAAAGCTCCAAATTTTTGTTATCGGACTGCTGATAAGAAACATCATCGCATCTTCGTTCCGCCGTCAGCCGGCGGGTCTTCCCGTGTCTGGTCGTCGTCCCGCGATCCGAATCACGTGGAGCATTTTCACAGGTTCGGGAGAGACTGGCCAATCACAGCACACGCGAAATAAGCTCCTCGGCAATCCATCATCGCCATCGCCGGGTCGAGTGCATCATCCACCGAATTCTCTCTCCCAATCCCAGCCCGCAGCGAACAGCAACTCTCGACCGGCCGACCTCGCGAACGAACTCTCCCCTCTCCGAAAAACCGATTGACGGGCCCGCGCACGAGATTCGACATATACTTCACAATGGCTTCGTTCATGCGACCTGCTCTGCTGAGGCAGACCGCCGTGGCTGCCCGTATGGCCAAGACCGGCGCATCCCGCTCTGCCTTCGTCAAGCCTACCGTCCAGAAGGAGTTCGTCAACAACTCGATAAAGGCCGCCGCCTTCCACACCACCGCCAAGAGGGATCTGTTGCCCGTCGGTCCTCGTACGTACAGAGCACAACGCTCCCACCTCACTCGCGAACTCCTGCTAATTGTTTATCCACAGAGGTTATCCAGGGTTCAGGTACGACTACAAAACACCCGCGGAAGTCGAAGTCGCCTCGGAGCGCATGATGAACTGACCCTTTCCCGTGTGCAGTTAACACTCCCGCCCCCGTCCCCTCCCCGAGTCCCGCCCACGGTTCCTACCACTGGACCTTCGACCGCATCCTCGCCGCCGGCCTCGTGCCCATCACCATCACCCCCTTCGCCGCCGGCTCCCTGAACCCCACGGCCGACGCCGTCCTCTGCGCCCTGATCCTCGTCCACTCCCACACCGGCTTCCAGAACATCATCATCGACTACGTTCCCACCCACACGTACCCCAAGCTCCGCAAGGGCACCATGTGGGCCCTCAACGTCGCGACCGTCCTCGTCGGTCTCGGCCTGTACGAGTTCGAGACCAGCGACGTCGGTGTCACCGAGGCCGTCGCTCGCATGTGGAAGGCTTAAGATTCCGATTGAGGGATCGGTCTTGTTGCGTTGTTGACAACTCTTTCACTGCTCAAAACATAGAGCACGCGAGGGTTGATGTTCAAAATTATTGCCTGTAGCGAATCCCACCGATAGATTTAATGGTGGGGGAAAGAGCTGCAGAGACGGCGTATGCCGGTTATAGGAGCTGTCAAAGGGCATGGGGAGGAATTGTACGTGATTTGGGGGCGCCTGGGTTTAGAATTGGAATGGCCAGTGTACAATCACCAGTCTAGGCAAAATTGAATTGTTTGTCAATGAACCAGGTGTGGTACCCGCTAGAGGACTATGAAGGGAGCAGATACTTGCTCAGCGAAGGATCACGAGACGTCGATGAAGCACAGGTCGGCCACGCGCTCGTCAGGGCCGGTCCACGAATTTCGTCTCAAACGCAGATTTGGCCTGGCCGTGAAGGGCTTCTTATTCTCGAAGAAGGAAGACCTGAACCACCGCAGGCATATATAATCACCCGCCAAACGAGATTCGAGCTGCGACTATGATCAACTAGCGCCGGCTTGTTCACGGAGTGATTTCAAGCTCCCGATCCGGAGCCGGGTCCGGCCGTCGATGGTGTGCCGGTTCAAGCGGGTGTGGTCGCGTGTCCGGCTGTCTTTACTCCACTGCCGACACTTACACCGAAATACAGCTTCTTTCTCAAGCCTACACAATCTTCAGATTTGATTTGTATTCATCAAGGTTCTTGGATGATAAACGCCAAATGGGTGGTTTGACGTTTAGATAGTTCAATCTGCAAAAGCCGTCGATTTCATTCTCAGTGTTCATGCTAAGCGTCGACGGGACTTACAAGGGCTACTCTAAGTAGATGTTCATGGCACGAACTACGAGAAATGAATTTTATTGAGCTGAAGAAGCGAAGTTATCGGTGGCATAATGGTAGGTAGTACTCTTGCAAGTGCTGGACTTACACACATTAATTAATAGTAAACTCGATTTGTATATGACATAAATCAGTCTGTTGTGAGTTCCTAGATGTCTCACTCCGGTAGTTCGTATGATGCCAGACGCCGTACCCTGTGTCTCCCGTGGACTTGGCACAGACCACACACAGAACACCTTTGCCTGAAGAAAACCACCATTTATTCTTGCCAACTGCAAGGTCAACTCAGCTAAGTCAGGAACTCAGCTGGTAAGAACGTACTCACGCAGTATGAGGGAACGAACATTATCTCGCTGCGTCCTCCTCACACTTCCGCACTCAGGCATTGATACGTCAGGGCGCAGGGGAGGCGGGCAGCAGACGATCTTCTTGGGAGAAGCTTCTGGCTGGATGCCGACATCGCGTTGCTTGTCCGAGGGTAATTGCCTACAATGCCGTTCAGTACTGTACAATTGAACCATCGGGTCCCGTTTCCGGATGGCAATGGTGCCGGAAGGAATCGGCTGTCGCGCTTTGTCTCTTCAGAGAAGGCGTAGGATAGGAGCGACTCAAACCCGACCTCCTCAACACTCTACTGATCGACCACAGAACTCCACCTGGGAAGTCATCCCTCTACAGAGCACTAAGTAGCAGGATGGCAAACTCTCGTCTGCTATCAAGCTCTCTGAAGGCTGCAAATGGGGCCATGTGCCCTGAGCACCTTCTCTCATTGGCATCATCTTCTGGTCTTCCAACCCCGGGCAGCTTGCATTGTGCACCCGCTGATACGCAACGCTACGATTATGCATGGTAACAAGCAATCTCCTGGTCTGGCTCGAGTGGACGATTTACCGCCGGTCAATTGGCGAGCACAGCGCCATTGACAGGAGGCGCCCCAATGACTTGGAATTTCGGGAGTTCTTCCAGGGGCAAGCCTCATCTGCTGGTTATCCTTGGAGTCTTCAGATCAAGCTCCATGGCGCCCCTCAACAGCATGGACTTTCCTATCTTGACACGCGTTAAACGCGAATTCTGTCAAGATGGAATCTACGTGGCACGTCTTGTAATGGCAGTGCTGAAGCAGCAACGTGGGGGAAGCTTAGGATCAGGGGAGAATCGCCCATGTTGGTCACAGCCAGGTCCAGCACCCCACGAGATCGGAAGAGGCAACCTGGTATGTTTCGAGGCTTCCCGTGCCATTAAACTAACAAAGGATTGGCGCAAGGCACGTTGGCTCAGACAATGTCGGTTGTACAGACGTTGCGTTGACATCCAGATGGTTTGCCCATGTGCTCTGGTTATTGGTCGACACGAGCTGGTCCACATGGGCTTGCATGGGCATCCGTGTTTACCTCACCCACGCTAGAGCTCGACAACGACCTGGCGGGGTTGGCTCAATTGAGCTCCTCGTAGTGGGGTTGCTATCTTCAGGGTCCTAGACATCACCCAGGGTCTGTCTGCTTCACCTCGAGCAGTGCGATTCGATGACAGCATACCTACGCTGTTGCAACGTATATGCTACCGCGGATTATCACAAACCACGGTCGTCAATGCCATGTAGACTCTACATGTGCCTGGTCGAGTGACCTCCTCAGAGAACACCGCAGTCGATGTTCTGAAAGTCTATATATCACTCGCGCTGGTTCTCAGGTTATACGAAGTCCCCTTCTTTCGGTTCTCTTCTTCTCTAGACTTACCATTTTACGTCAATTCAACTTGCCAATAGCTTCGGCACCGCTTCAACGCATCCTCTCTCCGCCCAGAGCAATGAGAGAATACCATGGCTTCTCTTGGTGGTAACATGATGTTGCCCCTCGACTTTGATCTCAAAACCACTTTTGCTGGACTCAGCGCAGTTGCCCTTAGTGGCCTGCTGTTTTCCAAGCTCCTTTCCAAGAATGAAGAGAGCAGCGAGGCTCCCGGCCTCCTCAAGTCTTTCTTTCTCTTCTTCTACTCCTGCTTCATCAAGCCGCATAACGGCGACAAGAAGGGCACCCAACAGGATGCCCTGGAGAGCTTCTACAAGAAGCAAGCCGGCGCATATGATGCTACCAGGAAGCTCCTCCTGCAAGGCAGGGAGGACATGCTCGCGCTTGTCGCAGCACAGTTGAAGGCCAAGGCCCCCACGAAGGCTTCGAAGAAGGGCGGAAAAGAGAAGCGCATCTGGGTTGATGTAAGTAGTTGCTACTATTGTTCTGAGCTGTTGCTGATCCCGAACTTCAGGTTGGTGGAGGAACAGGCTGGAACATCGAGGCCATGTCTGCGTTCGTCAACGTCCCCGAGTACTTCTCCAGCGTCTACTTGGTCGACTTCTCTCCCTCCCTCTGCGAGGTTGCCCGACAGCGCTTCGAACGCCTTGGCTGGAACAATGTCAAGGTCGTTTGCGAGGATGCGAGAAAGTTCCGCCTGGAGGATTATGAGAATGATATTCCGAGCAATCGCATTCCCCCTCGTTCGCCTGTCCTGAGCTACTTCTCCCAGAAGCGTGCCGAGCATGGCGGCGCGGATCTCATCACCATGTCATACAGCTTGTCCATGATTGTAAGTCTTCAACGGATCATGTTGTGCTTTGACTTGTGCTGATCTTTAATTCGCAGCCTGACTACTACTCCGTTATCGAATCGCTCACCTCTCTCCTGTCTCCCGACGGTGTTATGGGAGTCGTCGACTTTTACGTTCAATCCCAAGTTGATTTCGCGTTTCGCAACTACACCGGTGGGCTCGTCGGACGCCACGTCAACTGGTTCCTGAGGACTTTCTGGCGCGCGTGGTTCGACATTGACCGAGTCGGCCTCGAGGCCAGCCGTCGTGACTATCTCGAGTATAAGTTCGGTACCATGCTCAACGTCAACACTCGCAACTATACTCTTGGCCGCATCCCTTACTACATCTGGGTCGGATGCCACAAGAAGCCTTTCTCTTCTACTAGTCTCCCCCACGAGATTATTGAGAAGATTGATGCTCTCGCCACCGAGTCTCCTCTCCTGTTGCCTGCCAACCAGGGCGATGCTCTCACCCGCGCGATCGACAGATCCGCGCCGGAGATTCGTTCCAAGGCTTTCATGACTGCGATCCAGAACCTCTCGGCGAACTTGCCTCTCCCCTCGTTCTTCTATCAAAACCACCACTGGCGCATCTACTACGATGACCAACTTCAGAAGCACAAGCAGTTCAACGACGAGTACATCTACGCTTTTACGTGGGAGGATTCTCAGGTGGACGCGCGCTTGCTGAAGCTTGGTTCGGACGACGTCGTGCTGGCCATCACCAGCGCCGGAGACAACATTCTCTCTTACGCTATGCAAAGCCCGGCCAGAATCCACGCCGTTGACCTTAACCCCACACAAAATCACCTCCTGGAGCTCAAGGTTGCGTCATACACTGCTCTTCCTTACGAGGACTTCTGGAAGTTATTCGGAGAGGGCAAACATCCCGACTTCCGCAACCTGCTCCTTACCAAGCTGTCTCCTCACCTGTCCAGCCGAGCGTTCCAGTACTGGCTCCAGAACGTCCATGTCTTCGCCAACAGCAAGGGGTACGGTCTGTATGACACCGGCGGCTCTCGTCACGCTATCCGTGTCTTCCGCTGGATCAGCCGCATCTTCGGATGCCGCGCCGCTGTCAAGGAGCTCCTCTCCACAAAGACCCTCAACGAGCAGCGTGAGATCTGGCGCAACAAGATCCGTCCCGCCCTTCTGTCCAAGCTCGTCTGCAACCTCGTCGTGAGCCAGGAGAGCTTCCTCTGGGCCGCCCTCGGCGTTCCCAAGAACCAGCTTGCCATGATTGAGAACGACCACGCGGAGAGTGAGGCCGTCAAGGGTCCTTCCCCTACCCACCGCAAGGTCCGCTCTCACGCTATCTGGCGCTACATGGTTGACACCCTCGACCCCGTCGCCGAACAAACTCACATTGCCACCAACAACCCCTACTACCATGTCTGCATGACTGGAGACTTCACCCGCCGCTGCCACCCCGACTACCTCTCCGAGAAGGCGCACGCCAAGCTCTCGCGCCCGGGCGCCTTGGACGGCCTTCGCATTCACACGGACGAGATTGACGAGGTCATTAACCGCATCACTCCCGGAACTCTGACCGTCGCCGTCATTATGGACAGCATGGACTGGTTTGATCCCGGCTCCCAAGCAGCCGCCGCCCAGATCACTAAGCTCAACCGCGCGCTCAAGATGGGCGGCCGCGTGCTTCTGCGATCGTCTGCACTGAGCCCCTGGTACGTGAAGGTGTTCGAAGCCCACGGCTTCTCTCCTAAGCGCCACGGCGCCCGTACGGAAGGTGCTTGCATCGACCGCGTCAACATGTATGCCTCGTGCTGGATTTGCACCAAGGTTGAGAACCTGCCTCCTCCCACACCGGAGATGGATCGCATGGGTGGTTCGGAGATCACCAGCTTCTCTCTGTGAACATGATGTGTGATGAAAATTGGGAATGCGACGGTCTGTCGGGCGAGAGGGCGCAGGACGACTAATGAGGACTGGTTATGGAATGTTTTTGTTAAAGATACTTTTGAGCGTTGAGAGAAATACACAGAACAATATGGCAACTGAGTAAGGTCACCAGATCACAGTGTGAGGCGACATGAACGAGCGAGTCGCCCGTATTCATAAGAATGTATGAAAAGAAAAAAGAACAATACAAAACCTCAAAATGAAACAACTTGGAGTACCAAGATATATATTGAAGCATGAGATCGAATTTGAAGTGTCATCGTGATAAATACACAGCGTGCTGCAGCAACTGAGGGAGTTCCACATCCGCCCTACCTCACCCAAGGTACCTACCTACCTTTAACGCGCTGTTGCATACAGCGAAGTACCTTCCGGCGCGTGTCACAAGAAGCTGAGCTCCAGAGTACATCCCCAGACTTTCCATCAGCAACGCTAGGGTGTACCCAATGCCCGACAACCAGGGGCGGTCGACCCATACTTTTGCTGCCATCAACCAATCCGATAAGGCTGCTTGGCGTGCAGGGCGGCGCGATATCGACTTCCAGTGACGCTCGTCGTCAACCATCATAATCCAAACTTCGACATCTCAATCCATCTCAGCATTCAACAAAGACAACCCGCATGATTCAGCTTCATCAACAGTTGGATCTCATTTGAGAAGACCGACCACATACATCCCGCGATGCCTCCCGCAGCGAGCCAGAAGGGCACCGGCAAGAAGGCCGGGCCCAACGCAATGCGACAGCGCAGCCGCAACACAACACCGAGCTCTGCCGTCCCGTCCGCCAGTCTGCCACCCATCGAAGCTGTCGACACCGATTACCTCGAACTTCGTGTCGAACAGTTCCGAAACCTGACCTACGATGACCTCGTCGATTCATCCATACCTAGCTCTGCGATACCCGACTTCAAAGCATTTGAGGCCATGATCGCTCGTCTCCAGCGCCTGCAAGAGACCATCGACAGACGAAGCAACTTCTGCGACAGGGGCATGCGCATACTAGCCAACACCCGCAAGCAATACATCAATGATGTCGACGAAGGCGCGAACGAAGGCGGCAAGACTGACGGCGATTCCAAAAAGACCGGCAAGACGAACAAGAAGAAGAGGAAGGCCGCAGATACCCTGGCACCCCAGGATGCTGGAGTCGGTAGGTCGCTACCCCTTCCTGGCCCTGCGTGGCCTAGTGTCCTTTTCATTTTTTTCTTGGTTTATTCGTGGGGCATGCGACGCTCGTCGGGAGCTCACCTCGTCACCGCGAGTATTCCTCGTATTCACTTCAGTACTGACCTCACCTGTTGCTCCAGAGCGGACATCCCCGCTTAGGGAATCCACTAAACCACGAAAGCTTTCGCGCGACAACGACTCGGCCAGTTCTTCCCTGTCCCCAGTCGCGCCCGCCACGCCCTCAGCAATGGAAGTCGACGAAAAAACCAAAGCAGAGGAAAATGAAGACGAGGAAAGTTCAGAAGACGAGGGCGCGCCGCCCAAAAAGGCGCAGCCTGCGGCACACACATTCGGCGACGACCCCTCGACCTTCCCCGACCCGACCGTCTACGAAATTCGCCCGACACATTCTGGCATGTCCGAAGACGAGCTGAAGGAAATTTACTCTGTTGCCGTGTTTCCCAAAAGCGATTTGGCCGATCTCATAGCAGGAGATCCGCCCGATAAGGACTTTAGCAGCGCCAAACCGAACAACCAAATCAGCTTCTCGACGTTTTCGACGTACATCGAACCATACTTTCGGCCATTTGCGGAGGAGGATCTCGCCTTTCTTAGAGAGCGAGGCGACCGCGTCACTCCTTTCCACATGCCCAAAAGAGGCAAGAAACATTATAGCGAAATTTGGGCGGAAGACGATGGCGCCATGGCACTCGACAAACCTCAGAACGGGCGTGAACAACTGGCCCCGAACCAGGCCCGCGGCGCGATTGACAACATGGACGATGAGGTAGCGGAGACGGATAAGCTCTCAGTCGGACCGCTGCTCTCACGGTTGATGCAGGCAATGCGACCCGAAAATCGCCCACAGGTTGACGAAGAAAAGACCAGCGTCAACGGTGTCAGTAATGGCGACACCGCTATGAATGGCAGCGTTAATGGCGAGACTGGGGATGCACCGCAGAGCTCCAGTGACGATAAGGCCCCACCGGTGCCGCCCGCGTCCTTCATGCCCGAATCGAACTCAGAGGCTTGGAAGAAGGCGTCACATCCCAAGCTGGAATACACCCAGGTCGACGAGCGAATCAAGCAGGAGCTCAGGCACATAGGCTTCCTACCCCAGGAAGGCAATTTCGAGAGCGAATACGACGGTGCATACGACGACGAGGTAGCAGCACGTCTGCGCTTGTTGCAGGGTCGCTTGCGGGAGCAAATGCTCATCAACGGCGCGCGCAAAGCCAGGCTTACGGAGCTTGTAAAGGAGCGCATGGCCCACCAAGAGTACCAGACCATTCTCGAGGATCTGGACTCTCAGGTCCAGGCCGCTTATCTCAAGCGAACTCGTACTATGGGCAAGAGCAAGAAGAACAAGCGTCCGGGTGGTGCGGGAGGCGGCAGTCATGCTGTCGGCGGCGCGGCTGGTATGGCCAGACCGGGCATCGGCGACTTGACCAAGACGCTCATGGAACGTCGCAAGAGGTGGATCGACACTATTGGGTCGGTTTTTGACGACGAGAACCTGGGCAAGGTCCCGCGCAGCTCCGAACCCGACTCGTCCATCTTCAAGGCTAACTTGATGAGCGATTTGATGAAGAAGGAGAAGGCGCAGTGGGACGAAGAGGTTGAGGAAGAGTGAGCGAGCAGCGAACTTACTTTTCTGAGCAGTCTACTGCATCGAAGGTGACATACGTTATGACTGGCGCGTCTTTGGCTTGGTTTCATTTTTTAAAGTGGGAGGCTTGAGGGTATTCGACTTTCACGCGACACGGTCGACGGCGTTTGGGCAATTATAGAGGCCTGGAGTGCGAACGGGATCATAGGACTTATCATTATCGATAGCAATCACGACACAGCCAGATCGAATGAATGAAGACATCAATACTGGTGCTGAATGACTTGTACGGCGGGGCAAATCTTGATGTTTGAGTGAGTTGCCATGTATGATGAACACTTCCTCACAGAACATTTCTAATTGGGCATCTACCGTTTGGCTGGCACGACTGCGCCTATCATTTGTAATGTCCACCTTTCTGCGTGGCAAGATCACATCATGGTTTGTATCAACGCAGACTCTAAGTGTGATTCAATTTGCTACCAATGTTGTAAGAGTTTCAGGGCTGATACGGGTCATGTACGTTGAGGTGCCCCTATTAACACCAGTTTCCACGTAGTCGCCTCAGGTGCTCCGGAATCCTTCAACCAAACACGAATAGTTCATACCAATTCTCAACCAACCCGGCGTCGAACTTTTTGTTGCGAGTTCCTCCCTCTAGGTCCAGGAGAACAACACCACGATGCGGTTTAGCCCTCGCACGGGCTTAAATTGGTTTGCAATCAACAGCACCGAACTCGTTATGCGCTAGAAAAGCAGATGTCAGCTCGGGAACACGGTGTCGGAAGAGAGAAAGAAGAAGAGTCAAAACTTACTGGCCTCCCACCAGGCGGCCTCGACCATTTTGTGGTTGCATAGCTTACTGGCCTCGAATTTCCACAAGAGATGCGGCTCCTTCACGTTGGGGTGCTGGCCGCAGAAGTGCGGGTATTCCTTGTGCGACCAAGCAGCGCACCTGCGAGCAACACACACACACAAGTGGTTAGCAAACCGGGCTATATCCATCTTGTAGGAGGCCGGGCGGCGTGGGGGGGAGAGAGAAAACTTACGGGAGTCCATAGCGCTGCACTCCCGCCCAGAGTTTGTGGCAGATCTCGGTGATGTCGGTGTTCTCGGGTATGAAGCGGGCATTCACACCGTATTGGTAGCCTATCCATACGAATTCCCACATCCTCGGCCTTCCTCCGCAGCGCGACTCTGGGTTGCGAGCGGGAGTGGGTGCCGGGACCGGTGCTGGCTTGGGCGATGACTTGGGAGACGGCTTGGGTGATGGCTTGGGAGATGGCTCGGGTGATGCCGTGGTCGCCGGCGTGGGTGCCGGCTTGGGTGCCGGGGCTGGTGCCGAGACTGATGTCAGGGCTGGTGCTGGCGGCGCGGCGGACACGAGAGTGACTGCCCAGAGCAGGAGGAGGGTTGGTGAGAAGAACTTCATGGTGGCAGGTTGCGATTGTGGCTACGATACCGATGCGTACGGTTCGACCCTGGCGTAATCTGCAATGAAGAAATAAAGGGGATGGGAAGGGATGCCGGAATGATAGAAAATTCTTCCCAGCAGTCGGCTTCTTATACCTGCGTGACGGCGACACCATTTTGGCAGAAGGACCATGAGGGCATCGCGAAGAGGGGACTTACAACGAAAAGGTTCACCAGCTTCATGGTAGGTTCAAGCCATAATTGTCACTTACTCCAGGTAGCAATTAGGCACCCTACCTCCTACAGCTCTCATAAGCATACGTACCTACACATCAAGACCTTAGATATGTTGATTCCGTTAATACCAGGAATACTGCCACTTACATCGATTTCTCAAAATCTAATGACGTTAGTGCTTATGTTACTTCCCAAGAATCGCAAGCATAGAATCGGGTAAACTTCTTAAACCCCTTTAGAGCAACGGCAACAGTCCGGTTCCATCAAATTCTTCAAGGTCTTTCTCCGTCCGCATACTTTTTAGCCAAGAGGGTTACCATGAACCTTGGGATATTTCCATCTCTAAAGGTTTTCGACATCCGCTCGTCCAACAAAGTACGAAACCTTCCAGTACCATCACCGCGGCCACAGAGGTCCCCCCCGGCCACCCACGGACTCAGTTCTTCTTCTTCTCGCAGTCGATGGCGCCGTACTTGTTCTTCGTGGCCTTGTACCACGCATCGTGGACCATGCCCTTGTTGCAAGCCAGTCCGCTCTCGAACTCCCACTCGAGCATGCCGTCTCCGGCGTCACGGCAGTAGTGTTTGAATCTGCCGAAGGACCAGACTCTGTGATGAGAAATTTCACGTCAGAAACCAGAGCGGTTGGTGGGGGGAGTGAGGTGGCTTTGCTTTACCCGCACATCCACTTGTTCCGCAGTTCCATCCACAAGTCGTGGCATACCGTGGGTATGTGGTCATTCACGTCGTAGGCGGCCAGGGTGTAGCGGTTGTTGACGGGGATGGGTTGGCCGCCGATGTAGATCTGGCCGACACCCTTGTAGTGGCAGTAGGGTGCTTTGGCGAGGACTGAGGCCGCGGCTTGGAGGAGGACGAGAGCGGAGAGCTTCATTGTGATGTTTGGCTGGTTTGCCTGAAGCAGCTTGGGCACTCGAGAAACGAGGTAAAATGAGACACAGTTGAGGCCGAATGATAAATTGCAAGGCCGCCTGGGGATGTCTAATGGTAGACGGGACTCCCGCGGAGAAAATAAAAATTTATATTGCTTTCCATCGTCACCTCAAATGCCCGGAACCAGACGCTTCCATGCTAAGTCGGACATTCGCCGTTGTGGTAACTGAGGATGAATAAGGCAGCCAGCTCACTTGAGTTGATGATCGTAACATAGACCAAAGGATGGCATGAAGGGGGGGCTTTGTTGATAAAGGCGACTTTGGTAGAGGTTACCAATACTCATACCTCAGCATCACCCTTGTGTCCTTCCAAGTCTCTCTGGTTGTCTCGATGAACCCCAAAAGCTGCACAATTGAAAGCCCAAAGACAGAAAGAAACTGGTCGCACAGAGACAATGCGCCGCAACTCACGCCAGCTTGGCGTGGCTGTTTTCGCAAAGTCTTTTCAACCCTTCTTTTTCGAAAAACATCCCTTCGCAGCCGTCCTTGCATTTGAAAACTTATTTCATTTCCGACTTCTTGTCGAGAGCACTTGGCAGTGGCTGTTTAGGGTGAGGCCTGGGAAGCTTTGACGAGCAACATGTTGGGCACTGCTACTTGTGTCATCTTCTTTTCTCGTTTTCGCCGCTCGGCAGACTTGGAAAAGTATGCTTTCGTCGTGATAGTTGCCATTGGTGCTCTGATATCTCTCGCTGTTCGACCTCATCTTGACCCATAGGGCTACCACCGCGAAGACCCTGGTTATCATGACATGATCTGTTTCGACCGCCAGTGCTGGTCGTTCAACCGAGGTAGACCGAAGTTGGAGACTCCAGTGCGTGAAAAGTGACGTTGCTTCGACATGGTGAGTAAAGAGGATGACCAGAGTACATCGGATACGGCGGCAGACGTTGGAGGTCATATGGAGGTGGTGTTCGGAGAAAGCGACAGCGGCCCGATGCATGAGACGGCGCTCAAGCTTATCGGCTGAGATTGGACGTAATGCCTATTAGACAGAATCGAGGCTTGTATTGGCAGTTCGGTGCCTGTCGCCCCCAGGAACTTCCTTGTGCGGGGTAACTACAGAGCAGCGGGGGGCCTATCAGAACCTGCCCTTTCCGGGAACTCATCCAACGCACCGGGCCCTGATTCCTTATCAACCCATTCCACTTGGCCGCCGGTCCAGGCCCGAGGGGCAGCCACCAGACTGGACCGGCCTGGGCGCGGGCGCGGGCGGGCGCTATCTCTCGGGGACACTCTGCTGGTCTGGGTATGGTGCGCTGACGAGGAATTCGATCTTTTTTTCCTTCTCATCAACAACTTCAGGCTCTTCGTCTGTTTCTCGAGAGGTTTTGGGTATTGAAAGCTCTCGTCAGGATGCATCTCGTACCAAAAGAGGTTCGTATCCCCTAGTCTCTTCTCTCTTACACATCCCTGTCGCCTTGGCGGGCCAGAGGAAAGTGAACAGCAACGTTAACGGGGGACGTCGTGATTGCAGCTCGATAAGCTCACCATTTCTCAATTGGGCTTCCTGGCCCAGCGTCGCCTTGCCAGGGGCGTCAAGTTGAACCACTCAGAAGCAACGGTACGAAAACCTACCTCAGTGACGATATCGCTCGAGTCCAATCTCTCATGCACTAACACACGCCACAGGCTCTCATCGCGAGCAACTTGCAAGAACTCATCCGCGATGGCAATCACACCGTCGCCGACCTGATGAGCCTGGGTGCCACCATGCTGGGGAGACGTCACGTCCTGCCCGCAGTATGTAGTACCCTTCACGAGATCCAAGTCGAGGGCACCTTTCCCTCAGGGACGTATCTGGTCACAGTCCACAGCCCCATCTCAACAGACGACGGAGACTTGGCGCGCGCCTTATACGGGAGCTTCCTCCCTGTGCCGAGCAACGATCTCTTCCCCAAGGCCGAGGTCACGGCATACGAGCCCAAGAAACAGCCTGGCGCCGTGGTCGTCGCCTCCAAGAGGGTGACACTCAGCCAGGGCCGCAACCGCATCAGACTCAGGGTGACGAGCAGGGGTGACCGCCCGATCCAGGTCGGCTCACATTACCACTTCATCGAGACGAACCCGCAACTCGAGTTCGACCGTGAGAAGTCCTACGGCTACCGCCTGGACATCCCCGCCGGCACCTCGGTGCGCTTCGAGCCCGGCGACGTCAAGACCGTCACCCTCGTCGAGATCGGCGGGAACAAGGTCATCCGCGGCGGCAACAGGCTGGCCACCGGAGGCGTCGAGCTGTGGCGCGCAAAGGAAATTGTCGAAAAGTTGCAGTTGGCCGGTTTCGCCCACGCCCCGGAACCGGAGGCCATTCTCAACTTCACCGAGCTGTTCCAGATGGAGCGGGCCGCTTACGCGACCATGTTCGGCCCCACCACCGACGACTTGGTCCGGCTTGGCAGCACCGACCTCTGGGTCCGGGTCGAGAAGGACTTCACGGTGTACGGAGACGAGTGCAAGTTCGGCGGCGGCAAGACGTTGAGAGAAGGCATGGGCCAGGCGACGGGCCGGCCCGACTCGGAATCGCTCGACATGGTCGTCACGAACGCGCTCATCGTCGACTGGTCCGGCATCTACAAGGCCGACATTGGCGTCAAGAACGGCATGATCACTGGAATCGGAAAGGCGGGCAACCCGGACGTCATGGACGGCGTGACGCCCAACATGATCGTCGGTAGCTGCACCGACGTCGTCGCCGGCGAGGGTAAGATCATCACCGCGGGCGGCATCGACACCCACATCCACTTCATCTGCCCCCAACAGGCGAACGAGGCCGTCGCGTCCGGCATAACGACGATGCTTGGCGGCGGCACCGGCCCCAGCGCCGGCACCAGCGCGACGACCTGCACCCCGGGCAAGAACTACATGCGCGAGATGTTGCAGGCCTGCGACTCGCTGCCCCTCAACATCGGTATCACCGGCAAGGGCAACGACTCCTCGCCCGAGGCCCTCCGCGACCAGGTCAACGCCGGCGCGTGCGGCCTCAAGCTCCACGAGGACTGGGGCACCACCCCGGCCGCCATCGACACGTGCCTCAGCGTCTGCGACGAGCTCGACGTCCAGTGCCTCATCCACACCGACACCCTCAACGAGTCCGGCTTCGTCGAGTCCACCATCAACGCCTTCGCCGGCCGCACCATCCACACCTACCACACCGAGGGCGCCGGCGGCGGCCACGCCCCCGACATCATCTCCGTCGTCGAGCACCCCAACGTCCTCCCCTCCTCCACGAACCCCACGCGCCCCTACACCCGCAACACCCTCGACGAGCACCTCGACATGCTCATGGTCTGCCACCACCTCTCCAAGAACATCCCCGAGGACGTCGCCTTCGCCGAGTCCCGCATCCGCGCCGAGACCATCGCCGCCGAGGACGTCCTCCACGACCTCGGCGCCATCAGCATGATGTCCTCCGACTCCCAGGCCATGGGCCGCTGCGGCGAGGTCGTCCTCCGCACCTGGAACACGGCCCACAAGAACAAGCTCCAGCGCGGCTTCCTCCCCGAGGACGAGGGCACCGGCGCCGACAACTTCCGCGTCAAGCGCTACGTCTCAAAGTACACCATCAACCCGGCCCTCGCCCAGGGCTTCGGGCACCTCGTCGGCAGCGTCGAGGTCGGCAAGCTCGCCGACCTGGTCGTATGGGATCCGGCGTGGTTCGGCACCAAGCCCACCCTCGTCATCAAGAGCGGGCTCATCGCGTCGGCGCAAATGGTAAGAGAGATTGATCCCGAAAAGTGGAAGAAAACGCGTTCATACTAACAAACTTCAATAGGGCGACCCCAACGCTTCGATCCCGACGGTGCAGCCCATCATCGCGCGGCCCATGTTCGCGCCCCTGGTCCCGGCGTCCTCGGTGCTCTTCGTCTCGGCGTCGTCCGTCGCCTCGGGCGCCATCGCCTCCTACGGCCTCAAGAAGCGCGTCGAGGCCGTCCGCAACTGCCGCGGCGTCGGCAAGAAGGACATGCGCTACAACGACAGCATGCCCAAGATGCGCGTCGACCCGGAGAGCTACGTCGTCGAGGCCGACGGCGAGGTCTGCCGCGCCGACCCGGCCGAGGAGCTGCCCCTGACCCAGGCGTTTTACGTGTACTGAGTGAAAGAGAAGGACAGGTGATGACGGATACGCGCCGTCATCGTCGTTGTGCATGAGAAGAAGAGGAGGAAGAAACACACAGCAGCACGGAGTCGGGAGTTTTTGAAGAGGGAAAGTGCGGGTCGCGTACTTGGTTAAGTACAGCTACACCCATAATTCTGTTGACTAAGTGAGGGGGAAGTAAAGCCAGAGCTCTCTCGATCTAGACGTAGTCGAGAAACATGTTTCAGGGCCGGCGGGAGGGAGCATGCATGGACGGAGCCGTAATGACATGGATACACGCAGTATGAATGAGCAGACAAAAAGCAATACATCCTCTATTTCATCGTTCAAAAAACACATGAAGTTGAGTCCAAATAAATATTCGTGGTCAGGCTCAGACAGATTGCTCGTGTCGTTTTTGGTTTTAGTAGGTGGGCAAGGTCTCCCTCGTACGTTCTATCTCAACGGCGACTAAAGCAAGCCCAAACCATATGTCAACGACAACTCGAACGCTTAGGTTCTAAGAACACGAACGGCATTGGAACCGCTGAGACGACACAGAGTAACTATCAAATAATTGTTGATTCGTGTCCTTCATAATACATACAGAACACACGATGAGGCTCACCCGCAGAGCAAGCCAATCCCCATTCCGAAGCCTTTCGCTCCCTCTGAGCGTTTTTGTGTTCCTCGCGTACCCATATGAGATCCTTATCACGCCTATAAAATCATACACACCGCGCTGACTCGCACGGGCAGCAACTGAAGGACCTGAGCAGAAAACGGTCCGCATCCCCCCGTCCAGTCCGGTCTATTGGCATATGCGCCAATACAAGAAGGCGACCAAAGGGCCGCAAAAGCCCGCGCAACGAGGTATCATCTTTGCAAAAATCCCAGAAACCCAGAAAGTAGAAAAGTCGAACAAGAGAAGCAAAGAAACCCGTTCAGTTCTTCTTCTTGCTGCGGCTCTTCTTGGCTGTTGCGGGCTCCTCGACGGCGTCGGCAGCCTTGGTTGATGTGCGACGGCGCTTCTTGTCAGGGCTGGCAGGGGTTCCAGTGTTCTTAGCCTCAGCCTCGGCGGCGGGAGTGGCAGTCTTGCGCTTGCGGGTGGAAGCCGGCTTCTTAGGGGTCTTCACAGGCACAGGGGCCTCCTCCTCATCGTCATCCTCGCCGACAGCGTCGGCAGAGGTGCCCTGAGCCAATTGGTCGGCAATGGCGTCCTCAACATCAGGAGCGGCCTCAGTAGCAGCAACCTGGATGTTGTGCTCCTCAGCGTACTTGAGCGCGGCCTCGTCGTCCATGAGTCTGGCTTCGAGGTTGCCACCCTGCTTGTAGGCGTGGACGCGGGCCTGGTACAGGCGGAGGTTGTACTGGTAAGCGTTGTTCCAGCCCTGTAGTTGAGTCAGTACACGTGCTCGTTTGACGGCGATGGGCGCAGACTTACAGCCTTCTCACCGGGGCTCATGGCCTTCCAGCGGCGCTGACCCTCTTCCTGAACGGCACCCTTGGGGGCTGCCTCGCCAAGATCGTTGGCAATGATGGGACGAGCGGTCTGCATGTACAGGAAGTAGGGAGTCAGAGGACGCTTGGGAGCGTTGGGGTCGTGGGTGCGCTTCTTGCGCTCCTTCTTCTCCTCAACAGGGGCGGGCTGGTAGGCAGGACCAGCTTGCAGGCCAAGGGCCATGGGGGCCATGCTCTGAGCGACGGCATGGTCAAGGTTGATGAGAGGGTGGTCAATGCCGGGAATGCCCTCGATAGCAGACTCGCCGAGAAGAAGGCTGGTTTGGCGGTAGTAGTCCTCAGAGAAGTTCTTGATGAGCTCAAGGATGGTAATCAGGCGTTGGTGAACCTGGCAGTTATCGTTAACATTTGATTCAGACACGCGTGAATTGATAGAGATGAGAAGCGAAGCAGTTGGGGATGCAATCCCCGAGTCGAGAGTCACTTGCTCCCGAGACGCGTGGATCAGATCGGGATGTAAACAAAAGGTGCAGGCGAGAAGCGCGCTTTGCAGGTGGGCGAGGCAAATAGCGCCTGCCCAAGTGCAACAGCTCGTCAATCGCATGACGGCTATACAGGTGATGTGAAAGGCATACAAAAATACGCGACAATTGAGGGATTGGTGATGAGATGATGGCGGCCATGTCCAGAACCGCGGCGTCTCGGGCTGCGATGAAGCAAAGGCGGACTTGACTCCGTGGCACGGCACATGGTCGATTTCTGTTGTGGATGGGTTTGTGGCGGAATAGAGGGCGGGAAATGGAACGGTGGACGCAATTGAATTGCCATGGGCATGGGAAAAGAATGGCTTACCGAGTCGCGGACACGGACAAAACCGTCGACGTCGATTTGTCTTTGATGCATCTGGATGGGCGCGACGGGGTGGGCTGGGGCGACAGGAACAGCGGCGACGGGGACCTTGGGGGCCTCGACGGCGACCTTCTTGGCGGGACGAGGCATGGTGATGGTGTTTTGGGCGCGGGTTAAATGTTTTGCTAGGCCAATTGAGCGCTGGAAATAATGCTTTGATGGGCGGGCGACGACGCTGGAGTTGTAGTTGTTGTGGTGGAGTTTGCGATGGCAAAACAAAAGGGCTGGGTGTTTTGGGGGATAGGGGCCTAGAGAGTGAAGGAACGGGGGAAAAAGAGGGAAAGTTTGGGAGGTTGGGGGAGGGCCCGGGTCGAATATGTACTGCTGCCTGCTGGGGAGGGGTTTGCGAGTGATTTGGCGCACCTCTGGCTTTTTGGGGGGGGTTCAAGAGGAGGGAGGGGCGAGGGGACCGGGGAGAGGAAGAAAAAAAAAAATTGTAGGCGGGTGCGAGTAGACTGCCCGAAAAAAATTCTGAGCGAAGCTGCACCGGGCCCAGCGTGAGCCAGGGCATCCGCTCCAAATGCCAGCCTGCCAGGGCTTCCGAACAGCACCTTCTCCAGCTGACTCCTCACGACTCCCACCCAATTCAAACCTTCTCTCAGTCAATCACATCATGCGACACGTAAAAAGTGCCTTACACCCCTGCAGAGCCCAAGAGATGGCATCCACCTCAGGGCTTCTAATCAGTAAAAATCACCGCGACCATCGCCCGATCGGTCTCGTCTAGCTGTGCAGCCCCTCCTTCGATTCTTCGTGAAGTGAAGCTGAAGCGACTAAGAAAAAATAGCAGGGCCCTCTCTCTCCCCACCGTCACCGTCAGTGAGAGAGAGGCTGTCTCGACCCTCAGCGCTCTTTTTTTTCTCGCTTCAGAACGCGCGCTTTTCACAGCAATGTGTCCCGTAGGTACCATTTGAATTTAGCAGATGACCAAATAGCACCCGCCCAGGCCAGGCCCGGTCGCTGGCCACAACAGGCCCAGAACACGACGATTTCAGGCCACCTCAGCGAGAGACAAGATCACACCTAAGAGGGCCCTTGATGAGAGGGCAACGTCTGGTGCTGCAAGCTTTCCTCTACTGTACCCGCCCAAAATCCCTTCACCAAAAAAGGTACTCGCTACTAGTACCTTAGCCAGCTGCGTACCTTTTTATCGGCTTTCGCGCACCGGGTGCTCTTGCAAGTTGCCGCCCAGGACCTAACGTCCCGAGCCTCGTTGTCTCTTGGCCGTACTTTACTAATATAATAGCTGCAACGGACTGCCAAATTCTCATAATTCGTGGGAACAACGGGACACTTTTCTGGTCATTTCTGTTATTTACGCATGGTTTCGAATGCATGCATCCGTTGTTCGTGGCCGTTGCGGGCTGTTGGACTGCCTGGGCGCGATATTCGTCTCGCTGGACCTCGATCTGATGCTCTGGCGATACTTCCACTGGACTTTCAGCGGGGTGGTATTGGTGACGGGATGCTTTTCGTCGCCCGTTTTTTCTCGCGGGCCTCGCGGGCCTCGCGGGCGCCCACATTTCTGTGTGTGCACCATCACACACCTCATTAGCGATCGAGGCCCTGTCGCCCAATGAGGGCCCTAGAATTGGGGCACCTCTTCTGAGAAAAAAAAAACAACAACAACACCGGGCCAGGGGTGCACTGCCTCGCCCTCAACCCTCGACGAGACCCGACGGGACTCTTTTCGCAGTGCCCAGCAGGCCCAGGCACTTTTGTCCATTAAAGCAGCAAGGACGAGACGCCTGGCGGAGTTGGGTACTTGCCCTCTCCGCCATGGCGTCCTCAGAGGCTCAGTCATCCCCCCCGAAAATTTCCTGCGAGCTTGCGAGCTGTTCACTTCGAGTCCCCTTTCTTCCCGAGACCGACAGCGGACTCGTTCTGAGCCTTTCCCCACCATCCTGCCTGTCTTTCTCTCAGTTCTACGCCAAAATTCAGAACTCAGGCCCCGTTATCGCAGCATGCTCTGCTCCTCGTCGGCGCTGAGCTGCTCAGCTCCCCCGACCCAAGTCGACACAGCACGACACAACCACCTCACTCCTCGTTCCTCCAAGTTCGACCTTCTCGCTGAGAGCGCCCTAGCCGACGCGCTTCCCGTCGGCCTCCTCTTCACTCTTCAGACGGCCCTGGGTGAGGTGAGTTAAGGTACCTTCAGCGAGGTACCTCCTCCTCACTCAACTGAGGCTCATCCTTCACTGATGAGTCGCTGAGAGCCCTGAGCTGTGAGCCAGCTCTTCATTCACTCTCTTCTGACTGCTGGCGAGCCGAATGACGCCTCGAAAGCGGGGTGAATCAGAAGGCCGTCGCTCAAGGCGCTTCTCACCCTCTGGACTGAGGGTTTACCGCCCCTCTGACGATTCACGTCGTTCAGCGCTGACTTCGGGTCTGGTCGCTGGAGTTTCGGGGCATATTCCGTCACATGCCAACATTCCATTCAGAGGCCAGAAAACCAGCGACCTGTATCGCCAGCTTGCCTCGCCAGCCTGTCCTGTGCCTGACAAGCCGTGACAACCTAAGGTACCTTGGGTACACGAAGCATTCACCGCAGGCCTATTTACCCTCACTGTTGAGGGCTTTCTATCGATTCACACGAGCATCTGAGTGAACTCATCAGCAGCGCTTTTCGCCGGGAGCACCTCTAATGAACCCTCCCGTCCTTCTCGTGGTATTTCATCTGGAGGCAACACACACACACACTCTCTCTCTCTCCAATAACTGCCCGCTCCTCTGCCACCGAAAGGACCGTTGAATGGCTGCGGCTCTCGCCTACAATACCGTGAATGCTCCTGTCTCTTGCCCAGTCATGACACATTTCGATACAGTTGTCCTGCTGTCTATTTTATCATCACTGTGATCATGATCTTAGAAATCTGTCACGAACACATCACAAAAGTTGCCAACTCGAGATTTCTTCTGCTTGCCCAACGTTACGTCGGACTCATTGCTTGATAGTGACCTCCGAAGTTAGGGACCTCTGAAGTCGCCCGCGCAGCTATGCCGTCTAAGCTACCTCTGCCATGTGTCATGTGTTGCATAGTAGCGAAGCTGGTAGCAACGCGTCGCAGCAGGGAAGCTTCGGACGCGTTGTTGTTCTGCACACACGCTGTCTGCGCTGCCCAAGCTCTCCGGGCACCACAGCACCCAGCTTGAGCCAGCAGCACGCTCACAGATGCTAGGCGGTGATTCCATTTCTTCACCGAGCTTACCTGCTCATCACCGGATCTCACCGAAGCACCAGACACCAGACACAGAGCCGGCCTTGTCGATGGCAGCAGAGCACATGCAGAGCCCCGTCTCTCATCCGACCTTCTAGTATTCGTTTTGAAGGGTTGCCGAATAAGAGGTTAAAAATGAGTTATACCCGTTCTCGGGATCAAGTTCAATCGTTGGTTGTTAACTACCTTACTTTCGCAAATCAAGACATAGCCATCAAGGATTATGGTGAAGCTTAGAGTCAGTACAGAGAAGCCACAGCAACGAATCGCAGGCTTGAGATTCTTGACCACGCGTGCGACGCAAAAGTACCAGGACCCTGTGTCGCAATGAGTCGTGCGAGGCGCCGCAGCGAACTTCTCAATTACCTACCTTTTGACTGAGGCATATCCGTACTTCACTGCGTGACTTCCCTTACGCGAACACACGTCTCTCTCGCGTATACTCCTCTGTAGATCCATCCGCCTGAACCACAACAGCGTGGCGCGAGCCCGTACCTTAGCCACAGCGCGCGCCCCCTTCTGTCCCTCTGTAACGGTATGTCTCATCCCGTCTCGCCGCGAGGGGTCCTACGCGCGTCGACTGGAGGGAGATGCTGATGCGGCGGCAATCGCTGCGTCGCGCAGACGTGAGAGTGGTTGTTGATCAGTCGACCTGCTTGCGTATTTTTCACGTTTCCGATAAGCAGGATGTTGTTGCAGCCTTCCATGAGTGCGATATGAGATCTTCCTCAATTACGGCGGCTCGTGGAGCTAGCTCATCAGGTAGGTAGGTAGCTAGCTAGCTGTGTGACGGTTGAGATGTCTAGGACATTTCGCGCCTCCAGGTTTCGGAGCAAGTTGATCTACATCAGCATCATGATGGGGTAATCTGTGTCACGTCACGGTGAGACTCATGAGGGCTAGAAGTATCTACGTGAGCAACATTCACTCACGATGCCAGCGACCGTGGGTAACAAGCAGCACGGCGGCCAGTGATTGAAGATGTATCTCTGGATGAGAGCTGCTCGCTGTCTGGCACCGGAGCTGTCAAACTCAAAGCTCTCCTCCTCCGTCTCCGCCCACCTCCAGTGAACCAGAAGCTGCCCCTCGCGCGCCCGGGAACTGGCCTGACCGCCAACCGTCTCATCCCGTTTTGAAACGAGACCCCCATCGGTTTTGATGGGGACCTCAGCTGGCTGGAGGCAGCCCATTGGCAGCGGATCGGCCCCGCGACGACCCCTCCAACAGCCGCGGTGAGGTAAGGCACCCTCCGGCCTCTTTCACATTCTACCTTCCGCCGCGCAGCAGCGCAGGTGGGCGGGCCCTCCGGCCAGCTTCGTCGGCGGCAGGGGACGTCACTATCCGAAGATGATTTTCAGTTCCTATTTTCAGTTTGGGTTCGCCTCAGCCGGCGCTGAAGATGAGTCTGAACGCTGCATAGATAGGGCTCTAGCTGACGATGACGGCTCATCCGAGACTGAGCTTGTTTGCACATCCCAGGATCCACTCAATTAAATGCAGCAGTAGAAAAAAACCTCTGGACAGTTGGAAGACGATTCTCTTTGGCGAGGAAAGGGCAGGTTCAACGGTGTATCCGCTGCTTCCAAAAATTCCACCTCGCGTCGCCTGTACCGTACGCGGACACTTTTTGCACTTTTAATTCTGACTGTGTGTTGCACACTGGCACTAGTAGCTTGGAACAAAACATTGATTGTCACCCTCGACTGAACTGATAATCGGTATTACTGCGTCAGCTCACTTGCACCCTACGCGTCCGAATTTCTTCCCGCACTTCGTCAAACCACCGCCCGCCCGGTGAGAGAGAGAAACATCGGATATCCAAACCAGGGCACGAGAAGGTGAAGGTACTTTACTTCCTCAGCCCGTCCATCATCACACACGCTTCAGCTGGCCAAGGTCTCTAACGCGCCCCGACGGACAGTTCAAGCACAACAGCATCCCGAGGACCGACGATCACCTACCGAATCCACAGCTGGCTTGAGCTTGATGCAGACCCCTGCCCCATCCGCCCTCCATCTACCGCGTACCGCCAGTCGCCAGCTGTAGCTCGCAGGTACGAAGATACCCAGCTCATGTACGTGTGTCCCGCCCGATTCCCAAGTACCGATTCCTTCCAGCACCGCAGTCACCACTTGGCAGCCATTCCCCTGTCTTGATTCAAGCTCCCAATCGGCATCCGCAAGCCCCTCCAAGCCGTCCACTGGCATTGGTGGGGGAGCTTCTTGGCAGCAGCTATTTCGCAGTAGTATGATGCCATGGCACCTGGGGCTTGGACCACAGACCACCTCCAGTCCCTCCTTTGACGCTGGAAGGTGGGATGTGAGAGGGAGGGGGAGGGGGGCAGACAGACACAAGCATTCAGATCGCGGATTGGACTGGGCTGGAATTGGAACTGGATTTTGGCCTCCAGAGCCAGTCACCATTGGCTTTTGAGGTTACTGGAGCACAGAATGGACACACCGTCCATGGGCTGTACTTGCTTTCCGTTGCTTGATTGATTGTCTGTCGGCCCTCCTATCCAAGCACGAGCACACGCGCCTTTCTTGCTTCTGATAGCTCCAAGTTCCAAGTTCCCCGTTCCCCCATGCTCTCCAAGCTTGGAATACCGCAGTAACGTCTTCGTGTTGCCCCTCCACCGCCTCCCAACCCTCAAAGGCCCCTCCTTTTCTTCACCCCTTGTTTGTGTCATATCCTCCCGTCCTTCTTATTACAATAACCTCCCTCCCCTCCCGACGGTGCTCTGTTCTGTCTTCACGCAAACTCCGCCCCGCTCGATCCAACCACTAAGCTGTCTTTACAGTAAAACCACCAACTACACACCTGAATATCAGAAGAGAGAGGAGATACGAGGCGCAATTCACCATGCTCGACGCCAGGTCCTACCCGCTGCTGGTCGGCCTGATCGTGTTGGTCTGGCTTGCCCGGCCAACCCACGCCTTCGGAGCTGGTAACATTGCCAGCATCTCCAAGATTGAGGGCCAGAACTGTGAGTCCTTCCTCGAGCAACTCTCCTCGGCCACCACAGCTGCTGATTACACGAAACAACAGGGCGCCACGGTGACATCGAAGATGCTCTCCTCACCCTCGCCATGGCCCGCGCCATGAACGGCAAGAAGTTCAGCAAGATGATGGTCTCCCGTGTCTACTTCGGCAACTGGCTCAGAGATTACTCCCAGGCCATTGACGTCGGTACCGTCAAGTCTGTCTCCGCCGAGGCCATCCGCCTGCTCCTCTGCGTCCTGGGCTTCCTGAGCTTCGGCTACGGATCCAGGGAGTTCGAGGTTACCGCCGACAGATTGGGCTGCTACCGCCCCGAGGACCACATCGACAACCCCAAGAACTACGCCGACAACGCCGACGCTCGCCAGTACGACCGTCGCCTGAGAGGCCCCGTCGATGAGGGTGTCGAGCTCGCAATTGACGAGCGCACTGGCATGAAGAACTACATCGCGAACGAGCAGGCCGGTATCATGACCTCCGCCGAGCACGTCCGCAAGCTGTTTGGAAAGTGCATCGAGCTCGCCCGAGGATACGCCCGCAACAAGAATGAGGCCGATCTTTACGAGGCGATGCGCTTGATGGGTACTGGTCTGCACTGCTTGGAGGGTAAGTAGCCTGCTTGCGAACAGGGACATTGCGTGCTGGCCTATGGCTAACAGTTGAATCGCAGACTTCTTTGCCCACAGCAACTACACCGAGCTTGCCCTCATCGAGATGGGTGAGCGCGACGTCTTCCCCCACGTCGGCCGTGACACTCGCATCAGACTTGATGGAGCTAGAGACGAGGTCTACCCGATTGTCACCGGTACTTTCGGCGGTGTTGACTTCCTCCACTCCGTCACTGGCGAAGGTAGATCTCCACAAAAGGACTTGCAGCAAAAGCATGGCTAACATGCATGGTAGTCTCTGACAAGCTGACCCAGAACGAAATTGAGGAGCTCGAGGGTACCCTTCAAGAGAGCCAGAACAACGACACTAGCGTTCTGCGCAACCTGCTGGACATGATTCCCGATGGTATCTTTGGCGGTAAGCACCAAAGCAACCGGGTGGACGAGCTCCAGAGCAGCGCCACCGAGTCGCAGCTTCAGAACATGCAGGTCTCCCCCAGAGACCCCGAGGAGTTCACCGTGTACATCCAGAATGTTTTTAAGCAGATCATGCCGGCGATTGAGTTCCACGACGAGATTCTGCAGGGCATCACCGAGGCCGTGGAGAAGATTCCCGTCCTGCCCAAGATCCTGGAGCAGCTCGAGGAGCAGCTGTCCAAGTTTGTCTTCTCCCTCATTGCTCCCTTCATCATTCCCGTCATCAACCAGATCCGCAACGAGCTGCGCACTGGTTCTGCCGAGATCATTGAGAGCAGTGAGAAGGAGCAGCATGTCGTCTTCGACGATGACCGCTGCTCTGACCCCACCCACTCGATGTTGTCCAAGGACCACTTCACCAACGTAAGATGCCTACCGTGAAGATCAGAAACCAAAGTTCCCCAAGCTGACTCTTTTCAGATCCTCAACGAGATCGCCGGTCGCTGCGCTGCTTTGACTGTTCAGTGGGTCGTGCCTCAGTTGATGGAGGCCATCGACGATGATGGTGCTGATGTTAACCGCATCCTCAACCGTATCATCTTCGGTGTCATGCACCACCCCGCCCAGCGCGACATGGGCGATGACGGCGCCAGGGAGGGACGCCAGAAGATCTTCCAGTTCGTCGAGGAGTGGTGGAACAACATGGACAGAAACCAGCAGGACGACTACCGCCGCAAGTTGAGCCGCGACGGCGTCCAGCGCGGAGAGAACCACAGGGAGGGTGTTCATGACACCGGCCACGGCCACGGTTGCAGCGGAAAGCTCCACATGCGCAAGCAGTTCGGTGAGCCCAAGAACTGGGAGGACAAGGTCGCCGACCAGGCTGCCGGCGCCCTCCTGGAGGGCGCTTCCGGTGCCATTGCCGGCCTCGTGCAGCAGCAGTCTGGCGTTAAGATTCCCCAGTACAAGCACCAGCAGGACGAGGAAGAGTCGAGCGGTGGCGGTGGTGCCGGTGGACTCATCGGATCCATCCTGGGCGGTGTCTTTAAGAAGGACGAGAAGGAGACTCGCCACAGCGAGCGCCGCGATGACGAGGGCAACTACACGCAGACTCAGACTGAGTACGGCCACCACGGTAACAAGTATGGCCAGGCTGAGTACAGCGAGACCCAATACTCCGGCGGTGGAGGTCGCTCCGAGTACCGCCGTTACGAGCAGGAAGACAGTCACGGCGGCCGTCAGACCAGCGGCTACGAGTACCAGGAGACCACGGAAACCAGACCTTCATACGGTGGTGGATACGAGCAGCGCACCGAGACTCACCGTTATGAGGGTAACACCGAGTCTGGCCGCCGACGCGACGATGACGAGGGCGGCTACGGCGGTCGTCGTCAAGAGGAGAGCTACGGTGGTGGCGGCGGAGGCTACGGAGGTGGCCGACGTGATGATGAGGGTGGCTACGGTGGTGGCCGTCGTCACGAGGAGAGCAGCTACGGCCGCCAGGAGGAGAGGTATGGTGGTGGCTACGGCGGCGGACGTCGCCAGGAGGAAAGCTACGGAGGCGGTCGTCGCGAGGATGAGGGTGGCTACGGTGGTCGCCGTCAAGAGGACAGCTACGGAGGTGGCGGTGGCTACGGCGGCCGTCAAGAGGAGAGCTACGGCGGTGGCGGCGGCTACGGAGGTGGTCGCCGCGAAGACGAAGGCGGCTACGGTGGTCGCCAGGAAGGTGGCTACGGCGGTCGTCAGGAGGACAGCTACGGAGGTCGACGCCGCGACGATGACGATGAGCGTCGTGAGGGTGGTGGCGGCGGCTTCGGCGAGTTCATCGGCAAGGTTGCCGAGAGCTTCGGCGACAACAACAACAACAACCGCAGATGGTAGAACCCTTGCTGTTGAATCAACCAGACATGGGTTCAGGCGAGCGAGGCCCGATGCTAGCTGTTTTTTGATTGCCGATATGGAAATGGCTTTACGACCGGAGTAGTTAGGGGGTCGGTTGGTTGATGATTTGGCGGGCGGTTGATGATACAGGCAGGTTAACGAAGTGCCATAACGAAAATAAAAAGTCTTGATTTCAGAAAGATACTTGTTGTGAACCGAGCCTGCTTCTGAATGGACTCCGTCGTGTTTCTATCCTTGATTACGGTTCGTCCGTCGCCACATCATCATCTTCTTTCCTGCGCGTCCTCGTCCCCGCGCGTGTTGTCATATAGTAACCGACATGATGTCAACCAGGAAAGAATCCGGTACCAACGTGCCGTCTATATGAGAAAACACTCAATGAGGCTATTGCCCGGATAATTGACGCCGCCGTCAACGACTCCCGTATAAACGAAACAATATATGCGATTCCCAGCGCGTACGTCACTCACGGCGAGAAAAGGGACGGCATTCCGGCCGATCTCTTGCCGCAAAGAGGTGGTGTCCTTTAGTTCCGAATCCCACCTCATCATCTATCGACAATAGTCAAATCTCTGGTGGTTACATGGAGAGAAGAGAGAGGGACTGCGGGGAAGAAGAGGATTCGCGTCGGAATATTTCTCCGTTTGTCAAAATGCGGTCTAGCAGCTCGATTAATACCGGCAGAAAAAAGAGACTACCACCCCTCCTGTTTCTACTATATTGACGCAAACCACGAACCAGAAGCATATTCTTGTAGTTGCATCTGGTGTCATTCCTTTGAAGGGTAAACCCTGCGACGTCGCCCGCTTCCCAAATCTGTCCCGTGAGCAGGTTTTCAGGGAGCGGGTTGAGATTGGACGGGATATATTTGGTTCGGTACCGAACCATATAACACCGGCTAATCGCGCTGCTTGTTTCCTCTTTGGCTCCAACTCTCCTTCCGAAGTAATCAGGGACCGGCGCCGGCGTAGGTTGGGAGCGGAAGAGGGGGAGCTACGGGCCGCCGGTTTATAGTTTCATATATTGTGATTTACTTCCTGTAATTTAGTCTTACCTCGGAACTCTCGAGTTTGGTACTCTGATGTTGATTCAGGATAACCAGAAAGATATACATATATATAAATAACGAACGACTTCCTGCCCTCACGACCTGCCTGGCAGAGAGCAAAGCAAGTTACAACTCATCGTTTACCGCCCAGCACACATCGACACTAAGACAGAGAGACAAGATGCGCCCCCAGCAAGTCCTCCTGGCCCTCCTCGCCCTCCTCGGCCTCGCGGCGTCCCAGGCCTCGGGGACGGGCAGCACGACGCGGTACTGGGACTGCTGCAAGCCCTCGTGCGCGTGGCCGGGCAAGGCGTCGCTGGCGTCGGGGCCGGTGGGCACGTGCGACCGCAACGACAACCCGCTCAACGACGGCGGGGCGACGCGGTCCGGGTGCGACTCGGGCGGGTCGGCGTACATGTGCAGCGCGCACTCGCCGTGGGCCGTGAGCGACGCGCTGTCGTACGGGTGGGCGGCGGTGCGGATCGCGGGGGGAAGCGAGGCGAGCTGGTGCTGCGCGTGCTACGAGCTGACGTTCACGAGCGGGCCGGTGGCGGGGAAGAAGATGGTCGTGCAGGCGACCAATACCGGTGGCGACCTGGGGAGTAACCACTTTGACCTTGCTGTAAGTTTTGGTGTTCTCGTTTTGTACGACCTTGGACGTCGTCTTCCCGGCCTGGATACAGACGGGAGTGTGGGGCCGGGAGCCGGGCCGGGACCGGTGGGAGTTCGAGGTCCGGATCCGACTCTCCGCCGGCCCTTGACCGCCCGTCGGCCGATGATTCACTTCGAGTGACTTCCGGCTTCCGGCTTCCGGCTGCCTCCAGTGTTTACCCCGTCATATCTATGACAAGCAGTTATGATAAGGTGATCAATAGGGCCTCGCTGACGACATCATAGATTCCCGGTGGCGGCGTCGGCCAATTCAATGCTTGCACCAACCAATATGGCGCCCCAAGTAACGGATGGGGCGAACGATACGGAGGCGTCAAGTCCAGGGCCGAGTGCGACTCGTTCCCGGCGAAGCTCAAGGCCGGTTGCTACTGGCGATTCGACTGGTTCCAGGGTGCTGACAACCCGAGCGTATCCTTCAAGGAGGTGTCTTGCCCGGCCGAGATCACGGCGAAGAGTGGGTGTAGGCGAAACTGAGATGGACAAGCTGGGCCCCTGGCCTTGTGACAAAGCGTACACGAACGTTATGAAGCCTGCTGTCGAACTTGAGAAGCACAAAATCAGCATGTGAAGAGCGCTTGAACCAGAGCTTTGGTACCTGGTTGCTTTTTGGCTGAAGCATAGGCCCTTTACGCTTAGTCTTAGACTATTGGGCAAGAGGTAGAGCTTAATTGCACGTTGATCGTGGACTCATGATGCAAACGACGTGACCTGTACAATTCGCCACGGAACTCAAGTGCTCGGCGTCTTGGCTTGCTGAGGGTTGTTTCCAACGGCCAGTTCCAGCCGTTAGTCCCTCCAAAACCTCAACATCTTCAAGGTGCCAAGCGAAACTTCGCAGAGCAATGAGTAGTTTCTCCAATTCCTCAACCCTGACAAGGTTGGCCGGAACTGCTTGGCAGGTCGAAAGGAGAGCTGCACTAGCCTCATTGATGCCTTCCAATATGAGCGCTGTAGACGAGATGGGGGCTGTGGGCTGGGCAATGAGCGGGCAATCCGCGTTTCCTGGTGCGTAGCATAATCATGAAAATGACAGCCAAGATGAAGAGCCAAGACATGCGACATTTACCTGAGAACCATGCCGCACCCAAGATCTTGTCGTTGAGCACAGCCTCCATAGGCAACCCAATCTTTGTCGACAGCAGTTTGGCAACGAGAGGACGCGCGGTCCGGGGCACAACATTGTCGCAACCCGCCATGATTTTTTTTCCTTCTTCGTTCTCGGGCGCACATCTGTCGCAGCCGACCGAGACGCGGCGGCGAATCAGAAAGTCGCTCTCACATGACGTAGGAATGATGTTCGGCTCTGTGTGCCGGCTCAGACAAGGGCGACGGAAAGCAGGTCGCGGCCGGGGCCTGTAGGACGCCGAGCGCGGCGTGGACGGTTGATGAGAGATTCAGCGCCAGCGCCAGCGGCAGGCGAACGGCAGGCGAACGGCAGTCCGGCATTTTCGGCTTAGTTGAGTGAGCACAGGAGGGAGCCAGTGCATGCCTGGGTGGTTATCGAATTTTTGGATCGAAAAAAGAAATCTCCTACGCGACCGCATCTGTTTCGACGATCAGGTGTTTGGCTTGCTTTGCCAGTAGTACCGCAAGCTGGAATACCCCCTTGTCCTGGTGGATTTGACTGGGCGAGAAGCCCATCGTTTCAATGACGTCTGCTTGGGTGCTCCTTGTGCAAAGCACCGTGCCTCAGTCACTAGAGGAAGCCTGTTGGTAGCATTATTGTAACAGCAATATGCGCCGCTGGATTCCACGACGGGGGATGAGATGCTGACGGTATCAAAGTTCAAATGCGATGCGACCGTCCGAAAGTGACAGACTGGAGGATTGACAAGATCTGTAGATGAGGTGCCAAGACTCATTTGCGGTAGGCTGATCGAAGCTAGAAGGCTGTACGGTCGCTAGAAGCTTTTCCTGCGGATTGCCTTGCAGCGGCACATCCATCCAAGGATTTGTCTCGCTGATATCCGTTTTGACATCTTGTGTTGGCACTGACAAAATCGGGACGTGGGATGGCCGCTGAGCAAGATGCCGGCCGAGTAATAATATTGCGCATGCGATACTTCAGTAGTCAAGCGTCTATCAGGGGCGGTCTGGCGGCATGCACGTTCTTGCCGTCCAAGCCGTCCGGCGCCTCTAAGCCGCTCGTGTGTTGCGTGTCCAACTATTTTGTATCAGCAGCATCTGAGGAGGGCGCTAGCTGGCTATCTCAGCATGCGGCGTTCCAGCCGTGGTATCGTACGATGTCATACCCTACTCCAGAACCTGCACAATCGAGATGCTGGTACCTACCTTCCTGTATGACATGTCCCAAGTCATTGAAATACGGCCACGCGTGGGATGAGATGAGAAAGGATGCGACCGAAGGGGAGGCGGGCGTGTGTCACTTGTGTGACGGTCTGCAAGGCGAGGGTCTATTCGCCTGGAGAAGCACGCGAAGTGTGCCATATTGCTGGGAGACCCGAGTGAGCGAATGCCGAGAAAACCGGGCGTGCTGTCACCAACATCGGTCGGTACAAGTCGAGTTTGAGATACTTCAGTAATCGGCACAAGTTGCCGTGCAGAAGGACCGGGCCCACGATGAGACCGAAAGTCAAATTCGGGTGAGGGTTGCCGCTGACAGTGACGACGAACACGAGGGCTTGATGAAGGCAGAGAGCCACGAGCTTCTCCGAAGATCTGCGGATGGACTGGAAGTGAGTCGGTTCGGTTCTGACTGATCTGAGATAGTCAACGGTTGATGTGAGTGGCTAGACTGGCAATAACGGGATGGTGCTGTTGGGTTGGTGCCATTATCCGAAGACGTCGCCGCGTCTGGCGTCTTTTCTCTCTGTGCTCGGACTAAGACACTCGAGTTTGATGTGCCCTTCCGCTAGTGAGACTGAATGAGTGGGCTGCCTCATTAGTGGGATGAGCGAGACTGCTGCGTACGTTACCTGGAGAAGCAAAGTAAAGTACTTGATATTTCTTCTTTGCATTTCAGCTTCGACGTGCGCAAGGCCCAGATGTCGAAGTTCTCGTGACGAGGACAAGGACGGGGACGGGGACCGGGACCAGGGCGACGGATGGCGGATGACGGGTTCAGTGGCAGAAACATCAGACAAGCTTCGAGGCAACAAAAGCTTAGCGATGATGACAAGGGATTCGACGGATGTCAGGCGAGCGGTACATTGAAGCGTTAAGTTGACTAAAAACGACGGCAAGGACGGCAGTAGCGTAGCTGTTTCGAGAAGGAGAGGCGCTCAAGTTTGTTGGAAGCAGCTAACTTAGGTGCAGGTGCGGTGCAGTGCAGGTGCAGACTTGCCGTTGGTGTTGGTTTCTCGCGCCGCCGGTGGGCAATGAATGGCTGGCTGCTGGCATTCAAATGTCGGTTGGTCGGCATCTGCCTTCGCCTTTGCCTTTGGTGCCTCTAACAATACGCGGATGAGGTGGTAAGTAGGAGTCGGGTGTTTGCTGTTAGTGGGATGCGAGGCTTAGGTCAGCAAAACGGGCTTGTCCGCTACCTCCGGTACCTCCTTCTCCCTCTGTGCCTCTGTGCTTCTCTCCCCCCTCCAGTGTCTTTGCTCCAAGGCAGCCCCTCCTCATCCACCCGCCCCCTGCCTCCACTGTCCCCGTTCTTGTTCTTTCGTCTTCCCTCCTGTCGATTGCTGCGGGCACCTGGCAAGCGACGGATGAGCGGCTTCTCACTGGCTACCGGGGAAGGTCGACGGCTCCATCGGACCCCACCCACCATTTCGGGCGACCTACCAAACGCCGGCGTGAGCAAGTGAGGTGAGGTGAGGTACTACGAAATGTATCTCGCATCTCTCGCTCCCACGCACTTTCGTCCTGCCCACAGCATGTCTTCCCCTTCTGCCCAGTCTCTGGCCTCTGTCAGGTCGCTCAGTGGATCAGCCTATCCGTTCCTGGCAACCACAAGTACTCGGTGTGTCAGTGGAGAGTGTGAGAGTCAGGAACAGACTGATGGAGATGCAGATGTAACGAGGACACGCAATAGAATGACAGGAATGGAAACAGAGCTGTGACCTGCTGGAGACGCAGATGGGGAGATGAAAAACAAGAGGACTTGGTATATGGTATGTGACGAACAATAAAGGATACTGAATTGTCATGAACAAAGACGTGGACGTCGACTCGACGGACTGGGCGACTTCGAGAACCACGCCTAGAGGACGATGAAGACGGGGTAGGGAGGCGGTGCGGGCTTGTGCGGCCTGCCGTTCGCCCCTACTTCAGTACCTCTGACTGCAATGTTGGAAAAGATACCTGGCGCTACCCTCAAACTTCCTTGTTATCCAAAGTACCTTACTCCGTAGCGCCGTCCAGTCAGTGCCTAAGAAGAGAGATATTACGACGGCCTAACCTTCCCAAGTGCGAGAATACCTACGTCTTATGCCCCTGCCTTGCTTCGACCCGACGCTCTTTCATCCAGCGTTGCTTTATTGCTTGCTGTTGCTTCAGCACGTACTTGTCAGTCATCCCCCATCCACCACGCAACACCCGCACGCCCGCGCCCACGCCCACGCCCACCACACCCTCGACCTTGACCTGGACCTGGACCTGGACTTGATCAGTGTCCAGAGCACTCCTGCAGCGAGCGCACCGGGAATCGACCTGCTGAACCCCGCTTGGCATTGAAAATCGCGCCGGGCCCCAGCTCTCATCTTCGCTCGATCCTTTTTCAGCTTTCCTGATCTTTCTCGTCTTGTCGCCCTCTCCCAACTCTACGCGCTTCGACCCGACTCGTCTGCGATACCCAGCACTCGAGGCTCAAGTGACTGTCAATTCACAGAGTCTGTGAACTTGTCCTCCCGCCAGGACCGGGCTTGGATTCTTCTTGCTGCTCGAGTTCCGTCACACACCAACTTTCCCGGGCGTATCCGCCTCGCCCGTTCGCTGCCATTTCATTACTCACCCATTTCGCCCTCTCCTACGGATAGAGCACCTGCCAGACAACCGTTCTACGAGGTTGATGGTTTCAATGCCCTCAACCTGTTCGCTGAACATGTGAGGGAAGCATGTGTAAGTTGAAATTCCGTATCCTTTGAGGAAAATAAAAGAGACAATGTGAAAACTGCTGCAATGTTGGACTTCTTGTTGTTGCCAGTTCGTCCGCAGTCGTCTCCCTTTTTCGCGGCCAAGAGGTGCCAAAATGCCCCGGTCTTGGCATCATCCACTGACGTCTCATAGCTCTCGAACAGATTCGAAATGTCGTGTATGTCTCAGCAGTTCCTTTACTCTCATCGCCTTCAACGTCGTTTTGATCGTCGCTTTTCTGTCGCCGACTTTCTGTCCATCGTTGAGCGCCGGTTCTTCGTCACACCATTCCGTACCTATGCCTGCCTTTCAATGTCACGATACCCAATGGCGCCTCGGTGGGCAGATCTCGGCGCGTCTGCCCATCCTCCCGTCACCACCCGCCTCATCCGTCATGCACTCGCGCTTTAGTCCCAGAAACATCCACTGACCTCGCGCAGTCTGCTATTCAGTAATCCTGTGTGGTCGGGTGCCAATACAGTCCCTTCGACCATCATCAGAAATATCACCTCCCTCTCAGTACGTCATTCCGTCGCCTCCGCCCAAACCCTTGCCTGACCCTAGTGCACAGAAGAACATAGCATATCAAGACACCATCCTAGCAAACCTCACTACTCTGAGCAGCACGAACTCCGAAACCCAGGATGGCATCATCAGAGGCCTTCTCTACGTACCCGACCTCAGCATAGCAAACCCGTGTTACCAACAGCAGTACGACATCATCCCCCGAAATGCGACTACCCAAGCCAACCTTCCTCCAACCAACTACAACCTCATTGCTCTGGCTCCGTGGTTCAATGCTACATGCACTCAGGCTTACCTCGCTTCTGCCCGCCTCGATCCGATCCGAGCCTTCATATTCTATAGGCCCAACAACTCGACTAGGGAGCCTCAGGGGGCCGATTCGCCAATATGGGACCTCGGCGACGACGACGCGTGGCGTTCCCAGAATCGCTTTCCAATCTTCGCCATTCCCGGCTCCGAAGGCACCAAGATGATGCAGCAACTGAGTTTATACTCCGGAAATCTGTCTTCAGTACCTTACGGGGACCAGATCCAGGACATTTACGATCCTCATGACAACGACTTTGTCCGCATATGGACCGAGCTGACAGTGAAGGACCACGACAGCGTGCCTGCCATGTGGACATGGATTCTCACTGTCGTCGGCGTTGTACTTTTTATTATTGCTTGTCTATCACTCACAATGCACCTGGTACAGCGCAGACGAAGAATATCACTACGACGAAGGGTGTTGACTGGTGAAGTTGACCTTGAAGCCATGGGCATCAAGCGGGTTACGGTGCCAGTCAACCACGTCAAAAACTTCCCGCTCTTCACGTACAGCTTTCAGCCAGAAATGATCAGCACGCCTTCGACGACGAGACCGCCCAAATCTGTCAGGTCTCCCCGGAGCCAACGAACCGTATCCGAGCATGCCATCACGAAATCGAGAGCTAGGAGATCCAGCGTCAATAGCGCCACGAGCACTGTTGCTACGAACTTTCAACCTCAGTGCCACATTTGCTTGGAAAACTACGTCGACCGAGATTCGATCATTCGAGAACTGCCGTGCGGGCACATCTTCCACCCGGAGTGCATCGACGAATTTCTGAGCCTGAATAGCTCACTATGCCCGATTTGCAAGCGGAATATGTTGCCGCGTAATTATTGCCCTAAAATCACGAACGGGATGGTGCGTCGCGAGCGGGCCGTTCGACGTTTGAGAGAGAGGGTAGTGGTTGTCGAGTCAGACGACGAGGAAGAGGAGGTGAAGGGCAAAGGTTGGGGCAGACGGCTATTCGGCACGGACAAAGCGGCATCATCCCCGAAGGAAACCCCGATGACGCCCGTGACACCTTCCAAGTCTCCGAAAACACCTCAAGAGTCAGCGGGCGCTCGTACCCCTGCTCCGGCAGAGACGGAAGCCAGGCGCAGGTCAACCCTTGAGCCAACTCAAGAGGAGCAAGAAGATTCGACATCAAGTCAGTCTGATGGACATGAATCCACACAACCGCAAACACAACCGCAACAGCAGCCGCAACCGCCCCAACCTGCGCCGGCTGCTCATCACGGTCTTAAAAACAAACGGAGAAAACCTGGCGGTTTACGACTCCGCATGCCCGAGTCAGTGGAGCCCCATCAAAAGCCGGAGGGACGTAAGAGTCCCTCCGCCTTGGCACGGGCTCGGATGCGGGCGCTTGCGGGTACACCGCTTGACGACCCCGATGGGCGTAATCCAATATGTATGTGCCCTCGACTCCAATCTGTATGATCGCCACTGACAATCATCCCAGGGAAGCGTTATGTCGTCAAGGTTTTCCCGGGTTTTTCATGAGTGCGCTGCACTACTGAAGCATTTTCGCATGGTGCACAGGCGTTTTATTGGGTTAGGCAGACGAGCTGCCTCGGTGTCATTTTGAGGGGATATGACGAAACATGATACAGACTCACGACAATCTCCCTGGTTTTGTCACCTCTGGGTGACGAGGAGATCTGCTTCATTTCAAATCACGATGGTTAGACTCGGCGGGCTCGGAATACTGGAACGGAACCTCTTTCTTCTTTCGCGGGGCTTCTCGAGACAAAGAGGGCTCTGATATTTGGACTGGATATACCCTATAGGGAAAGGACATGCATCAACGGCGGGTCGGCGGATGCTACGCTTGACATTAAAAGTTTAGTTTTTAGTGATGAATGCCGTCTATCGGCGAGTAAGGACACACTGCTCAGGCCATGTCATGTGGTCCACGTGCATCCTCAATGAAGATGACGATTTGAATCTCAAGAGAGCTTTCTTAACGAGTGACATGTGAATTTCTCTGGGACATACAAGGGCGTTCAGAGTTTGGGATTTCTTTTCTGTCCAAAAATTGAGGTGTTTATATAAAAGCAATGGTATCGTTGCTACTGCCGTTTCATCCGAATCGTATGGATGCCGTCTAACGTCCAAAGAAAAAAGCTTGTTCAATCCGAACGCCCGCTCGTCTCAAATACCATGTTTCTTTCCCGACACGGAAACTATATCCTAAACTTTCAAACCTGTCCAAAGTCTTGGCTACTTCTTGGCTTTCTCTTGGCAATGTTTTGTTTCCGTCTCTCGATCCAAACGTCGGAATTCGTTCAAAGTTTCAGATCAACGACGACCCTCGATGAGCTTGTCGTCCTCCTTGGCGCCGCCCCTCGCCAACGCCTCGCGGATGCGGTCGTTCTCGGCGGCGCGTATGCGCTGCCTGGCCTCCTCGAGCCGCTCGACGCCGCGGTCGATGGTCTCAATGTGAACGGTGAGCGGGATGGCGGCGGGGGAGTCGCGGACGAGCTCCGGGGCGGCGACGCGGTCGCGGAGGTCGCCGAGGCCGGCCTGGATCTTCTCGAGGTCGACGATGAGGGCGGAGACCTGGGCGACGGCGGTGACGCGCTGGCGGTCGACCTGGCGCAGCAGGGACAGCTGGGCGTTGAGGTTGTGCAGGCGCTTGTTGTTGGCGCCGACGAGGGTCCAGATGGTCCACATGACCTCGTCGCGGCGGGACTTGACCGAGTTGGAGGACTGGGTGACGAGCTCGTAGATCTGGTTCAGGTTCTCCTCGGCTTTCGTGAGAAGGAGCAGGACGCCCTGCGCCTCGACGATGAGGCCGGCGATGCGGTCTGATACCAGGGCCGTGTGCTCGATGTACTTGTCGAGGAGTGTGCGTTCCGAGAAAGGCGTGACGGTGGGAGTGAAGGGATAGAAGAGCCAGTTTGTCCACTGCGATACCAAAGAGACGTCGGTGTTATCGGCCATGGACAGCGTATCCAAGTATCGGGAAGTCCAGCGGTTGATGGATATCACCGAGTCGACGGCTGAACCGACATGAACGTTGAACTTTTGCAGGTCTGCCGCCGTCAACCGTGAGTTGTCGATGTACTCGTTGAACTCGTAAACGAGCTCTTCTCGCTGTGGCAGCTCGGAGTAGCGGACCATGGTGCGAAGGTCGCGAATAGAAGACTCCGAGCGTTTCATCTCCATAGGTAGAGAAACGCCATCGGCGCTGCGTTCAAGAACCTGCTCGAACTGCGACTGAACGTTCATTAGATCGTCGAACTCGACGTTTTCAGACCCGGCATCTTGACTGCCGCCCGTTGAGAGTCCTGGTGAAGGGCAGAAGGGCAGGTCGAGATATGCAGCTCCCGGGATGCGACATAGCGGGGATAGAGACGCCGATATCGATTTGGTCACCATGTTTTGAAGCATGATGGATGCGCCGAAAAAGAGCCAGACGGCGAGACACAGCGCCAGAGGCTTCTGGAGATAACTAAGAGCCATACCGATGACGTTGAATACCCATGCCAAGATCGTGTACAGCGCGTTCGGAAGGTTCTGAGATAGTCGCTCGGAGACTGTTCCGGGTCGTTCGTCCAAATAGTCTCGTTCCCTCCTCGGTTCGCCACGCCGTGTCTTGATGGGGCTCCCCGTACTTGCTTGTCGCATGGCGCGGCGGCGTACATCTTGACGTTGATAATCATCTCCTGGACGGATGGTTCGTGACGACCGACCACTGCTACCCTGTCGCGGGCTTCCGCCGGGGCCGGATATCATGTGAACGGAGGGCATGAAAAACTCCGGGTCTGGAGTACGGTTCGGGTCTTGTCGGACGGTGGGCTGGAAGGGAGAACGGAGGATGACACGCTCATCGTCGGCCTTGTTCATGAAGTCCTGGACGCTGTGATGAGATTCTTGAGACCCGCCGATACTGAATGATTGTGACGGCAGCTGGGAAGGCAACTGTGATGGGTCTGTCGAATGAAAGCTCTCGTCCTCATCGAGATCGTTCAGAATCGAGGTATCGAAACTGTCGTTCTCACCACCTTCCACCAGTCGCCATGAGCTTTCGACGGGCAGCTCCTGTTCGCGTCGAGGCATCGTGTGTTCGAAAGCGAGATGAGACCGACCGACTTGACCGGGGATATATAGTGTTCAACCCAAGGAAACGAAACGATATATAATAATGACGGCAGGCGCAATATCCATAGGTAGCTCAGCTCGTCGGCGCAACAGTGCTTAGAGTGGAAGACCGCAAGGACGCGTTGACCGCGTCCGGTGGCGAGATATTTATTGAGGTCGCGAAATGCGGCCGCCTTGATATAATACGGATGAATGACTTTGAAGAGAGACTATTATGAGTTTTCCAGAAGTTTGCTAGTGAGTCATCAGGCCGGGAGCTAATGACACGGACCAATGTAACGGTTCTGGGCAAAAATAGGTAGAGACAAAGGGCGATCAATATCAATAGGATGTAGAGAAGAAGTTCACAGAGGTTCACAACAGAGATTCTGGCGTCATAGGCTCCAGCAAAGCCCCTTGCATGCGCAGCAGCTTCTAGTGGGTAGCTTCCTCTGCTGAATCCACTGAATTGGCAGCAGCAGGGACCATGTGGCAGCGTGACTCGACAGCGATAAGCTTCGCTTCCCCTGGTCGGTCACATGGACCAGACGATAATAGGCACTGCAACACCCCACGTAATACCTCACCAAAACATCACCTCAGAACTCTGGGGTTTGATCGGTGAAACATAATGCCGAATCCGGACAATGGCGCACCTGTACCTCCGTGGACCCGACCCAACTTCAGAGGCCCTGCCCCACTTAGCTCCGGCGCCTCACTACACGTCTTCTTGAAGTCAGTGACTTGGCTTAGCCTTGCCAACCAACGCCTCACTTTTTGTGACCTGACAACTTTGTGTTGCGCGTTGTTTTCGCAAAGCCACCACATCCACACCACAACACCTGCGCAAATCTGCCCACCATGACGATGGATCAGCGCGAGCTCGATTCGAGCATCAAGCAGCTCAATAAGACCGTTCAGGCCAATGACCCTCCCACCTCTGCTCTTGCCATCTTGGAGCGCCTCAAGAAGGAGGCTTCTCCTACCGAGGAGATGCTTCGGGTAAGTCGCTTTCTACCCTGCCATTTTCATCGCCTTGTTCAATGCGCAAAAATGATTGCAGCATCCCATCTCAATTTATTTTTTTCGCGATTGCTTCGGACGGAAACTGACCCATTTACTCTCATCTAGTCCACTCGCGCCGGTGTCTTCGTCGGCAAGCTTCGGTCGAACACAAACAAGGACATCGCCCGCGCCGCGACTGAGCTCGTTCACAAGTGGAAGAAGCTCGTCGAGGCCGAGAAGCAGGGAAAGTTGAAGAAGCAATCCTCCCCCGCCGCGCCCTCGCCTACCACCGCCAGCGCCCCGAAGCCCTCGTCTTCCAAGAATGTCAACGAGCCGTACAAGGGTAACACGGAAACTCGCCGCGCTAAGTCCGATGGCGCCAATACCAAGCGTACTGGCGACACTGTTCGCGATGCCTGCATCGAGCTTCTCTACAACGGTCTCGCCTACCGATCCACAGCCTCCGTCACTGATGTCCTTGCCAAGTCCGTCGCCGTTGAGGCCGCGGCCTTTGCTCACTACGACGGCGCTTCTGGCGCCTACCGTGACAAGGTCCGCTCTCTCTTCAGCAACCTGAAGGTCAAGACCAACAAGGAGCTGGGTATGAACGTCATGGATGGCAAGATTTCGCCCGAGCGCTTCGTCAACATGTCCCAGGAGGAGCTGAAGTCGGCCGAGCAGCGCAGAAAGGAGAACCTTCTCCAGGAGGAGAACATGAAGAAGGCCCAGGTTCCCATGGCCGAGAAGAGCATCAGCGACGCCCTCACCTGCGGCAAGTGCAAGCAGAAGAAGGTCAGCTACAGCCAGGCGCAGACCCGCAGTGCTGATGAGCCGATGACGACATTCTGTGAATGCACTGTCTGCGGTAACCGCTGGAAGGTATGTCCAACCAACCCTGCTTCCTTATCAGACATCAGACTAACATCATCATCAGTTCTCTTAAGCGAGTACTATTTGCGTGGAGGTTCTCTTTTTTTCACATTGACGGCGTGATTTCGCTTATACCCCGTTCGTTCAGCACGGGACGGTCTTGCATTTGGCACTCGGATAGTGCGGCTTGGTTGGTTTGGAGTTGGGGATGAGGAATAGGGTCTCCGTTTTATCCTGCTTGACCCGTTCGGCCTGGAAACAAAAAGCTCAGGCATGCATCTTTGCCACTTCTCACGAGGGATTTTACGTTCAGAACTACACTCTAGAAAGGGGAGTTCAATAGATTCATAGGACGTCGGCTTGAGATTAGGCATCATCGAGAATCGTCTTATCGGCATTCATCATACGTTATCCTTGTCTCTTGGCAGGGTCGAGCTTGAGCGCCGAAAACAGGTCGGCGGATTGCTCATCCTCCTCCAGTCCCATCTCCGCCACATGCTTCCAGAACTTGCTCAGATGTCTGGTGCCGGAATCGCAGAGAATAGTTACGACCTGGCTTCCCTGAGGCAATCTCGATGCCGCAACGCATGCCGCAACGCAGTTCACGGCGCTGCTGCTACCCGCAAAGATACCATCATTCTCAACCAACCACCTCGCCATGCGACAGGCCTGCTCATCCGTAACCTTGATCGCGTCGTCGATCAACTCCCGTCCTGCCTCGAAGTTCTCCGTGATTCGGTTGATGCCGATTCCCTCCACAATCGTGTCGACCTGCTGCCTCCGGCGTGTTCCCTCCTTCTCGGTGTTGGAGTACATGACGCCGTGCCGGATCTTGTTGTACAGCCCGCTCCCCTGGGGATCCGCCAGAACGACCTGCACCCCCGGCACCTTGGCCTCCTCCTTGAGATACTTGGCGACGCCCGCAATGGTCCCGCCCGTTCCCGCACCGGCCACGAAGGCGTCAAGCTTGCCGCCGGTCTGGTACACGATCTCGGGTCCCGTAGTCGCAAAGTGCGCCGCAAAGTTAGCTGGGCTCTCAAACTGGTCCGCAAAGAAGCCCACGCTGCCGTCGCCCGCCTTGGCAGCATGCTCCGCCGCGCGCCGTCTGGCCAAGTTGACAAAGTGCTCCGGCGATGCGATCGGCGCAGGCGGCACGCGCTCGACCGTCGCACCGAGATGGCGGAGCAGATCGACCTTCTCCATCGCCATGTCGTTGGGCATGCAGATGTGCGCGCGGTATCCCTTGGAGCGCGCGAGCGTTGCGAGTGAGATTCCAGTGCTGCCGACGGTGCCTTCGTAGATGGTGTCCCCGCGTCCCGGGACGAGCAAGCCAGATGCCTCGCCCGCCTCGATCATGGACAGCGCAACGCGGTCCTTGGGGGTGTTGCCCGCCGCGTTGAGAAACTCGGCCTTGGCGAGGATGGTGCGTCCGGTGGCCTCGCTGAGAGAGCGGATCTTGATGAGTGGTGTGTTTCCGATGGCGCCCGCAACGCCGTCGGCGATGAGGGGCGGGTTCCAGGCGCCGAGCGCCGAGCTGTCCGTTTCGGACGCGGACTCGTGGTCTTCCAGTTGCACCGGCGCCCCCCAAAAGAGACCGCTTCTCCTCGAGGGATCGTCCGATGAGCTGCGGGGCGCCGTCCGCCGTGTGCGACGGCGCTGATACCGGCGCTCGAGGTCCGGGTAAAAGTCTTTAAAGCCGAGTGTGACGAGGATGCCGGCGGCGAAGCAGAGCGTCAGAGCAACGCCGCCGTAGGCTTTGGGATGATTCTGAAGAGACATGTTGTCTGTGTCATCTGTCTTGTTCCATCGTGACCTCGTGGCTTTCTTGGTCGAGTTGTTGTGGTCTCTAAACTCTGAAAAAACAAATAAGCGGTCGCGTGCGCATGAATTCTGACCATCTTATTTTACAGGGTACCTGCCCGCTAAACGTGATGTCATTCTAGCTCTCTGGACCCCTGGTTCAGCCTCAACCCTGCTCCCGCCCTTGGCGACTCACAGCAAAAAGCCACACTGATCTGTAACCTTACTGCTTCGGTACCGCGCACACGACAATCAGCGGATTAACAGCTGCCCCGTCCAAGGGAGCTCGGGCCATCCCTGAATGTGTCTGCCCGCCAAATGAGGAGCCGACGATTTGCGATTTTGGGCAGTTTGTTTGTTCGATCCTCCTTCCACCGTCCGTCCCGCGTGCTGGCGCCCATCTCCACGACCAATTCTCCCACGGGATGGACTCTCCCGCCGTCACCCGTCTCTTCCGCGAGCTCTTCCGCCGACCGGCATGTCAATCACCTAGGAATTGCACCGCAGCCGCTGCCACCACCACCTCCTCCTCCGTCCCGGCCCTCCGTCCTCGTCGTTCCCGTCACAATGTCGTGGCCGCGCCGCAAGAACAACAACAACGGCGGCACTACGCCGTCAAGACGACCTCCAACGAAAACGGACCCCGCAACAACGAGTCGAAATGGCAGCAGCGCACCTCCCTCTTCCCCAGCGATCGCTCCGACGAGTTCGACACCTACCCGAGGCTGACCGCCGCCGACCTCGCCGCCCGCGCAACCCGTCCGCGCAAGGTCAAGATGCTCACCCGCGACTTCATCGAGGACAGCCTGTACAACCCGGCCTACGGCTATTTCTCCAAACAGGCCGTCATCTTCTCCCCCGGGCAGCCCTTCGACTTCCCCGCCTTCAAGGACGAGCCCCAGTTCTACCGCGAGCTGGGCCGCCGGTACACCGAGTTCGAGGACGACCTCGACGACCGCGAGGGCCCCAACGACGCCAGACCCCTCTGGCACACACCCACCGAGCTCTTCCGCCCCTACTACGGCGAGGCCATCGCCCGCTACCTCGTCTCCAACTACCGCCTGACGACCTACCCCTACCACGACCTCATCATCTACGAGATGGGCGCCGGCCGCGGCACCCTCATGCTCAACATCCTCGACTACATCCGCGACCTCGACCCGCAGGTCTACGCCCGCACGCAGTACCGCATCATCGAGATCTCCCCGGCCCTCGCGGCCCTGCAGAAGCACCACCTCCTCTCCACGGCCGAGTCCAGGGGCCACGCCTCCAAGGTCGAGATCATCAACAAGTCCATCTTCGCCTGGTCGGAGCGCGTCCCGTCCCCCTGCTTCTTCGTCGCCATGGAGGTCTTTGACAACTTCTCCCACGACTGCGTGCGCTACGACCTGGCCACCGAGGAGCCCCTGCAGGGCTCCGTCCTCATCGACGGTGACAACGACTTCTACGAGTTCTACTCCTCCGACCTCGACCCCGTGCTGGCCCGCTTCCTGCGGGTCCGCGACGCCGCCACGGGCGGCCGCTACCCGACGCCCTACCCGGCCAACCGCGTCCTCCGCAACCTCAAGTCGCGGCTGCCGCTGATGCCCAACTTGTCGGAGCCCGAGTACGTCCCGACGCGCCTGATGCAGTTCTTCGACGTGCTGGAGAAGTACTTCCCGGCCCACCGCCTCGTGACGAGTGATTTCCACTCCCTCCCGGACGCCATCCCGGGCCTCAACGCGCCCGTCGTCCAGACTCGGTACGAGCGGAAGACGGTGCCCGTCACCACGCCTTTGGTACGTGCCTCTGAGCCAGTCCTGCGTCCCCGAAAACGACAGCACGCTAACAGCCGACAGGTCCACCAGGGGTATTTTGACATCATGTTCCCGACTGACTTCCACGTCATGGAGACCATGTACCAGGCCATCACGGGCAAACTCACGAGGCTCACGTCGCACGGCGACTTCATGAAGCGCTGGGCCTTCCTCGAAGACACCCAGACGCGCAGCGGGGAGAACCCTCTGCTGAGCTACTACCAGAACGCCAGTGTTTTGGTTACTGTATAATAACCATATATAGACATGACATATACCCGGGCCGTGGAAGACATCCACGATGAACATACTGAAACCACACTCATCTCGGTGCTCAAGTTTTGATGTGAGAGGAACAAGCTTTTGATATCTCTTCAAACTACTCCGGTGTGATCATCCACGGATTCACAGCATATCCTTTCCGACCATTTGCCTTATCCGTCTAGTTCCTGAACAAAAAATGAATTGTTGCCAGTATGCGTCTAGAACATACGGCGGGAATAATCTACCACACTCAAATGTTGAGCTTCTCCTTCAACCACTTCTCAGCAGTGGCAACTGCATCCTCAATGCTCTCGGCATTGGTACCTTGTCCCTGGCGGACAGGCTCCTTACCGCCGGACTTGCCTCCTACAACTCCGGTAACCTGAGAGGCCCACTGCTCCGCGGTCACGCCTTGGGAGGAAAGATGCTGTGTCTTAGGTTAGCTCACATTCTGGGTAGACAGTGCTTGAGTAAACTTACCGTTCCAACGTAAACTCCGTGAGCGACAGCGCCCTCGTTCTTGCTGCCACCAAACAGGTACACGGAGCGCTCCTTGTCCTTGGACTGGAAGTGCTTGACGACCTCTCCGATAGCCTTGGCATTAGCAGAGATAGGGAGTTGGCCGACGAACCACTTGGCATCCTTGTTCTTATCAAAGTGGCCAACAACGGTGTCGAGAGCGGTCTTGGCCTCGGCCTTCTGGCGTTTCTTCTGCTCGTCGGTGACGGCCTTGACGATCTTCTCGAAGCGCTTCCTGATGTCTTCCTTGGTGAGCGTGGAGATCGTCAGCTGGTTAAGAGCGTGCTGGGTTGTCTTGATCTCTTGCTCCTTCTCAGTGCCCGAGGGCATGGCCTCAAGGGCATCGAGACGCTTGGAGAAGTCGTTGGCCTCACGCTGGACCTGGTGTGCAGCGTCGCCGGTGTAAGCGATGATACGGCGAATACCCTTGGCAATACCGCTCTCCTCGACGATGACGAGGTCCTTGATGAGACCCGTGGACTCGACGTGGGTGCCACCGCAGAACTCGACGCTGTACTTGCGCCACTCCGGATTCTTGGGGTTCGCAAGCATGGTGTCGACGTCAACGCCAACCGAGACAACGCGGACGGGGTTGGGGTAGGTCTCGCCGAAGACAGCGCGGACACCCTCAATACCGCGGGCAAGGTCCAGGTCGACCTCCTTGGCGTAGATCTTGCCGTTTTGCTTAATGTAGCTGTTGGAGAAGTCCTCAATCTTCTTGAGCTCAGGCATCGTCACTCCAGTCTTGTGCGAGAAGTCGAAACGCAGCTTCTCGTTGTCGACCAGAGATCCCTTCTGGTTGATGTCATCGCCCAGGACTTCACGGAGAGAGTGGTTGAGGATGTGCGTGCCAGTGTGGTTGTTGCGGATAGGTGATCTCCTCAGCTCGTCATACTCGCAAATGACCTCGTCGCCGGATGACAGAGCGCCGTACTCGAGGTAACCGTTGTGAACGATGTAACCACCAAAGTTCTGGACGTCGAGAACCTTGAACTCAGCAACGTCGTCAATGACGATGCGGCCAGTATCGGCGACCTGGCCACCTGACTCGGCATAGAAGTTGGTCTTGTCAAGAAGCAGGCCCAAGGGGGTCTTCTCAGCAATGTCCTTGGTGGACTTGACGAAACCCTTGCCATCGTAAATGACCTGCACCTTGACCTTTGTGTCACCCTTGGTGAACTTGGCCTCGTCGTCTGTCCTCGGGACGTTGAGCTCCTTCTCGAGCTCAGCGAGCTGGTGCACATTCAACTTGGCAAACGTCTGAACGGCGCTCTTCACGACCTTGCTGGCCTCGCGGGCCTTCTCTTGGGCCTCCTTGACCTCATCCTCGTCAATCTCAAGCTGGCGCTCCTCGGCCATGAGCTTGGTCAAGTCGACGGGGAAACCGAAGGTGTCGTACAGTCTCCACACAACGGCGCCAGAGAGCTTCTTCTCGCCCTTCTTGAGAGCATCCTTGGCGTACTTCTCGAATTGAGCCTCACCACGGTCCAAAGTACGAGCAAAAGCCTCCTCTTCCTCGTCGAGAATTTCCTTGATGTCCTGCTGCTTCTTGACAATCTCGGGGAATTGCTCACCCATCTGTTGGACAAGCGCAGGAAGGATCTTGGAGAAGAACGAGCCGATCTCGGCGTTGAAGTACTTGCGGGCATATCTGACACCACGACGCAGGACTCTACGGACGACGTATCCACGACCGTCGTTGTTGGGGACCGCACCGTCAGACATGGAGAAGGTCAGGAGACGGATGTGATCGGCAACGACACGGTAGGCGGTGTCAATACCGTCGGCATCATCAGCGCCATATTTATCGGTGTATTTCCTGGCTCCAGTGACCTCTTCTATCCTGTCGAACAGAGGGGTGAAGATATCGGTGGCGTAGTTTGAAGTGGTGTTCTGGAGAGCAGAGACGAGACGCTCGAATCCCATACCAGTGTCAACGTGCTTAGCAGGGAGTGACTTGAGGCTCTTGTCTGCCTGACGGTCAAACTGGATAAAAACGTTGTTCCAGATCTCGACAACCATAGGATCGTCCATGTTGACCAAGCTGGCAGCATTCCGGCCGCCAATCTTGTCGTAATGAACCTCACTGCAGGGGCCGCAAGGACCTTGGTCACCCATCTCCCAGAAGTTGTCCTTCATGTTGCCAGGCAGAATGTGGTCTTCGGGGACACCGACGGATTGCCAGATCTGCTTTGCCTCCAGATCGGGCTCGAGACCCATCGCAGGGTTGCCCTCGAAGTAGGAGACGTACAGACGGTCGGGGTCGAGGCCGTAGACTTTGGTCAGAAGCTCCCAGGACATCTCGATGGCCTCCTTCTTGAAGTAGTCGCCAAAAGACCAGTTACCCAGCATCTCGAAGAAGGTGTGGTGGTAGCTGTCCTTGCCGACATCGTCGAGGTCGTTGTGCTTGCCACCGGCGCGAATGCACTTCTGAGAGTCGACAGCACGCTTCAGCGGGTACATGGGATCCGACTTGGAGATCGTTCCGAGGAAAATGGGCTTGAATTGGTTCATGCCCGCATTGGTGAAGAGTAAGGTGGGGTCATTGTGAGGGACGACGGAGGAAGAGGGCACTGCAGAGATAGCATGTGATGTCAGCCAATTGAAGGTTTGCGAGCAGACGGACGAGAACAATGGCCAGATATCATCTTAGCGACGCAGGCATATGGAAGAGGCAGCGCTGTGATATTAGTGCTGGTGGTGTGAATGTGGTGATATCGTACCGATGGTGTGGCCCCTCTTCTCGAAGAACTCGAGGAAAGTCTTGCGCACATGGGCGCCGGGCCACTGCTGCTCAGCCATGATTGCAGTGCGCGAAGTCGAAGAGGAGTAAAGGCGCCTCTGCCAGGGGAAAGCACTCGATGCGATTAGACCAGACGGGGGCGTGAGGGTGATCGTCTGGAGTCTGACCGGCGTTCGAGTCCGAAATTTGGCGTTGGTGGTGGTATTGGTGGAGGTGGGCGAAATGGAAATGTTAGGGTCGCCGGCGCGATGGTGGTGACTCTTCTGGCGGGACGAGCTTGTTAGTGCCGCAGCTGGTGCTGATGCATTGCCTCGGACTTGGGGTAGGAGGTGGAGGGGCAGTGGCAGTGGCAGCGATTGCGGGTGATGCAGCAGCGCGGCTGGAGGGGGGTAGGTCCCTTCGGTGCTTTTGTAGAAACTTCTACAAGAAGCCGTCTGAGTCAATTGCGGTACAAAAGCGCCAGAGCTCCCCGTCGTCCGCCCGCCACTGCTGCAGCTCCGCGCCAGCGAACGCGCCCCAAGCACGAGCACGGCAGAAGCCTTGGTCATTCCCCCTCAAATACCACAAGATAACCGGCGAATTGGAAATCTCGACGCAAACGTCGACAAGTCTCCTCTTTTCAACCTTCTCAGGTCCTCTCGAACACAAACTTGAACGAAAGCCACCACGAACGAAGACGCAAGCCTCACCAGCTCTCTTTCATCAAGACGCCCTCTCCAGGATCCAGACAGATTCCAGACCCAGACCGGAGGGTACCCGACTGAACCTTGGCCGGTGCCGGTGTCGCTTCTCTCTTTCTCACCCGTCGTCCTCTTGCGCTTTGCGACGGGATATTCCTTACCACACCCACCTTCGGGAGGCCAGCCAACGTGATCAATTCCTGATTCTGCCTCCTTCCGCACCCGATTGCGGCGTCCGTCGTCCTACGCTGCCCTTTTCGTTTGTGTCTCTCCTTGCAGCGATCCTAGTGGTCGGCCTCGAGTTTTGCGTTTAATTGAGCATTCTCGTCGACTCTGGTTCGTTGTTGATCGTCCCGGGTCGGCAGTTTGGAAAACGAGTTTGAACGGGGCAAGAAAAGTTGACGAGGCGTGAGAGAGAAAAGTTCCAGCGCTTCCGGAAGGGTCCCTAACAATGCTGTTGCACGGGGCTCAATCTCCCTCTCATACGCTGGACGGCCACGCCCACCCCCTGGAGACCGATCAGCACCAACACCAGCATAGGCAGCTGAGGCGCAAGAGGAAGGCCGAGTCTCAGGACAATGAGCGGTTGTCCAAGAGACTCAGTCTTTTGAATTTGGGTAAGTCAAAACAGTTCCATGATTTTTAAAGCCCCGTTGCTAACTGTTCAACAGAGAAGAATGGCCAGAAGCTTTACGTCCCAGTAGAGAACCCCGCGGCCTCATCAGCGTCAGCCGACGTCATTCCATCATCTTCAGCATCCGCAGTACCACCAACCACAACCCACAGTGGTCGCCGTCGTCGTCACGACCGCAAACCCCCTTCCGACGATGAGGTGATGCAGCTGGACGACTCAAAATACAAGGTCTACATTTACGACATTGACGACGAGCTCTCCTCTTCGGAGAGTGAACCCGACGACGGCAAGCTGGTCTTCCTTCCGGACATCGAGAAGCACCTACGCGCCACTCGCATTCCCCCTCACATCCTCGCCAACGACGAAGGCCAACTCGCTGGCATGCAGGTGGTCCTCTACAACGAGCCCACCTCGCTGACCATTCCGCAAGAGCAGGATAGCGTTCGCAAGGCCATCGTCGAGTCTCGCGCCCGCATGCGCGAGAGACAGCGCCTCGAACGCGAGGGTAGGGGCGAGCCGGTGCAGATGCCCCCGCCCTTCATCCCCCAGCAACACATTCCCCCGACGACTGCCGAACCTTTCACCGCCACGCAGGCTCCGGCACCCGTAGCATACGACCCCGACGCCATGGACATGGATTAGGAGTACCGTCAGGCAAGTAAATATTTGTGTACATACATCTAACGATACCCACGGCCTCCATCGGGAACGGATCATGGACTCGAGGCACATTCAGCCGGGTCAGCGAGGCGTTTTCTTCATGGTATCATTTTCGATCTTATTGTCATGGTTACTGCTTCCTACAAATTTACAACAGTTATGGTTTTATCAGATCAAGGCATCCAGCCTCGTCGTTGCACAAGACATCCAGCCCTTTAGTGCGTGAGAAAATACAGAAGTCTTCCATCATAAATCTCGCCGTCTTTCATGTCATCTTGAACCAGCAAATGCTTTCCCGTCGCTTCTCGGGTTTTCGACACCAAACAGCAAGCAAAAACGCAAACAAATCACTGCGCTCTATACGGGTACGACTGGCCGGTGTGGTTCGCCGGCACCGCAGCCGGGGGCGGAGGCGGGCCGGGCGGGGGCGTGACGCCGTACTCCTGAGACGGGTCGACCTTGGAGCCTCCGTCGGGCGGTGCGTACATGGGCGGCCTGGCGGCGTTGGGGTCGTACGTCGGCGGCGGCATGCCCTGCATCCCGTAGTAGCCGCCCTGCTGCTGGTTGTAGTACTCCGGGCGGTAGTTCTGATACGACGCCTGCGGCCAGGCGTAGCGGCTGTCGACGCGGGCCAGCTGGGCCCTGCTGAAGAGCCAGCGGTGGTAGCCCAGCGGCAGGAGGCCCTTCTTGAGTCGCCTCTTGCCGTGCATGTAGCCAATGATGAGGAAGGCGGCGAAGAGCGTCGTGAGACCGAGGAAGACGGACCACTTGACGATTACACCTGTCTGTTGCGGGAGAAATCAGATGAGAAGGGTGTCGATGAAAGTAGGCGATGAGTGATGAGGACTTACCCGGCTGTACCACCATGGGATAGCACGACCATTCTGGATAACCCAACCGGGGGGCAAGTCGTTCGCGTTAACGACAGTCTGTCTCGCGTCCAACATGGCGTATGCGCTCATGATGGATGTGCGTGTGTGTAGTGGATAGCGATCGTCGCCCTCGAAATCCTCCTTTCCTTCCCTTCAAGAAAAGCCCGAGTGCCCAGACACCGTTCTCACTCCCGTTGTCGTCGATATTATCGTGATGTCGTTTCCTTATCGGATCGATATGTGGCTGCAAATCAACTACGCCAGTGATCCACACACGAGATGTCGTTCGTGTGTCTTGACGTGGGTTGGTTGGTGTTAGGAGTAACGTTCAAAACTAACGCCAAGCCTAAAATCGATGCGGGAGGTGATTTATTTGAATCAAGACAGCAACGCAAAGGAGGGAACGGACTGCGTGTCGAAAAATAGAGGCTCAGGGACCTTAAAGGGTGGGAGGCAGGGAAGAAACGGGGCCCAGGCCTGGAACCAGGAACCAGCCACCCCTCGTACAAGACGTGGATTGCTCGGACATGGGGGGGGTTTGCAAGACGTCGTCGTCGCTTTCCTGCCTCGCATCGCATGGTGTGGGCTCTCTGTAAAAAAGGTTGTGGGGAACGCCTATGAGAAGAAGGAGGTGGTTGGACGTGGGACTTGCGGCGTGCCGCGTTCTCTCCACCGCTGGTGATTGGACAGACGGCCCCGGCAGCGAAAGCTTGTCGGGGAGCCGGGTGGGCGCGCTGATCTGCGGCAGCGCTGATGCAGCAGAACCGTTTCATCCCCTCGGGGCCCGACGACCGACGAAGGCTTAGCAGGAGGGAGAGAGAGGCTTACAGGTTTCTGATTACCTCTCGTTCTCGCCCAGAGAATTGGTCACATTGGTCACAGGTGTACGTCGAACCACCAAAACAAATCGACGAGAGGGGAAAACAGGGCAAACTCGGCGCGGCCGGCACCCCCAAACAAAACCCCCCGAAGCCGATCAGCCGCTTTCTATTCTCGCTGCCCGCGGCCACGGTAGCTTGTACTGTTGGTTTACGACGACCAGCTCGAGTGTCATTGTGGGATACCCAGTAAGGCGTCATTGGTTCGGACACGTCTGTTACAGAAACAGTAGTATTACAACATCCTCACCCGGAGCGAACAACAAAGCTCGAAACCCTTTTTACCCAGCTTGAACTCCACGATCCTCACCCAACACGTCCAACGGTGCGAACGAGCCAGTAAACGGCGCCCTGAGTAATAACCCCTCTCCAACACCAGAAGCAGGAACCGGAGACATTAATAGGGCGCGTTAGCTTATGCGGCCGTTAATAACACATAACAGAACCTTTTTCGCGGTAGACCGTCGAGTGGACAGGAAGATCGGATCGTCAGCTGCGTCACCAAAACCCACGGGCGCCGCTTCCCCCATCAGCTGCGCATGGGTTCGTTTCTCAGAGCCCCCCTCGAAAAAAGGCGAGAACGAACCTGCGTGGTGACGTTTACTAGGTAGTTCAGGCCCTCAGAACCCGAGATCCCGCTGCCCCTACTCTTAATTCCCCTTCCCTAAGACGAGCCGGTCTGCTTGGATGAGCAGGATAAGGCTTAGAGCAGGCGTTAAGGCGAAGCTTGATTGAAGTAAGGCACGTCGCGGATCCGGGAGACCCTTGTTTCAAAGTCCCCTTGATCGTCCACAGCTTCTCCTCACCAACAACGACACCAACGACAAGAACTCGACGGAAATCCAGACCGAACCACTTGCCGAAAGAGCACGGGCACAGGGCACAAGAATAGAGTTGTCGACTCTTTCTTTTTCGTCTCGTTCTCGCCCACCCCTCTTTAGATAGGGCTGCGTAGCTAAAGTGGTGAAAAGAACATATACCGCGCGTCGTGCAGCGGAAAAGTCAATCTGGCTCGATATCCGGGTTCGCTTGGTGGTTCGATCTCGGATCATCTGCCGTGACAGTTATGTATGTTTGTGTGGGTGTAAGTAACACACGGGGCGACCACCATCTTCCAACGTCGAGATGGACGAGCGTCCCTCCTCGATATGAACCTTCTTTTACCAACTCCGGAGGATCTCGAGATGCCTGAGCTCATGACCTCTGGCGGAAGACGCCGTCCAGCAAGTGATGGGCTCCCGACGACAACGCACCCATCCATCCATCCATCTTCATCATCCGTCCCTCCACCATCCGGTATCCTCGTCGTAGCCGATGACATCGAAATCGATGTTCATGCTCCTCAGCATCGTCCCCATCGTGAACTCTTCCTGTACGAACGTGTCAGTCACCGCCATGTCCCTCATCCGCGACGCGTGATCGCAAAATCTCACCTCGTGTTCTTCTCCTTCGTCATCATCATCATCGTCACCACCACCACCGTCCTCGTCTCCATCACTCTCAGCTCCGACTCGCCCCGTAGAATCCTCACCACCATCACGTCCGGGCTCCTCCTCCCTCATCCGCTCCGCAAAACACCTCTGCTCCTCCCTCCTCGCCCTCCCCCAACCCTTCATCCCGCCCATCCCCCTCACCCTCTCCCTCGACGCCTCAAACACCTCCTCCGCAGCCAACCGGCTCGCCGCCCTCCACTTGCCCACCAGCCCCTCCAGCTCCTCGGCTCCGGACCTCGCCCGGATCCGCTCCGCCTGCCTGATGATCTCCTCGCGACCCTCCGCCTCCCTGGCACTCCTGATGCCGACCGGCGTGACGACGTCGCCGGCGCTCGTCGACTTTTTCGCCAGCGGCGTCGCGTGGGGAGACGATGCGGAAACGCCGTGCTGCGGACGCGACAGGCTGAACGGGCGGTGGTGCCGCGAGGGCGTCTTGAACTGATGCTGCTGTTGCTGTTTGGCCGGGGTCATGTGCGTCTCGTTTCGTCGTGCCGTCGTACCCGTCGCGCTACCGCCGGGCTGGGTCAGTGGTGAGTCTGTCTTGACCGCATGCCGTGGTGACGTCGCCGTCCCGTCCTCCGCCGTGGGCGCGTCGTCGCGCTTGACCGCGGGTGATTTGAACGGTTTTCGAAGCGTCTCGTTTGCGCTGTCGAGGCGTCGTCTCTTGGCTGCCGGCGTGTACATTGCAATTAATTGATGGCATGCATCGCTGGTGTGATTTCAGGTTTCGGTAAGGTTTTTTGGCGGTTGGCAAACTGGGTGATCCGGACAGTGCTTCTGGAGACTTCAAGCCACCCATATCTGCCGCAGTACACCTGTATACCTTATTGTCCAATATTGCATGTATTGCACACTTTCAACTTCGGACCTTGAGATGTCGCTTGTTGTTTTGTTTTGTCTTGTTTCAACACACATTGAGGTTTTACGAAATATTTCGTCGCGACTTAAATCGCCGAAGACAAATCAAGCAACGCGTCCCAAGATAGTCATCTCAAAACCACCGTCGCCAAGATCTTGGCTCGTATGCAGGTCACGTCTCACGTTCAAGACGAACACACCGTAATGCCAGTCAACACTCATTCAAACTATCCAGTCACTGCCTAGGTACTCTACAGAAAAAACACCAAACGCCCCTGGGTCTTCCAACTCTTCTTTCAGACTGGAGTTCCTTGCTTCAGATCATCATATGTCCCATGTACACATCAAATCCCATGAGCCGTTTCAAAGATGCGAGCCGTCACCCCAACCGAGCCGGAATTACAATCAAACAAATAAAACAATACTTGGCCGTTTCCCCTTTTGCGCCTTCACAATGCAGTCTCGTACTCCATCAACGCAGAGAAATAGAAGAGAATGTGGACTAAAAACCGTACGTACGCTAATGCCGTTGAGTGAACTGAAAGAGGTATCATAAAACCAAATGCACTCCATGAATGGCCCGAAGCAGACCAGAATGCGGGTATGGCACAGAAAACCGGCGATGAGAATAAAAGATCAGGAGTCGACTCGAACCCGCTTAGGCTCGTTGCCAGCCTCGGGCCCGTCGTGCGGGCCGCTGGCGCTAATTTCGGGACTCTTGCGCTTGGTGCTGGTGGCATTGTCGTCCCTCAGAAAACTGGGACCTGAGCCAACCACAGGAGTCGCGAAGTTCAAAGGGCTGGGCAGCGTGTTGCTGTCACTGCCGCCCCGCGAATACCACTCAGGGTAGAAGCTGCTGGGGCTTGGGAGAAACTCATTGTTGAGGAATCGTGAGGGGAGAGCGGACACTGGAGTGTCAATGTTCATGTTGCTGTTTTGCTGCTGAGGCGGAGGACGAGCAAACGGATTGGGAGGGCCCGTGGCACCGGCCGAAAGGAGCGTTTGTGCGGATGGGGATGGCGGCGGGAGGACCATTCCGGAAGAGTGCGAATCGGATGCATGTCGCCGAGTCGTCTGGGATGTGGCGTCTGTCGAGTTGCGAGGAGAGTTTGACTCGGCAGTTGCGCTACCGCCATCCGAAGGTTCGTCGGGAATCTCCACCCTCAAACGGGGACGCGCACCACCTCCTCCAATCTTCATGCTATTGGCGCGAGAAGGTGGAGTAAACGTTGTCTCCGGGATAGACGATACAGAAATGTTGCGAGTCTTGTTCAGCGACTGAGTGCTGGCGCGCTGAGGCAGAGGCGGGGAAGAGGTAGAACCGTTGGTCCTTGAGACCGCGCCCACATCCACCGACTGAGCGCGATTAGCCTCAACCTTGATGATCTGATCGGGCAGCTGAGGACGATTGGCATCTCCTTTCCCGTTACTTTGGTCGGAGGCGAACGAAGCTAAATGTTGAGACAAAATCGAGCGGTTCTCGTCGATAGGCGTGAAGATGCTGTGCTGCTTGCGCTGCGGCAGCTTCTTGATCGCGCTATCAGTATTCAAGAGCGGCGGCTGAGGTCTGTCTTGCGGCTCGGATCGGGGTTCCATGGGCGCCGGCATCGCGGCCTCCGGCGCCTGTGGCGGTGGCGGCGGCGGCGGTTGTTGCTGCTGCTGCTGCTGAGGTTGAGGCTGGTGCTGAGGTTGAGGTGAAGGATGCGGTTGCTGCTGAGGCTCAAGCTGCTGAGGCTGTGGCGGCGGGGGTGACATCTGAGGCGGCTGAGGAGGCAACTGCTGGGTAGGAGGCTGCGGCGGAGATGGCGAGATCCGAGATACCTGGGGTCCAGGCCCTTGAGGCGGTCCGTGCTGTTGCGGGTAGTTGGGTGGCATAGAACGGCGCTGCTCCTCGATGTATTGTTGCATGTGAGGGGGATGAGGGTTCGGCGGGTATTGAGGATACTGAGGGCCGTGTTGGGGTAATCCGTGAGGCATGTTAGGCGGCATGTTGGGTTGGCTTTGAGGGTTGTAGATGGCCGGGTTGGGCATGTACGCGAATCCGTTGACAGGAGGTTGCTGAGATCCAGGAGGGCCGACAGGCTGAGGGCCCATGTTGGGGCCCATCCGGCGAATGTCTTGCCTAGAGGCAGGGCGCGATCCCATCTGCGGCTGCGGCGTGTGCCCGCGTTGTACGGGATGACCAGGGTGCTGCGGGAAAGGCATGCCGTTGGGGATCGGCGGTGATGCTGATGGAGTGTGGTGTCGCATGTGAGGAAAGGGCGCTTGTCCTTGGAACTGAGGCGGAATCATTTGAGGCTCCATGGAGTCTCCGTGAGGAGGCGTGCCATCGCCTTCCTCATCTTCGTCCTCGTCGTTGCCGCCGTTGAAGTCTGAGGGCCCCTTATGCTCGTTCGGGCCACCGTGCTGCAGGAGGGTTAGCGTCCTTGATCGCGACTGACGAGAGTTGAAGGGGCTTACATAGGTGTATCTTGTGATCATCTCACGCATATCTGTGGAGGAGTATTCGTACAGCTTCTTGTTGTTGCCGAAGATGAAGACGGCGACGTCCACCGAACACAAGACGGAGAGCTCGTGCGCCTTCTTGAACAGGCCGCCCTTTCGCTTGAGAAAGGTGCTGTGCGCGACGCGTTTGATTAGCGATCCGTCGCGACATTTGCGATTTACGCAGGGTTGCAAGCTTACACAGAGCGGTTCCTGTCATCCTTGATGGCCTTGATCTCAATCTTTCTGCGTCCCATTTTGATGCTGGTGGTCCGCGGAGGTACCGAGGGAGGCGAAGGGTATATAGGAGGGGAGGTTTAGGAGTTGAGCCGGGCCGAGGTCGAGGTCGAGGTTGAAGGCGACGACTCGAAGGAATTGGCGATGGCGCGGCGACTCGGTCTCTTGCGATGCGTCGACAGTCGATATGTCGAACGTCTTCGGCTTGGACTGGCGAGACAAGTTGAAGCTCGGGTGGGAGAGCTGGGTATTTGGAGGAGCGACAAGCTTGGCTGGACAAGAGCAGTCGGGAAACAAAAGTAGGCCGGGGAGGGCTGATCGCTTTTATCTAGATGGCCTGTCTCGTGGGCTGTTGTTCCCAACTGGTGATCTGTCAGTCAAACTGGCATGGGCGAGGCAAGGCAAGGCAAGGCAGCGCATCCCAGGATCGAGGGTTTCTGAAGCGATGCAGGCTTTGGGGTTTTGGAGCAGGGGAGAGCAACGAAGACGGCATCAAGAACGTACATTGATCCCATTACAAGTGCAGATGCGACAGGTCTGGGATGGACAGGCGTTGTGGTGCAGGTCGATGGGGCTGAATCTGGCGTGGATGATTCTAATAATAGACGCGATCGTGTTCAGTTTCTGGGTGCGCGGGAAGACAGACAGGAAGGAGGGAAGGGGGAGGGAAGGGAATGGAAAGAAAGAAAAAAAAGAATGGGTTGTGGGAGCGGCACAGTAGGTAGTTAGGTACAGTAGCAGTGAAGAGTTGCAGCGAACGGTAACAGCCAGTCAGATGAGAGGAAGTAGAAACAGCAGCGCCCAGCTTGATGACTTTTGTGAGAGAGACGGGAGTGAGTGTGAGTGAGAGAAGGACGACAGGCAAAAGACAAGGGGGAGGCCAGTCTTGTTGGAGATGGAAAGGGCATGGAAAAAAAGAATTGGGCGGGGGTATGCTCCAATACCTGTGCAAGTACTGTTACCGTCCAGTCCAGGAGCATGGCAAGCGGCCCTCTTCTTGTCTCCAGGCCCTGCAAGCCTCTCCACTTTACACTAAAAGATACCCAAGGTACTTACAACCTACCTAGCTAAGTCCACCACCACCACCATCACCTTCACCTCCACATCCACCACCAACCGGCAGCATCACCGACTCGACATCTACAACACTGGATTACTCCTGAACCTCCCGTCCGCACTTTCAGATCACACTTTCGTCCTCACCACCACCGACAGGGCAAGGTCGCGAAGGTCTTCAAGGTGCGTGCGCTCTCATGGCTGGGGGCCCTGGTGGCCGTTACGGACGCTCGTGAAACGACAACCTGAGAAGACAGGGAATGAGATAGGAGCTGAGACTGCCTCTCCGCACTGTCTAAACCTGCGACACGATGCTGACCCTCCACCGTGTGCAGATGTAATCTCCACCCACGCCCTGCGCACTGTATCAGGGTCTGACGGGTCCAGAGGTACTAGCCCCGGCAGGGCAAGGTATCGGTCCAGATCTCGACGGCGCGGCCGCTAGTGAGACATTGCAGAAAAGATACCTATGGCAGGTGTCGTCGAGACATCTGACGTCTAGCCGACATGAGGTACGTGCGACAACTATGGCGGATACCTTCCGACTCTCTCTCTCTCTCTCCGTACGATGTCTCGAGAATCGAGAACTGATTCCTGGCGCAGCGCAAAAAGGGACCACAGAACCAAACAACAGAGCATTGACTGCCGCGAGCAAGCCTCGAGATCCCGTCCACAAACCCCGCGGTACGGATACTCGAAATCGACGTGACGTGACTCGAACTCTCGTCAGGTCCACGGCGCGAGACACCGGAGCCATTGCCGGACCCTCCCTCCCTGAACCTTACCTCGCCTATCCATCATCCACCCAATATCCCGTCACCGGTGACGGGGGACGGGACCTGCTTACTGCGGTACCGATACAGCCCCCAAGCAGTCCAGCCAGAAAGCATAACGCCGTAAGGCCGTGAGGTAGGGAGGGAGGCTGTCACCACCACCACCACCAAACAACGTGCCCGGGCCGCAAGTTGAGCCTCTCCTCCGCCGCCGCCGCAGGAACGAGGTCTCGTAGCCAGGCACAGCAGTTACAGTTACACACAAACTTACTCTGTACGGATACACCACACCACTCACCCGGCACGCCGTCGCCTGCACCTACACCGCGGCCCTAGCCAACGCCGCAGTCCCGCGGGAACCATCATCTGCCATCCAGTGTCCGTCTCCCGGTCCATTGTGTCGAAACCGCCTCAGCCCTTCCCTTCTCGATATCTCCCGCCGCCGTCACTGTCATCGGACAATTGAGTTCGAGCCTCCTCTTGGCGCTGCCTAAAAGCTCACGATGGGAGGAGAAACACGACGGGGCTACATCCCCGTATCAGATACCCCTTTGTTTTTTTTCCCCTCTCCCCTGGCCGGCAACAAAGCGAGGTCATCGCCAAACAGTCCCACCGAGAGCTTGCCTAGACCTCCTCCCCAGACAGCCCCTCTTCCCGCAACGCGCGAGGGGTTCATGTCCCCATCTCCCAATCGAGCATCGAGAACCAATCTGGATGCAGGGTCGCCCTTCCCGCCGACGTGAGTTCGATTCCTCATTCGGCCGGGCCTTTGACGACGTCCGTCCGTTACCATGGTGCTGACCTTGTAGATCTCGCTTCACGTCACATAGCACATCCCGCGTCTGTTTGACCAACCCAGACGCCCATCATCTTGAATTAGATACACTTCTCCACCCACGGCGATACCCCGCGCCCATTATTGCACTACAACCTCATCAACCCTGAACACACTACACAACTTTGAACTGGCGAGCAATCCAACCGCTGTCTCTCTTGTCTCGAGAAACGTTATCTCCCCCACCTCGGTTGGGCATCTCCGTCTACCCTTTTGGCTCATGTCAAAACCTCTAGACTCTCAAGAATTTGTGGACGGAAACAAGCCAAGAGTGCTAAAAACAACAAAAACCACAGATAGACGTTCGACAAACGCCAATCCCCGTGGAAACATCTGCTCTTGGCAGGTTCTACATTCTCCTCGTTCAGACAGGACTGTGACTGTTGCCGTAAGACTAACAACGAATATCGACCCGGGGAGCGGCCTGGATGTCATCACTCACATGCGACGTGGTTTTCTCCAAACCGTCAAACACGTTCATCCCCGCGGTCTGATCCGGCACGGCGCAACTCCCATCCCATCGACATAATTCGTCCGACAAGGCCCGGCCAGCGTCGTAGTCCCGTCACCGAAAAAAAACGCCATCCCACCTTTTTTTTAACACTCCGAAATAACCATATCATTAAGTTAAGCGCCCGACGCCATTAGTGACATGACGCTAAGTCCACCAACGTCCGGGTTGCAATGAGCGAACGAAAAGCCTTGAGAGCCCTGATTGCCCAGTGCTTCACCAACAAGCCAAGCTTCCCACCGCTGCCCCACCCATCACAGCTAGTAAATCTCCAAGTCTTCTCTCGTGACGGTGTGAGGTTCGACATGCAAGAGCGTCAACGAGGCACGAGAAGAGGATGTTCCTGCCGCAAAGTTAAAGCCGATTGGCCGGTCCCCTTCTCGAAGTGCAAAAAAACCTGCATGTTCCTCCTCTCCAGCATAGCTAGCTCCCCTGCTCGCTCGCACCTTACACCTCGGTGTCGAGGTCGCATCCCAGTTCTCTACGGTCCACGCTAGTGCGGCGTTTCTAAAAATATCCTATTTTTAGCATTAGCGTCCCAAGTGCTCCGCAGCCACGCGACTTTTGACTCTTGACGGTGTGTGTGTGGTTCACCATCAGACCCAATCACATCAAGCCCGCGGCTTTCATGTGGGTAAATTGTCATCACTCACTCATCAGCATCAACCAACCCCTCTTGGAGGTTTTCCCATCTGGCCTGCTTGCTTGCTGCTTGCTTGCCTTGCCTTGCTTGCTCGCTTGTCCGTCGAACAACCACACGCAATCAAAAAAGGGCCCAATGTAAAGCGACGTTGGCTTACATGACCTCGTCATCCTCAACATCATCGTGATTCCCCAACCGCCGGACCGCGTTGTTACTCGGTGGTCATCGTTACAGTACATTCTCACTCTCCCCATCATCCATCATCCCCCATCATACCCTCCGCCGAAAAAGCCCCCATGCCAGGTTTCCGATTCGCCAATCTACTCAAAGTGATGCAAAAGTTCAACCAGAAAGTTCCCCCCACACACCATCTACCTATCCCTACCCGTCTCTGTCGTCGCCGAGAAACCCCCCATGTCGTCCGTCGTGCCGCATCAAGTTCCCCCCCGGTCAGCCAGCCATCGAGAAGGGAAAACGCGCACCGCTTGGCTCTTGGCTCTTGGCCAATGCCAGCCCACCTGAGCCTCCTGCTCCTGGTTCTCCTTCCCGTCCACCCACACCAGATACACTCGACTTTGAGCAACAGTTGACATGGATTACCCAGGGTAAACGGGGTCATCGGTGAGCTAGTGTTCTTCACACTGCATTTCAACTTGCTGGGACTTTGTCATTGGGAAATGGGTGTTTTCTTCCCCGCGTGATTAGCTGCCCGCGCAGCGGCTAAGGGCTAAACTTAACAACACCAGACGCCGTGCCGATGCATTACATGCTCTCATTTGGTTAACCGCTTGCCAAAAACTCTCTCTCCGTCACCCCGCTGTCACGTCCTTGGGACATGTGTGTTCCTGCTGTGCTGCCCAATAAGAATGATCCCCAAAACTGAATGTCCGGTTCCCAAATTTCCATATTCTACATCCCGTGGTCGTCAATGTACGGTTCCATATTTGGGGTTCTCGGTCCAACCCCATGTCTGAGGTCTCCGACCCAGACGTTCGCCATATCCCGGGCGTTCTTCAACATCAACGTCAGGTTGCTGGTGTTGTGCCTGAACCCCTTGCGTGAATCTCTTGGCGCAGCCCTATTGTTAGCAACCGGGAACGGTTGAGTGTGGGGATCTCCCCCGTTCTGGAACGTTCGTCGGTAGTTAAGCGGCTGCTGTGAGAGGGACGCAGACTATTGGTAAGCGCCGGAAACAGCTCCCGGCTGCCCGGTCAGGTATCGTCGTCTCAACTATTATCCGATGTGCCACGCTGCATCGTCTTGTATGTCGTTCCTCTGTCAGCTGTCGTCGAGTTTCGTCCCAACATCGTCGCCGTCGCCGTCGCCGCCGATTACTGTCCTGGTGACCCGGCATTCGCCGCTGGCCCATTGTAGACACCAAAACCGCCGTGTTCTGCGATGCCGTTGTCGGTCTTCATAGTGCCGTTGAGCATAGGACAAAGTCTTTGAGGCGGAACTGTTAGCAAACTGTCTGTGATGAGGCCGAAGTTAAAGAAAGCAAGCGAAAAGAGTGAAATGCGATGAAACAGCCTAAAATGAGACGAGACCAAAAGAAACCGCTGGATGATCTGGATGAAAAGATCCCCGAGAGCTGCTGGAAGATTAGAGAACCCTGGCCTTGGTATTTTGCCAATAGGGTTTATGGCTGTACTTGTTGTACTTGTACTTCTTAGGCTTCGATATCTTGGGTGCCTTGGGATGTCCCTTGGACGGCGCGGGGATTTGGGGCTTGTGACTTTTGGCCTTGAGACTCTTTGGCTCTTGATTTTTTGGCTCGCGGCTTTGCTTTCGAGGCACTGGGTTTTGCGGGGCTCGTTTCGGCCGACGCTTCCGCAGCAACTTTTGCTTGAGCCGGAACCGCTTTCCCCCAACCCTGAACATAGTCGGGAGATCTGATGATGGACGAGGCAGATGAGGGAGAACAGAGAGAGCAATACTTTTTGTTGGTTTTGATGTGGCCGACCTGTCCACAATTGGCACACTTGCGGGTGGTGCCAGTGGGGACCCTTTCTGCTTCGGGAGAGCCAGCGTCGGTGCCGTTCTTTGATCGATGCAATCCTTTTTGTTGCTCTCGGCCAATTCGTCGCTGCTTGTTACGGTTGAGCCGTTCGAGCTCCTTATTAATTCTGCTAGGACGTCAATCAACAGCTCAGTATCAACGCCAGGATACTCCTTACTCAACCAGTCTGCGGTGGTCGTCATCAGCAACTCCGGTAGGGCGGCCCTCATAGATACTAGACACGCGTATATGTGAGTAGGGAGAGCTACAAGATTGAAGGATAGACCTGAGATGGGATCGTGGTAGGGGAAGCTGGACGGGGATCCGTACTTGATGTCCTCCAACTCGAGTTCCTTCTTTCGTTTGATGTATCGGTCTATCACAACAGGGTCTTCAATGATGACAGTCTTCAGCTCGACAGCGCCTGCCTCATTGTGGACTTCGCGGGTAATCTTGAGTCGTTTTCGCTGGTTCCGGCTTGTAGAGGTCGTTAGTCCAGTGATTTGACTCATGCCTTCATCAGCATGGTGTGCGGGGGTTTGAGCTCTCTGCGGTAAAAATCGATCATCTTCGTCTGCTGGTGCCGGGACCACGAGCTCATCCTCTTTTTCAGCACCGTCTTCGAGACTGGCTTTTTGCTTTTCCCAGATCTCGCGGATGCCTTTCCTGTACATGGCCTCTTGCTCCTTGACGTTGTAGGCATGGCCGTTGTTCTGTTTCCGCAGGGTATCCGGATGGGCAGCCATGGCATCAGCCGCCGTGGTATGAGATCCACCCTTCTGAACCGTCTCGAGGTAGCCTCCCTTCATGGAGGTTCTGATGAAGCTGAAACCAAGACCATGTCCGGTCGGGTCGCCTTGTCCGTGAAGCTTGAGCATAGCTTTGCCGGCGCAAGCATCAATGAACGCCTTGCTTGTCTTCCACGGTGTCATTCTGTCCGCTAGTCTTTCTTCGTTCTTCTCGGCAGCCTTCTTGCCACCTTTGCCGGTGCGCTCCTCGTCATCATCTTCAGCAGGCTCATCGTTATCGTCCTCCAAGTTGACGTTATTGGGGTCAAAACCGGCGTCTTCTAGCATTTGCATGCCTAGCTGCATACCGTCGATGAGACAGACCTCCTCAGGCTTGATCATGGCACGAATGCTGTTTTCGTCCATAAGGGTTTCGCCTGGCTTCAGTCCCCACAAACCTTTCTCGAGTTTGGCGTAGACCAGGAATTCCTTCAGTTTTTGCCTGTTTTGGGCGTCTGTAGAGTCGGCAATGTGCTTCGTGACCTCCGACAGGTTGACAAGGCTGTGTTCATTCCGTCTCATCATGCGATACGAAATCATCTTGATTCGGTTTTTGGAGGCGTTGGTTACCTTTCGGCTGTGAGGCCCTGGGATTTCCACAGATGGGAAAGTCTGGCCGACGACGTAGAGATGGTCAATCTTGTGGAGGTACCAGCTGGAGCCGTCCACGCCTGTTGAGCTTCGAACGCAGAGGAAGTCCGTGGAGCGCGGCTTGTGTTTGAAAATTGGCGCGCGGTACATTTGGTTATGTAGAGTCGGCATCGTCTGGCCCACTTCTACCTCGCCGAAAATTGCAAATGGTGACCTGTCCTCGGGGAGAAGAACGTGGGATTCGCCGATTTCCATCTTGGGCGGAACCTCCTCATCATCTACCTTTTTCTTTCGGTAGTAGTTGATGACCCTGTTACCCATACCAAAGTTGGAAAGAACAGGAGGTGTGCGTTCACAGTACTCAAACAGCACCGCTGTCGAGTTGTCTGTGATGCCCAGGTCCTTGGTGGTCCGGAAGACCTCATGAGCCTTCCCCTTCATCTGCTTCCGCTTGTGGTAGCCAAGTTTGCTGAACCTGATCATCTGGCGCTCATGCTTGCCAAACTTGAAGTAAGGGCGATGGTAGCCTTCCTTCCTGATATCCAACTTGACCTTGTAGAATGGCCACGCCAGCTTGAGTGCCGGCATACTGTGTTCAACAGAAAGATTGCCGAGAGTAGCTCTGACCTTGTGTTGATGGTTCTCTTTCAGGGCCTCGTATGCGTCGTCGTTGGACATGTTAAAGCGTTGAGAGAGATCAGGTCTGAGGTGACCGTTCGCCGTGCGCGTGAGCTTTTGTTCAACACGCTGGCGCTTGGGACCGCGTTGAGACTCGGCTTCTTCCAAGATGAGGTACGGGTCGTTTAGGTCCAGAATGACGCGCTTAGATGAACGCTTGGTAACATCCTCAAATGAGTCGAACGAGGGTGCAGTGAAGCGGGGTATCTCAGGCAGACCCTTCGGTGGCGGTGGGCGTGTCTTCTTGGGTGGCGGCGGTTTGGCCTCTTCTTCGTCCAGGAATTCGCGCTCCCATTCATCGTCGAACGCATCATCGTGAACACGCTTGAGCGACGCTGCGGCCGCCGCATCAACTGCAGCCTCTTGGGCCAGTTGATTCTTGAAGTCCAGCTCAGTCTGCTCGATCCGGTCCGACCAGTCGTCGCAAACCATCTCAATGTCTTGAAGGGAGAATCCCGCAACGGCTTCTGAGTCCGATTCCTGCTCGAGATTGAAATCTTCTGCCTCTGCCTCATCCGACGAATCTTGCTGCGCGCAAGTCACCAGGCCTCGTGCGTCGTCGTCGATGCGCTTCTGCTTTCTCGTAGCTGTCGCTGTTCCGGGAATGCGGAAGAGCTTCTCTTGATCAGCCGCAAGATCCAGAGTCAACTTGGAGAATATGAGAATCTTGGGTTTCTTTGTCGGCTTCTTTTCGATCCATCGCGCCTTCTTCGGTGGCAGCAGTTCGTTCCATTTCAGGATAACACCCTTTTGCCAACTCGGCCACGCCTGCTTAACCAAATCTTCTGCCGTCTCTGCCGGGGCGGGAATATCGGGATCCTGGTTCGCTCCCTCATATCCAGGCTCGGGGTCGAAGTTAATATCTCGGTACTGGGACGCATCGGCATTGTCGGGGTCGTGAACGTGAGGCGCTGGGGACGGCGGGCCGGGTACCTCGATCGGGGACGATGGACCATCACCAAACAGATCGTCTGTATCGTTACTTGTGCCGCCATCATCTGTCAGGCCTGGGACGGACAAGGAAGTGGCGGGGTTGCCTTCGCCTTCCTCCTCTTCCGGCAGATCATCGTCGCTGATGTCCTCGAAGTCCTGCGCATCGTCTGCCTTGCCAGATTGATCGAATGGGGTATCGTCGAATTTGATTCCGAGGTCTCCTCCTTGCTGCAGTTGGCTGAGAGTTCGCTGGATCTGCTCCTCGTCCTGCGCTTCCTGGGCCTTGTCGTCGAGGACCTCCTCGTCCTTGGACGGAGGTGACTTTGGGGGTTCGTCGCTCATGTTGTCGGATGTGTCGCGAATGTCTCCCGTCGAGCAGCACCACCGATACTGTGCGACGCAAAAGTCCGATTCTATACCATGCCTCGCGATGTGGTTGTTGATGCGTCGGCAGCCGCGTTCGTTGGGTGGAAGCTCGTCGAGTCGATGGGGCGACGCGTCGGTCGGCTCTGGGGAAGCAGGAGGGAAAGTTCACTCAGAGCCGCAGAAATTTGGGTGACTCAGGTGCGATTTCTGCAGGGGTGCCTGAGGCGGAAAGTGTCAGCCAATCAGCTAGCTCGAGTGGAAGGCAGCATCACTCTTGGTCTGTGCCTTCCGTTTCTACCCCGGTCGACACCACTGGCGGGGGCTGCCATACCTAAAATCGACTAACAAAGTAAGTAAGGTAGGTAGGTAGGTGACTTCGGTTTGGTGAACTTCGTGATATGATGATGTTGGTGCCTGGAGGGTAGGTATGTCTGCCTTGGCATTGGTGATCGGGCTATGGTGTTGGTGATGGCTCAAGAAACGATCCAAGGAAAAGACTTCTATTCCTAGCTGATGCTGTGAGGGTAAGACACTTGTGATGGGCTGGTGATGGAGGCAGTTAGGCGACTTTGGGTGACGGGTTTGTTATTTATAATGGTTGAAAGACTAGGTGGGTGGGTTGGAGACGAGAAGGGAAGGAGCCACCTGCCTCCCAAAGTGCCTGCCTTAAACTTCCCTCAAAGAGCCTAAGATGCCTTGGCTGAAGGCTTCCCGTGTATATTTCTTTCTTTCTGTATTTTCTTTTGGCAAGAGCTTCCCGATAGGTAAAATCAGGAGGTGGGCACGATAACCTCATCTACCTACCCACGTACACAGGCATTAAAATTCTGATTTGGCGCTTCTGTATGCTTTCTAGGTGATTTGTGATCTATATAAGGTGACCAAGGTAAATCGACAAATTTCAAAAAATCTGGCTGAGTGTCTAGATGGATGGATCTAACGTCTTTTTATATAGTTGTCGAAAATCTGACCGTTAAGGTGCGCTAACGAAATCCTGGACAGTCCATTGATGTCGAGAACTCAATTTTCGTCAACGGTCCTGCGAACCCAGTCAAGGAAACCAGACGCCAAGACATGATACATAAAATCCAAGGCGCGAGCTTGCTGAACACTTTTATGTATTCCCAAACTATCTAGGTACCCAGCCCACGGCTGAAGCCTTACAACGTACAAACTGCATCCTCCACGACGGGTAACAGCGCGTATCTTTCCGACGCCTTCCCTCTCTGATACTCGGAAAAATGGAACCTTTTTGTCGTAAACTCCATACGCCCTCGAATGATAAATAACCCCCCGCCATACTCCTGCTTCCGTTCCCTTAACTCAAGAGATTCCACCAGGCCAACTGCAACGGCTTACTTGCAGCGCTTCTCGACGATGCTGACACCGTTCTCCTCATACTCCTTGCGCGAGATCCACATCTGGTGGAAGGTGCCCAAGCTGGCCAGGATGCTGCCGCCGATCCAAGCACCGAAGCGGCGCTCGCTCGACAGGCCCGCCGCGTGGATCTTGATCTTGAGGCCGGGGTACATGGCCATCAGCTCGGCGTTCAGGCGGTCGTTGAAGCCGTTCAGCAAGCTGGTGCTGCCGGTCACGACGACGTTGCCCAGCAGGTTGGGACGCAGGTCCACGTCGACGGCGTTGAGCGCCGCGCGAATCAGCTCGGGGATGGTCTGGGACTTGTTCAGGCGCAGCTCCTCGTTGGCGGTCGGGTACGCAGCCGTCTCGTCCCACATGCCCTCCGAGACCTTGTAACGCTGCTCGCGCCACATCTGGTTGGCCCCGTTGGGAAACTCAAACACGCGACCAGGTTGCTGTCTGGCCGCCTCCTCGCCCTGCGGCGTCGCAAACCGGATGGGATGGCGCCAGGTCTCGACGACGGACTCCTTGAACTCGGTCACCAAACGCTCCTCCTCGTAGGCGCGGAACGAATCCGTGATGCTAAAGTCGAATTGGCGTTGCTTGAACTGGGGCGGGGCGCCGGCGTCGACGGGGGTCTTGTTCTCGACCATGAATGTCGGAATGGGGTCAATCTTGGGCTCCGTGGTCTCCCACAAGCTGCGAATCTGCGACGAGAGCCACAGGCCTCCGACTGGAGACTTCTGGATGGATCTCTTCAGAACCATGCCGTCGTGGATGGCCGTGACGGAAGTGTTAGCGCCACCGACATCGATGACGAGAGCGCTGGCCTTGCCGGCAGCGAAGGCGGCCAGAACAGGCGTACGGCTCAACCAGAACGCAGGACAACCCCAGTTCTCCATGATAATTTCAATCGCCTTCTCTCTGGACTTGGCGTTGTTCCACGGCGCCTCGGTCATCAAAAGTGGGTTCTCCTGCAGGGCCTTCTCCTGCGCCTCGATATCTTCCATGGCCACATCGGCATCACCATTGGTCGCACCTCCCTCATCCTTCTTGGGGTCGTCGTTGAGGCCGTTCTTCGAAGGAGGGGTGGAGCGCGGGGGCTGCAGGCGGGTCGTAAGCATGTGCTCCCAGAGCTTGTTGGCGACGTCCCAGTCCTCTACAACGCTGTCCTTGTTCATGTAGTTGCGGACCTCGAAGTCGGCGCGGGGGATGAGGCACTCGTCGCCGTAGACGTCGGTCGGGGGGTCGGTGGAGCCAACGCGGCCGTAGAAGGATGGGTAGACAGCCTTGGGGACATCCTCGCCCGCGAAGCCGGCACGTGTGCTGCAGTAGCCTGGGTCGAGCACCAGGGCGGACACCTCATCTATTTCGCGATTGTTAGAACGGGCGACGCGGATGCGCGAGGCGACGAGAGTGTTCCTGCTCACCTCCTCCGTAGATGTCAGTCGGCTGCACCGACGAGGACAATGGTTGTTGCGACATGTTTTTGGAGTCTGATGTGTGATGCGACAAGCCACCGAAATGATTGGGATGATGCGAAGCGGTGTGGTGGGTTGTTGCGATGTCTGCACCTGATTGAAAGTCGCGTCGAAATTTGGCGTGGTTGGGTGAAGCCTGGGCTGCTGCAAGGCTGAGATTTCAGCCACACCCCACCGTGTCGTGCCGCGACACACTGTACGAGCTCTCGGTGTGGAGCTTCTCACCGAAGCAAGGGCAACTGACGTAGGTGCAGTCCTCCACGATTACTTTTTCCTTGCAAATGATTGCTGCTCACCGGTAGCACTAGTATTGCCCTTATCATAACAAAATTATTTGACCAGGAGTAAGTACCGCGTGGTGGTTTCGGTAGGTTACGACAGACTGCCGGAAAACCAATGATGTTCTACATAGTGCGCGCAGTGATTCCTCCCTCACCAACTACTGGCATCACATATCGGAAAGATCAATCGCGTGCATCAAAGGGTATCATTCATAAATTCAGCTCGTAGATCTCGGCTGCGGACCCGGAGATATCAAGTGACTATGTACTCGTCTTCCGACTCAAAGTCCTTCCCATCCCCGTACAGCACCTCGCAAGCACCTGCCAGCGGGATATCCATAACGGCATCCGTCCCCTCGGTCCAAATATTCTTCCAATTCATCCCTCCCCCGGGCAGCCGGTTATCCCTCTTATCCTGCCTCCTCTTCGGCCCGTCCCTGAGCCGTCCCTTGCTATCGATCACCCCGACCTTCGACGCATCGTCCACGGCCGTCTCGATGGAGTTGAGCGGGAGCGTCATGATCTCGACGTTGTACAGCGCGAGCGCGATGTAGATGTACACCAGCAGCATGGTCAGGAACGCCGGGATCGCCAGCGACCACCAGCGGTTCGGGTAGTAGTAGATGCCCAGGGCGTGCAGGAAGGGCGACGGCAGGTACGACCACAGCAGGTAGACGATGAAGGTCAGCGTCGAGAAGAGGTACAGCACGAAGCCGTAGTACTCGTAGGTGGGGACCTGGGGCGAGGCGCGCGGGACGGGCTCGAAGTCGTCGTCGGACGCGTCGGGGGTCGTCGGGCGCGAGGGCCGCAGGAGCGAGGTCAGCGACGGCGAGGGCGGCAGCGGCGTCGGCGGGCGGCCGTAGAAGGGCGGCGCGAAGTAGTTGTGGTGCAGCGGCCGCGGGGGCAGCTCCTCGCCGTCGCTCGATTCCGACGCGAAGGATTGGTTCTCCTCGTTGTCCGAGAGGACTTGGTCTTCTTCTTCTGACGAGAATGACATCGTGGCTGGCGCGGGGGGCGTTGACGCCCGAAGGCTTGTGCTGCTGCTGTTGTCTGGAATTTTTCCTCGCAGTGACGTGGACTGGTTTGTGTTTTATGGTTTTGATGTAAGGGGGCCGAATTGCGATTTCCCCAGACCAGCTCGATCTTATCCACAATCTGACCGAAAAGGTGCCCCGTCGGTCCCACTCCCGTCCCGGGATGTGGACGGGACAGTGGGGCCGCATTTTCGACTGCTCGGCGTCAATTACTTCTTAGGTGGTCCTCCAACTTGGAATTCTTCTTTCGACTACACTCAGCATCAAATCATGCGCAAATTGCATTTGTGAGATGAGTCTTATTCCTCCTGCCGACTTAATTCTTCCTGCTACGAAGTATGGCTGCTTTTGTTTGTCTGGAATGTGCGAGGTCGGCATGTAGATTCCCGTCGACGATCAACTTACCCATGGTTCAGAAATGACTCTACGTCTCCCCAAAAAGCCATGAAGACCCCTATCACAAGGGAGCTAGCAACCTAGCCCAGAACCCTACCATCGTCAGAAAACATCCGCAAGACCCCAACCAAACTCACCTCTCTGCCGCCCCTGCCGCCGCCTCCTCCTCCTCTCCCGGCCCTGCAGGAACAGATCCCACCGCTCGATCCCCGCCGCGTTGGCCCGCGGGTACCGAAAGTCGTTCTCGACCGTCGTCCGGTCCCGCAACCTCTCCACGAACGCGTTCGCCTGTCCCAGCGTCAGCCCGAACCGCATGAACCGGTGCGCGTCGCACGCCGTGACCCCGCATATCCGGCACCGCCAGAGCTGCCGGCCGTCCCGCAGCCGGCAGTACAGACACGGCGGGTCCGGGTCCGCCTGCCACTCCCACTGCGCGTGCAGCTGGTGCCGGCACCGCGGGTTCTCCTCCTCCTCGATGGCGTACAGCGGCCACACCCGCCCTTCGTCCGCGACGCCCTGCCGGATTCGACGTCTGTTGGCTTCGCTGTCGCGTCGCCAGTTCGGGTCGCCGAGCTGTGGGAGGGGAGAGGTATCTTGTCAGCAGGGGTTCGTCTTTGGAGTGGAGGATGCGTGGGCTCACATGTGTGTTTTGTCCGTCTGGGTAGAAGAGCATGATGAAGTATCGTCGCTGGCCTGCGGGTACCGCTGCTGCTGCCGGTGCGTCAGCCGCGATCTCAGGTCCTGGCATGACGGGTTCTGGATTTCTCAGTTGTGCCAGTCGAGGCATCGCCGCAGGCGGGTCTCCCGGCCTCGGTCCGAGTTCTTCGTGATTTGGCATCCGTACACGCCCGGCCCGGGGTAAGTCGTCCAAAGGCACCACGGGCACCATGTCGGCAAGTTCAGGGGGTAAGTGCATCGCAGCTTGCCGCGCCCCTCGGGGCAGCCTGTCCCATGGAATGACCGGTAACATGCCTCCAAAGGTAGGGTCGAAGTTCATAGGGTCTACGTCGGGAGGTATTGGGGGTACAATCATATGAGGCGGAAGAACGACGTTGGGAGGTAGATCAGGATTTGGCCCTCCTATATGATGTAAGCGCTCTTCCCATCCTCTCATTCTCCTCGCAGCTTGACATCCTTGACTCACCTTGAACCGCATCCGCCGGTATAACAATCCGATTGCGCGCCTGTTGATATCTGACCGCCCTCTGACGCATGGGAACGCGGCGCTCGCGGGCGCCGTACGCAGGACAACCCCTGGGGCATCTCCCATTCCACGCCGACCCGCAGAGATAACAGAACTGATGACCACACTCACATCTGCGTCCGTCCTATGCGTCAGCATACTCACACTCAAGCAAACACGCCACAAACGTACTCACGTCATGTGATTGCACCCGTCCCTCAACTCGATGATCCTCCTACACCTCGAACAGCTCGACAGACCGTCTTGGTCAATCATGTCCATCAACATCTCGTCCTCCTCCTCCTCCCGGCACGGCCGTCCAGGATGCGCGGCGGCCCTGCACCCGCGACACGTCCCCTCCCCGCAGGCAGGACACCTCATCGCGTCGCCGTCGACGTGCGCTCCGGCGGGCGGTATGAACGCCGCGCACTCGGGTCTGGAGCAGTAAACCCTGCGATCGCCCGGCGTCTCCTGCTCCTCCCTGACCTGGCGATACAACCTCAGCAACGCCGGTCTGCGGACCCGTCTGACGGTGTTCTCCCCCAACGGCTCGCAGCAGTTCGGGGGCCAGCCGCCCTGTCTCAGCCCGGCGCGGATGCAGGCCCTGAGGCAGTGCGCGCAGAACCAGCATCCGCACGGGAGCTGGATCTTGGGCTCGCGGCCCGCGGAGCAGATGATGCAGTCCTCGCCCCCCTGCTGCGACTCGTGGTCCGACTCGGCCGGGCTGTCTGTCAGTAGGCGGTTGCGTTCCTGCCAGTTGATGTAAGCGCCTGGGTCAGGGTCCTCGGGGTCATCAACTTCTTCCCGTGGTTGTTGAGCGGCTGGTCTTATGGGGATTGCCGGGTGTAAGTGAGGATGATGTTGATGCACACTCTGCCGCACCGCAATCGCCACTAGTTCCTCCGGTTCGGCCATCTGGAGCGCTAAGGCGGCTGCATTTTCGACCTCTTCGGCGGTGACGACCTGTAAGTCTTCGATGTCGAGGAAGCCATGGCGGAGAATCAGGCTGGCCACGTCCTCGTCGAGAAGTTGGAAGTGCTCCATGAGTAAGTGGAAAGAAGATGGCTTTGCGGTGTATTGCGCTTGTTCTACCGGGTTCTGCGCGCCATGTTGGACTCGCAACATTTATATCTGCCCTGGTGTCATCTCCAGTGTGAGTATGTGATTCAGAGTGAGTGACGAGGAAATCGGATCGCACAAGGAGTAAGTGATTCGAGTATCTCCACGACCACAACCAAGCAGTCACAGAGACGTCGAAGACTGAAGTCTACCCACTGGGCAAAGCATATTCAAGGCGGCTCTCTACGAGGTGACACTTGACCTAGCTCTTCAAGATTTACCACCCCTGATGCCATGCAGGAACCAAGCTCTAACTCGGCGCTTGAATATCCGAAGTTCTTTGCAGTGAAAAGGCCGCATACCAGTCACCGGGCCGCGGACTGGTTTGTTCAAAGACGTTATCAAGCACAAGGATCAGTAACGATGGACTAACTTGAGTCAAATTGGATAGACGAGTAAGAAGCTAACCGCAACCTCCGTCTGATCAACTGGCAAATCCCAGCATTCCACCTTTTGTCACATTAGTTTGTTGACCCCAGAAAGATGGGTTTGGTATATCATCGGCTCCAATGCGCCGTGTAGGTAATTCCATCGTCAAACATGATGGGATATTTTCGTCAATGTTGACCGTCATCTCCTTCTTCCATGCCCAAACGACCGCTGCAGTATAGTGGCATTCCCTTGTCCCCCAGAATGAACCCCAAAAACCAACCGCCCATCCGTGGTTGTAGCCGGTACCGTTGAAACTCCGTGACATCGTGAACTCCGACGCTGCTATCCGGGATATGATTTGAAAAACAAATAAGAAAGAGCGATACTAGTAACAGTAAATATAATAGATAAAGGGGTATAAATGGTCAATAACTGAAGTCAACGTTGCCCATCTGAGACAACATTTTTGCTTCTGCTGATGTTGAGTTCCCGGTGGCGCCAGTAGTTGTCGATGTAGCTGAATTCGAATTTGTTTGGGTTGTCTGTGTCGAGGAATTCGTTTGTGTTTGTTGAAGTTCATGTTCTGGAGGGGGCTGAGCACTGGGTGACCACCCCTCGTCCAGCATCTGTTGAAAGCTCCAGCTCGGTTCGAACCTGGTACTGTTCCAAGCATAGTCGACACGCTCGTACATCTCATCGATCTGCTCCAAGCTGATCTTACTCGTCTCGAAGACCATGCACCAAACGAATAGAACAGCCAGTATACAGAACGCTCCCCAAAGGAAGAAAATCTTGGGTCCAATATCCGCGTACCCTGGCCCGGCTCCGACCATGAAAGGGGTTCCGTAGGCGATGCCGAAGTTGAGCAACCAGTTGGAAGCTGTGGAAATCGAGTTGGCCTTGGCACGAACTTTGAGAGGGTAGATTTCGGAGGTGATGACCCACGCGACCGGTCCCCATGACGCCGCGAAGAAGAAGATGTAGATGGAGCAGAAGACGATGAGGATCATTTGCGCAACTTGCTGGAGGTTATCCCCAGCAGCCGCGCTGAAAGACGCAATCATGAGTTGGCAGACGGCCATTCCTATGGCACCCACCATCAAAAGCTTGCGTCGACCCCAGGATTCGATGACGAGCAGACCCGGAATCGTTGATACGACGTTGATGATGTTAATGATGAGAGCTTTGAGGTAAGGATTCTCGAGTTTGACGCCGTCGAAAAAGCTCGTGCTGTAGTACATGATAAAGTTGATACCCGTCAGTTGTTGCAGCATCTGGAGGCAGCATCCAGTAAGGGTTCGTCGACCAAGGTGCGGCGATCCGTAGAAGATTTCCTTGTATGAATCGGGGCCCAATGTAAGTTCATACTCGTGGTTGGCGACGATCTCTTGCAGCTCGTCGATGACGGCTGGGTGTGTTATGTCGAGTCGTCGAAGGCGACTGAGTGAAAGGCCTGCAGCCTCCGGCTTGCCTTGCCTCACAAGAAAGCGTGGCGTTTCTGGCAGCATGAACAGGCCAATGGTGAGAACAACGGCCCACACGAGTTGTAGGCCGAGAGGGATTCGATAGGCGGCAGCCGAGTCCAGCTTTTCGGTCAAGATGTTGACAAAGGAGGCTGACAGTAGACCTATTGTGATGGATAATTGGTAGGCGCAGACAAGGGTTCCTCGAATCCATTTTGGAGCCATTTCCGACTGGTAGACTGGGACGAGGACTGAGATGGATCCAACTCCGACTCCCGCGAAAAACCTGCCGTGTTTCATCAGCAACGCACCACCTGCGAAACAACAGTTCCCGCAACCTACCTTCCGACCAAGAGCATGTCGATATCGTGTGCGCAGACTTGGAAGATGCCGCCGAAGCTGAATACGCCGATGGACAGGATGAGGGAGATGCGACGACCCCATGAGTCGCCGATCGGGGCGGCGAGTAGAGCGCCGAGGACGGTGCCGGCACTTAGGATAGCGACGATGATGGAGGATTCGGAGGGTGAGATGCCAGGCTTGTTCTCTTTGTCGATATAACCGGTCGTGAAGTCTCGCTTGAAGGCCGTCATGGAGAGGATACCGTTGATCGTACTATTTCCCAGACAATCAGTCTCAAAGTTCCCAGGACAGGTATACATGACAGCGGCGACGCGTCTTCTCGTCGGATCGGTATCGGCGCGTTCGAGTCTGGATTGCGAGAGGTCTTACCCAGTGTCGTAACCGAAGAGCAAGCCGCCGGAGGCAACGAAGAGACCGACCATAATGGCCGGGGCCGACGAGCCGGCGACATTGTCGGGCTTCTGCCAGCCCATGGCTATCGCCATGGTGAAGGGATTTCGGCGACGTCAATCCAGAATGAGTTCGTGTGCTATGAGAGTTCGAGTCTCTCGGAGGTGATGGAAGGGCGAGGTCGAAATGGACCGGCGACCATTTGACTGACGGGCGGGCGGGCGAGCGAGGCGAGGAGTGGTGAATCGACGAAGTGTGGGTAACGATGGATGGATTGATGGGTTGGGACAGGCAGGTTAGATGGGTGTGGAGAAGAAGCAGGGAGAGACTGGAGGGTCTGGAAGAAAGTCGGGCGGTCGGGTCCTGTTCGCTAGGTACACGGGTAATTCGCAGTCGCCGTCTCAGTGGTAATTAGCGGGTAGGTCAGTCTGGAGAAGGGTGACCAGCGAGGAGGACAGCGCCCGGGGAATGGTGGTGGTGGTGGTGGTGTTGGTGGTGCCCTGGTGTTGGCGGTGGTCGTCTAATGGTCAGGCAAGCGAGTGCCTTAGTGATGGCGGGGAAGAAGGACCAGTCAGAGCGACGAAAATGGCAGAATTGTGGAACCGGACCGAGACCCAAGGAGCCAAAAAGGCGCACTCGAAGGACATCAGCAACGACGGGAAGTACTGAGTAGCAGTTGCGCAGGTGTAGTTGCAGGTGCAGATGTACAGATGCAGTGCAGCAGGCGCAAGCGGCGAGCAGCAGCGGAAGAAATGGGAACTGGGAGAAAGAAAAAGGCGGAGTGAGGAGTGAGGAAGCCTGCCATGCCCGTGGATGGTGGTGGTCTCTCCAGGCCCAGGGCCTTCTCTGGCATTTCTTACTGGGCTACGCGCCTCTTATTGGTTCCTGGAACGTGGCTACGGCTGTGATTGGCTCATTTTCCACTTGGGAGGTGCACCCGGCCGTGCTCAACTCGCAGGAGACCACCCCTTTCCTGGGGCTAGACCCGATCGGGATATGGCGTCTGCATCCTGGATGTCCTCTCCACTTGGTTCGAAAAAAGGCGGGAAGGAATGTGGAATCTGGACTTTTGTAAGGTACTGCTTTGTCAATGCCGGCTAACCTCGACCTCGGGCTGGCAGCAATCGATTGCACTAACACAGTGAGCTACATCCGAACCTCATCGCTCGGTAAGGTAAAGGTACAGGTAGGCACACCAGAAGCCGGCTACCTTACGCCTCCACTGGTCATGCCCGAGTCACTTTGGCTGGCACACGAGCTGCAGCTTGTCGAATTGTGTCCTGAATTGGTGCTAATCTTCCCTCTGTTCTGCGGGGATGCCGGCTTACCAGAGGTACTGCGTAGGTACGAACACTTCGTACTTTGGCCTTAGGAACGGAGAGGAGCGGAAGGATGAGCTCTCGCCTTGGCGGCCACTGCATGCGGCCCACGGCCTAAGAACCTGGCTTCGCCGTACCTTGCTCCTGGCCCTTGATAACCCTAGGTAAGGTACGGATAGCTACTCTTGAGAATAATGAGCAGTGAAATGGAAGCTTTGATGGAATGTCTGATCACCGTCTCTTGTCCTGGGAAACTCAATAGTTGCAGGGCACGCATTGTCTGGCCTGTTGATCTGACTGGCCCAGATAATAGGTAGATGCGTCCCGAGCGAAAGGAACCCATCAAAGTCTAAACTGTCCGTACATGAGCTCATGGCAAGGAACAGACGGCAGGTGCCTCACTAATAAGCAAGTGAAGGGACGAAGCGGAAGCAGAGGAACGGTACGTTGCTGCACCTGAGGTGTCTCAGTATTGGACCAACTTGCCTTAGTGTCCCGCGCCCACGTAGTACTCGAGCACTGAAGTCGGGCAGTGTCGTCCTCGGCATCGGGCTCTCGATGGAAAACAAAGGCAACTATTTGCATTAGGGGAGCGAGGACAGGTGCAGGCAGCAGGTGTAGCTGGCTGGCCACACTGAAATCGCGACTGTTTGTGGGGTCAACTAACACCAAAACCCGTCAAAACTCGTGCCATGCCATGAGATGCCACGAATATGTAGGGCACAACGTCTCTGGCGCTGAGTTTTCGTGATAAAGTGTTATTTTGTCCGTTTCTATCTCCAACTACCTTGATGTCCAGGTACAGTATTTGCATTCCATTCACATGAAGCTACCGCTCTTCGCTGCAGGATGCAAGCACATATGGTGCTAAAGCTCAAGGCACACCACGCGGTTACAATGCATCAAGCCTACCTTACCTTACCAAGGCACCTTGGCTCAGCCCTCCTGCATGTCGCAAATTAGCTGGCTGGAGGCAGGTGTCTACAAACCCGTCACATCTGTGACTAATATGAACGAAGCCTTCTCAAATCCTTCTACGCGGCTGTCACTCTGGCGATCAGTCTCACAAGACATCCCTAGGGCGAAGACCCAACCTGCCGCTTCGACATGCTGCGGTAAGGTGTTGTGTACGTAAAGATGACCACAACTATGCCACGCCCTTCGTTGTACCTGTCGTGATAGCTTTTGCCCACCGGGATTAGAACAGCTTCTGGGAGAAGAGGCCAGTACGATGCCGCGTAGCCGCAAGCTGAGCTCTTGCCTCCCTAGTCTCCTAGTCTGACACAACGGATGGTCCTCAGGAACACTGCTCTGTGTCGCGTGTGTCCATCATACAGACTTGCTGCTACACGATACAGACGCCCGAAACAAAAATATCAAAGTGGGCATGACGACAGCATCGTCAAGAGAAGCCTCCAATTCTCAGGGACCGGCGCCCAATGAAGCCGGTCGCACCTTGCCAAAAGGCACAATTGGGGAAACGTGACCACCTCATTGTCTGGCACATTTGGAAGTGTCTGCCGTCGTAGTTGGTGCACAGTGTCAGCTATTTTGCCCTATCATACACTTGCACACTTTGTTCTAGTGCCGGATCCCGATCAGACCACGCGCTTGAGTCAGCGGCATTTCTGATAACGCACAGTGTTTTCTGGGGCTTCCCCACAGTGATCCGACAGAAGCCGGCAGGAAAACACAGTTCATTGGAAGAAAATTGTGGTGCTCCACCAGTCAAATTGCGGGGGAGACTCCGCTGGACGTTCCTCCCGTCTTTCCCTTTTACTGCAGCATCGCTAGGTGGACATTGACACCCGTGACACACATTGGATGGCAAGTACCTGACGGTACCTGCGCTAAGACTGCCCAACTCACCTGCCGTCACCAACACCAAACAAGCTCATTGTCCTTGCCTAGGACCAGCATCATCACATCATGTCCTGGGGAAGAAAAACTCTTTTTTTCTAAGGGTGTCCTTCCCCATGTTCGCGGAGGGAACCTTTCTCGCTCCAGCTCCAGTCTTTAGACTCGGTGCTCACAGACGGCCTACCTGACCTCCTCCTGTTCACCAAACCTCCTACTTCAACCCGTGATCATGTTGCCGCGCGGCACAGTTCCTTCGTCGCTTTTCCCAGGAATCCAACCCATTCTTGTCTTGAGTACCTTTCTATCCAAGCCTGCTAATGAGACAAAGCCACCAGCAAAAACGTCTAGCTGTCCTGTCTGCCGTTGCGCCATCAAACTGCAAGCACAGCCGACACATCCAGGGGAGAGCAACTGATTTCCACCCTGCCCTTCAACAAGCCAGGAACTCGAATAAGCACGGCAAATTACTTCCGACTGACGGTCACGCCAAGCTGTAGCCCGGAGCTCCGTGAGCTTACACACGCGGCACGGCATTCAAACCATCACTACCGCCACATATGCCACCTCAGCTCGTTTTCCGCCTGGAAAGATAAGCCAGCCTCAACTTCAGCCCTTGGCGGGCAAAATATGCAATCAAAATACTTCTCCCACGGCAATTGAAACACGCTCTGAGATTTGGGGATAGAAGGATGCATCTTGCCCTTGCTGTCTCACCTGCACTAGCAAGCCACAAGCACTACTTCAGCAAAGCTTACATGCAGACGCGCACGACAGGGCCATATACTGCGTAAATGAGCTCCCCAAGAATCGCTCAGCCTCTGCCTAGTGACGCCGCCGTACGATGGGTAGCTGTCCGAGATCCTCTTCGGCACCCGGGGTGTTCGTTCTAGCCGTTGTCGAAACCGACTCAACTACACTTTCATCTTTCATCGAACGTCAAGCTGCACGATTTCGTAGACATCCTCCGTACCCGGCAGGAACGTACACAGCAGCGAGACACAAATTTCGATAGGGCTTTGGGGCGTGGGGGGCTTTTCTGCCCTCGGCTGACACGCTCGCTCACGGCTGACTGAGTTCGCTTCAGATATTTGCTCTTCTTCGCAAGAAATCGCCTCAGCCCTCGACCAATATGAACCTTAGCATCCGGAAAGTCAAGCTTACCTATCCGTTTGGTAGACGACTGGCTCTTGGCCTTCGACAAACCAACAAGCGCGGTTTCCCTCGTGCTATCACATCTAAATTTGGGGGTGCGTAAAGGATCGACCAGTGTCGAACCAAGCTCGTTGTGGTTACTCTCCTCGACCAAAGCTGTCCCGCACAGACTTTGATATTCAATGTCCTCTACCCTTTCTCTCTTTCTGTTGCCTCGCGTCTAGTACGAGGGGGCCAGAAGCCAGATTACCGAGATCAAACTTCGACAGGAGAAGCTTCGGAACTATACTCTCCTTTTCCCAAACTGCACCTGCCTAGCACGTATTGCCGTTGCCGTGGACAAGTTGTCATGTCTGACAAGTCTGACAAGAACGTGCGCCATGCCCATAGCTAGGCAAGAAACCAGACCGGGTTGTCACTCGTCGTTGCATTTTCTTACCTAGCGGGCCCTTTTTCCATGCATCAAATAAGCTCATCTTCTCGTCAGCTCCAATCCGCCCGAACGAGGCCGCAGGGCAGAGGCACAGCAAAGCTGTTGCTAATCAGCTCTTCAACCCCGGGAGTGAGATACCGTGATACCTTTCTCCATACTTCCCATCAGATTTGGCATTTTGGTCAGGAATGATTCAAAAGTCGCAGTACGAATGACAGGTGTTAATGTCCTCCACTAATGCGCACTGGGTGTCGTCTTAGGGCGCTCATCTGATCCGCGGATCGACATGCAGTGATCGACAATGAACCCCCAAACGTGGGCACCACACACGCCAGACGCGGCGACCTTGGCCTGGCCTCCTCCCGTGCAAAGAGACCCTGCATTGGAGCCAGAGCGATGGAGGACCAGAAAAGCAACCGGACTTCCCGTGCTCCTGCGGTTGCAGATCTCGCACTCTCGGGGCCTGCCAAATCGCGGGTAACGGCAACTACTTGATTAGTTCGCGGAGTGAGATGTTTATTGCCAATTTGGCATCAACGGTAAGATATGGTGTTCCCCGGATGATACTATTTTGGCTCCAGCGAGATGCTTCCATGAGGTTGATTGCATTGTATTACTATCCAGCGATGTAGACTTGCAAACGATCGGTCTCGCCATCGAGACATTGGCGTGACCAGAGCAACATCGTATAAATAGAACTGGCAGTAGAGCGTCGAATGGAGTGACATGCATATGTTTTCGGTTGCTGGAACCGTGGAACGCATCTCAGCCTCGCTCCAACCAGCAAAACCACGTTCGACGACGTCGTCTTCCTCTCTTCCCCGTCATTCCAAAAATGTCGAGCCGCATGGGAATACCACAAGAATTAGATAACGAGTTTCGACGAATATAAAAGCATGTCCCCCCAGCTTGTGCTCCCGGAACGAACCATACCCGAAGAGATCTTGGAGACGGTTGGGGAAAGTGTCACCACAGAGGTAAGGTGACACCGCTGCTGTGGAATCTGTTCCTTTTCCTATTTTATTTTTCTCCTTCTTCTTCTTCTCCCCGCCATCATCGTGTGAAGTGTGGGAGGAGCAGCAGCAGAACCGGGCCCCTGCCTCTGTGTTCTCCACGGCTCAGCAATGTTGTGATATGATTGTGAGACTTGGGGACTTCTCCTTCTCCGTCTTGTGTTTTCTTGAGGATTCCTCTGGTCAAGGGGGAAGCTATCGTGCCGAGAGAGAAAGGAAAACGAAGCCCACGATGCCACATATGGATCAATACCCATCCTGACGCAAGGCATGGGCGACTCAGAACACTCTGCTGCGAAACGTCCCACACGTTCACGACCCCTTTCGCACTTAACAGCTGATGATCATAGCAAGAAACTTCTAGATCCCTCTCTTTCCAAACGGCTTGCTGAAGTCCTCCCCCAACACGAGGAAAGATACTAAAACCCGAAAGTCGGAAAATAGGCACGTCTTTTGCCGGCTCTCGTATATGGGTTGTGATTGATACTATGTCATCCATGCGCCGTCAGTCTACACGTCTTTCGAGCCTTCGTCTTTCCGTCACTCGGCAGCGGCGGATACAGAGCTGCTTGGTCCAGTTGTATTATCAAAAAAGTAGTGAACGGAAAAGCAGACAGGCGTGCTTTTGAGGGTTTGTCCAATCTTCAACTGACAAATTTCGATGCTGGACTTTCTGGCAGTTTGGTAATTCTGTTACTTTCTGACCTTCTCTCGCAGACCTGATGCCAAATGTAAGAAGTCCAAAGTCTGATGAAGAGCTAAAGAAGAATAAGAAATGACCTCTTACTGCTCGTTTTCTCGACGTGTGCGAATTGATCAGAACCATCAAAGCAATGTACTTTATTCCCCCAGGAGGGAAACATGGAGGTTTAGTTAGACGTAGCTCCGATCATGGCTGTTGTGCTCATTGTTCTTGAACTTTGGATAAGTCTTTCTCGAGAGTTTGCTCATTCTCAAGAACTCGAGAGGTAACGGCTTTATTCATAAATTCTTTTTCCGTAGCAGTACAAGAAAACCCAAAAGTCCATGTCCGTAGGACTGCCCAAACGCCTGCGCTTTACTATGCTTGTCTTCTCCGCTCCGGTCTGTCTACTCGCTGTCCGTATTCATCTACTCTTACAACTATTTCAGTGACCGATACCCCCAGCGACCCAGTTGTTCCATTCCGGGTTGCCCGGTTGCGGGAACATGCCCTGATCCTGCTGGGGTGCGACGGGAGCGGGCGCCGCGGCCTGACCCTGCTGGTTCTGCTGTTCTTGACGCCGTCTCGCTTCCTCCTCTTGTCTGTGCTGCTGCTGTCGTTGTTGGCGATAGTAAAGCAACAAGACGAGGGACAACGCGAGGAACACGATGATGAGGCTCTCCGCGATTCCGTCATCCTCCAGTGGGGCGCCGTCAGGGCCGCCACCGATAGTGTCGTCAAAGATGTCCTCGTAGTATGGGTCGTCGAAGAACATCTGGTCGTCTTGCAGGAAGTTGGCTATCCACTCGGCGAGCGACCAATCCTTCTTCGGTTCTGTCATCCTATTAGTGATCGTGCACGCCAGCCGTAACTTTCAAGGGACGGATGCTTACTGGGGTCGTCTTGAATAGAGTGAATAGGTCCATGAGTGAAGGTGTTCCACGCGCTCCTCGCGCGCAGTTTCAGCAGGCTGAGGGTGACGGGCAGATATGCTTCCTCGTTCACCTCCAAAGCTTGGTCGTAGTACCTCTTGGCGAGATGGAAGTCCTGGGTCAAGCCGATACCGTTCTCGTGCATCCATCCCAGGTTCCAGAGGGCTTGCGCACTTTGAGAGTAGTCAGAGGCACCAGTGTAGCACTGAACAGCCTTGTTGACGTCCGGCTCCGAGCCGATGCCGTAGAAGTAATAGTCGCCCATCTTCACCTGCGAATCGACGTTCGCCTGCCTGGACGATCTGGTCCAGTACATGAGAGCGAGGGTCGGGTTGTTGAGCAGGCTAGGGCGAGTCGACTCAGACCCGAGCCACTGTGGCAGCGGCAGCCAGTCGGGCACCGTCATGCTCGACTTCAGCGGGTCGAGAATGAAGGCGACGTTGTTCTGCGCTCTTTCGTAGCCTTGCTCTGCCGCCATGACGTATTCCAAGAAAGCGAGTTCATGATCGCCGTAGTAGTATGCCTGATTCGCCTCAGCCCAAGAGGAGACGAGGGGTTCGGCCTTCTCAGCGACGTTCTTGTAGTATCCCAAAGCCATGGAGCAAGTCTTGTCGCGGCCGACACCATGGTAGACCATCTCAGCGAGGTAGTAATGAGCCTCAATCTGACCGTACCTGGCAGCCAACTCAAAATAGTTGTTTGCAATTCGAACATCTTCTGCTCCACCTTGATCCAGGTACAGAACGCCCAGCTCTATCTGCGAGGGGGCGTAGTCCTGCTCAGCGGCGGCTTTGAAGAGGTCGGTGGCCATGGCAACGTTCTTCTGCTGCCCGTACCCGTGCAACATCATGAGCCCAAGGCCGTGCTGTGACTGAGCATCTCCGTGAGAGATGCCGCGTTCGAACCACCTCTTGGCTTGGTCGAAGCTCTGGTCGACGCCGTCACCTCTCAGGTACATCCGACCAATGAAGCCAGCGGCCTTGCTGGCCGTCTTCTCGATCCCTTGCTTGTGGTTTTCCATAATGCGGCCATCCTTTCTCCAGTATCTTTTAGCAACAGTGAAGAAATACTTCCGAGCAAGATCCAGATCTCTGTCGAGTCCTCTCTGGCCATCGTAGTAGATGCGTCCGAGGTTATAAGATGCTTTCGCATCTCCCTTCTGGGACATAAGGTCCAGGTACTCGATAACGTCGTCGATGGCTGCATTCGCGTCCGAGTTGGGGCTCACTTTGATGGCGTTCATCCCAGCGCTCGAGGCACTGGCGCCTTCGCCATAAACTCCACCGAGCTCATCCGCAATGCGGTATGATTCAACAACCCAGGCCATGCCGCCTGGAGGGCCTGATCGATACCACTCCATCGCCTTGTCCGCCACCCTCTTGTAGTATTTGCTCGCAATGTCGCAGTTTTTGGGCGTCGCGACGCCGCTGTGATGCCGGTAACCGACCGCCATTTCCGCACGAGTATCCCCTTGGATCGCCGCAAAGGTGTAGTAGAGGAGCGCCTTCGCCTGGTCCGGCACGACCACATGGCCAACCCCAGTTGCGTAGTAAAGGCCGACCATATACTGCGCAGTGCGGTTTCCGTGGAGCGTCGCGAGGGTCTGGTAGTGGTCGAATGCAACCTTCAAGTCTCTCGGGTGTGTCCAGTTGCCGTAGAAGTTCATGTCGGCGAGGAGGTAAAGCGCATCGGAGTTGTTCTGGAGAGCGGACTGTTCCAACAGCTTGACGGCGTCCAAGAGCGGCCCGTTGACCTTCGTCTCCTGCGCCGGGGTGCTGCCGGGGACCGGGGCGGCCTTGAGGCTCGGCATAACTTTGAGGGCATATCGGAAAGCGGTCCAGACGATGGTGTATCGGCGTTCGCGTCTCGGGAAGTTTCGTGATGGGAGCTTCTCCAGCTGTTGGATAGCCAAGTCGACCAAGTCGGCCCCTGTTCAGCGTCAGCAAGACTGCCATGATGCCCCCCACCATTGCGATGCTCGTACCTGGTTGCCTCGGAGGGGGTGCATGTTGCTCTTGAACGACGTCTGTCTGGATCTTTGCATGCCCTTGGTTCCCTGTTACCTGATTGTCGTCGCTCTCGGGCTTGAGGACCTTTTGCGCGTCATCGGAACTGAGGACTGCGGCCGCCTGCAACAGCACTGGTAGTAGCATATGTCAGCTTCCGCAGCTACATCCGGGGCGCAGGGTGATGCGACTTACGGACAAACCAGAGGAAAGAACGTCTCATGCTGCGAATATTATGAGCCGAAATCGATCGCAAAGGTCCGCGACATGTTATTCCGTGGTAAAACAACTTTCAAAAACCGGCGGAATGTTTGGGCTGACGGTGGTTAATAATGGTGATCGGAACAGCTGTCCTGGCTTTAAGGTCCACGTAGATGAATTGGGAGCTCCAGAGAGACCGGGGTGGTTGACTGCTCGTGACGTGATTGGGCGCGCCACTAGAGAACAGACATATCGTTTTATGGGAGTTTAGCTAGGAACGGGTTGCATAAGGTGGGGCTTTGCACTAAAGAACCCCTCCATTTCTCCCATTTCCTTCACCAATTGACAGAAGAATCTCAGATAAACTGGTCCAGCTTATTCTTATTTTAGTTCGACTATATTGGAGCTTGATACTCGACGCTTGGCTACCTTGATTTCTTGAAAAGTCGCCGGAAGTCGCACCTTATTTACTGGGCTAGTTTCTGGAATTTTTCAAGTGAGTCCTGAGATCTCAACTTTTTTCTTCTGATGGCCCATGCTCACAAAAGTCAAGACCCTTAGCATGTACACTCTCACTTGTGCAGATGGCTACCACTTCGGTGGCCAAGGGGATGTCTACGTTCTCGATCTTCACAGACTAAACGCAGGCCTTGCCTCCATCTCTTCAGATCAAAAACTTACCCTCTTCAACCCCGCGCGACTAGGACAGGGTCCTCTGAAGTCATTCCCGACTAGCCATGGCAACCTCACATGCTTGAAGACCTATGACGCCCAAGATTCTATCGTCTGCACGGCTGGTGAAAATGGCGAGGTCTCAGTTTGGGACATGAGGGAAAGCTCAAAGCCCCAAGTTGCGCACTTCGGAGGTATGTAGTTGCTCTCATCCAACGCTGTATTCAGCTGAGCCAAAAATCACTAACACGCAACCACAGCAAGCCAGTCCCCTATTCTATCCCTCGCATGCGACGCAAGGAGCAACACGATAGCAGTCGGAACAGAGCTGCAAAACCATACAGCTTCAGTGCTACTGTGGTAAGATGGCCTTGTTTTTTCCCTCCTCGGTGCATGTGCCCCTGACACGTACCCAGGGACATCAGAGCCGGCCCGACGCAAAGCCTCCAGTACGACGAAGTCCACAGCGACGACGTGACAGAGCTCCGCTTCCACCCGTCGCAGCCTCACGTCCTTCTCTCTGGATCGACCGACGGCCTCGTCAACGTCTACGACACCCGCATCTCGGACGAGGACGACGTCGTCATCCAGGCGCTCAACCAGGGATCCGTCCACCACGCCTCTTTCATCAGCGATACTGAGGTCTACGTCCTGACCCACGACGAGAAGTTTGCCGTCTACAGCGTTGCCGACGAGTGCCAGACCGGCGCAGCTGTTGCCGACTTTGGCGACGCCAGGGAAACGCTCGGTTGCCAGTATGTCGCCAACGTCACGACCAAGTTGGACGGCAGTGGTGCGATTGTTGGTGCCGGGTCGCAAGAGTAAGTCATTCTACGAATTCCCGCTGTTTCGTCGTATGGTCGCTAACTTATTTCCACAGCCGTCAGGTCTTTGAGTTGGTGCACCTCTCCCGAACCAATGAGGGCACCTGGGGATTCGACAGAGCTAACAGCGTCGGTCTGCCGGGTGGCCATGGCGAGGAGATTGTTCGGTCCTTCTGCTTTTATGACGACGAGCAAGTCGTTTTCACTGCGGGCGAAGACGGAAACGTTAAGGCCTGGAGACCTAGTTAGATGCAGAACAGAAAAGAAAAAGAAAGTCTTGGAAGAAACTTTTCTACTGCGAATGTACCTTCCGCTTGGGTATCATGACCGACATCATCCCGTCAACCTGTTGCACAAGCCGACTTAGCCATACTTGTCGTGCTTCCCCTTGACCTTCAGCACCAACAGTTGTTCGTGATAATCACCCTCCCTCCTCGCTCTCTTCAACCTCTTGACCTCATCATCCTCAAGCCTTCGTCCCACCGCCTCCTCGAGCTCCTTGCGGCTGATCTTCTCCTTGGCCTTCTCCTCCTTGTTGGCCTTGAGACGTGGTTTGAACCGCGCCTGCATCCTGATCCGCCATGTGGTGTCGAACGTGATGGACTCCTCGTCGCCCCTGACATCTGATGTTGTAACATTGGGTTTCGGAGGCTTGACCGCCAAGAAGGTATCGCGCAACGTTTGAATCTGGAAAGTACCAGGGGTATCGGCTGTAGCAATGAGGTTGAACGATTCAAGCGGCGAAACAGCAGCTGATGTCGCGGACAAGACGCCGTTCTTGTCGCATCCAAGGTACCTATGATCCCATTAACATAGTTGCCGACAGCCAGGCATCATTAGTACTTACTGCCCGTGGTGTCCTTTGAACCTGAACTGCTCCGTTCCCGCTATCCTGTTCGCGACCCAGACCTGCCGCACGTCGTGCGGCTCCGCGCTTGTAGGGTTTCCGTCGACGATGTTCTCAATCCCCAGTGTGAAGACCTTGCCGTTGGCATCGCTGGCCAATGCCGCAGGAGGGTCCGTAGGCAGCACGAACATGATGGGACCAGCAACATCCGTCACGGCGTCGGCAGACACCCAGCTGTCGTCGTTGTCCGCATCATCCTCGGCGCCGGCGCGGACGACGTCACCGGATGCCGCATCGCGGTCTTGGGCCTCCGCCTCGGTCCGCTTTCTCTTCTTGGGCTTCTTCTCGCCCTTGAAAGTCAGGGGCTTGACCATAGTATCGTTCTCTCCGTTCCGTCGCGTTCTCGTGATTCGATCGGGGGACTCGATAGGGAAGGTGAGTCTGAATTCGCCACGGGTTTAGGCGGTGTCCGGCGGTTTCCGATCAGGTGTTGGTTGTCAGCTTGAAGATATAAACTGTCGATAGGGAGCTTCAGCGCTATGGGCATTGGAGAAAGTTGTGATTACGTAAGGACAAAACGGCTGCCCCTCCCCCACCACAGATAGCTCGCTCCGCAAGTGATCATTCGGGGAAGTAGCAGGGGGCATTGGACGCAGGCACGACCTGATTACTTTCTCTTTGCGATTCATTCGTCGTTGAGTTTTTGAAATTTCTTTTTTCCAAAGCAATCATCATGTCCGCGCAACCTGTTACTGTTTCGCTGAAAGATCTTAAGGAGGGTGAGTAAGGTATCTCATACCCACGTGGACCCATCGTGGCTTACATGTGACAATTTGTGTTGTAGGCAACATTCCCTTCAAGACTCTCCAGGAGGCTTTTGGTCCCGACTCTCTTGGAATCTTGGTTGTGAAAGATGTTCCGACTGAGTTCGCTCATCTGAGACATCAAACCTTGTCTTATGCATCCTACCTGGGCAACTTACCCGAAGAAGAGTTAGGTATGGCAGCGAAACCCACATGAGTTATCGTATCTAGCTTACACGCGGGTAGTGAAGCTCGAAAATGTCAAGGCGAAATACCTGACGGGCTGGTCACTCGGCAAGGAAACCCTCAAGGACGGCCAGGTCGACACGTTCAAGGGCTCATACTACGCCAACTGCGCATTCTACGTTGATGCGACCCTCAACTGCGCCAAGCCCACAGCCGAGTTCAACGAGGACAACTTTCCCGAGTACCTCTCACCTAATGTCTGGCCGGCTCAGGACGTTCTTCCTGGCTTCAAGCCAAGCCTCGAGAGCCTCTGCCGTGTCGTGATCGACACCGCCGTCCTTGTCGCTCGTGCTTGTGATCGGTTCGCCGAGTCGGAAATCCAGGGTTACCCGAAGGGGTATCTCGAGCACGTCGTGAGCACGTCGACCACGACCAAGGCCCGTCTGCTGCACTACTACCCGCAGACGCAGGCGGATCTCGACAAGATCGGGGCCACCGACGACTCCTGGTGCGCCGAGCACTTGGACCACGGGTGCCTGACAGGTCTGACTTCGGCAATGTTCATCGACGAGAAGGAGACATCGCCGGCGGTGCCCGAGATCACCAATGACACATCGGCCAGCCTGCCGCCGCTCGCGGAGCTTCCGGCGTCGCCTGACCCGACGGCCGGCTTGTACATCCGCTCGCGCACGGGAGAGACGGTGCAGGTCAAGATCCCGCGGGACTGCATCGCGTTCCAGACGGGCGAGACGCTGGAGCGCATTACGGGCGGCAAGTTCAAGGCGGTACCGCACTTTGTGAGAGGCGTCAAGGCGTCCGTGAGCGATGGCCGTGTTGCGCGTAACACACTTGCTGTCTTTACTCAACCCAACCTCGGCGAGGAGGTAGACATGGAGCAACACATTAACTTTGGCGAGTTTGCTCGAGGCATTGTGGCTAAGAACACAGTGTCGTGAGACTTACAAGTTGATAGCATAAAAGAATAAAATATGTGGCTCGTCGTTCATGTTGGGCCATGTAAGCGTGCAGGTGTAATTTCATCAATGCTACCTTGAATGAATGGCTCAATCTGACTATCTAGTGTTGGTATCCCCCCAAACGCTGTCAATTGTTTTGTATTCGCCATCGCTATGCTGTACGCCGCCTCCCAATCCCACTGTGAAGACCCGCCCGCTTGGGAAATCTCTATACACTCGAATAGCTTAGTCGCACTATGAAAGTAAGTAAGGCATTCCTTTTTAATAGTTCGCGAGCGGTTGCTTACGCAATAGACAGACTATAGGCAACGTATGTCAGCAGTCAAGTTTGCGGATGTTGAGGACAAGTGGGAACTTACACCTCCGGGGCAGTCCTGGGAGGTATCCTCCTGGTCACGAGCGTTCTGCGGGGAGAAGCATAATCCTCGGAACGTCGGGAAAGCTGATGATTGTGTGTTGACACACTTTGAGGGTGATTAACAACATGTTGCTCAACAGAGTGGCTGATACTCACGCAATAGGAGTTCGCTCCCTTTCCCTAGTTGAACATGTCTGTTAGCGGCGTTCGTGTTGCGTTGTAGGTAGACTCTCAATACGTACAGCACATGTGTTTCCACTTGCGAGGCCTGTTCCGCCGTTGCAGTACTTCTGCAGAGCACTAACAGCTAAGGCCTGAGCCAATAGGGTGATAACGAAAGAAGTCTTCATGGTTGTCGAGTCTGATTGTCAAGTCTGAAAGAGATAGAGATGACAACATAAGGGTGGGAATTAGTACGGGTAATATAGAAGACGCAACTCATAGCTTAAGGACTGCGGATTTCTGTGTGGTCCGAAACTGCTTAAAATGACTTTTGTCTGAGAACCTTAATAGAGTAACTTGTATCGTATAAATCAAGGCTGCTGGACAGACCAAGTATAGAGTCATGTGTATCATCATCTAACACACGGAGTCTTGATTCAGCATCCCCGTCTCAGTTTAGAGTCGAATGGCTATTAGGGGTTGAACAGAGCCAAGAGTTATGGGATCCATCGGATTTTGCGGAATTCGGACTTTTTCACGGATAATGGACAGAATCTGGCCGGCCAGACTGGAAGACGAAATCATCATCGTTGCGGATTTCAGACTCGATCGCAAAGAATCTTTGATGTAGCAGGACAGCTTTACAAGTTCTGGGGCTGTACAGGACGTCTGAGACGCTAATTAATTAAAGCAGTGCTGAGAAGCTTGTCACTGCTAGCATCCTGTTACCTTACTTACGTAAGGCTATTTGTGTCACGCCCTATTAAATAAGGAATGAACGACCACAAAAAGGTCCCCAATCAAGCACAGCAATCCCCTCGATGAATGGCCAGTCGTATTGAATCGAATCGACGGTGCATCGTTTGTCTAACATGCTCCGCAGGCATCTGATAGCTACATCCTGTCTGGCAGCTATATCGCGAAGGTCCCCAACATCCCAACCTCTGTAACGATAGCATGTGAAACCTGCCGTGCCGTTTTGTTGACAGGGCTTGCGATCGCTAATAGCACATCAGTAGCTGAGGGAGCTCCAAGTCGGTCGTTGATATTCCTCCAGTTCACCTCCATTTGGTGTAGATCCAAATATTCCTGCAGTTTCTGGAGCAGCTCCCGTCTAGTCCGGATAACGCTTCGAGTCGGGAAATTACGTGACCCCGGTGAGTGCCATGTGTTGCTATGTAAGCAGTCTTTCGTGATCGGATTGCATCATGATTCGCAAGTTCTAGCAACAAGTGAAAGAGCTCCGGTGTCATACCATTCCCTCTGGAAAGCTACCCCGCCCCCGCCAGCTCCGAATTGGGCCTCTTCGTCATCGCTCTTCCAATTGAATGCAGCTTCAGTCTAATACACTCCATGAAGCTCCCCTCGCACGCCGTATTAAACCTCTGTCGGCGCCCAGCAGCCGCCATCGCCATCCCACCCTTCCCAAACACATCAACGCTCTGCAATCAAGTAGCTTGTTCAACAAGATACCGTAAATTCACCACAGCGCACCGACTCCTTTTCCATCAAACCACCACCAAGATGGCAGTCCCTCCCAAGTTCGCCGCCCACAAGCTGGCATTCGAGCCCGCCAAGGCCGTCGCCGAAGGCGTCCCGGCCCAGCCGCACACCATCGAGCTCTACCTCGACTACGTCTGCCCCTTCTCCGCCAAGCAGTTCAACACCTTCTACAATCAAGTCGTCCCCGCCATCCGCTCCAACCCGACCTGGGCCTCCAACCTCGAAGTTATCTTCCGCCAGCAGGTCCAGCCCTGGCACCCCTCCAGCACGCTGGTCCACGAGTCCGCCGTCGCCGTCGTCAAGGTCGCCCCCGAGAAATTCTGGCAGTACTCGGACGCCCTCTTCAAGGCGCAGAAGGACTACTTCGACGTCAACGTCGTCAACGAGCCCCGCAACGAGACCTACAAGCGCCTCGCCAAGCTGGCTGCCTCGGTCGGCGTCGACGAGAATAAGGTCTACGAGCTACTGGCGGTCTCGGACAAGCCCGGCGAGGACGGCTCGCTCAACAGCGGCAACGGCGTCACCAACGACTTCAAGGTGCTCATCAAGCTGGCGCGCTTGACGGGCGTGCACGTCAGCCCCACGGTGCTCTTTGACGGCTACCCGAACAACGAGATCAGCTCGAGTTGGACATTGGATCAGTGGAAGGAGTGGTTGCAGAAGAATGTCGCCTGACTTGGTGGACGGCACACTCCAAGCCGAGAGCACCGGCTGTGAGCAATGAGATAGCGGTCTAGGCTCACAGTTTGAGTAGCAGGTCATTGCAACAGCCGCAATCGGACCCCGAAACTCGTTAGGCGCGATCGAGTTTTAACATCAATTAATGAATCATATTAAGAATTTCAGCACTTAATTGGTTACTATCGGCATGTGTGGTGAAGTAAAGGTAGTTCCAACCACGGTGACCGGACCATCTGGTCGCGTCGCGTGAGAGAAAAAAAAAGTTCAGGTGCTAGCTGTAGCTAGGTACAGTGACCTCATCCGACCCAACTCATCTCATCCCTCGACCTCACAATTCTCAACCCTTAACCCCTACTTCTCTCACACCTCGGAGGCATCCTCAATATGTCCATCCTCAGGCTCGTCCTCACACGGACATCACCGTCACCAACAGCTCACATCTTCCCCACCTTGCGATCATGTCCACTCCGAACGCAGCTTCTCCGGAAATCTCTGCCGCAGCAGGCCCCAAGACGGCCGTTCGCCTCCTCCGCACCCGGTAGCCGCGCCGGCCGCCCAACGACCACCGTCTCAAATCCCGTCGCCTCAAAACCGGCCGCCGCCGGCCCAGGGAGTTCGGCTTCGGCCCGTGAGTCGTCTCTCAAGCGGCTATCCGCGTGACCTCCATCTCAAGACGCTAACCTGTCCCCAGAGCAGCAGCACTTGCCCGAGAGGTTACTCATCTACCAGGCCGGCACAGGCAAGATAGGTTTCGTGGCCGGCCTCAAGATCACCACAATCTTCGTAGCCGCCGTCTTCGCGCTCGTCATGGAGCCGGCCATGTTGCGAAGCGACACATCCTTGACTGACATTGGCATGGCATGCAAGTTCTCACCCTCTCACCCTCTCGCCATCCACAAACATTCTTCACATCATCTTGACACCTACCTATATCAACGTCAAAAAGCTAACCTCGCCATCCCAGCCGTCTGCGCCCTCATCCCCTTCGCCTACGTGTCCTACGTCTCGGCCCCCTTCGTAACCCACGTCTTCCTCCGCCTGCCGCCTCACGCGCGCCAGTCCCGCGCCTTCCTGGAACGCTACGTCCGCTCCCTCCCGCCGACGGCCCAGCTCGAGATCGGCACCCTCGGCCTGGCCGGCCGCCCGCGCGCCACGCTCGTCGCCGCCGCCGACCTCCGCCCCGACCCGTCGCGCCTCGGTCTCGTCACGCACACCCGCGACGTCTCGGCCCTGATGGCCCGCAAGAAGTGGTACCACTACCGCCCCGTCAGCATGTTCGGGCTTCCCGCGAAGGAGGGTAAGGCTTCCTCCGGCGGCGGCGGCAAGTCGAAGAACGCCGCCAAGGACGCGTGGGTGTACGACATGATCCGGCCCATGTTTGGCAAGACGGGTAGGTGAGGGTGGGATCTGGGGGAGGGAAACTCTGCCAGGCCATGTATTCGAGGAAGCAAGCGTGTAGACGCGACGTTGCGTACGTAATGCCACGTCGTCTTCTTCTACCGATTGGAATATCAGTGTATTCTCATTGTACCATATTCAAACAGATACCCCCGCCCAGCCTACACTAGTCAGTCGAACTGTTCTACATGGTCTGTTAATCTATCAAAGTTGACAGAAAGAGTGGCTATCCGCGGCTTGCGCGGGTACTATTTTCGTTCATTCACAGCCGCGCCCTCATAAGTCATGAGATATTGGATGCCCGCCCAGGTTCAGAGCATGACTTACTCGACATTTCGCCACTACGTGGGCTTCTTGCCGCTGACTGATTCTCCCAGAGGCTCCAACTCACCAGCACGTTCCCTGTTCGACTCCTTGCTTGCCGCGCGTATAAACGGACTCAGGACTCCCCAGCCTCGATAGCCGCCACCGCCACGCCGGCGTAGCGCCAGCAGAGGGACGTCTCGAGTTGCGCATAGCTATCTACCGGCACGACATGCGTCATGGCAAGTGGGAAAGCGAATAACCTACCCCTCCACGGCTACAGCCCAGGTCCCTTAACCCAAGAGCACCCCGCCAGACGAAGAAGGGGGGAGGGGGGAAGAAGAAGAAAAAAAACGGATAGGGAAGACCCCGTCTCATCCCATATTTCATCCTAACACCCCACGGACATCGCCCGAAACCAAACGACCCTCCCCCAGGACCCTCCGTCCCGGCGTGCCCTCAGGAGAAGTCGCGAAGAATATCACGGCAGTCTTGCAGCGTGAGGGGGAGGAAAATGGAGGGAGGGGGCTGTAGTATCGTGTGTTGGTCTTTCTCGAAACGAAAGGCACGCAGTACAGCACAACGTCGGCCACCCCGACCTGATGGAAAACCGAAAAAGAAAGTTTAGCGGGGGTTGACGTCCTGGCCCCCCAACGAGACCCGATGATATGCCACTACCTATGCGGCCATTTTCTCTGCGCGGCGTTAACGCATGCACTCTATCGGCGGTACGGGAAGCCGGTCTGATGTCGCAGCGAAAGGGGGAACATGGAAGGTCGAGGGAATAGGCCATGCGCGCAACGCAGTTCCAAACTCTAAAATCAACCACCGCCATGGATGACGGGGCAGAGTAGAGAAAGGCATGAGAAGAAAGAAGAAAAAAGAGAGTTATGTCTTTAGTACTTTGCTTCCCCGTAACGGTCGTGCTTCGTGACCTGGACCTTGAATCGTCCCAGACAAGATACCCATGACCAGCATCCAGACGCCTTTCCCCCCCGATCCGTCTGCCCACCGTCCTGTCCATCTTCCCCTTCCGATTGATAACCTCTCTCTGACCAGGGTCGTCTCTTTTGATTCCTCATACAACCCCACACACGACTACCTACCCTTGCAACTCAACAACGTTGACAAGAAGCCTACTCTACAGGGCCAGATGTAGTAGAAACTGTACGTAGCAGGCGACAAGCTTCTGCCGTTGCTGCTCGTCACCTGCGAGTCCGCACTCTGCTTCCCACGCCTCCCACGCCGGCCCTACTGAAGTACCATCGCCAAGGGTCCAGTCCATCTCCCTCCCCACGCATCCATACCTCCGCCTACCTAGGTACTGCCTGTATTCACAGCTACGTAGGTAGGGTATGCCACGCTTCGGTACCTGGCGTCGGCTCGGATGGTGGTGGTGGCGCTGTCTGGACCTACCTACCCAACCTAACGCCGTCAGCGTCCATCCAGAACCGACATCCGACTCCCGGCTTCCGCGCCTCACCCCTGCGTCTCCCGCCTCACGGCGCTCCCGCGACGCCACGCCACGCCACGGCCGCCGTCCGTCCTCCCAGTTCCGCGTTACTATTTACAACAAGCGACGACGGGCGATGACGAAGGAGCAAACATAACTGACCTGCCTACTGCTTCAGCCCGCCAAACCGCCGTTGGTCGACTAGACTACCTCTGTTTTAACAACCGAGAGATCAACCCGACACCCTGGAAAGTTTGCCCTCTCCAACGCATGAAAGCCTATGCGATTTTCTCCGCGCGTGCGCTGAAAAAGTTGGGACCATCTGCTTAATGCGCTGTGCGCGCGGTCTTCGATGTGCGGCTGAACACCCCCCGAGATCGAACCCTGGAAAAGTCGCCAACCTACTATTTCAGACGTCGCGGCCAATTGCGCTGTCGACTCGCCAGGGACTTCCTAGTTGGAACTTCTCAATTCCGTCGGTTCGGCTCAGGGCGCAAAGGGCAAACACTACGTGAGCGTGTTTGTCTGCGTGTTCCAGGTGGTGGTGATGAAGCTTCGCCTCCTTTGTAGTCACTTCACATCCTAGCATATGAGAAGAAGAAATGGAAGTTGAGCGCGCGAAAAGGTGGTATCATGTCCGTATTGATCAGTCCCGTCAATGCAATCAACGAAGCCCATCCATCCATCCTCCTTGGGCCCCCCACGTCCCCTTCATCGTACACGTACTTTTTGAGCCATTTCGCGAGGCAACCGATAAACAAAACAAAGAGACTCTTCTCCCTCGTTCGTAATGCCAAGGCGCGCGCGCTGTGTGTCCGTACGCCGAACCAGACGGAGCCGCGTCGTTCGGGCGGCTCCTATTTTGAGGAAACATGCCGAAATAATAATACAGTCCTGCGTGTCGGGCCGGGAACACCGCCTTGCCCTTCTTCTTTTCCTTCCATGTACCATCCGATAAACGCCCACTGGAAGCCTTCCCCCAACCCCTTGAGACCAAAAGACCATGCTTCTTCTCCAGGCCAGACTTGAACGCCCGCGCCCAGCATGGAACCTCAACCGCATTTTTCCTCCTCATTTTCGTCGTAATCGTGTGCATATATTCGTCGCGAAAATAAACCGTATATGAGGTGAAAAGGACCGTGGGAACCGAATGTCGAGAAATATGTACGTGTAAATCGCATGTGCCGAGGGTAGCGAGCTTGCTTGTCGTTCCCCTCCGCCTTCCGAAAATGTGCTGTGTAAATGGGTAGATCGCATCGCTAAACCAAACTCGTAACTTCGAGTGTAAATCTTGTCGAGGTAAAAAGATGTCGTTCGCTTCAGGTCAATTTGTGAACGGCTCATCGCCGCTTCATCATGGGTCCACCGCCATCATAGTCCCAGGTCCGCTTGAGACCCCCTTCGTAGACACTCGCCACGGACTCTTGCCACATGGCTGGCGAGATGAAGGGCTGCACAGGAGCAGCTGTGTACTGCGGTGCCATTTGCTGGGAAGCCACTGGCATCGTGGCGTGGGCTGCCTGTATGTCTTCAAGAGACGGGGCTTCGGGGGCACCTGAAGACGGGGAAACACTAAGCGAATTGGACTGGGGAGGCAGCGTCGAAGGCTGTGGTTGGACCTGAGGCGTACCGAAAGACGTGCTCCATTGCCTGTTTGTCTGTTAGCAGTGGTTCTACCAAGAAACAGGGGGCCAAAGCCAACTTACTCAAAAATCTTCGCCGGGTTCCAAGCCGGCGCGTTGGACAGCGGCAAGGTTTGTGGCATCCCTGGGGCTTGGGATCCTTGGTTCGCCATCATGACGAGTGACTGTATAGCAGGCGAGTCACTCTTGGTATCCACAGGTCCGGCAGATATAGGAGGTGTGATGGGGTGGCTGGTATAACTGACTTGGGAGTGTTGTAGGTTTTGCGTGTCCAACTGATGATCCAGAGAGCCAGTGCGAGCCATGCCCGGTCTATACCCACGAGGCGGGCTGGAATGGTTGGAAGAAACAGGACTGCCGTAGGGGAAGCTACGCTTGAGCTCAAAGGGTTTCCTGGTGTCAGCGGAAAATGCTTCCCTCACTGCGTCGACTTGCTTCTGCAGGTCCATCATGGGCCAGACTTCCATGACTCTTTCGAGAACCCGCATGTGCCGCGCAAAGTATTCACGCGCATCAGTGTTCAGATCCGGATCCGGCGAGACGACAGCCACCTGTAGTTCAATGTCAGTGACGCCACTAGACTTTCAAGGTGCAAATGCAAACCCACCAGATGAAGAACGATGCAGCATAGGCCGCAGTAGACGGTGAAACTGAATCCACGCATCATGCACTGCAAGCCAGAGAATCCGAAGTTGTTCAAAACCGACTCCTGAAGTCGACAGAGAGCCTTGGCCGCCGAGTAACAGATCATCATATGCTGCTTCCACTGGCCGTCCGCTCCGTTGGGATCAAGGAAGTTCAGCTGTGGCCGATGCAGCAAGATCAAGGTCAGGTAGTAGTACGAGTGCAAGTTTCCAATGTACGGCGATGAAAGCCACGGAGGGGAACCGTCCGGAGGAAATGTGACAGATAAGTCCGCCGGGAGATCGTTCAGCCATGCGTTCAAAGCCGGGTTGAGCTGGACGAATTCGGGATCAACACCCCAGTCCTTGGTCCGCTTCTTCTTGAGGCGGCCGTAAGTGCTGTTCATGCGGCTCACGTTGCGGACAATCCGTGCGAAGTAAGTAAAGTTCCGAGTGATGTGGTACTCCGAGTCGTCACCGCCTTGAATAGGTCGCGGTACGTTGAAATCGATAGAATCCAGATCGACGGCGAGATCGTATCGGCCTGTTGCAGTTAGCAAGACAAGTCTTAGACATATGGGGCTGTGCAACGAACCTTGGGGAGACCCGATCATGACCTCACCGACAAAAATCGACTGCCAGATTCTGTTCTTCATCTGACATTCCGTCGGGCTAGAACCGCAAGGGCGTCCCGACTGGTGATCGAGGTAATGTTCGTCCAGGCCAAGATCCTTGCCCATTTGGACACACTGAACAATTGTCATCCAGGACCTGTAGTAGTAGCCGCGCTTGGGCGCCGCTTCCCTGGCCTTCAGGATGAGCAACAGAGCCTGGAGAGTGCTGAGTCTCGGAACGTCCATGAAGGAATCGGCGTGCTTGGACGCCAAGGCTAGCCACTGCTGTCCCTCGCCGGGGTCGTCTGCGAGTCTGCCTCCCATGGCGAAGATGGCCTCCAGAATGAGAGGTGAAATCGATTGCCGGTTGGTGTTCCACTGGTGGTAGAATATGGGCTTGCTGAGAACAGGCACATAAGGATGCACATGGCTGAAGAATAGCTCGAAGTAGTGCATGGCGGTTGACTCATCCGGCATCAGTTCAGGAGGTATGCGAATCTTCAGGCCAGGACCAGATGGCAAAGGTGGAAGCATCTCCTGATAGTCGTCGGCTTCTTCAACTGCGGGTTCTTCCTCGCGTCTAAAGGAAGCCTTGTTTCTGAGGTACGGCGCTAAATGACCTGTTAGCTCTCGTAACGGCGCGAGGCCGGTAGGTACTTACCCGTGCCAGCTTCGTTGACCTTCAACGAACCCAACAAGTCGGCGAGGTCTGCTTGCTGGTATGAGCCGTCTTGAGAGTACGTGTCGGGAGGAGAGTCCGCGCGAGAGCTTTGTTGCATAGGCGGAGTCGGGAACACATTCTGAGCAGCGTAAGACGGTTCCATCATTCCGACTGACGCGGGAACAGTGGTGTAGTGAATGTTGTGCTGGCTCGACGACTCTGAATAAGGCACGGGCGGGAAAACGTTGGGATCCGAGTATGCGCCATGTGCAGCATACATGCTGGGGTTGGGCTTCGGACCTCCAGGCATCATGGACTGTTGCTGCATGGGAGCTTGCTGGCGGAAGGTGTCTTGGAGTTGAGAGGACGCGGCGGCGAAGTCGTCTCTCCCAGGCTCATACGTGTCGCCAGAGGTTCCATCGTATTGGCCGTTGGGGCGAACGCATTGTAGTTTGAGTCTGATACATGCGGAGCATGGCCAGGTGTTCGTCGTGGCAGCATCGCACTTAATCTTTCGTCTTCTGCATCCCTCACAGGCCCTCATAACTAAAGTTCATCAGTGTAAGTAAGCTACGGTGGTGAGACTGCGCAAGATCGTGAGCGTGAGCATACCCTTCAGTCGTTTGTGGCGATTGTGTTCATCAACGAAAACATAGTCTACAGAGGCGACAGCTGGTTAGACGACAGGAAAACAGAAAGGTCCATGGCCGGGGCCGGGGCGGTGGAGGTGGATGGCGCACTCTTCTGGGTTTCCCTTTGGGGGTACTGTTGGGGTGCGAAGGAGAAGCTGCCCATCTGGGAGCTTTGAGGCAGGATGCGCCTCACCGATGGATCGTTGGACATTTCGAAGATCGGTCGTGGCAAGCCGGTGTTGTTAAATGCGGTGAGCTAAGATGGAGGACGTAGCCTCGGACGAAGAGCGGAGCGGAGACAAAGAAGCTGTTACATCCAAGTCCGTCTTGGTTGGCGTTGTAAGGCAGTTGGAGAGCCGACCGTCCCGACCCTGAGTGCGCACTCAGCGACACTCTCGCTTTTCTCGGTTAAATCGTAATCGTTGGTGGACGCCAGACGAACGGGGAGCTGTCAAGATCGAGAAGAGGTTGCAGAGGAGGAGAAAGATGTTTGGAAAAGAAAGCAGCCAGAGGGGAGTTGTGTCTCGAATTTCTCTCTGGAGAGCGCTGGCTAGGAATTGTCCGGATTGGTGGGTGAGGGTGAGGGGGGTACGCGGGAGAAGGTCAAGCCTTATTATGAATGGACGACAGGTCCCGGCTTGAGGCGTGAAGGGTTGACGTGGGTAGACCTTGACGCAGAGAGAGGCGACCGGGGTAAGGAACAAGATCTGGGCTAGGTACGGTACAACCAGACAGCAGGGCAGGGCAGGGTCATATCACTGCGCTGCTGTGTGCTGCCGGGGTGGCAGAGGAGACCGATGTTCGATGATGGATGCGACCAGGAGCCGATGGGGAGCCAGGACCCAGACCAGGGCTGCCTAGGTGGGCAAGGTAGGCTGGACAGTGCTGTGGTGGTGAGGAGGAGAAGGAGTCTGGCGGGGAGGGGAGGGGGTCCTCTAATGGAAGGGGAGGGGGGAGGAGGAGGAGGAGAGGAGAGGAGGTGAGGAGCAAGAGACCTGAGTGAGAGAGGAGGATGATGATGATGGAGATGATGGAGAAGCGGCCCAGGGTCTCAAGGAGTAGTGCAGGGTTCTGAGAATGAGACTGAGAATGAGAATGAGAAGGTTGGTGATGAGGTCTACACCAAGAGGTTGAGAAAAGCGAGAATATGTGTGTAAGGCAAGGTGAGGTAGTTAAGGTAAGGTACTGGAAGTGTACGATCCAGAGTAGGTACCTACTTCAGTAGGTCGGCAATACGGATGGGTATGTACAGAGAGTCATCCATCCCGTAGACGAGTCTGCTTGGTAAGAAGGGAAGGGTGCAAGGTACCTAGCGTCGTCGTCGTAGGGTGTTGGAGTGGATAATGAGGAAGTGAGAGAATGAGAAGAGTGTGAGGGTGTGTGGATGCCCATGTGGATGTGGGTGTGGGTGGAAAGGGTGGGAGGTTGTGGTCGCGCAATGCGGCGACGGCGTGAGCGGCAGCCCAGGACGGGAGAAGACAGGAGTTTTACCTGACCAACACAGGTCCGACCCAGCGTGTTATTCGCATACATAGCAATGCAGCACTTTCCGTGGTGCCTTAGCAGCGGCAGAAACAGCTTCACCAACTGGCCAGGGAGACGCAGGATAGGGATGCGTGAACACCAGTCAGGTATAGACATAGGTAGTCTTGTAAACATTGTAAACAGGTATGAATAGAAAGCAGGTAAGTAGGGCAGTCGATGACGGGAGTTCAGTCGGACAGCCCCCTAGCCCTCCAAGTACCGATGTATCATTCGCCTTATTGCGCAGCAAGAAGTACCTCAGCTGCTCCTGAAAGCGCCTATCCCTCATCCTCCACCGCGCTGAGCAGGGCCGGACGCTGGCGGACAGGGCAGGAATAACGTGCCTCGGGAGTGGCCACCTTAGACGACAGACAACCTTCAAGACCATCAGACAGGGCAGAGAAAGCAGCCGGACAGCGTGCCCAGCAAAAGAGAGGCTAAAAAGGCCCTGTTGCAGGCCCAATCTGGCGGAGAGATGAAGGGCCGGCCGGGGTGCGTAAACTCTCAGTGCTCGAGTCTCAAGTCTCATTCGACTTACGACTGCTGCTGCTGCTACTCCTCAGACCTTCATTTGCCGGGTTTGGACTTGATGGGCTCTTGATGCTGGACCTGGACCTGAAATTGGATCCGGGCGCCGGGAAATGGCCAAAGACAAAGAGAAAAGCTCGCCTGTGCCTTTGCCCGTGCCAGGGAGGAGTAGGGGCTTGCTTTCTGTATGTACGTGTGTCTCTATCTGTGCCTGTGTCCGATGGTTTGAACGAAAGGGGTCTCGGTGTCTGATAGAAGAAGAGGCGAGACGACATTCAAGGGACAAGTTGACACACAGACAGCAGAAGGGGACGAAAGAAGAAGAGATGGACGAGATGTCTCCTGTTTCTTTTCTTGGGTCAGACGGGGGGCGAGGTTCGACGGCGGGCAAGGAACGACACTGTAAACAGTTGAAATCGAACGGTCAAACTCCAACAAAACCACCTTCCCTACGTTCAGATACACAGCTGACGTAGGTAGTGTCCAATACGGGCAATTGCTGTATCCTATTTCTGCACATAAGACCCGCACACATAAGGTAGGCACACACGACATGCGGTATCAGGCAAGGTACCGCGATGGAGATCAAGATGATGGTGCGGGAGAGGTGAGAGGGTAGGGTAAGGTGCATGCTTCAGTACCCAAGGTAGGTAATGCTGTGGTAGGTTGAGGACGAGCAGATTCGCAGGCACCTTATCCGTACAGCGACGATTACCACCACATACGCGCACGCGCATCAATGGCATGGAACAAATGGGCACTGACCACGGCGGCGAATCCGTCCCTCACGGCATTTCCAGAGGCGACAAGAAAGGCCGAGTCAGAATCCGGGTCTGCTGATTGAGTACGGAGTTCCCGCACCGTCTGTCGGCGTGAGGCGCCGCCAGGTACACTGCAGCGTTCGTACACTCAGTACAATACGTGTCGGAGGTAAAGGTGAAGGCTAAGCCGAAGACCCCAATGACTTGGGGTGACGGTTGTGTACGCGACCAGTGCGTTGGTAAGAAACCCCTCTTGCCCTCCCTCTCACCGCACACTCGCCTCAGCTTAAGTTCTCTAAGCTAAGGTACCTAGTCAAGGTACGCCGTCCACCGCAGCAGGATGGCCGTATCGTGTATCCAGTATGAGAAACAGGCAGATGCACTGTATAGAGAACGTTGCCGCGGTACGTAGGAACCACGGAGACTCCCAACGGGACGAGGACGGTCTGGCCTCGTCGTCATATTCTAGCAGGGCAATGTAACGAATACAGTCCTGCCCCACCACGCCTGAATACTGTACGTCTACTTATTCCCAATGTAGCACAGGTACCAATAACTGGCTGACCGTGTCTTCCCTCTCATCCCACCAAAGAAGAAAAGAAATCCAACTTCATGACGACCAGGAAAGATATGCGTGGAAAAAGACGCGAAAAGGCTAAGAGATAGACGACATGGAGGGTTGCACTAAGGTTAGCTAGGGCCTTGAAGAAAGTGCAGATTGCAGATTCACCAATGTCCCATGTTATCATAATAAGTGGCCATGCTCATTCGATATTGATATCGATTTCAAGCCTTGCCGTCTTGCCCACCGAGCTGCAACCAAAAGAGGCAAGTTGCCTGAGCAATGAGGTATCAGCTCAACGACACGTACCTTGGTATTGGTAGGGAGGAGTCGAGCAGGTCAAGATGCCAGTCCATGTCATATCGATGGCGTCGACAGAGGAGACGAGAGAGCTGCTCACACCAGCAACCATGGCAACAACGACCAGACGATCCGCATCTTCTCCAGCGCACTTAACACTAGTGACCATAGTGCTCCGTAATGAAAATTGGCGTAGCGTAAACCAGGCCGGCGGGTTATCAGACAAGGAGTCAGTATCCATATCCATATCCATCCGCGGGCCATGGTAGGCTACGCTCGCTACCTTAGCCGTCCTCTCGTCTTGCCCAGTAGGGCAAATCCACTGGCTGTCCATTTCGTTCAACCTGGCACTCGCACTCGGGTCTTGGGGGGCTCACAGCCTCATGTCTGCTGGAGACGTGGAGGTTGGGACTCCTGACGCTCCTGGAAAAGGATATGAGAAGGACGGATACGGAGGCGGTACCTGAGGCTGGCCCCGTCTGGCGCTGGCCTGATGAACCGGGTCCGAGCAGGCTCAACGTCCAGTGTCGAGCTTGAATGCCTCGAGAACCAGTGCCCACCGACCCCGTCTACCCACGACGGGGAGGTGGAAGGTGGATGACTGCGAGGGTCCCAAAGCAGAAGCTCTGCTCAGACATCCGCATCGTCGGCCCCAGACCGCCCTAGTCTGGGCATGATACAGCGAGTAGGCGAAGCGTAGAGCGCAATATCACAGCCTGTTTGCAGTGTAGACAGGCCGATATTCGGGAATTTAAATGCCCCGAGAGTTATGGTTTTGGTCTTTCCCTGCCTCATTAGCCAGACGATGTCCAACGACAAACGCAACAGCTACCAGTTGTAGCCAGGAAAGTGCCGCAGCTAACATTACCTAGGGCCAGGGACGAATCCACCATGTCAGATGCCGACAAGCCCCTCGAACTTTGAGCAAGCCTCGTCCGCGGCACCTACTACGTACCAGCGGAACAAGACGTGTCCGCCGTAAGCCACCGGCGTTCAGATGGTCAGACGTTTATTCCGCCGGTTCTAGCTCGAGGGCTTGCAGCGTACGTGGTAGTCATGTCGCCGGACGCCGTGGTGTCAAACTTGCCGTGCCGTAAGGTAGGAGTGACAGTCTGACGCTGTGATGGGAGCGGCGGTGGTTGTCTGTTCTCGAGAACTCCGGGGTCGAAACACCCTAGAAGGTCGGGTCGAAGGTGACCGTGACCATCTTCGGGTTCGGCTCTTGTTTCTCTTCAGCTTCGGGTTCATCATGACCAACCCATGAGGGTCTTCAACATGGTCAGCTCTCAAGTTCATGGAGTAAATGACATGGGTGAGAAGGAATAGACAAGGTAGTCAACTAAGGTAAACCAAAGGTGGTAACGGTAACGTGCGTCGACAGGGGGGAAATAGGAAGGGGGCCAAGGGCAAGAGGCAAGGAAGGAGGTACGGACCACGGTATCTGCCGCAACGCAACGCAGGGCAGGGCAGGGCAGGAGCAAGTGTGGTGCGGTGCGGTGCGGTCAGGTACCGCGGTAGCAGTCGCAGGAGCACTGG